AGCTCTAGAACTCGCGCGGCCATTTCACGCAGACGTGCGTGGGTAGGGGGGAATCCTTGAGCGTCACTCTCAAGTATCCAGTCGACTAAAAACCTCTCTTGCACCGGTGTAAGGCGTTGGTTCGATTGTTGAGCTGTAGAGCGCGATTGCATGCCCTTGAGGCGGTTTTGAAGCGTAGCTCGATTGACCTTGAATAGGGCCGCAGCTTCATTTTGTGATTTGCATTGACCGGTCTCTACGGCATGGATAGCCTGTAGGAGTATCTCCTCTGAATTTGACATCGTAATACGATATGGTGGTTGAGATATTACGCGTTTGGTGATGGTGAAGATGGTGATACTGGCCAAGTAGGTGGTTGGCCAACAGGCAGGGGTTCGAACTTAATGGCAGAACGTCACAAGTCAGGAGTCAGGACAAAGCAAGCAGCCGGCGGAGACTGGAGTCGATTCGACCCCTGGGCCTTGGCGTCAAAGGGCCAAATCGTGCTCGATCGGGTTACATAAGCGGCTCGAGCCATACTGGAGGGCAGCATCACCGCAGTCAGGGCGCGGTGCTTGTTTGAGACTTTGAGTGGTTGAATACCGTTTGTATGCAGTTGCTTGACGCGCCGCCAACACGTTTCCTGTGTCATTCACGTCTTTTATTCATGCTGCACTAAGTATTTCCAAATACACCACCACGGTCATGGCCTCGAATAGTCCGGAAAAGCTCCTTGAGAAAGCGTTTTCTGAGCGCCCAAACCTTCTCAATTGGCTACAACTTTCCCTCCGTTAGTGACAGGTCGCATGCTGTTGTGGAGTCGAGTGTTTGAATAGGGGTGCTGACCAGATCGCTAGAATCCACTCCCGCTGTACTTCCCTATATCCAGGAACTCACAACGTTCGTTCTCGACCTCAAGAAGAACCAGAGTCAAGCCAATGATGAATCCTCACGAACCTCGAAGAAGCGGAAGCTCGACTTTGATACAACTCATACGAATGGCGCGAGTGGCTCATGGTTAGACGCGAGCGCCTCGCCGGCAGTTAGCATACAGGATGTTGGGTTCCAAATGCCGCAGCGCAAGAAACTCAAACTCGAGTGGTTAGGCTTCTCGTCCTCGGCACCTAACACCGGGGGCATACGTGCAGTTGGCAACAGTGGAGATGTTGAATTTGGATTGTCATGGCAGGACGTTGGTATGTATAGGCTTACATTTCATGTGGCATTCGCATCAGATCAGTCTCAAAAAGAATCGCCAGCTAACTTCCCTCAAGACCAGATGTTCTGTTTACCTGTACCTGAGAAAGCTAAGCCTTCATGGAATTTCGTCGTCATGCCTGTTTCATCTTCCAACCGCGAACCGATCTTATGGAATACTCCGGAACCTAGCAAGAAGGATATCGAAGCAGGGACCGCGACCATTCAACCCCAGACGACGATTGACTCGATAAATCAACAGTTAGCTGGAATGAACCCTCCAAAACGCGTACATTTGCCCGATTACGAAGAGTTTTGTGGTCAAGATAACAAATCTTACAAGAAGGGAGAAAAGAGAGCATGGGTGAGGGCATGGAGGGGGACAAAAGATGGTGAGTGTCTTCAATAACGGGCGACTTTGTTGCATATGCTGATCCTCTTCTCAGGTTATCTCTTCTTCCTTCCACAGGGCATTCTATTTGCGTTCAAGAAACCTCTACTTTTCATACCCCTTGAAAACATCGAGTCGATCTCATATACGTCAGTCGTCCAGATAACGTTTAACCTCGTGGTCTCATTCGTGGTTCTGGGCAACGAAGACCCAGAAGAAGTGGAATTCGGGATGATCGATCAGAATGACCATACGCCGATCGATGCCTACGTGCAAAAACACTCGCTTCAAGACACCAGTATGGCAGCCGAGAGACGCGCCAAGAGGTTGAACATCAACCCTCCAGAGGGAAAGGGTACTGAAAATGGAGATTCGACCGAAAATGCCCAAGGTGCTGCTGATGACGGTGCTGATGACGAAACGGAGCTTCAACGCGCAGAGCGCCTATTGCAAGACGCAGAAGATGATGAAGAGGAGGATTACGATCCTGACGCTGAAGGGGACAGCGATGATAGTGAGGGAAGCGAGGGAAGCGAGGGCGAAGATGCTCACGGCGGAGGAAGCGACATCGAGGAAGTCGATTCGGAAGACGCTGAAGACGACGACGAAGATTAATATTACCAGTAAGACGACCCAATTTCGAAGATCTACGGAAATTTCGCGAATCTCATGCTCGAAAAGGACAATATAGGGGGGCGTGAACATCACTGCAATCCTGAATTCCTCCCCTGGGGCCCGCAGGTTCATCCCAGGAGACCTTTAGGCTGCGTTCAGTTGTACAATATCTCCTGATGAGAATGAAAGATGCCCGAGTGCCTGTTGATACTCCACGTCTCTATTTATACCGGAAAATGCACATCTCGCAAGTTGCAGCGATTGGCTGCAGCAGCCTAGGAATTTCATGAGGAGAAATGGCTCTTTGAATTTGTAACCTGCATCAGAGCGGAAGGAGTCTTTTAAAGGTTAGCGCCACCATCATTGTATTCTATTATACCATGTCCTTTCTTCATCGTTCCCGGGCGACCGCGTGTGCGAACTCCCCGTCTCTGGTTACGCCAAGCGAAATAGATTGCACCCAAGTTGGTGTAATTCTATCAGGAATATCCTTCCCAAATGTAGATGAGCCCTTCACCAAACATTTGACAACTCTAAACAACGTTGTTTACGGGATCGCATAATTAGAGCAATATGTAATTTTGCCGTTTTGAGCTCGCGTTCGGATTCCAATTACGGATCTGGTCTCGACGCTCTGCCAAGTTCGCTGATTGAGCGTTGCAATATGATATAAAATGATCCATTGTCCAGGCACAGGTGGAGCTGGCGAACTCCATCGTCTGCTCAGCCTATCGTTTTAGCCATTGAGTCTATTCCAAAATGCGTGTCACACTTGCTGCTGTGCTCCTGTCTGTTTTGGTGGGCGAAAGCCAGGCAGGGTGGAAGGTAGGCGAGCCCGTCCTCACGACCAGTGGACTAGCCGTTGGGCGCGCCTCTTCGAAGCGGAGTGGCGTTTCTGAATATCTTGGAATTCCATTTGCCTTGCCTCCGACAGGAGAACAACGATGGGCTCCGCCGAAGCAACTGAACAGCTCCGATGGGAAAGTAATCAATGCAACCAAATATGTATGTCCCTGCACGCATGTGAGATGAAGGAATGACTGACGCTCATAACAGGGCCCGTAAGGATCATAAGACCCTCATTCCTAAGCTTTTCTGAGTATAGTAGTTCCTGTGCCGAGTCGGCGTCGCTCCCTTATCGACTGAATCCGAGCTCGCCACCACCTGCAAACATTGGAGCAGCCGAGAATGAGCAGGATGAGGACTGCCTCTATCTCAATATTTGGACGAAGCCACAAACGGGAGAGAAAAAGAAGGCGGTGATGATCTGGATCTACGGTGGTGCCTTTCTCGTTGGAAGTGCAGCCAATGCTGTTTACAATGGCGCTTCGTTGGCAGACGATGAAGACGTTGTTCTCGTGTCACTGAAGTAAGCCGTGAATTTCAGAGGACCAATTAGCCGCTGACGACCGTCCGCAGCTATCGCCTTGGTGTCCTTGGATTCCCCGGAGTGAATATTCCAGAAAAGAACCTGGGATTGCTAGATCAGCGAGCTGGCGTCGAGTGGATCAGAGACAAGTACGGCTTTGAAGCCACACAGCCAAGTACTAGGGTGCTAAAGTGAACAGTATCGGACAATTCGGTGGCGATCCTAATCGTATGATCCTGTTCGGGCAATCTGCGGGAGGCGCATCGGTCGACTTCTTCTCGTACGCGTGGACGGAAGATCCCATCATTTCTGGCTTTATCCCACAGTCTGGCTCTGCATCTATTATACGGACTGATATCACGACCAACAACAGTCTAAGCTTATGGTCGGATTTGTCCAAGACTCTAGGATGTGGTGCGGTGACTTCAGAGGCTACCATCGCAAACGCCCTCCCGTGTATGCGGGCAGCCCCTGCAGAGGCGGTGTTGAATGCAACCGCTCCAAATTCCTCAGGATCGACGATTGGAACCTGGGGTCCAATGATTGATGGTAAGACGGTGTTTGCGGATCTCGAGGCGCGGTCTGCGGACGGAAGATTCGTCAAAGCGGTTCGTCACCAGTTCTATAGCTTGATACTCCGCTAACTGTTATAGCCGATGCTTGTGGGAAACACGAATAATGAAGGAGCTACCTCTGGCACCGTGGTTGGCAGCCTCCAAGCTCGCCTGAGCAATTGTGCATCTGCAGAGGCAGCGCAAATTCGACGGGATGCTGACGTCCCTGCATGGAGATACGTGTATTCCGGAGAATTCCCCAATCAAATTATCGGTCAAAACATAACCGGCGCGTGGCACGGCGCAGAGATCGCTTTGATCTTCGGGAACACCGGTGTTAGAGGCCCAGATACCGAGATCGAGAAGAAATTGATCAAGAAAATCCAATCTGCGTGGAGCGGATTCGCGAAAGACCCGAAACATGGCTTAAGCCAGCTGGGATGGCCACTTTACAACGCACAGGGTAAGATCATGAATTGTAGGTCTGCGAACCAATGCTAATGGAGATTCTTTAGGGGAGACCGTCGTCGTTATTGGCGGAAAGGACTCGGACGAGATCACATTCGAATCGCCGTCCGTGACTGACGGGAACGCGTGCAACACCCCTCCGAGTGTTTGATATTCGTCATATCGGGCCGGAGGGCGTCAGTGTCAATGTCTGTACTCCGTACAGCTCCTTGGATTTCCGCGAAAGGGCAATCCTGCGTATTCAAGCCATTGTTGCGAATGGCCATTTTGTAGTAAATACTGATGTTATCAATTCGATACGATATGTCGTTTTCGAATAAGTAGGCCGGGTTTGTGTGTCTTGAAAAGTCCTATTCTGGGCCTACGAGTATGGATGAATATGGATCAAGGAGAACTGAGTTGATATTTGCGCATTGTCGCCTGTAGGCTTGGTAAGTCCCTTAATTCCCCCCGGATGGAACACCTTGCTTAGTACCTAAGGGGCCTACTTGATATCTCTCGCTTTTCGAGATGCTGATTCCCGGGCTCTAACTCCGTGCTGTTCCTGGTGTTCTCATCAGTCCTCGTTGCGGCCTAGTACCATATTGTAACACTTGTCGGTACGGAGCACATGTATTTCTCTTCCTCCCTGGACTCCGCTACGGTTATTTCGGCGGATCCGGGTAGGCTACCAGAATCACAAGCGTGGGGTTGCTCCTTGAGCTTGGACATCCCCCCTCCGGATTCCGGGTTCCGGAACCACACAACAGCGACCCGACCGAGCGTGATCCTCTCCACTTGAGCAGCTCCGTTCTAGCCTCGGGACGATCTCAGGGACCTCAAGCTTATGAGATATTTACCAACCTCTCGAGACCCTCGTCATGGCTCCTTTATAACTTATTCACTATATTCAAACGTCCTTAGGAAGTCAAAAATTTGAAAAGATACTCCTCGTGGTATATTAAATCATGGTCCTCAAAACTTGGTTAACCGAAACGATCGGGGTGAAGGTCCCCATCGTGCAAGGGGGTGAGTTCCCATTCTAGTAACCCCATCCTGCTGGTTAGACCGAGATAGGATCTAACACCCGTTCTCTTCAGGTATGCAATGGGTTGGAAGAGCGGAATTAATCAGCGCCGTCGCGAACTCCGGGGCACTGGGCTTTATCACCGCTCTTACTCAGCCTTCGCCTGAGGACCTCCGAAACGAAATCCGAAAATGCCGGACGCTGCTCAAAGATCCCAGCACGCCTTTCGGGGTGAACATCACCATGCTCCCGGCCATGAACAAGCCCGACTATCTGGGATACGCTAAGGCTGCGGTTGAAGAAGGAGTCAAAGTGATCGAGACCGCTGGAGATCCGAGTGCAGTCCTGCCATACCTGAAGGCGAACGGCGTGGTGATCATCCACAAGTGTGTGAATCTCAAGCATGCACTCAGGGCCGAGCGATTGGGAGTCTCGGCGATCTCAATCGACGGTATCGAGTGCGCCGGCCATGGAGGAGAAGACAACATTACGAGTCTCATGCTCCTCAGCCTATGCGCACAGCAACTGAAGATTCCTTATATCGGATCCGGCGGTTTCGCCGATGGGCGCGGTCTCGCGGCGGCACTGTCCCTCGGTGCTGCAGGGTAAGTCTTGGTCAACTCAACCGCATTCTGGTCACTAATATTAGTTTGCAGAATCAACATGGGCACTCGATGGATGTGCACCGTCGAATCACCAATCCACCAAAACGTCAAGCAAGCGATTGTCGATGCTGATGAAAACTCGACTGTACTCGTGCTTCGAAAGTTCCGTAACACCACCCGCCTTCATAAGAACAAGGTCAGCCAGGAGGTTTTCGAGATTGAGAACACCAAGCTAGACGTCGAGTTCAAGGACGTCGCACACCTGATGGCGGGCTCAAGGGGGAAGAACGTGTATTCCACGGGAGACGTCGATGCCGGAGTGTGGTCTCTAGGTCTTTGCGCCGGTCTCATTAAGGATATTCCAACTTGCGCCGAGCTGACCGCGCGGTTCGAGAGGGAGGCAGAGCAGATCATTACTTCTACCCGCGATTTGATTAAGCCCAGCGCGCGTTTGTAATTGAGTCCTGATCGGTTGTGTTGGCGTCTAGATCACTAGATGCTTAGAACGCGAAGGATTGCTTGATCCTCTAACATTCTTGTATAGTCTGGCATTGTATGCAGATAGCAACCCGGCCACATACTCATCCATGGCTTGATATAAATGGATAACAATACAGCATTCATGGTCCGTGCGTTCAAAGTCTTCGGCGAAACGGAGCGAATGTAGGGTGTCAAGCTGATTGGACATTGAAACACAAATTTTGACGGATTTGGCGCCCCTAGGGGCTAGGGCGTAATGTTTCTGCACAGGGATGCCGATACGAACAAAAGAAAAACAAGTTGACTCATAAAGGGCGCAACAGATCCAGCCATGGAGGGGTAGGGATTGATTTTTCTACAGTATATACTGCGACCTCGCGTAAGACGCGTAGCCCTGACCCCTGTCTTACCTCATCTAGCACAAGTATTTATATTCATCAGTGAATCCAAGCACTTCTGATTTCCTTCTCTTCCACTTCATGTCCATGTTTTCAAAATGACACCTGCTGGAGAGAACCCGAATTATCCATTGCTTGGCGGCTGTGGTTGTGGTCGCATCCGCTATGCAATCGAGGTGGAGCCCCTGACCGTACATTGTTGCCACTGTACTTTCTGCATGCGGGAAACCGGCTCAAGCTATGCGGTCAATATCCTCGTCGATTCTTCGAAACTGAAACTGCTTCCATCGAACCCCCCTCCGCCCGCGGAAACGGCACCCGCTTCGAGCTCAGAGAGCAGATCCACGGACGAGAAAGCACCCGCCGCATTGGCGACAGCAACGACTTCGGAAACCATCGAACCGATTCCCATGCTCATCCCGTCGTTCAGCGGACTGGGCCAAACGATCTTCCGCTGTCCCAACTGCTACGTTGCGGTTTGGAGCCATTATGCAGGAGCCGATTCTCTGGTTAGCTTCATTCGGGCCGGCACTTTGGACCGAAAGGATGTGATTGTACCCGAGCTGCACATTTACACAAGCACGAAGCAGCCGTGGGTTATCCTGCCAGATGGGGCGCAAGCTTTTGAAGAGTTCTATGACTGGAGGAAAGTGTGGAAAGCGGAGAGCAGAGAATGGTTCGAAGCTGTTTTGAAAAGTAGGGCCAGCGAAATGCAGATGAAGCAGTGAAGAAATGCAAAGGTTATACTAAAGGAGAGGTACTCGTGGCTTCAGCTGGTATTAGTTAGAACTCGACTTGGTCGTCAATGATCAGCATTCATACTTTCAATTTCTTTCATGTCGTCGGGACTCAAGTCAGGAGACAAAGTCAATTGCCGTCATCCAGTTCGCCCACTGTAGTGTGTTTGTCGTCTCCTTGGAATTAATTAATACCTTGTTGAAATTATATGCTGTTCGTTAATACCCTCGGTCGAAATAAATGGCACAACAAAGTACAGCGCACATATTACCCGAATATAACTCTCGACAGTAGGATGCCTGCTCGGCACCATACAAATGTCCACCGTATGCCAACGAAGCCTTCTTCTCGCCTTGAAACTGCTCATCAACACTTATGTGAAAGCGAACTAAGACTCTGAAATGCAACACGATGGATACCCAGGAAGGCAGGAACTTCGTAGAGAAAGCAACCGGATTCGCACTAGCACTGATGACTGAAGACTTGAAGTATTAGTAACGGAATGATGTCAACTCTTGGAATCCTAAGAATGAGAAGAGGAGATGTCTAATTTCTGGGCTGTGCGAGGAGTGTACCTATCTCCAGAAGTTCAGATGAGACCCTCCATATTGTCGACTTGAAGCAAAAGTCCAAAGCAACAGATTTGATCCCGTCCAGTTTGGCAATTTCAGCTTTCAGTACTCCGCAGCCATCATGCCTTATCTCGGGGCTCGGAGGATTAATGAAATGCGGATTAGCAGCGTCTCATGGTGGAACAATGGACCAATCAGGTAATTTCGATTGAACACTGCTTACATCAGCCGTCCGTCGCGTTTAACTTTCGATGGACACCTGCATAACTAGGTCAAGGCGATAATCGATAGATCCATCGAGATTCGAGTCGATCCTGTCGGTGCCTCACTTTAGAAGGACCGAGAGCAGATAGACGATCGGTTGATTAACGATCCGCACCCTACCGAAGCTGAAGTGCTGAACGGAATCGGCAGCTTCTGCCGATGATGTCATATCTACTCCATGCAATTCGCTTTGGCTTCAAGTTTCCTGCAGCTCCGGAGGCTTTGGATTAAGGAACTAGCATACGGAATACCTCGATCCTGAAATCTTTGAATCTCTCAGCCTCGTTGGAGCCGGAACCAAGAGAGCTGATAGGCGCTAAGAAGGCGCGGCAGGAAAGGCTTTATTCCCCCCAAGGAAGATGAGAAATGACGGCGTGCACTCCACATCATCCGAAGCTTGGAACCTGGACCTTGGATGGTGTGCTGTTCAACATTCAAGGGATTCCTAGCAGTCCAAATACTGTACGGAGTACGAACATGGAGTGGAGTATTACCGCAGAGCGATGGTCACTAGCAGAATCGGGCAGAACCAATTGGCTGCGGGAGAGTTCCAGAATTGAGGTGCGGGATCGCCAGGCTTTAAATCGTTCACTTAACATGGTCCCCCGGCCGTTTACATTCTTCCTCTGGTAATCCATTCATAATTGGTACGCAATACGGGTATTATGCTCCTCATGCTACTGGTCAACCGCCCCCCCACACTACCAGACCCCATGATCCCATCAAATCGTGAACGATTGAACGGGTCAACGACTCAACGGGCAACAAAGACGACGTAGCCGATAAATCGAACCAGTGGACCAATAACATCGGTACATCGGTAGGCACCTGTGCAGCCCTCCGAGGCTCCGACCATCCTGGAGCCCCACAAAGATGGCACTACTGCACGTTAGATGCTTCGCCCAGCCTTCTGACAACCACTTGCGTAGTACGCTGACCAGACTTTAGCTCCAATGATTCGGTCAGAGAACCGGGATCCCGACGGCATGGCCAACATGATCAATAAGAGCACCCGACTACCCTGGCCCTGAAGGGTAAGCGTGTGGATCTTGAAGATTCATACCTCGACTTTTTGTTCTTCTTTGAGGAATTCCGAGTTATTACTTGCTCGGAGCTAAAGCAGAGCCGCGTCCCTCGAACTTTCTTGAAGAAGCACCTGGACCATTTTCTCAAATACCTTGCAAGGAAGGTACAGCCGGTGCTGTAGCTGGTACTTTGAAGTTTGACTGAGTCAAGCATCTCGGGAATCCTAACACTTTGCGCCGCATTCCTGGATTACATTCGAAGGGCTTCTCCAACAGAACATACGCAACATACCATAATCGCCATGGATACCAAGGAAGAAGAAAAGGCGGTGGCCGGCACCATCGCCGACCCTGAATTGACTTCGCTGGACTCGGCAAGCTTGATAAAGGGCGATATCCTGGGCCAAGAGTCCACAGATCCTGTGCTGAATGCGAAAATGAAGCTTGTCAACGACGTGAGCATACTTCCACGCTCTTCGCGCCTCTCGCGGGAACAAACCCGACTGACAGATATCCGCAGACCATTGAGGAAATCGGATGGACTGGCTATCAAACGAAGCTCTTTTTCTTGAACGGTTTCGGATACGCGGTCGACTCGTTGATTCTCCTGATCCAGTCCATCACAGCTAGTCAAGCGGCTCTGGAGTTCCGAGCGACTTTCGCCGAAGGCCAAACGATAGCCGTGTATGTCGGTATGCTTGTTGGCGCACTATTCTGGGGTCTCAGTGCGGATGTGATCGGACGAAAGTTCGCATTCAATTGCTCTTTGATGATTTCCTCCGTATTCGCTATCGCCGCAGGCGCCAGTCCAAATTGGGAGGTGTTGGGTCTCTTCAACTGTCTCTCGGCTTTCGGATCTGGTATGTCGATACCCGATTGAATCCGGTAACGTTTTCTGACTGACTCCAGGCGGAAATCTTGTCTTGGACACGGCGGTCTTCTTGGAATACCTTCCTGGGCAATATCAATATCTTTTAACGCTTCTTGCGGCATGGTGGGGTAAGTCGCATTTCGTTTACAACTCGAAGTCTGAATTGAGAGGAAAGCGTTGTCAACAATCTCTGGATGGATCATTTTGATTGACACGATGCTGGACTGCGGTTGCTGTGGTTGCAGTCCGCCGAATTATGGTGGCGTTCAATTTCATGTCACATGATCTAGATACCCGCTTGGCCACCCCCGACTTCTCTCCTGACTTCTGTCGACCAAAAGATACGAGCAGCAGAAACTGAGTACTGACAATTCTTAGGCGTCGGACAATTGACTGTTGGTTTATTGGCATGGGCTTTCATGCCTAAATGGTCTTGTCTCGATTCCGACAGCTGCACTTGGCAGAACAACAAGGGATGGCGTCTTGTCTGGTTTGTATCTGGAGCCCTTGTACTGGTCATGTACGCTGCAACCCTGATTTCTGCCTATATTGAGTGTTCCCTAACCGGTTCCACAGGTCGGTACTACGCGTCACCGTTATTCGCTTGAAGGAAACCCCGAAGTTCCTGTTAGGAGAGGGCAAAGACGATGAGGTCGTCGAAGTCTTGAGCTCGATTGCGGTTAAGTACAACCGCCCTTGCAGCCTTACCGTTGAAAGGCTGCAAGCGTGCGGTGTCACAGGGCAGCCCGATGGACGTCGTGCTTCGCTCTCCCACGCCAGGAACAAATGGTCCATCGGCGAGATCACTGTGCATTTCCGGGGCCTCTATGCCACCAAGCGGATCGGTATATCCACATCCCTCATCTGGTTCTCATGGTTATTGATTGGACTTGCTTATCCGTTGTATAACGTCTTCCTACCAATATACCTCAAGACCCGTGGCGCTCAGTTCGGCGAGACTAGCGAGTACATCCGCTGGCGGTGAGTCAGTCCGGATTCCTTTCGGCGCTTTGTACTAACTGGTTGGCAGCAACTATGCCCTGGTAAATATGGCCGGAATTTTTGGGCCGATTCCCGCGGCCTATATGGCGAAGTCTCGGTACTTTTGGGGAAGGAAAGGCACCATGATAATCGGTGATAACTGCGCTTCGTACCAAGGCTGGTGACAGAAGATGCTAACACATCTTAAGGGGCCATCTTGACTTCGATATTCTTCTTCGCATACACCCAAGTCCGGAGTGCTGATCAGAATGTGTACGTGGATCCTTTACCCGCGTCTTTCGGCTGTCATGATAATCTGCGAGGATTAAACACGCGAGTCATGAGAATTACTGTTACTAACGTCTAATTCTAGGGCATTTACCGTCGTGGTCAATTTCTTGCTGGTAAGCTCATTCCTCTTCTTTTATTTGATATTGGTGGCTCAAATGGGACTCGCTGTGTTGCCTAGCCCTTTACGGGCCCATCAATTGACTCAGTGGAAATATCTTCGTGTTTGTTGATCACAGGCTAACGAAAATTATAGAATATTTATTACGGTTAGTCGCCATTATATTGAAATGCTTCTCGTGATGATGTCCCTTCAAGGACCTCGTTCGTGGGCTGGCGGGTGGTGTCTTGCATAGGCACACCTGAGTGTGACGAGTTTGCGGCTCAGTCGCTAACCGAGCTATGCAGGCACACTCTATGCATTCACTCCTGAAGTGCTACCAAGCGCACATCGTGGGACTGGCAATGGAATTGCAATCGCGTTGAACAGATTCATGGTGGGCCAAGATCCGCCCCGAAAAGCCTAGGCGTCCAACGCTAATGAATAACCCTAGGGTATAATGTCAGCGGTCATTGCGCACTTCGCTGACACAGCCACGTCCGTTCCAATCTATATCTGCGCAGCTCTTTACATTGTAATGGCCATTGTGGCCGCCTGCTTCCCCTTCGAACCGCACGGCCGACGAAGCTCTTGATTCCATAGCGACTACAGGATAGAACAGCAAGTGGACTCCAGATGGGGGAATTGGCAGTAGGTACGGCCAATTCAGGGTATTATTTGGTTGCGATTATTTCTGGGAAGGGTGGCTTTGTGATGCCGAGCCCTACGGCCTTCGTTGATAGTTAGTATGATACCCAATACAAGTATACAACCAAGACTCTAACTTTTCATCATGCTCTTATGGTTATATCTTTCAAGTATCATGTTCATTGGCATTTTGGTATAGATATGAAAAATTCGACTTCTGATAATATAGGAGAATTTTCGAAACCCTGGCAGGTATTCCGCTGGTCCACCTATGTTGACCATATAGAGGCGCTCGTAGCGGTTGGGATTCAGGGAATCTCAGGGTCATCAATCACCATTTCCAACGATAGTGTTTCCAACTTTGGCCCAGTAATGAGTACAATAGATCGCCAGCTCATATGATACATAAGTTAATCGACCCCTTTATAACTTGCCCTCTTGCTTCCGCCCACCGAATCCGAAGAGATAAGCTGACAAGATTATTAGCGACAGGCGGGCCGAAATGGACTGTGCAACACTTACCGGCAACTTTTCGCATCTGGATCTGCTCACTACCTTCCGTGATCCTGTACCTCCGGTGATGTCTCCAGATATGCTCAAATGGCCTATGGCGACTGTACCCATTCCCACCATGGGTTTGGATCGCGAGGTCTGCGGCCTCGCAGCACAGCCGGTTGCCCCAGTAGTTGCACATGGACACTTTGTCGCTGATGCGCTTCTCGACCTCCGTATGGTGCATCCCGTCCATCTCCGTGGCCGTCTTCCGGATCAGCTGGCGCAACGCCTCCGCCTGCGTGGCCAGCTCGACCAGCGGGAATTGAATGCCCTGGTTGTGGGAGAGCGGGGTGCCGAACGGCTGGCGGGCGTTGGCGTAGGCGACGGACTCGCGGATGCAGAAGAGGGCAGCACCGAGAGAGGAGGCGGCTTGACGGATCCGGTTCTCGTGGACGAATGCCTGGGCTACGGCAAGACCGTTTGTCGGGTCGCCGAGGATGGTGCTCTCCGGTACCCAGACATTATTGATGGAGACGGTAGCGTGGTCTGTGGGCATGTTGAGAGTCCTGTGCGGTCGCATTAGTCCACTCTGCCCGTCGATGCGTTGGAGCAATGATACTTGAGATAAAAAGGGGGGCTTACCATTCATAGCTGACGACGTCGAGACCCGGGGTGTGCCTCGGGACGATGAAGGCAGTGATGCCTCGCGCACTTCCATCCTTTCCACTCGTCCTCGCAAAGAGGATGCAATGCGTGCAGTGATGCATGCCCGTCTGCCACTTCTTCGCACCATCGATCCTCCAACCCTTGACACCGTTCCTCGTCTCCGGTACCGCCTTGGTTTCCATATGCGTGGCATCGCTGCCATGGTTCGGTTCGGTCAGGCCAAAGGTGGTCCTGAACTTCCCTTCCAGCCTGAGCTTGATGAATTCTTCCTTCTGCTGTGGCGATCCAAAGTCACGGAGCATGACGATGTCCGGGAAGTTGCCAACAACGCTGTGCTCGTTCTGGAGGTCGTTGAAGAGACCCAGACCCTTGGATGCCAGATACTCGCGGATGACGCTCATCCACAGATTGCCGCCGCGTCCGCTGCCGTCGTTCTGGCCGCCATATTCGACGGGAAGATTTAGGCGGAAGAATCCCGCTTTGTCGGCACGGTTCTTGGCCTCAACCAGCAGATCCTCCCACTCTTGGCGAGGAAGACCGCCGTTGTCCCAGTCGGTCCGGGCGTGCTCGCGGCGGTGGTCGAAGAAGCGCTCATTGTCGTCCTGAGCTTGGAGGGGCTTAATCTCGCGGTCGATGAACTCGTCGAGTTCGTCAATGAATTGGAGAAGCGGAGCCGGAAGGGAGAAGTTCATGGTATTCTCGGGCTTGACCTTGGACGCCATGGTGGAAGAGGTGGTCAGGGAGGGGATGGTAATGGATTCGGATTTGGTCATTGGAATTGATGTGATCCTACGGGGGATCGAATGGTAGTGGGTATCTATAGAAGGCAATTATGCTGAGGACTAAGTACCGTGAGATGAGAAGATGCATTGTGGACGTCGATATATTTGCATTCGGGTTGTTGTTACGAGATTACCTTGGTCTTTTGCGGTTACCGGAGCTTACAGATGCCGCCGTAGTTGCGGGGAGAACTTGCGGGGAAAGGAGAGAGACAAGGGAGTCAGGGAGTCCGTCCGGACTGCGAGTCAACATCATTACACATCCAGGCTAATTTGACACTCATCGCCGAAAATTGCCGTAGTTCCCGACTCGGATGCGTGCTTAGTTAAAATGGTCTGACAAGCTCACCATTGCGACATTGGGAGTGGTAATACATTGGAAAAGAAATATCGACACTTATATGGCGACTGGATGCGGTGGTTATGTTCAAAGCATCACACTACGATCCGCTAAACCCCTTACTTCTCCACATAGCTAGATCCATCCCACGAATGCAGATTGCAGTAGGGGTGACAACAATCGGTGATCCCTTCAAATAGGTACGTTCTGTGGCACTGCGCTTTACGAAAGCGGTCCCTCATCAACGAACGTTTTAATCGCCGCCCCCGCCGTCGTCGCCTCCAAAGTCTCCACCGCCATCCTCGTATCCATCCTCATACCCATCCTCGTGGGCATCACCAATTGCATCCCCAATCAACGCCCCACCGACCAGTCCCGCACCGAGACCTAGCGCAGCACCGCCGCCAGCTCCCATTCCTCTTCTCCTACCGCCGCCACCGTAGCCTCCGCCATACGGGAATCCACCATGCCCACCATGGGGACCGTAAGGCATGCCGTGGCCCTGATTATAGTAGCCGTGTTGTGGAGGGTAGCCGTATTGGCTTTGATGAGGACCTGGGTAGTATCCTCCGCCTCCTTGGTACCCTTGTCCTCCTGCGCCTATCGGGAGTTTGCCCTGGGCTTTCCCTAATAACTTCCCGAGGAGGCCACTCTTCCTCCCGGAACCTTTGTCGCTGACTGCACCATATTGTTGTGATGGATCGTAGGGACCTGCAGGGCCGGGAGAATGTGATGGTCCGCCATAGTTAGGCGCAGCGCCCTGAGGCCCACCATTATAGTAGCTGTCGGATGCGCCTCGTCTCGCGTTTTCTTCTTCTTGGAGTTGTCGTGCAATACGCTCATCGTCGGATATATTGGGCTGACCGGATCCGGATGCCGACCCTGTGTTCTGAGGGCTGAATGGGTTGTTCGAGCCCAAACGGTCTCCCTTTTCCGGCCCAGATTGTCGGGGCGTGTCGTCGTACGCGGGGGGGGGAACTGGAACTGCGGATTCAGAGGCCGGAGGAGGGTAGATTGGCTCTGTGGGCCTTTCCCACTGTGACTGCTTTGTATAAATGTTCACGTAGAACCATTCTTTGTAATGCTCTAGGCGCAACATCAGCGCTTAACTTTAGACAGAAAGCAACACGTGGAGCGCTATTGCTCAGGGATAAAGCCTACCATTCCATATCGCCTTCCACCCTTCCGGAACCTTAATAGGGGGTGGTCCCTACGGATAGCGGGTTAGCCGAGCATTTGCACAGTAAGGGGCGCAGAGGAAAAGGCAGAAGAATTGGATGTGGGGTAAATCGCAGCCAGGTGAGTGAAGTCAGTCGTACCGGAGGCGGGGTAAAAGTTTCTGACATCTATCGTCTGATAAGGAGATCTTGGCGAGAGACTCGTAGGTTCGAGTGGGATATAGGAGATGATTGTATAGGACTTAGTTATGGTATTCTGCGAAAGTAGACTTTGGGCACAGAGAAATGTGAGATAGCTTGACAGTTGACACGATGCTCGGGATCTTATGGATCGTCTTTCATTGTGTCAGGGTCTAGGGGATGACGAGTTTGCCACTGGGAACGTGCGTGGAGAGATCGATGCATCCTCACGATTACTTTGAGGCTAGATTCCCGCACCGCCTGTACATACTAACTCATCATCATGTTATTTACCGGTCGACCACCTAAACCGGCAGAACCGGCAGAATACTCTTGATTAGAGGCGGTTGGGGGTTGTATCTACCTGTAAAGAGAGCCTCTTGCCCGTTTTGTTTGCGTAAGCTGTGGCTCAGCAAGGAAGTAAACGACAGCAGAGATGATACAGTTAGGTAGTAACATCACCATCGCCGGTGCTTTCTTTGCCATTGTACGCGTCCTGGAGTGGCCTGGGGTCTTCTGGTCATCCTTTCTCAGCCGCGTCACAGGCTCACAGCCACAAGTTGATTGCTGGGGCAGTGGGTACGGCCGTTCAGACAGTTCTCGGTTTCTCCAGCACTAGGGAGTAGGGAGGGAGGCCTCTTGATCTTTGAAGTAGTTTCTATTGTATCCCTGAAAACTTTCCTTGATTCCCGCACTGGAATTATCAAAAACCGGTCTGGATAGCAAAGTGTGAATTGGAATGAATGATTTCTTATTCCCTCTGGCCAATCGCTTCGGCCAATGTGGGGAGGTATAAATTGGTAAGTTATTTGCTCCGTGTGTTGGTGCTGGTGGTGTCCTGTGACGCTGGATCACGTGCATGCACACATTGATGAGCTTTCCGGTTGGAGATGGCAACGGTGGGCGAGAGGACCCAAAGGTGCAGCTTTGATTGTGAGCTCCGCCGCGACTTCTTCCGAATCGAATTCGAGGCCTCACAGCATTAAAAAAAAGTTTCTCTACACGCTCTTGATCCATTTGCGCGACGTCACTCCCTTCGATTCTCCTCGACACCCCATTGGGGCCCCGTTCACTATCGCGTATATACGTCCTTTGCGAGATCATCTTTATCAATCGTTCCCAACCGCATTTCTCCGCTTGCCATCGCCATCGCTGCTCCTCGGAACCGCACTGATACTTCAGTGATACCATCGGCTCACAATGGCTCCTCGACCTTCAGACATCGCGGCAAATGCTGCCGTCCAAGCTCCTGGATCCTCCACCAAAGAGTTTAGGAAGGAGAGCACGGTTGCTCGATTTAGCGGCGCGGGAACTGCTGGTATCGCGGAATTGCTCGTCTTCCACCCTGTTAGTCGATACCGAACATGAGCAGTTACGAGTCGACGTATCCTTACCATTAGATAGGTCGACACAATTGCGAAGCGATTGATGAGTAACTATGGAAAGGTGGGTTCCAGTTCCCTTCGGCGTTAAAGAAACAGTGGCTCATGGCGCTCCCTACAGATTACGTCCGCCGCGCAATTAAATACTGTCATCTTCAAAGACAAGGCCGCGGCCCCGATAGGATCGCGATACCTAAGCCTGTTCCCCGGATTTGGCTGGGCTGCATCATATAAAATCCTCCAACGAATCTACAAGTACGGAGGTCAACCGTTTGCCCGCGACTATCTGGCGAAAAATTACGGCAACGATTTTGACCGGATCTTCGGCAAGGGCAACGGCAAGGCGATGATGCACGCGACTGCGGGCAGCTTGATCGGCATCGGAGAAATCGTCCTGTTGCCGTTGGACGTGTTGAAGATCAAGAAACAGACCAACCCCGAGGCCTTCAGGGGGAGAGGAGTGTTTCGGATCATCGCTGACGAGGGCTTTGGTTTGTATCGCGGATGGGGCTGGACTGCTGCGAGGAATGCGCCTGGAAGCTTTGCTGTAAGTGAATTCCGATATGCTTGTGAGATATCAATGCTGAAAATCCCTCGCACAGCTCTTCGGCGGATCGGCCGCTGCCAAGGAGTACCTTTATAAACTCGAGGATTACAACACCGCTTCTTGGAGCCAAAACTTCGTCGCTTCTATCGCTGGTGCTTCTGCATCTTTGCTCGTCTCCGCTCCTCTGGACGTTATTAAGACAAGAATCCAAAATCGAAACTTCGACAACCCCGAAAGCGGATTCCGGATCTTGTCCAAGATGATACGACACGAAGGTCCTTCAGCATTCTTCAAGGGGTTGGTCCCTAAGTTGTTGATGACCGGACCGAAGCTTGTCTTCAGCTTCTGGTTGGCGCAAACGCTGATCCCAATGTTCAATAAGGTCGTGTGATGAAATGGAAGGGAAATCATGGTGTCTTACGGCGTTGGAATCATGCGGATTTAGCATACTAGGCAGCCACGGCGTTACCTTCCATCGGATAGACTTTTGGGTATTCCGTACATAGAACTCTCATTTACCGTGTAATTGCATGATAGATCCCGCTCCGTCTGTGGTTCATACTATGCGAACATTGTGCACACTAGGCATTCACTACAATGTCTTAGAAGATCCAAGCATGATGTGCCAACGTGACTTCGTGTCTTGGGGGAAGTTACACGTAACACCTGGGTACTGTTAGGCGGTTAGAATAATGCCTAGAACTACTGTAGGAAATACTGAGGTCTGAGATGCTGCCACTAATGAAGCGAGAGATCATCACATCACGTTCACATCCAAAGGAGTTGTGGCCCTGATGTTCCTGTTGTCATCTTTGTCATAAATGTCACCTCACCCCCAAATAGATCCGGAATAGGCTTAGCGTGACGTAGAGGGCCATGCCTCCAGCTCCGGCCAGTCGCTCACTCCTCAGAGACATGAAACCTGAACGAAGGCAACACAACGTCAAAGAATCTCGCACCTATCATCTACCCTCATTTCCTACGCACTTTACGTTTCACCGCTGACGTCTCTTCCTACATCTGATAACGATACCCAGTCCCGTCCTATACCCATCGTCGCCTGGCCCGTACGGTCGTGTTCTTCGTCCAGCGTCATCATCATGAATCCAGAGTGGTATGTCGTTCACCATCCCTCAGCGCGATGCCCCAAGCTGCTCGAAATTCATCAGAGACAAGAGCGCTGACTTGAACTTTAGAGTATTATCATCCTTTACGAGCCTTGACGCTTCCTATCCATCGGTCCAGAGACGGAACGTCCACTCCGCCATCTCCGATCCCCACAACCGCGCAGCGCTCAGGTTCCATGATTCGGGAGGAACGACGATCTGACGATTCTGCCATAGATACGATTACCTCTTCAAGCTGCTGCTTATCGGAGACTCGGGCGTTGGAAAGTCATGCCTGCTCCTGCGATTTGCTGACGACACATACACGGAATCCTACATCTCCACCATTGGCGTCGACTTCGTGAGTCCCCCATTCTCTTCGTACTCGCCGTTTCAGTCGCTCGTTGCCGACAGGTCGAAGCATGTTGCAGCCGTATCACTGACTCCCGATGCAGAAAATCAGAACGATCGAACTCGATGGCAAGACCGTGAAGCTACAGATTGTGAGTATCATCCCGTTGCCGAGCTCGTCTTTGTCATATGCGAAATCGTCCTCCCTGCCCTTTGTTGTCATCCTCCAGCTGACGGATCGCAGTGGGACACAGCGGGACAAGAACGCTTCCGCACCATCACGTCATCGTACTACCGCGGTGCTCACGGAATCTGCGTCGTCTACGATGTCACGGATATGGATTCCTTCAACAACGTCAAGCAGTGGCTGCAAGAGATCGACCGATACGCCACCGAAGGCGTGAACAAGCTGCTCGTCGGAAACAAGAGCGACATGGCTGACAAGAAGGTCGTGGAATACACGGTCGCAAAGGTTTGACCCCTCTTGAAACACTGCCTAGTTTGACGGTATATTGATGCATACGTGTTCAGGAATTCGCCGACTCGCTCGGCATCCCCTTCCTTGAGACGTCCGCCAAGAACGCGTCCAACGTCGAGCAAGCCTTCCTGACAATGGCCCGCCAGATTAAAGAGCGGATGGGAACTACCGCCAACCAGAACAAGGAGAAGATCAACATCGGCCAAGGCCAGAGCGTCCAGAGCGGAAGCAATAACGGCTGCTGTTAAGCGGTGTCCGATCAGTATGCCGCGCCCCTGCGGACGACAACACGCCGCAGATGGTCGTTGCACCGAAAGGGGACGCGGGGGAAAGGTAGAGAGCGTGGATGAGCAGCATGAGCATCGATAGGGCCGTCTCCTATAATACGCATTCATGCCATGCGGATGGATATGAGTGAAGGGATATTTTCGAAGGGGTCGGCGGGAGTTCTTAGGTTCGTGCCGAGCGTGTTTCGGCAGCCACTTGTCCGAGAGGGTTTCAGACAGTAGAATGTGCCGTTTTATCACGTCCAGTAGTCCTGCTCAACGGATCGCGGTGATTGTCTCTTTGCTGTCGTCAGTGTTGGGCTTGTTTACTTGGGAATATATGTCAATTAGCAAGAATGTCAACTTTACGTTCTCACAATACGGCGATTAACCCACCATGAGATACTGTCCAAGTGTGCAATACTAGACACGCTGCTTTCGCTTTTAGCTCCAGCTGAGCTATACCACTCAGGAGCGGAGATGCTGTTTAGAACTCAGTTGCTGTAATAATATGCAGAGATTGGAATTAAGCGCTCCATTACAGGCCACGGACAATCCAAGGCATCCAATTTATCCTTTGCGGATCCGTGGCACGTTGATATATTACCCTTGATCATATCATAGGGAGCAGGGAGTAATGTGACAGCGACCGATTCACCTCAGAAGAGTAACTCCAAATCATTTATCTGACATTAGGCCCATCGACCATCCAAAATTTTGATAGCCGTCCATTACATACTCCCGTTAAATTGCCTCAGTGCAACGATACCCAACGCTTGCATCCTCTGCATCATCCATTAGGCACCGGCCGATTACAACGCCGGCGCATTCGGATCCTCCATACACTGATCCACACGCATCAACTGCTTGCCCGTCGCCTTCGCAATCTGAATAAACTGCCTCAGATATCCCACGGTGCTCGGGTACAGATAATGCAAGACGACCAAGTTCCCCCCCTTGGCCACGTCCCGGTTGAACGCATCGAGCTGCTTCTCCGGCGTCGACGTCTCCGCCCACAACCAGTCCTCGACGTCGACGCTCCAGTTGACAATGTACGGGCTATCGCTTCCCGTGGCCACGGCGAGCCGCTGGCGCATGCGGGCACCCTCGTTGCCAAATGGCGGGCGGAAGTACGGGGTGTCCAGCCCGTTGAGCTGCTCGGCGACGGCGGCGATATCCTCGTTGTATTCCCAGTCGATGGCGTTGTTGTCGGGAAGACCTTCCATCTTCGGGTGGGTGTAGCTATGCAGCGCGATCTGGTGGCCTTGGGACATCATTTCGTTGTAGACGTTGCTGAGGTTGGTGGACGCGTCTCGGAGCGGAGCACCAACGGTAAAGAACGTCACCTTGATGCCCTCTTCCTTAATGACGTTCATGACTTCCTGGGCGTACTCAGGTGAGCCGTCATCGATGGCAAAGGCAAATGAGTTGGGGCGCTTGCAGGCGAAGACGAGGTTGCCCGATGCCAGCTTGCTGGGGATGGTAAAGCCGGCAGGCACAGAGGGGACGATCTCGACTTTGGAGAAAGTGGTGGGCTCAGTGGTATACCATGCCTTCAATGAAACGCCTATGACACGACTCAGGTTGATGTTGAAGTGCGACATGGGAATATAGATGTCGCCGTTGCTTGCATACCGGGCCGCCTCGAGCGAGTCCCACGTTTCGGGGTACGGGGCAATCGCTTCGCTGCACTGAGAGTTATGTTGCTGCAGCGAGACGGTGAACTTGGTGGAGCCGCTGTACTTGACGTGAAGGTACGAGCCACTGTAGTCGGACAGATCCCTGCACGAAGCAGAAATCTGGGTATAGAATGAGTAGTCCGCATCGGTGGAGGTGATCTGGAGCTGCTTGGTGCCCCAATTCAAAGTCATTCCCTCATCCCCCCCATGCCAGAATCCAAGGGCGTTGCTGCCGGAGTTGGAGAACTCGTCGATGACAAGGGCTGCGGCAGTTCCCGATGGCGCAGGGACGGTCGCGGTAGGGCCACCGGGGTTGCTTGTGGTAGGAGGGACATATTCCGACCCAGTGCTGCCGCAGTAGAAGGACATAGGTCCGAAAGTGACGGCCTTGTTCACCGATCCAAAGAAGATGGTGGAGACCTTCGTTAGGTCCAAGCCCGAGAATTGGGAGAACGGGATCGTGTACAGCTTCTCCGTACCATCGAAGGTCCAGCCAAGCTGTTGGGTGGTCTGATAAGCGAACTGGGCGTCCTCACCACCGCAAGTGGAGGGAGACGAGAGTTCGATCCCGAAGGTGGTGCCAGAAGCAGCCTTGATACGAAGCGAGATTCCGCCATACACATTCTGAGTGTTGGTGCAGCCGGTCTTGCTGTAGAAATAGGAGTCCGTATTCTGGGGTGTCAGGGTTACGCGATTGTTGGCAACGACAATAGACTGCATCGTTCCATCGTCACTAGTCGGCTCAATCATCGCATTATAGTACAAGAAGGTCAGTCGTGACTGGGAGGTCCAATCATCGATCAACAGATTCTTGCACTGTCCTGTTGGCGAGGGAGTGGATGATGTAACCAACGTTGAGCTTGGCTGTTTTGTGGAGGTTGGCGGGATGACAGTATCAGATGATTGTCCTCCACCGGCAGCGCAAACGAATTGAATGTTTCCGAGCTGCCAATTTGTGGTTGTGTCCGAGAAACCGGACCAGACGAAAGCCGTGATGGCATTGGCGTTCGCACCGGAGAAGGAACTTAAAGGAACAGTGACAGTCTGGGTTGAACCGGTAAGTCCGCTAACGAACGAGTATGCGCTGTTATATGAGCTGGCGGAGCAAGAGGTCTTAGATTGAACCTCAAGGGCGAGTGATCCACCTGCGGGCCCTTTGATCGAGAATGAAATGGCTTGGTGTCCATTAGTAGAGGCTGTCTGGCATGCGAAGGTCTCATAGAAATATGAGCCGGACTTTGGTTTGAACGTCAAAGTGCCACCGCTGGCGGAGATGGATGTCATGGATCCATCATCTTCATGTACGATCAGCACTCCGATCTTTCCCCACAAATTGGGGCATAACCTACCGCTCGTCCATTCGTTCAATGAATTCGTGTTGGAAGACCAGTTGGAGAAATTATCGATTACGCGATTCGAACAGCTTTGGGCCGTGGATAGCTGGGTCTGGAGCAACAGAGCCGCCACAGCAGTGGCTATATAGCCAGACAACATATTGGAAAGAAATCCAGAAGCGACTGACGGAATAAGCGAATGAACGAGCACAAAGACTCAAGGACAGTCAAGAAAAAGCGAGTGATTTTTGAACGAAGCCGCAACGAAGGACGGTATGAATGGTAGAGAAGAGACAGAAGGCGCGAGCATCAAAAGGAGCAGGCTGGGGTAAGTAAATACAGACTTCGAGAGAACCATGGGTCCCGGTCAAGCAACATGGTTTTGGGGCTCAATTAACAGAGCACCATGTATCATTCACGCATCCGTCAGAGCTCTCAAGACCTAAGGGCAGACTCAGCAAGGCAAAAGCGCCAATACTGGCACGGCGTTTCAGTCGGATGAGCCGGTTGGCCCGACCCGAACAAGAGATTTGAGATTGGCGACTGGTGGTCCAGTGATGATGGCCGGAACTCGGAAGGAAAAGCCTCTCTACTCTCCACCATCAATTCTCCCTCCATCCTCGCTATATTATGTTCGAACTCGAAGTCAGAACTCCTCAGCTCCCATACTTTCAAGCCCTCGGCGCCTCAACCGCTCAGTAGGAGGGCAGGCAGTCCCAGGCAAGGGATTTGATCAGTCGACTGCATGCCATTCACATCAGATGGCTTTAATGGGGAGGGCACGGGAAGGACTGGGTGAAGCGGCGATGCGTGATGCATGTACATGGGGCGGAGGTATGGGTTAGCCAAGAATTTGACCAGCAAAATCATGCATTTGCTTGGAACTTGGATCGTGGTCTAATAGTGTCGATGGAACGGTAGAAAACGAGACGAAGAACGGGACGGGAGCTGCAGTCGATGGAAACATGGCAATTGGGAAGCAGTTTCTCGGCTGCCGGGTTCGCCTGGAGGCTCGAGATTATCGTGGCGCTAACCGCATTAGGCCAAATCCCCTGATCGTTTGTATGATTAACTGGGTAGGGCACACAACTCCGGCTTAGCGCCGTCCGGGTGGCAAGGAGAGTTTTTTTAGATTGTAGCGTCCCCGGAAACATCGTCCCCCTGACAAGGAAACAAAACGAAGAACAAGACCTGCCAAGTCCCAACCACGCCAGCCGGAATCGATGTTAGAGCGGTACGGCTTTCCGACTTCAGACGATGGCGCTTTGGTGGCGCTTTCTGAACACCACTCCCGCGAGCTTGTGACACAGAAAATCTCAGGAACCGTGTGTCATGTGTGACTACGGGATACAGTATCTGGAAAGTCGGGGATATGATCGACCATTGAAGTCCTCCAAATGGACCAAATCAACAGACACGAGGTTGTGGAGCAAAGACAATCACCTGCCCTAGAAGCGTTGCATCGCGTACGTAATTCGCGTTCTGTGTTAAGCAGGACGGCCTGAGATCTCGGCACAATCCTGTTGTCGGTTGTCCAGACTCCAGAGGTCCGAAATAGTGCAGTCAAGAGTGCTTGGCAAAGCTAAATTTGCAAAATCGAATCATGGTTAAGGCCTGTCTAGTTGCCATACTGATACAACTGAGTTATAGAGCAATATTCCAGTGCTGTGGTTCCCGTCCATTTGATTTAAACCCGAGCTTCAACATCAGGAATCCAGAATTGTCCTGCCACGGATGCACAGCATGTCGTATTGCCACGCTCATTTAATGCAGTGACGCCAGCAAAGTTGCGAGAACGTCCATAATAATTACTGAATATGCGTTGCCCGGGACTGAATATCCACTCACTGAGTACAGAGGGAGGAGTCAAGTCGAGTGGAGGAAAGAGGAGTGGAAACGTCACAAATTGATTCGCCCTGGTATCACTGAAGCGTATCCTAGGGTTTCAACGGCCGTGTCACTGCATATTGTGAATTCATGCTATCGTTGAGCATTATCAGAGCAATTCCAGAACAATTTCTACATCAATGTAGACGGGAACGCCACTGCAACAAAGAATGTGGCTTTCAAAACGCTTGGTTTTGTTTAGAAAGTGTCATCATGCGTCAAACCGCACTGCTTGCCTTGGGTGACCTGTGTCGCATTTTGATAGTCGGTGTACTCAGGCAACGAGCAACCATCAGCATAGTACTTGACTGTCCCAACCGCCAGAGAGACCTTCAGAGAAGGGAGGCTTTCAAGAGGAACCTCCTCACCAGTGATCTGTATGCACATTAGTTTCCTTTGGTCGTTCTCCGAGCGCAGAATGCATCACCCACCCGTATGACCTTCCACGTCAGCCTGTCCGTCAGATACTCGTCCACGGCCTTGGGATCGATGGCATCCAGAGGAGTCCCGCTATCTTCAATATGATCCAGGATCGCCTCCGTAATTGGCACCTGTCCGGTTGCCAGCGACCCCTCCGTGAGCTGCCTCCGACAGTTCTCGCAATGCGGTTCTTCCTCGTCTTCGGGGAGAGGAGAGCTGAAAGTCACCACGCACCCGACATATGCTGGCACCACGGCGGTGCTGCCGCTCTCGCCAATGTAGATTTTCACAATGTATTGAGCTCCGCGATCCAGTTCCAGTCGGGAGTAGCGCACGTTGACAATGTAGTCGGGCATTTCAATGAACGAGTGGTCATGCTCTTCGGTTCCACGTGCCTCTGGGTCCTCCGGCACGCCCCCGGCATTTTCCGTGGCAGTGAGGGGAGGAGCTGACCGTGGAACAGAGGCTGGCATTGCTGGTGCCGCCGTTGTGGCGGTTGATCGTGCGGAAATAGGAGCTTGGGTTATGCCTCTCTCTGCCGTAGCAATTGAAGCTACTGCAATAGGCATTGCCTGTGCCGCAGACTCGGCGCTCGTGACGTTTTCTCCTTGTAGAGTAGGGTCAGAAGCAGACACTGCTCTCGCGACCGTTTCTGCGACAGCGGGTTCAGATGCAAGGGCAGACAAATCTGCCCCTACTGCTATAGGAACAGGTGTTATGGTAGACGCAGCGGCAGCCAAAGCTCGCTGAATAGGAGGCTGTAATGGGCGTGTTTGATCAAGCCCAAGCACTCGTTGGCGCAGCGGGCCGTACAAACCGTTGATCTTTGATCTGATGGCATCTAGGTACAGCTGCTGGTTGAACCGACCGCTGCGCTGGTATTCGGGTAGCCATGGCTGAAGTTCCGGATACGTGTATCCCAGTCGAGTGCAGTAGCGGACATCATTCGACGTGATGAGCGTGTAGTTGGAGTCCTTGTTGAAGGGCTCTAGTCCATCTGTTCCTCGTTCGCGGATCCTGGGATTATTGTCGAACCAAGCGGTGGGGTTCAATTCTTGCCAGAGAGCGAGCAAGCGGTCCACATTATTGTGATGCATCCAGAAGATCGGATCAAAAGCCGCCACGCTGGGAGAAGCCATATGCCCAGGGTTTCCAAATTGGCCATCGCCCCCGGTCCAGACATGAACAACGTTGTGTACAGATTCTAAACTCAAATATCCCGCAGGTCTTGGAATGGCCGAGATCACCTGAGTGGTAGCAAAAATATGGTAGCTGACAGCCGCAGGATAGGTCAGCAGGCGATACACGTCCTCCTTCATCGTTGTATCCCGGGTGTTCGGGTTGCCGTCCTTGTCGTTCAAACTTAGGTAGCTATTGATGAGGTCGACGTTCTGCACCCCATCTATCCAATTCTCTTGTCCTCGGGGGCATCTACTCGTTGCTCGAGTCTGATCATACCGCACGCTGCGAGACGGTTCATTCGGAGTGTTGACCCGGCCGCTGGCAAAAGTCTGATTCTGCGTCAGGTGATACTCATGCATCGGATTCAGAACCCTCTGGCGCCCTCCTGGTCCATCCACATCAATCTCAACGTTGATGCAGATGTCCGGAACCCGCGCCGAAGCAGTATCCCAAAATGGGAGTCTCCATGTGTCCGCAGCTTGTCGAAGTTGCGGTTGTCTGGACGAAGGATATCGCTCAATTACACGGAGCATAAGCTCGTAGACACGTTGCTGTGAATTGATCAGGGCACATTCCACTTTGGGAGATCCCATTCAAATTACCTCAAAAAGGAGCAAATAAGCTCGGTGCCAGGTTGGGAACATGATGGAATTGTGATAGCAATAGCCACGACCCTGTCCCGGACGACTAGCGTTCGCGTCCCACGTCACATAAGGTTGCCCATGTATGCCTAATTGAATGAGTCAGATGTTGCGCGGTTCACCTAGCCATGACGCTGATCCAGGGAGTTCTTACCAGCGATTTGAAAGTAGGACAGCTTATCTTGAATGTCCATATCCTGGAAAGACCGCATAGCAAGAACGAACAGCGAGACTTGAGATGCGCTAGCAGCATCACGGAACCACTCATTGAGTTCGCGTCTGATTGGTACTGACCCATTTGGGCCAGTCCCGGCACGAATTCCTGTGATAGCATACGACATAGTGCAGGACTCTGAATATTATGAATAATTGACTTGATGAAAGCTGTATAGACAACCCCTAGGGGAGACCATGGTAACCACATTACTTATACCCAGTTCAAGACGAACATCGTGCACCGAACGAGCTGAACGGGGCTGAAGTATGTGTGAAGAACCCCAGTTGAGATGTATGCCGTTACCTTGTTGTTTCTGTGATCTAGAACTGCACAAATAAGTTTATGGCTTGAGTCCTTCTCCTGATTTGTGAGGCTTCAGGTGGAGGTTAAGTGCTGCATGAGATGCAGTGGTGCTGAAACCTAAGTGCCAATACTGAGAACGCCATTACATTGGCTCAATACAGCTTCAAGAGCTCAAGGGCCACGCCATGTAGCAGCACAGAAGGGGTATATGCTCGAGCGAGAGGCTGAGAACAATGGTACTATACTCTACTGAAAGTCGTAGGAGGCGAGCCTATCCAGGTTGTCTGCCAGGTTCAGAAGGGTATGGAGTTAACTGCGCCGTAATTACCGCCATTGGATATATCATGTGCCCCCGAGACCGACTTGTCTGAAGCCCGAAGGACAGGCTGTAATGGTGAAAGCTATCGGTGAGGGCTAGGAGCTGAACATATAGGCGACACTGCATATAGCTGCCTTGCATGCATGTGTGATATCTTATGTGATGTTTAAAGCCACTGGATCGCGAGCCAATGATACTCTCGTGGTCGGTCGCGCTGAAATGCTCCCTCATGACATGAGCACAGAAGTATCCCTTCAGGTTCTAGACCTCTAGGGACAAGATGAAGATTGTTCGGCTGATCAGCTGTCAGGATCCTGGAGTCGAGACGAGGATCTGGCGATTTGTTGTCAAGACAAGGGGATGTTGGAATGCCTTGAGGAACGAAGTGACTCGAGGTTTAGTTTATTTTAATTATTATTAACTACAGCAAACGTCCATAATCAAAAGGCACGTGATACGGTAACCAGCCTGTTATCCGTGGCCCTTGGACCCACACGGAATAATTGTATGTAGCCTAGCATCGTACAGTTTAACACACCAGCACCATAATCTAGCCTATTGTGGCATTTTAAATACAATCTCTATCATAGTCACATTGCGTCAATAGCATCTTCTACCCTCTACCCTCTACCACCTTTGGAGGATATTTATTCACAGCTTCAGACGCAACGCATCTGCCGGTTATGGCAGCACCTCGCCTGATCTTTCTATATCCTGCCTTTTTCCGGTCAGCTTCTGCACCTGCCGAGCAGAGGTTAGTCCAACCATGCCTGCGACCGAAGACCCAACGTCGGGCACCATCACCCAGATCATTTCGAACTTCGGCTCGGTGCTGTGACGAAGGTCTCCGCCAAAAACGATACGGCAGCGCGAACGAACCGATACCTCCTCAGCTGGAGGCGCCCGATGATGCAACGAAATCGCAAACTTCTGGCGGAGCGGCCGCGTCCGAGACACAAGCACCGGATGAACATTCCCCAGAGCAAGGAAATAGCAAAGATGGGCAAAATCCTCCGAGCTCAGATGCGCAGAAACCACCACCGGTAGCTCATCACGCCCTCGAGACCGTTCTACATCTAGCATCACCAGCATCAGAGAAGACGAAAAGCGAGAATGAGGAAGCCGGAAAGCCCCCGCACATGCGTACCCCACCATATGTGCATCACTTCGATACATGGACATTGGTGCGGGATCTGGAGACGGGAGGGTTCTCTCAGGATCAATCTGTCACCATGATGAAAGCTGTCAGACGGCTCCTTACAAACAACATGGACCTTGCACACAAAGGCCTGGTCAGCAAGAGCAACGTGGAAAATGTACGTGCGATCCGAGATTCATCTACAGTACCCACTCAGAAGCGAGCGCAGCATTCAGCGATCACAACTAACCGCTGATGTCGATATAGGAGACCTACTTATTCCGCGCGGCTTGCTCGGAATTACGGACCGAGATCCAGAACAATCGAAAGACATCTGTTGAGCAGATGCGCAGCGAACGTAATCAATTACAGCACGAAGTTGATATCATAAATCAGCGGATGTCACAGGAACTCCTTTCGCTTAAGGAAGATCTAAAGGGGATGTTTGACGACCGGAAGATGAACGTACGATCTGAGCAGCGCGAAATGGAATCCAAGGTAGGCTTTATTCTGCATCCATTGGTCATATTTGTGCCGTTGTACTAACTCCCGATGATAGATTCAAGAGCTTAACTACAAAATCACTGTCGCTCTCAACTCAGACGCTCGCACCCAAGTTGAAGGACTCCGATGGGTCTTAACTAGACGTGCGGCAACCGCCTTAGGACTCTGCGCCTTGATGGTATTGATCACGCTCCGATACTACAGCTATATGACGCACACGCAAGAAGCTGAGAGAAAAAAGATGGCCGAGTCGATAGCGGGCGATAAGAGAGGGTTTGGAGGTGGATCGAATGGACCGAATGGAAATATATCCGGGTCTGGGATCCCGGAGAGCAGCGATTTAGCGGTCCGGAGTTCTAGCGGTCAAGCTGCGGAAGGTTTGCTGGTTAGCGAGGGAAGTTTGGGTTAATGAATGCGGTGTCGACCAGCTGTTGGACGCGGGCAGCGATTTGGTCACATACGACGGGAGTGATCCATTAGCACTATAGAATTAGAATCCGAAGATACCCAGAATCTGGTCAATCGTGCACATAGAATTGGTTAACCTCATGCATAAGGTATGATCTATAGCGGCACTAGGCAAAACGAAACAGTTATTGGTTATTCATTCAATAATTAGTTAGTAGGACTTGTGTACACGGTCGCATCAATTCCGATGCGCCCCTTGGGATATCCCCCCTCCAAAGCCAAACCACATCATTTCCCTTCATTAAATGGCGGCACTCATGGGTCGCGGGTAGGATACTCCATGAAATCCGTGGTCGCCTCACTTTCCATTGCTCGCAACTGGAGAACCCTTGAATGGGGGCGTGGATTCGGAGCAAACTTGAGCTGCAGCGGCTGCAATGCTGAATCATGTTTGCTTCAATATGAGCCTATTCTCGCCTCGTAAAATCGATACCTACCACGACGTTCGGCGAATGGACTTCTCCTCTAAGCCGAGAAATGCGTCCATCAGGTTTCAGACGTGACCTAGCAGACTCGACCTGACATGCGAAATACTACTCCCGGTGATCCAGAAAACCAGATTGGTTCTGTCCCCGCGGACCAACACGTTTAGATGCCTTCGGTGTCGTCCCAAGAAGGTAGAGTATCCGAGTAGATCTCAAATTCGATGTAAGATCTATGCGCATCGACACTTCGCCTCCCTCTTGCTTCATCACATAGAAAGGCAATCGAGCCACATTCATGCACCTGGCGCTCGACTTGAAGCATCCTTCTCGCCAGTGTGAGGTTCAGTGCGAACATCCCAAGATTGGGAAACCGAGATAACGTTCGGATTCGGCGTTCGGTCTGCTGCGGTCGATGAAGCTCCAGCAGAATGTGATTGTTCGGGAGGGGGACCACCAGCCAGAAAACCATCAGTTCGCTCGCTGTCCATATCGGGAATGGCCTGTCCCACTTGTTGTTGGATGCCTCGTTCTTTCCCGCGTGTGGATGGGTCCGCCGAGGAAGCTCCAGCAGAACGTTGTTGTCCGGTAGGGGGACTGTAAGCCGTAACACTATCCGTTCGCAGGCTATCCGTGTCGGGGATGACCTGCCCCACTCGTTGTTCAATGTCTCGTTCTTGCCCGCGTCTGGATGGATCCGTCGCCCAAGCGTATGCAAACGCACTACCACCAGGCCCTCCGCGATCGCCCAGGTGACGAGCGGTGGCTGGATTAGCCTCGGTCGAACTCTTCTCTTTGCCTGATTCAATCGAATCCAGCGCTTGATTCCACTGATCTTGCAGGTTCTGCGCGTGCTCCGTCCCGATAGGCTCCACCCCTATAGGCTCCGTGTCGGTCATCGTCCCTGTCCCCGTAGCTCGAGTGCGATGGTCCACTGAGCTCAATGAATAGGTGTTTATCCGTGCCATCTTAAATGCCCGGAGGCGGTCCAAAGCAGTCTTGAAGTCGTCCAAAATTACCGTATCCGTAAGACACTTGAACACAAAGGCGAGTTTCCAAAACGGATTGATGCCAACGGGAAGAATGGACTGGAACGCTTGGGTAACGGAACAGATGTCGATGATGATGAAGATGATGGAGAGAAACATTGCCCCAAGCATGACGCCAAATCGAGGAGATATTCGGATAACTTCCCAAATACTCAAGTCGTATCGTACTTTAATATTGTATATCAGCGCTACCGTTGTGAAGATCCACCATGGGTCCCTATTCCACCATGTCAACCAGTTTTCGTATATAGATTTGATATAGAATCACTTACCGACACAAGGCTTCCCATGGCCTTGTTCTCAGGAACAGATCATTGATGCCATGGAAAAAGGCAAAGTTCGCATAAATTTCGACAACCCAGTACGGCTGGGCCGCGATGACGGTGCCGATGAATAGCCAGCTTGCCCATTTTTTTAGAAAAGGTTTGATCTTGATCCAGGCAATAACATTGTGGATCGACCAGGAGATATTGAGTGGAACGGCGCTGCCAGACAACCACCAGCCGTAGATGGGTTGATCAAAAAAGATCCAGAAACCGTGCCAGATACCAAGAACTAACTGCGCAACGGGTTAGAGGACGTTTGATATTAGGATAAATCATGGCACTAACCTCTAGCAGGATGAGTTTGTGTAGAAGAACCCCTTTCCGCATGTTTGCTATGGTAATACATATCATGACGATCAAGGATCCAACCATATATCCTTGAGCCCAGCCTTCCAAGACCAATCCATGAGGGTCAGTAGGCTTTTGGGCTCCGGAATTAATACCCTCTTCTCGGCGAACGAACGCCATAGTATCTGGGAGAAACATTGCGATCGACGTTACAGCATTCAAAAGCACCCAGGAGAGTAGAAGGCGTGTGAGAAACTTCGCGAGAGGAGGTTGGCTCCTCATGCAACTTAAGTAACAAGGCAGCTTCAATAGGTCAAAGAGGTTGCTTGTTCGGGCCTAAAACGAACAGCCAGAGCAAAGGTCACCATATTGAATGGGTTCGAAACTCAAAGGGCGCAAAATAAGCGAAGGCATCTCACGATGAAGGAAACTCGCGGGCATATGTATGATTTCAGTCGATGGCCGGGGAGGATTGTACCCAGTAGTAATTCATGCCGGCAGGTATAAAGTACCGTAGTGCACGATGGGAACCAGGATGGGGCGAAATAGATGGTAGTTATTAATTATGAGGTTGTCCGCCCTAAAGCAAGACGGGGAGAGCGATATGGCGGTGGCGTGCCGGAACCCCCAGAGTCAGACGACAGTCGAAAAGACCTGCGGTTGGTGACTGGGTGTGCTCCAGACCTCCAAGTCCCCGCAATTTCCTTACTTCATGGGATCAACGGTGCTGGCCTGCTCGGTCGGATACAATTGCTGGATGCAGAGGTCTACGCCATCCGGGTCGCACCGAAAATGCACGAATCCACGCGCGATGTCGCGACCCCCAAGCATGCAATAGGTAACGGAATGGCCAGGCTGTACTCGAAGGGTCCAGGGAGTAAGCAGCAAGCCGGGGTATCGGAAAGACAGCGGGATACTGTCATACAGGACATGGACGTAGTGACTACGAGTCCCTGGAGCCTTTCAGTGGTCATGAGAAGGACCAGCAAGAATTACCGACTGATTAATGCAAACAAATCAAGCCGCAGTATCAATGGTCAGGAATGCAGAATGGCGCTTGGGAGGGCGCGAGGAATGAACCAATCGACGGGATCCCTTGCGTAGCTAATTACCATCGAGTTTCTCTGTCGCCCAGATGGATCGGTTGACGACGGACAGAGGCGAATAAAGGATATCTTTTGATGAAGCTCGTTTTTTCATTGGGGATCCGGGGATCTGCTTTAAAATTTTGAGGGAGCTTCGTGATCCCGAATCCCCCAAATCCCCAATCCTTTCAAAAGTCCGCTCGCTTGCTACCTTATTGTTGTGACGAGAGTAGCCCTGTTTTCCCGAGTTGCAGTCGCGCAAACAAGGACAAAGAACTGAAAGAAGGGAGATTGGATCGAGTCTTGGTTACGCAAAGCATCGCAGCGCCCCTTCGTCGGAAACTTTCCACTGGTACAAGCAACGATGTTACGTTGATGCGCATCATGATTGATGGACGGGGCAGTCGTAGGATGAAGCTTGAGAGATGAGATAGGTGCGGTACATGATACCATCTTATATCAGCTGCAGAAATATGAGCAGCCGTTGATCGATGCAAGATGGCGATGGGAGATTGGAGAGACGTCATCACCCATCAGGTCGCCGTGGGCGGCACTTTCCCCGATCGGATCAGAGTGATACAGCTGCAATTACTGTGGCTTAGTCATTAAATGGATCTTCTGCCTGGCTGCCTGAGTGCCTGAGCAGAGTGCCATTATAGCGTAGACTGCAACGGTGACCGCATCAGGATGTGTACATCAAGTTAGTCCAGAGTCCAGAGTCCAGAAGTCAAGATGTATGCTGTGCCATATCAAAGCGTCGTGATACACGTTTCCCCATTAACATTGTGCCACAGTAATCCCAACCTCTCAGCGTCCAGCTTCTTATCCTTCCTACCCGGATTCTCCAATCTTTGTACTCCCGTAACCTGTTCGCTTAACCTCCCGTATTCGCTGTGTCGTGGCATCAGCTCCGTTGCCGCCCCGAGCCATGACCGCCCCCGAACCGCAGCACATCGTGATCATAGGCGGTGGCATCATCGGGTGCTGCACCGCGTATTTTCTTTCCCGTCACCCCCTGTACCATCCATCCACCCACTCCATCACCCTCATCGAAGCCACCACGATTGCAGGAGGCGCCTCCGGCAAAGCAGGGGGACTCCTGGCGAAGTGGGCATACCCGTCGTGTCTTGTGCCCCTGAGTTTCCGGCTGCATGCGCGGTTAGCGGAGGAGCACGCTGGCGCGCAACGATGGGGTTACCGCCTCGTCGAGTGCGGTCAGCTAGGCGCGACAGCGCGCACGCTTGCGACATCAAGACCGTCGAGTACTGCATCGGGTCAGGGCCCTGCGGAATCATTGGGGAAGCGCTTGGGCCTGGATAAAACGCTCAAGGCAGCAGGCCTCCCGGAGGGGTTGCAATGGGTTGCTCCTGATGCGGTGACTTCGTATGAGGAGATGAGCAAGACTGGTGACACGGCGCAGGTGCATCCGGAACTGTTCACGAGAAGCATGGCCGTCCTGGCCAAAGAACGGGGGGTAAACATTGTTTATGGACAGGCTAAGTCGGTCGGCAAGACTGATGGGCGTGTCCAAAGTGTCACTTATACAGATAAGGAGACAAAAGAAGAGAAGATAGTATCGGCGGACACAGTCGTTCTCACGGCCGGTCCATGGACACAGAACCTGTATTCCGCCGCGCCGATTGTTGGCTTGCGAGCTCATTCGGTGGTCGTCCGACCGTCCAAACCCCTCTCCTCCCACGCTCTATTTACACAGATTCACCTACCAGCGGGCTTTTCCCGGTTGAAACGCGCACAGCTCGTCACTCCTGAGATTTATTGCCGGCCGGATAACACCGCGTACGCGTGCGGCCCGGGAGATCAACTCGTGCCACTGCCCTCGACATCGGACGACGTCCAGATCGACCAGTCGCGGTGTCAGGATGTCATTGATCAGATCGGCGCCATTAGCGACGAGCTAAGAGATGGGGAGGTGCTGGTGAGGCAGGCGTGTTATCTACCTGTCTCCGAAGCTGGAGGGGGTCCGTTTATTGGCGAAACCAGTGTCAAGGGGCTGATCATCGCCGCCGGACATACGTGCTGGGGGATTCAGAATGCCCCTGGCACCGGTTTGTGTGTCAGTGAACTGGTGTTGGATGGTAAGGTCAAGAGCGCGAATATTCAGAGCTTGGATCCGACCAAGGCGGGCATGTAAAGCATGAGACACGTGTACCAATATCAAAGGAGCGCAGTGGATCCTTGCATCTTCAAAGGTGATACGCTTCGAGAAATCCATTCTTCGGTATGCCGTGATTAAACAGAAAGGGAGTAACGACGAGCCGGGCAAGGAAGTAAGCCACGCATGAACTTTGGTTCCAGCGCTAATTCCCCACCAAATGATCTGGACTTGGGCCTCGGATTCGCTACAGACGCTCAATCAACTTTGTGCTCATTAGGAAGGGTATGGTTCGTGAAAACTAGACACAGCGAAATGAACGGCCATCGTACTTTGGCTGAAAAAAAACCGCAACATGATTACTACCACCGAGCACATCCACCATCCGCCAAACTCGACGCCTCTCATTTTGCTGCAGAAGTTGCCAATTCTTGAGCGGCCTAAAAACAAGTCAGAGAGAATGAACTGCGTTAAGAATTCCGTCCTAGGTCCGAACCCACCTTCTCCAAGTCATAATCATACTTCTCCAAAGTGGCCAATGCCTCGTGCCTCGGGAACCCCATGCTCGTCAACCGTTTCAGGATCGGATCATCGTGCTCGCTGCCCGCACTCAGAGCCCGTGCGAGCTTGGGAGGTTGCGAGTCCTTCTCCTGCTCGATGGAGATGAACCCCACCTTTGCGTTTTCAACGGCAGGGTTGGACGGCTTGTCGACTATGCTGTTACTCGAGTCGAGACCGGAGAAGATAGCGTCCCAGTCATGCGAGCTGGATGTCATGGGAATGGCGGGACTGCTGACTTTCGAAGCCGATGGCCCGCCGCTGCCGGACGTCGCGAAGCTTTGGGACATATGTTCGAAGTCGCTCGTGGTCGCGGTGCTGGCGCCCGCACCGTGTGCAGTTCCGGTCGGCGTGGCTTGATGGGATGTGATGGTGTTCGTCTTGGAAGCCGTCGGGGAGTCAAAGGTCGGGTTGAAGTCGCCAAAGGCATCCGCGTCGCGAGATGCCGAGATGAAGTCGACGTCATCGTCGAGCTTGTCGTCGGTACCCTCCTTGGCATCGGTCAAGTCATCGAATCCGGAGTCGAAATCATCGCCGAAGCTCGGTTGCGATCGGTGCTGACTGATGGGTTGTGGCTGCAAAGTCGCGGCGGACGGGGCCTGTGTCGGACCGGAGGACGCCTGTGGGGTTGTGTTAGTGCCGTCTTCCTCTTTAAGGGAGCTCTCGCTGAGTTGCTCTGAAAGGGCGGAGTGGAACGTATCCGATTGCCCTGAATCGGCCGACTGAACGGCCAACGAGGGTGTATCGCCATCATCAGGGCTGTGCTCTTGAGAAGCTCCCCTTGCCGAATCACCATATTGAGACAACTCTGGAGGGGGTGTCGTGCTTACCCCGGATGCTGTTGCAAATAGATTCTGTCCCGCCGTCTTCTCAGATGTGCTCGTGGCAGGGCTGGCAAATGTTTTCTCGGGTGACGTGGCCTGCGAGCCCGGTTCTGAGGTCGGATCTTGTCGCGAGGGCAACAGCCCGCCAAATTCAGGTGGAAACTGGTTGGATCCGGTCCGCGCTGGCACAGACTGCTCATAGCTTGGCGGGCCTTTCTGGGCATTTGGAGTTGGAAGATCCGTCGATGCGCTCGATGGAATCTGGCTAACGGGCGGGCGTTGGGAGGATACTTTGAAGAAATCATCGCCGGTATCCGTAGCGCTCGTTCCCGGCCTCGACTGAGACTTTCCCGTCCCTGCACCGGACAGGCCACTTCCCTTCCGCTGGTGCTGAGAGCTAGCTGGCGTGAAGCTATCTTCAAAACCTTGCGCTGGCTCACTATTGCTATCACTATCGTCGTCCTGTCCTACGTCTTCGATAGGAGGAAACTCCTCCTTGAATTTCTTGGAAGCATCCCCTCCGGAAGAGGAAGCGCCATTGACACTTGTACCTGTAGGAGCCTTGCCAGAGCCAGTTCCAAAAGACGCAAAGGCGGCGTCAAAGTCAACCTTGCCGCCTCGGGTGGCCGATGAGAATGGGTCAGATCGGTCGGTTTGCCGAGCACTGCTTCTGCTCTTGTCGCTGAACGCACCGGCACTACCACCGGTGATATCAGCTTGCAAGGGGCTGGATGTGGACGGGAATCCCCCAGGAAGAGGGAACCCAGAGTGCTCTGGCTTGCTTGCTTCACCGCGGGACCCTTCTTGACCCTGCACATTAGAGGAGCTAGACGCATTTTTCGGGGTGTCAGCGCCTCCGATTCGACTCGCTGGAGTTGCGACTCTCACTGAGGAGCTGAAAGAGTCTGTGCGAGGGATGCTGCTCGGTAGGGGGAGCTCGCTGGATGTGATTTGCCTGGACTGGGGAGGCGGCGGAGGTTCATTCGTCTCTTGATAAGACGATAGGGGCGGGCTGGTCGAAGGTGTTGGGGCATCTGCTTCGGACGAAACCACAGATCCGCCAGCTTGATGAGAGGTGGCCGCAGCTGCAAAGTTCGGGGCATTCGAGCGTGGGAAAGAGTCGGTTCTGGATGCAAATGACGTCTGTGGAGGTTGACTGGTCGACGGCCCCGTGGGTGCGAAGGCAGTGTTGAAGAAGTTATCGAACCTGTCGTGAGCAGTGCCGCCAGGGCTTGTCGGTGTGAAGGTAGACGGGCTTGTAGTTTTGTCGAAGCTCTGTTGGGGCGATTTCCTGAAGAATGGATTCATGCTCTGATTACTCGCCGCACTGGGAGCAGGACTCGTCACGGGAGACCCGGTCTGATCGGCTGCTGCGCTTCTGGACGCTTGCTTTGCTTGGTTCAGTTCGTTCATTTCCGACTTGAGCTTCTCACGCTCGCCCTCATTTGTTGCAAGTTGCTTCTTGTTGATAGAGACCATCCCTTTCTGGTGGCGGGCTTCGTTACGGAGCTTTTCAATCAGCGGCTTTAGTTGGGCCACTTCGTTGTTCGTTTGGCCGATACGCTCTCGAAGAGAGGTATTCTCTCGTTGCGCTGATTGGAGCTGTTCTGCGGATTGGCGGTGTTGCACCTGCAAATCTTGATACGTGCCTTCAAGCATGGCGAACTCCTTCTGCAACTTTTGAGCATCATTGCGACTAGAAGCCAGGCGGTCTTCCAAATCTTTAACCACTTTGACTTCCTGCTCATACTGAGAGCGGAACTGTGACAGCCGAAGCTGGAGATCACGCTTCTGCGTGTTCGTGCTGCTTAGATCACTTTCCGTTGCCGATTTCTTCGATTGCACCTCCTTCGTCTTGTTTGCAAGCTGGCGCAGCTCATTCGACATATTCGCAAGCTCCGAAGTATCGGGCGTCAACTTCTTGCTAACTTCGGGGTCATTGTCCCCTAGGAGATCATCCATTACGGCCTGTGGGCTCTTCGCTTGGGGTCTCTCCGCTCCAGAGCCGCCGGTGGAGTGGGAGGTCAAAGTTTGACCAAACGAGGACGTGGGCATGAACGGTTTGAACTGGGTTTGGCTCCGGGCAGCTGAAGGGAACGTCTGTGAAGCCGACGGGGAGCTAGGCTTGCTGCCGAATGGGTCAGAGTCGAATGTTTTCGATTGGGTTCCAGATTCTCCAGTTGTCTGCTGAGTCTGAGCGGGAGCAGAGCCGGAAAACGCATCCAGCCCAAACAAGTCCTCAGATGCAAGCTTCGGAGCAGATGATGCGGGCTGAAAGCCATCGAAAGGGGTCGCAGATGATGGTTGGGGCGGCGGCGGGATCTGTGCTTGATTTCGCATGCTGGGAGGAACCAGATTCGGCGGCAACGCTGCCGGAAGTGGTGGGGGAGATCGTTGATTTTGCGTCCGAATAAGATATAACGCCACGGCGAATTCATCCCGGTTCAACCGACCGTCGTGGTCGATGTCGGAAAGATCCCAGATCTGCGCCAATATCTCGTCTGCAAGTTTGGAATCTTTGAAATAGACGGCCGCGACATCACCACCCAGAAATCCAGACCGGCCCGGGTCCATAGTGTTGAACAACTCGTCAGCCCTCTGCTTCATATGTGGATCGATGAGCCATTCTCCCGGCGCCGCTGTTGGAGGAGCAAACGGTGGGTACTTCGTAAGCGGGCTACTCGTCCTCTGAGCGTTTTGGCCGCTAAATTGTCGAGGAACGGGTGTCCGGCGTGAGGCAGCTTCATAAAGGCCAGGAGGGAGTTTCACAGGCAATGCTGGCATGGCGCGGGACTTGAGGGATGAGACGAGATGCATAGAAATCACAAAGTCAGTCTCATCCAGAGCTCCTCTTTCATGGGTGTCGGCCAAAGTCCAGATTCGACTCAAGACATCGTTCGGTAATCGGGCTTTCTCGAAGATATTCCTGGCTTCGGTTCCTAGGATTGCAAGTCAACATTTGTGGGCACTATAGAATCGAATAACAGACCTCCGAGTAGCCCGTTGACCTGGTCGGTGGTTTGAAACAATGCCCTATAATCCATCGCTTTCTCTGAAGTTAGGGGTGGTACGCGAATCGGACCGCCGCTCGATTGTGCTTGAATGGGAGCAGCCGGAGGCGGCGGGGTCGGTGCCGCTGGCATGTTGAGTCCTTCGAATTTCGCAAGTGGGCCAGCTAGAGAAATAGTTAGTTCATCAATACCTCGTCGCTAGGATCAACGGTTCCAGGGGAATATCGTGGTACTCACGTCTTCGAGCGAGCTCTGTTGTTGGTTCCAGTTGACCTTCTTGGTAGTGCGCGATCAATCTGAGTGATTGACAAAAACCCGAAAAGTCTAAGAAACCTCGGTTTTCTTGGTCGGCTACCTGCCATATCTGCCATTGGAGACGCGGTCAGTCATATTTCGCATCCGAACGTGGTCTACGATGTGCATACCCGTCCGAGGACGTCTGACGCGAGCTTGGTCCTCTGAAAGAACTTCACGGCAACATCTCCGGTGACGATCCCAAGAGTATCCGGGTCTGCCTGGTTGAACAGCTGGGCAAAAAAGCGCTTCTCTTCCGCAGTGAGCCGCAAATGAGCTAGGGAGGGGGGCAGTTAGTAAATATAGGTATCAGTAGATATGGGATGAACCGCGTACCAAGCTCCGGACTATTGGGGTCAGCCATAATAAAGAGCTGGTGCTATGCTCAACCTGTGCTTGTTTTTGTATGAATGCGACGGATGAGTCGATATCGCGGGACCAGAAGTGTTGGAGCGAGTTGCAAGGCGGTGTGGTGCGGAAACAGATGAGGTTGAACGGAGCAAGCGGGTAAGGATGGCGCAAGCCTCCGACCGCTAATAGCAAGAGAGACAACCGAGAAATGCAAAACTAAGGCTTCGCCTTGTTTTCCAATGCGGAGAAGAACAGGCAATCAGCAGCACAGTGCAAAGAGAATAAGAGATGGGTGGATGGTCGCGGCGTTGATCTGGAGAGATGGAGGTGTCAGATGCTGCGGTAGGGGAGAAGTGAAGCTGGAGAGTAGGTTGCACTTGCCCAGTTGTCCCCCATACCCTGGTCGCTCTTTCCAACCACACTACCACAGACAACGCGGGTGCACGGGACTTCCCTGCCATCGACACATCATCAGTAACGAATCACGACTTCACCAACGAAGGCTGCCAATGACATGAGCAACGAAGAAATGCACCACCGCCTCGTTTGAAGGGCTGTCTGCTTTCTCCGCATTATTGCGTGGGGTTTATGCTATTATTGTATCCAATCACCCAGTTATGTTAATTCCTTTGCGGAAGGAGTCTCTGGTGCTATGCATTGATGAAGTACGGAGCGAAGAGGTCTTTCTACCATAACCTTAACGTTAAATCCCGTTGCAAGGACACAACCCGATGCCGATGCGTGAGGTGAGTACTGGTACAGCTAATCATACATAACATTACATGCTCAAGGAGCTAATTCGCCGTGCTTGCCAATTCCTGTCGTTAACCCCCTCATTTGCTCTCATTTGCTCTTGCCTGTCCGATCCACCATCGTCCGATGAGCTTCTGCAGCATCCGAAAGCCAGGCCAGGCATCGCCTCCTCCTTTTTCCCCCACGCTCTCCCGAGAAGCCAGTCCGTAACGCTGATGACGCGTGCCGTCTTATCGTAGTTCTCCCCTTCATCTGCCTGCTCGATGATGTGCTTAACGATTCGGCCTTCCTCGTCGAATTCGAATATGAACAGTCCCGTAAACCCTTCCTGGTCGCCCTTTGCACCGGTTGAAGCAATTCCGCCAGGCTGTCTGACCGCACCAGATACGAAGGCTCCATTGCCGTTTTTGCTCGACTTGCCACACGTCCTCCATTTCACGACCAGCTTCTCGTGTCGGACATCCTGAGAAACCGAACGGCCGCCAATCTTCACCATCCGTTCGGATAAGATGTCCAATCTCACGTTTCCAACCACAGGGATCCTACCCCAGGCGACAGGTGCAGTCCATAGTGCCGCTCGGTATGGGATCTTTCCAGTAACGGTCGGTAGGTGAGGGTGGGTCGACGGGAAGAGGACGAGTGTGATTTGGGGGGAGAGGATATCCGGAGGAAGGGGAGATTGGAGAAGTGTTGGTAGTCGCTCGTGGAGGATACGAATGGCTATAGAGTAACAATGTTAGCTGATATATTGCGCAACGCTGGGGAAAACTTTACGCACTCCTTCCTAGCTTGAGTGTTCGCTCATCCGGGGTTTCATGGTCACTACCGGGCCTTGGAGAGCCGGAAGTCGTGGTCAATCGCGGCGCGCCGCTTCTAAAATGATCGCGATATATCAACCGGTCCGTCTCATGGACCGATGCTAAGCCACGGCTAGCTTGCTTTCGAGGAGGAATTGTTTTCTGGGATACATAGCGCAAGCCCTTGAGGCCGCCATATCTGCGGAATGGTCTTTGCAACAGCAGATGCCGCATGGGATTGCCCGGTCATAAGCCTGACGCTCTCATGACCGGGAGGGATTCGAAATTCGATGCAAGAAACAAAGACGGAAATTCAGCCAGGAAGTGGCTTTGTAGTAGTACCACGACTGGACTGGTGTGGCGTGATGAACGATTAAGCTGAAGTGATCAAGAGTGGATGCTCATGGACGCCGTTATATATAGAGTCCGGATTAAGGTATTATTGTGAGAAATCGGGAATCCAAAGATTCATATTGTTTCTTATAGTACCGTTGTTACAAGTTTTAGCAAATGGACACTTCCAACGATCAAACATGTGCTTGGATTGATTACGTCGGTCCAATCGTGTTCCATGGATTTTGAGAAATGTTAAGTGAATTGATGCTTCGCGGTCACGTGCGTTCGACCTCTGAGATAATCGAGCTGTTTAACTCGATCCTATCATATCATGCACACATCTAGATTTATTCCATAATTCGATTGGTCTTACGAAAACAGCAACCTGTGTTGCATCTACAACCCAATCTATCGCCCTATCTGTCATAATTATTCGGCGGAAACGAAATGCTCGAGACATAGATCCAGCGGCTAGCAGATCTCGTCTCGTCGGCCTTCCTACCCGGCGTTATTACACCAATCCTAACCTGCCCTCCCACAGAGCTTCGAATTCGACAGATATATATACCTTAAGATGCAGGATTGAGGAATCTGTCCTGTCGTTCTGTCGAGCACAATCCAATCTCCGCTCAGCATGCTTAATGAGTGATGTCTACGAAGTACGCCCCTTGCCATTCCAGTAGCTTTGCGGAATACTTTTTTCCCCTTTCTCTAAGTCCTTGTGAAAAACATTGCGATCCATCGGAACGGCACAGTTCTTGTCACCAGTGTGTACTTCCCCCGTGTCTAGAAAGGCCTAGAGTTAGAGGACAGGGTCGTTACGTCCATCTCCTAATTTTGCCCCCGAATCCCTAGTCACAGTCACTGTGCTTGTCCCTCGATACTTACTGCTAAGTTTCGCTACCGTTTTAGTACTACATCCCGCTCCCTGAGGTCAGCTAAATAGGAGTCAGATAATGTATTCGGGAAACATGAGACAGAAAGGCGAAGGTCAGGTCAGGGGGTAGCCAGGAGGACAGCCAAGAGGACAGCCAGGAGGACAGCCAGAAGGCCGATGTTAATATTATAAAATTAACGATCGACATCGCACCCGTAGCACACCCTTCAGTCATCACCCATCAATTCAGCCAGTTCCGCATCTTCTTCAGCTGTGAGCACGTCCAACTTAGGAGCCACTGTCTCGTCTTCCGGCGGCGGCGCCGATAGCTTCTCCAGCTCCTTTGGGTTGAGGTTCCATTGACGAATAGTCGCATCAATAGAAATGCTCACAAGAATGGTACCTTGAAGCAACAGGCCAGTAACCTCTTCAAAATGTCCGTCCAGAACATATAGCAATTTCGCATTCTGACATAGAAGGCCACGTTAGTCGTCATATGGTTTCAAGCGGCATCCAGTGTTGTGACTTACGCTTTTGTCCCATATCCTAACATTCTCATCACGGCAAGCCGTTATCACCCAACCAGCGTCATCGTGGATACATAAGTCTCGAACAAAGTCGGGATGTTCGAGAGTGGTATCGGCTCTCCATCCTCGCTCCCGGCTCAGACACTTCACTGACTTGTCGGCAGAAGCAGTCCACAAATCGCCATCAGAGTCGAAACTTATGGCATATACGCTCGTTTCATGTGGTACGAGTGGCTGGATGTTTCCCTCGATGCCCGGCTTCGATATCGACGTTGAGCTCGAGTCAACCTCAAAGCCCTCTTCGGCACTGATACGCCACTTTCGCAGCTCTCTCGTGCTATCAGCACTCCATACCACTGCCGTGGTGGCAGAGGAAGATATGGGATCCAACGCCAGCGCCTGGATAGCTCGTGCATGTCCTTTGAGGGTGTATAACTGTTTACCAGATATAACATCGTGCACATGGATGAGGGAATCAGCGCCGCTGCTAACTAGTAAATTCCTGCTCCCGACAGTGGTCACTAGAAGGGCCTTCACAAAATCAGAGTGACCCGTAAGCACTGATTGTGACGGTAGGGCTGCCTGAGAAGCAGAACTCGCAGTATCGGAATCCCACTTGTATATCTTTTTGTCCCAACAACCTGCCAGAACCGTTGCTTTGCCGTTCATTACGGACACGGTTACTGAAGTAAGCGGAGCAATAGGTCCTGAGAAGGTGCTGATAATTTGGCCATCCTATAATACGTGCTTAGCTTATTTTCTTAGCATTCTACACCTCCAAAAGGTTCGAACCTTGATGCTCACGAGCCGGACGCTACCAGCGGCTTCGGCAACATAGACATTTCCATTGTTGCTCGGATCAGGAGTCACGGCAAGCAGCTTTGAGCGGCATTGAATCGGGTTCCCGTTGACATTCTTCGACTTCGCCTTTTTGCGAGCATATTCTGCCTCTGATGAGCTGATATCGTCAGCATACCGAATAAAGTCATTGGGGGAAAGGCACACGAACTTGGTTTGGAAATAGTATCCAGGATCAGAGCCTATGGCCGGTGCCATTTCCGTTTATACTGGTACAAGGATACCGGTAGGTAATACCAGATGTTAACGCAAATAAACGGAGCGAGTTTCCGCTGCCGGTTGTATTTTCCACAGCGCCCGGTGGAAAGGTATGATGTAATTTCCGTATTCTCCCTCATCCATTCCTAGTCACAGCTGAGGTACGTTTTGAGAACAGTAATATCTCGCAGGCATCAGATCCCTTCCCACTTGAATTTTGACTTGTTGCAGAGCTTTAAATAGCTTGGCGTGTGCCTCCAGACCTGGAATATCGCACAAAAAAGTCGTGCTGTTGAATTGGATGTCAAGCTCTGTGAGCATCCTTGCAATGGAACTGAGATCTTAACGATAATCACATTCATCTGCGGGTACGTATTACAGAGCTCATCCCTACCTTTTTCTATACATGCACCTCAGCAACAGGAATATTACCAGAATAGAAATATTATATTAGGTATTGAATGGTAGCTGATAGGCACATTGCTAATTGAACAAAGAAAGACGAACTCCATATTCCATTCTCCTAATTTACTGCCCTGATCCGCACTGTTGCTGCCACCCGTGGTGGTGCAACCGGGCAATACTCCGGTCAATCAAATGACACCTCGTATCAATCCGGATGATTGAAACGCGCCCTTTCACAACAAAATCAATAGGATGGGCGGGTCCATCGAAAGACCACTCTCCAGCCACTGCATCCTGCCTGATGCCTGGAATAAGCATGGGGAGATTCGCGGGCCAGGGAACGTTTCTGAACAGATACCTCCCATCCCATGGCCCAGCTGGCTCAAGACGCATGAAGCCGCTGAACTCATGTGAATGCGATGAGACCTGATGGGCCAGAAGGTTACCCAGCGAATGATAGGATCGTAGCGATCCAATACATCCAGGGCATCGAAGAAGCAAACTCTTGTCCCCCCCTCCCATTTCCGAGCATGCTCTCAACAGCTCCCGGTATGCCACAATAGCATCTTCAAGCGTTAGATCTCCTACGTCGTCCGACCAAAACACTTCTGAGTCCGGGAACAACGAAGGGGACCACATGGCCATGTTCCTCACTTCCTGAAGACCTTGCCACACCAGTCGAAGGCCAACCAAGACGAACGCTTCGGGAGACTGGATCAACTCCAGGTTCCCTTTCATGTACATCTCCACTTTCCTCAAGCGTGAAATGAGGCCTTTCTTCGCCCGGAATTCCTGGAGATAACTGAAACGATGGAGGAATTCTTTTTCGTCTTCCTGAGAGACGTAGAGCGGAGAGCTGAATGTGTATTCCAGCGTCGGACTGGGAGGCGGTGAATTCCATCCGTCTAAACTCAGCTGCTGCGCTTCCAGTTTCTGCGTCTCTTGATGTTGAATCGACCTCGCCTTCTCCAACCGGCCCTTCAATGCCTTCCAAGCTGGTTCTGTCGGTGGGGTTCCGAGGGTGATAGCTCTGTTGAAGGCTGGAATCAAACGAAGCTCGTCAGCGCTGAGCGGTTCCTCCATGTGAGCGGCCTGTTGCACGAAGTACTCCAACCTGTTTCTCCGATTTTTCTCCAGCTCGTGGTATCGTTTGTGTTGAATGGAAGCTTGCCATTCATGAGCCTCAGCCGAGAATTTGCGTTCAGCTTCAATGATCCGCACTTTCTCGGTGAACCAAGGTGGTCTATCGGCTCCCGGCTCGTCCTTCAAGGACTGGGAATTCCTGTTATACCAATCTCTGATTTGCACAACGTCCTCTCGCAGAAAAACAGCATCAGAGAGATGCGGGAGCGTCTCGATCTGGCCCCGAGACGACAGAGATTTGATTCGAACTACGGGTGATAGATGTCCGCGACGTCTAGAGACATGTTTGCCTCTCTCAGCCATCAAGACGCACTGAAACAGCTCGCTGTTCTCGAGAACCTGTTCCGCCTCATCGGCCTATATATTTTATTAGTCCATGTAGTTCGTCGTTGCAGTTCTTTGCTTACATTGATCGTCTCCTTAGAAATGCACTTTTGGCACCAACGTTTTAAGAAGGCGAAGGCTATTCGGTGGACAGGCGAAGCGCTGCACCTCTCGCAGGCGTTACCCGAAAGAAGTGCGATATATCTTCGTTCAGATATGCTTGGTGGAGGGTCGGGAGATTCGGGCCACGTTCCAATTCTGCGCTGCCTCCATATCGAAGAATACGACAATGCTGTTCGGGTGGCTCGACTAACGCACCAACCGGCAAGCAGAGCTCTAACATCACAAAACTCGAAAATGTTGGCCCATATATCAGGAGGCAGCAGCCCGGTCGAACGTTCGATCTTCCCGATGTCTCGCTTGTCGGTCTCGGGTGCGTCGTCTCGATCAACAGAGACGGCGTCATCCTCTGCGGATTCGAAATAATCGACTATCTCAACATTAGGATCTCCTCTTAGTTGGGAATGAGAGCCTCAGCTTACCCCAGTGAGCTGCTTCCGAAATCTCGCTATCTTCGCGAAATGTGGGGATTCCTACGTGGGGAGCCTTGGGTCGTCGATGAGATGGAGACGATTGCCTTGCTTTCTTGTACGGTGAGGTCTTTTTCGAAGCTGTAGCAGCTCTTTTCTGGCCCCTCTCGATTTCTGATGGCGTATTGGGTCGCGCGACCTCCGTCGCGCGACAGTAAATCTCAAAGGCAGCGAGCTGATCGAACCATTGACCAGTATTCGACAGGGGCAGAACACTCTGCGGTGACCACACAGCAGAGTCCGTGATGATGTCAAACATCGTGGAAAGGAAAATATTCGAAGTGTTTAGTCATCGGTGAAGTCAACCTCATAAAGCACTCGACTGTCTCAATAGAAGAAAAACGATCAACGAGTAGGTGAAACAATTTCTGCGCACATCGTGACTCTTTAATACCTGTTCATTTCATCGGGTTGGAAAGGGCTCCAGAAAGCACCCAGAGTTGAGGATGAATCATGTCCGGAAATACATGGTTGACAAGGAACCCCGCCTATGGCTAAGGTATCCTATGAAAGCTTACCGCAATTTCCAAACATTTGACTTGGTCAATGGATAATCTGTGGGTGGTTTCCAACCGGCGATTGCTCGACGCTGGAGTTCAACCATGGTGCTCGTAGCCTCCAAAAAAGGGTCCAGGGACGGGTTATTTAAAGTTGTTGTTGTCCCCAGGGGGGCCAGGCCCCATCATAGCGGTAGGAATTCAAGTCGAACTTTGTACATCCGTGGGGGTGGGACGCGATTCGGTATTGGATCGTTACCAATCTGAGCCGAAGACGGCGATGGCGCGCTGCTAAACCGTCACGCGTTCGTGGGAACCATGGTTTGGGTTCGACCACGGCACGTTTCGAATATCCGAGCCTCAACGCCGTCAACTACGGTACCAAAATGAATACGGTCAAATGTAAGGACCAAGCGCTAAGTTCACGGGATCCAGAACCATCATACATGAGGATCGGGGTCGCCGAAAGTGGTACTGAACCGATTGTTGCGGAGGTCGGATCTGACGTTGGTCATGCTGCCTTTTATATTCATCGGTAAGGGTGAATCTCTTTCGTTGATTCTCAGATACACTGGGTTGTTTCACCGTATCCCATGCGGAGGCTTAAAATTTGTTAAGAATCGCCCGTTATTTCGGGCCGTGTTTCCTTCAACTCCGGGACCAGACCTGCAAGCGATCCGGTGGAAATAAATTTGGTGCGAGGCGGGATGTACTCGAAGAGTCATGTTAATCGCAACCAAACAGTTCGGCAGTTTGCGGCATGACTCGGTACTCGGTAGATACGGCCCTATCTCTCGGATGTCAACAAAGATCTTGCAGCATGATATCAGAATCCGGTGCTGGCCGAGAGGTGTAATCTGTGGTAGGGACTCCGTATTAGCCCGAACATGTTTGAGTGAAACTGGATATCGCAATGCAACAATTCAAGCTTAGATCTTTCTCTAGTTGGCTTGAAAGGTGACGGCAGCTTTGAGCGCCAACCTCCACACGAACCGAGACATTGTAGTATCGAGATTGGCGAGTAGGCGATGGAATTTAGCAGAGACATGAGCCATTCCGTTGACACTTGGCAGGTGTCAGTCCCGAAGGCACAGGAATAGGTAAGGCACACCATGAGATTCGGCCCACGAGTTCAGGACATCACCACATGGCTCCCACGTGGTTCTGTTCGTGTTGTTTGGTTCTGAGTTGCGAGGTTCGTGAGGAGCTGGTGATATCGGTACGGGATACCGTAAAGGCGGATACACGTGATCGCTCGAGTTAGCCGTCAGGTACCGCCACAGAACGATTTCAGGAACTGGAACTCAATCAAAACTTTTTTCTGAGCCGGTATTGGCTCTCGACTTTTGGCCTTTGTAGATACCTTATCATCAAGTCATGTATTTCTAGGCACAGAGGCTGTGTTCTGACGAATATCAACTTTTGTTGCTGCTTTTCAGGTTCTGGCCCTTAAGTGGAGACGCGTCCTCGTCCACTCATCCCTGCCCGCACGCGTCTCCAGGAACACGATAATTGCGCGTCACCAAGATTCCCGCATATGGTCTATGGGCGAGAGAGTTCTCGCTCATCACAGATACCACTTTTACTCGTCGCCCTTAGTTAATGATAAATTGTGGTAAACTTATGAACAGAGCGTTGCAACTACAACACACCAAGTCAATATAAGGTTCTCCATTCCATAACTTTGGTCTGGATCGTGCTCAGCGCCGGACCATTTGCATCTTGGTACGGAATATCGCGGGTGCGCTGCTTCAGCCATGCCAAAAAGGCCCCGACCGGTGCCAGATCAGGCTCCAGTCCCAAGAAAGAGCCTTCGCATTTCAAGAGCAGTCGGACGCGGTGAGAGCAACTTGGTCGAGGCAACCCCTTTCAGCGGGATTCATTCCGGTGCATCTTCGGTATCTCCGATTCATGTAGCAAAGACAGAACTACATCCCAAAAATGAGGCGACCACCGCTGATACAGCAAGTCTCGAGAGTCAGCAAGGTTTCAAGGCATCGGAGATATTAGCCGGCGGTTTTGACCAGCTTCTCAAAGACTACCCAAACACCGTTCCCAAGGAACTCCGGCCGTTGGATAAACGACGCTTAGAGGAACTCCCTGCTATCTTGAAGAGCCGTGGAGATCAATTCCCGAACCCATACCTCGAAAAAGACGAACTCGTGGAACTAGTCGAGTGGAAATTGTAAGCTCTACTTCCCAATTGCCATTAAACATATGCTGAATATTAGATTTGTAGGAAACATGGAAAATTTCGTCCAACGTTGCTGGCGTTGGTCAAATCAAACGACTCCGAACGAGTGAAGGAGGTGACCTCTGATGCCTTTTCCATTCTTGTTACGAAAAAACGTGGTCCTCAGGAAGTCCGGGAGGCCATGAAACGGCTTTGCGATCTCAAAGGCATTGGGCCAGCCACGGCCTCACTGATGCTTTCTACATTTGATGAAGACAATTTGCCATTCTTCTCTGATGAGGTGAGAGCTTTTCCAGCCAGCGACCGACCTTTTGCTGACTACAACTTGTTCTCCAGCTCTTCCTGTGGTTACATTGGGATGAACCTGTCAACGCAGGCACGGCGCCCAAGGGGAATGGAACGGGATGGAAGCGGAATATTAGGTACACGGCGAAGGAGTATGAGTCCCTCATTGACAAACTTGTGCAAGTAAAGGAACGCCTGAAAACATCCCACAATAGAGATTCAACAGCACTTGAGTGGGAAAAGGTTGCATGGGCACTTGGGAAACAGCAGATGCTTGGCTGAAGTGATAATGCATAATAGGACAAGTCGGTTAGAACAATGTAGGAGACTTATCTTCGCAGGTTTCAAGAGAGGACGCAAAACAAGGCATGATCGACAGATGCATTCATGCAGAAAGGGATTTCAGGATAGTGTGAGATCCAGGTCCACAATGCAAGTAATGAAACAAGATCCTAGATGCTGGTGAAAGAAGAGAGTGGTATAGCCATGCGGGATGATGAGGCATCGGATGATGGCAATGCAAGACTCTAGGAGCAACTGGGACATTCTTGAACAGGTCTCAGATAGCATAAGCCTAGTGTAGCCTGTGTTGACTGAAACACGGAATAAGGAATTGTTTGGAAATATGGATTGCAATAAAGGAATGGCAATGGTTGATGTGGTGTTCTAATTTTACCGTGAGCGGAATGTGATTTAGATGTTTATTGAAGGGAACTCTGGCGGAGCGGACGTTAGGTGGAGCGGGGATATTCCGGGCGGAGGGTGCCAAGCCAATCGGGCAGGTTCCACTCTGCTGTTCCATCATCCAACCCACTGTTGTGCAACGATCACAGATCACCCCTCAGCCACAAGAGCTCATGAATTTGCAGTTTTTGGCTGTCTCTCTACCTTTCCACCTCACATCTCACTATCCTCGTTGACAAAAGACACCAGAAGATTCAATAAGAGTCTATTAGTATTCGGTCTCTCCATCGTCTTGCCTAACCTTGACCTCGTTCTAAAGCTCCACGCTTTTCACCTTCCACACAAAACCCTCAACCCAATACTTCCCCCACGCATTTCACGGTTCGGCATACACGAGCTCTACAACATCTGGAGACTTTGCAAAGTGGAAATAGGGCTTGTACGCCCGTGTCAATAGGAGCTTCGACCTTTGACCAACGTGGAACTGAGGTGCTCATCCCAAATCGTCACTATGTCTATGTCCATTGAAGAGTTGGACTCTACGGTCCGCGCGTTCTACGAGGGACGCGGAGATATTGTAAGTACTATCCTCTGTCTCATAACATGGGGTAGATGCTAATATGTACGGCAGCAAAATAAAGCCCAAGCGACCCTGAATCAGGTACGTTCCCCCAACTCCCTCCGTTTGTGTCGACTCTGACCCTGTCTGTAGTTCAAGGAGAGCCCGGATGCATGGCTTCTGGTGGACAAGATCCTCGAAGATGCGACATATCCGCAGACGAAATGTAAGGACTACTCAAGACGAGGTGGAGGTATCACTGACATCCCGTTAGATTTGGGACTTCAGGTCCTAGACAACGTCATCAATACTCGGTGGAAGGTTCTGCCTCGGGAACAATGTCAAGGTAACGCATCATTTCGGTCCTAGAAACTTACAGGATCAGTTACTAAACTTTTAACCAGGCATCCGCAACTTTGTCGTCAGCTGCATCATCAAGCATTCTTCAACCGAGGATGGCCTCCGGACGAACAAGACTCTCCTCAACAAGCTCAACCTAACCCTTGTTTCGATCCTCAAGCAGGAATGGCCCCATAACTGGCCCGCATTCATCAACGAGATTATCGCCTCGTGCCACTCGAGCATCCCGATCTGCGAAAACAACATGGTCATTCTAAGGCTACTGTCCGAGGAAGTTTTTGACTTCTCCCAAGATAAAATGACCTCCTCGAAAGCGAAAGACATGAAGGCGACGATGTGCGAGGAGTTCACATCAATATACCAGCTTTGTCTAGAGATCTTGCGCACTGCTGGTCAAGCGACCCTAATCCGCGCTACACTGGAGACATTGCTTCGATTCCTCAGTTGGATCCCGCTTGGTTACATTTTCGAGACTCCCGTGTCTGGCATGAGCTTGATTGAGACACTGCAAACCAGGTTCCTGGCTATCCCGGATTTCCGCAACATTACGCTGAAATGCTTGACCGAAATCGCGGGCTTGCACACCGATCCGCAATACAACGAGAAGCTTGTTTCCATGTTCACCGATACGCTGACGGCTGTCTCTACCATCATTCCCCTCTCTCTCGACTTGAAGTCCACCTATTCGAACAGCAATAATCGGGACCAAGAATTTGTTCAGAACCTTGCATTGTTCCTGTGCAACTTCTTCACGATGCACCTTCCAGTGAGTGCAATTGCAATCCTGCGTTAGTATAGAAGCTAACAAGTCATTAGGTCGTCGAGAATCTACCTAACCGCGATTTCTTGACGCACGGTCATTTCTATCTTATCCGAATCAGCCAAATCGATGACCGAGAGATCTTCAAGATTTGTCTAGATTACTGGACCAAGCTGGTGTCAGAGCTATACGAAGAGGTGCAGCAGCTCCCTCTCACCGACCCCAACCCTTTGGTGAGTCTGGGCCTGGCTGGTCTCAATTCCGGTGCGCGGGATCCTGCAATGCTAGAGAACCTTCCTCTGCGCAAGCACAAGTACGCCGAGGTCTTGTCGAACCTGCGAACTGTGATGATTGAGAAGATGGTCCGTCCTGAAGAAGTTCTCATTGTCGAAAACGACGAGGGCGAAATCGTGCGCGAGTTCGTGAAAGAGAGCGATACGATCCAGCTTTACAAGTCCACAAGGGAATGCTTGGTCTATCTTACGCACTTGGATATCGCTGATACCGAAGTAATCATGTCGGAGAAGTTGGCAAGGCAGATGGATGGCTCCGAATGGTCATGGTCGAACTGCAACACTTTGTGTTGGGCCATCGGTTCCATATCCGGCGCCATGAATGAGGAAACTGAGAAGAGATTCTTGGTCACTGTCATCAAGGACCTTTTGGGTCTGACTGAGATGAAACGTGGGAAAGATAACAAAGCCGTGGTTGCCAGCAATATCATGTATATTGTTGGGCAGTACCCGCGGTTCTTGAAGGCTCATTGGAAGTTCTTGAAAACTGTCGTCAACAAGCTTTTCGAGTTCATGCATGAGACCCACGAAGGCAAGCGTTCCGAAAGACCACACTATGCAAAGCTAACATGGTTACAGGTGTACAAGATATGGCTTGCGACACATTTATCAAGATCGCGAACAAATGTCGCAGACATTTCGTGGCAACTCAGCCTGGCGAGACCGAGCCGTTTATTGACGAGATCGTGCGCAACCTGCCGAACATCACAAAAGATCTCTCGCATCAGCAGGTCCACACTTTCTATGAGGCGTGCGGCTTCATGATCAGCGCTCAGGGGCAGAAGTCTGTGCAAGAACGACTCATCCAGGACCTCATGGCCTACCCCAACCAAGCCGTATGTCTTCCAAGTTGCTGGTTCTTGGGCAAGCTAACGGTGCGTAGTGGACCAGCATCATTAAACAAGCGCATGTGAACCCATCCATTCTCGAGGATGCCGACACCATCCGAGTCATTGGCAACATCATGAAGACCAATGTGTCCGCCTGCAGTTCGATTGGAACCTACTTCTACCCTCAAATCGGGAGAATATATCTGGACATGTTGACCATGTATCGAGCAAGCAGTACGCTCATTGACGAGGCTGTACAACGGGATGGTAAGTCCTCTAAGCACTAAAAGAGGTCTTTGCTAACAAACCCAGGTCCGATTGCAACAAAGATGCCTCGAGTTCGTGGACTGCGCACGGTCAAGAAAGAGATCCTCAAATTGATCAACACGTATGTCGAAAAGGCGGACGATCTCGAGATGGTTCACACTAGCCTGGTGCCACAACTGCTGGAAGCGGTGCTCTTAGATTACAAGAAGAACGTTCCAGACGCCCGAGAAGCGGAAGTGCTCAATGTGATGACGACGATCATCAACAAGTTGCATGTACGTTGCGACCCAACCTTTGCAGATCAGACGGACCAAAGATTGACCATTACTGACTATTCCTAGGGCCTGATGGAAGATCAGATCATGAACATCCTCGACTCGGTCTTCGAATGCACGCTGGAGATGATCAACAAGGATTTCTCCGAGTACCCCGAACATCGTGTCGAGTTCTTTAAACTTCTGCGCACGATCAATCTTCGCTGCTTCCCCGCTCTCCTTCGCCTCGATAACCGCCAGTTCAAATTCATCATCGATTCCTGCATGTGGGCGAGCAAGCACGACAACCGTGAAGTCGAGAGCGCCGGTCTCCAGATGTGCAACGAGCTCATCATCAACATGTCCGAAATGGAACCGCAAATCTCCAACCAGTTCTTCCAAACTTACTACACGTCCATCCTGCAAGACGTTCTCTTCGTCCTCACGGACAGCGATCATAAGGCCGGCTTTAAGTCGCAGTCGTTGCTGCTGCAGAAGATGTTCTACCTGATCGATTGCGGGAAAATACAGGGCCCGGTCTATTCGGCCGACATGGCCCCTCAGGGAACGTCGAACAAGGAGTTCCTCAAGAATTTCGCAGGCAACCTACTTGCCAATGCATTCCCGAATCTCACACCGTAAGTCAACATGTATATCCTTATTTATACCGTTGCCCTTCGTCATGCCCGGCTTGGAAGAATTATACTAACTCCTCTAGGTCACAAATCGCGACCTTCCTTGAAAACCTGTTCAACTCTACTACCGACGTGAACCGATTCAAGTTGCTCCTTCGAGACTTCTTGATCTCCCTCAAGGAGTTCGCCGACGACAACGCCGAGCTCTTTGCAGAGGATCGCGAACTCGCCGCTAAGCAGGCCAAGGAGCAAGAAAGGGAGCGCGCGATGAAGGTTGGCGGGTTGCTGAAGCCCAGCGAGATGGACGACGACGAGTTGTGACTGCGGGAAGAGTTGGACGTGACGACCGCTACGAGAACTGGTTGGGATACCCAGGCTGTCGATCAGCCGCCACCGGAAGGATCGAAGGAGAGCGGCGCGTGGGATGGTTTCCACGCCTACGGTTTATGATCGAGGGACAAGGTGAGTGCGCGCGGTGGTCAAGCTGGTGATGCGTTGCAGGAGGGTTGCGGCTCCGCGGCGAGTCCTCGGTGCGACAAACGGCCCGGCTCGGCCTGCGTGGGCAAAAAGTACTAGACAGTGTGCGATAGGAAGGATGTGAGCAATGAGCATATGTTGATTAGCCTGGCGATTCCCTTGCGGCTGTTCCCGTTGGGATCGGTTCATCCGTCGCGATGCTGTAGGTCGGACAATACAAAGATTTTCTTCATTCTGATTCCTAGTGGTTGCCGTGTCGGACGGCTGGACGAGTAGGTACTGGTACTGGCTTAAGGAGTGATTTGTGCATCCACTTGTCCAAGGACGAGCGAATCCCATATTCCCATGTCAAGATCATGGTCAAATAATGAATATGTATCGAAGGCGAACGAAGCACACCTTTATCAATATCGGGTTCACGATGGATCATAGAATGCTTCCGAGTTCCACCAGCATGTGGTAGAAATCTCGCCAGGCACGGAAGCAGAGGTACCAGACCTTCAGAGCGCAGACTGAATTGTATTGACCAGCCAAAAAGGGTACAAGGTCACAGAGAAAGGACTACCTACTAAGGAGAGTTAGTCACAGTGCCAATTAGGAGCCGAATTGGCATCGACAACCCGTCTAAACTCTAAAATCTAAAAACAGCACTGAGATAGCGAGATCTGCGTGGCAGTTAATTACAGGTTGAATCATGAATGCCGTACAGCCCGTACTCTGTTGTATTCACCGGTAATTACTCCCCGACATCACCGCCTGTCGCCCATGAGCCCAGTGTCAGAGCCCGGAGGCCGGAAGCCATCGCCGGCTGGATGGAACCCCTTGGACGGGTGAGTGTGGGGAGTCTGAATAAGCTGTGGCTAAATCTGATTGCTGTTGCTGACATACATGCGGCGGAGGCTGGTTTCATGATTCTTCCTTGATCCCGTCGTTCACAATCCTTCGTCCTCCATCTTCTGTGTATTAGCTATTGTCGAATGACGCAGAGGTACTGATCTAATTAAGTCAATTTAGACCTGAGTCGGAAGTTAAGAACCGAGGGCTGTGTAGTCTATAATGGGCTGCTGGGCTACCGAGTGCTGGGCGGCGACTCAGAGCGAAAGCGGTGAAATTTGATCGATGGAACGCAACAGTAACTGTGCAAGGTTAGAGGCATTCCGTTAGGGCTGACTGGTGGCGTGGGACGGGCGCGGGATATTCGGTGTAATCAGGAACCACCTGTTGACTATTCTCTGTTTGTGGGCGAAACCCCTTCAGCCTTGCTCCCTTCGGGCTTAGCCGTCCGCCCCTTTTTTTTCTCGCTCGCTGCTGGCGCCGCCCGCCAACGCCTATCACAGCTTGAGCGAGTTGCACGAAAACACGAGCTCCCTCGCCCTCACGCACCAACGTCTCGGCAAAATCGCGCGTTTTGTTTGGATGTTTGTTCGGGGGCCTTCTCTCGGCGCGTCAGCAACACGCCGGATAAGTAACGAAATTCGAAACGCATCCTCAGCTCTCTGTCGTGTCTCCAACACCGCCAGTTCGCAAGGCGCAACACCGCGACGACCTGCATCACTAAATGCTGACTGGAAGGAATTCCAACCACCGAGGAAATTCGACCGGTCGATCCAGTAGGATCCATGTTGAGGTGTCGACTAACTGGACACTTCGATGCTGATGAACGCTAACCGGTAGATTGCTACTGGGTTGAGAGAGCCAACCCATGTCGCTGGGGCGTCTCTTCGTGATAGCCTCAATCCGTGTCCAGAAATAAAAGTAAGCCACTCGAGCGTTTTGTGGGCTTTAAGTGGATTGGAGTATGTGCACTCTCCTGAGCTGAACGCCTGAACGGGCTATCAGTCCTTCGGCCTTCTTTTAAGATGGTTGACTTGACCTCTGTCGTTTAGCCCTTCATCCAGCCATTGTTCATTCGTCCTCTATCATTTCTCGAGTCTCCTTTGCGCCTTAATACCCTTCGTTCTTCTCACATTTCGTCCATATATAATATTTCCGTCCTCATTTCATTCAATTCCGTCGTATCAACCCGTCACTACAATCAAGATGTTGTTCAAGTCCGTCGCCATCTTCGCCGCCGTGGCCGTCGTCGCCAGCGCCCAGGGCAACTGTCCTCAGAACGCTGAGGCATCTTCGTGAGTTTGCATGGTATTCCGTCTGTTGTGTCATGGTGTGCTAACAGCTACTCCAGCTTCTTCCGATCATGCGGCGACAAGCAAAATGACCTCGCCAATTGCAACGGAGACGACGTCCCTTGCACCTGCTCCGTCTACGGTGCTCAGTCTGAGTTCGTCTAACATCAGTCTTTGGAAGTGAGGCGTCGTACTAACCAGCATCCGTAGCTGCTACCAAGACTACATCACCTCCTACTGCAGCCAGTGGCAGTACCCCGGAAACGACTACCTCTCCGGAAACTGCGGTGCCAACTCCCCGGTGACCAAGTCGTCCTCCTCTTCCCCCGCCTCCGCCACCGCTGGCACCACTACCACCGACGCTAAGCCCTCCGCCACCGGTGCGTCCTCATCTTCCTCCTCCAGCAACGGTACCACCTCCAAGGCCAGCACCGCCTCTGGTTCATCTAGCTCTGAGGAGGCCGCTGAGACTAGCACTTCCACTAACTCTGCCCCAGCTCAGCAAACCGGTGCTGCCGGTAGCTTCAAGGTCGAGGGGGCCATGGCTGCTGTTGCCGGTGCCGCCGCTGGCTTCGCCATCTTGCTATAAGTGGTCGGTTAAGGGGCTTGCCCGGGAGTTCCGACATGAACAACCTGGGTGGTCGAGGACAAGTTGCGGGATCCTCTAGGAGCAGAACTAAAATGGCTAATTGGGACCCATCCGCGTGCCATGTGTGAGATAAGGAAGATTCCATGTGGCCCAATACCGTGTAATTGCTGGAGATTTGCTTTCAGATTTGCTTTAGATCATAGAGACGCGCATAATACCACTGCAAAGCTCGGGAGTTTCTTCAACATCATTGTTCAGGAGCCAGAGCCTGCACCAGTGCAAATACAGAAGCTTGGTTTCCTTATGATAGTATTCCGTGCGCGTTGTTTGACGATTGGTAACTGAGGTGCTGTACTACGTCGGTGGACCGTTTCTAAAAGAGGAAGTCAAATTTTCCAGCCCTGGTCTAGCCCAATTTTGGTCCCACTCGGAATATTGAATTGAATGTTATTCCTGTTTTTCCAGACCATGGCAAGTTTGATAACACTAATCATTATCTTATTACATTCTAGCATGCACTTTCTTGTATCTACTAAACCCTAATATCGTCGGACTGTGGAAATACTCACATGCCCAGTCGATTCCTGCCCACTTGGGTTTGGGGCACTGAAGATGGTCGATCGGTTGGAGGGAGAAATGAGTCTGGCTCGATGTCCAGACATTTATCTTGTATTAAATACGCCGAAAGGTGAGTACGGTAGCGTTGCATGACGATGAGATACCATGCATAAACAACTTAAATGTCGTTCTACAGGTCGAGGAGTGGTTGCGCGGAGTCATATACCAGCTAGAACCATTTTGGACGTTTGTCCAGTCTTGGTGCTATCTCTCGAGGATAATGAGAAGCATATAAAGCATACAGAGCTGTTTCACTACACATAGTAAGGCCCTATTATACCGTATTATGCACAGGTTTGCTCTACGGGACCCTCCTGACCGTCGACATCTGCAGTAACTGGCCGCATCAAGATGAAAAGGGCATTCTCCGCATGCACCAGGCCATATGTTTCGGACTCGGCTCTATGTTCAACCATTCCCACCACAATCAGAACGTCGTATGGGAGCGGGACCAACAATCAAAGACCATCACATACCGGGCCGCACGAGACATTCCACCGGGCGAAGAACTTTGTAATCATCCGCCCGATCCCATTAGGTTTCGCACAGCGATCTAACCGTTCCTTTCTTTTAGGCATCTCATACGGCTCCCATCTGACATTTACAGATGCAGATAGCCCCGAGGGCGAAGAAGAACCGGAGCTCTTGTTGGATAAAATACAGATTTGACCATCGACGGCCAATGGGAGGAGGATTACCGATTTAGCAGTCCAAGTGCAGAAGAGGAAGTTCATCAAACATGCCGATGCCTGCAAAATCAACCCGATGTCGCCACAAAATACTGGGAACCCTCATCAATGTCTCGATTTAGAAGACAAGAACACGATGCCGCCGTACCCACTAGACCAATGGATACAACTACATTACTTCGTCTGAGCGTCATCATCCTTCTCACCCTCGCCTGCATCGCCTCTCTCCTGAGTCTCCGCGTCTTCCGCCTGGTTTCGCAAGTCGTACGCGATCTCGAAGCATTCCTCCAGCAGCTGGGTCACCGCTCCTTGGCCATCAGGGATGTCGTTCCCAACCATGAATTTACCTTCCACCCTCATGTTATCGATCGAGTTGAGCTGCGGCCGGTTAGCGAGTGACGATAGAATGCGAGTAGGTATTCTAGACATACCTTGAGGCTGTATGGGTACAACTCTCGAATGGATGCACATCCTCCGGCATTCTTCACCTCCAGAAGACATCGCTTGAGGGTATTGAGCTGGTTGTAAATCGGGAGGAGAGCCTCGGATACAGCCTCCGAGGAGATTAACAGCTGGAAGATGAGGGCGTAGCTCTTCCGAAGGAGGTACAAGAGCGTCTGCGTTGCTTGTTAGCATGACTAGCTACCAGACAGCGTTGGTCATGATACGTACCCTCTGCGCGTGCAGGTCTGATGGTTTCCCTTCGCTGTCAAGGAAATGGCCGTCCACACGAGATTCATCAATCCGATCAAGCTGTCGCTGGAATTGAAATAGGTCGGTCTCTCGAAGGGACCACGCTTGCGTTAACGTGAGCTTGTCCAAGTGATTCCTGATTCCTAACAACTTTTGGTAGACGTCTTGGAACTTCTCTTCGACTTTGCCTTGCCTAATGCTTCGTGAGTACAGGTGATTAACGGGAAACGGTGCTGAACGTACTTCTCCTGTATGAGATGCACCCATAATGCGCATCGAGTGTGTAAATCCGCAACCAGCCTCTCCGCGCTCGGATGGAGGCTCGATTCCGTGCCAAAGACTTTGATATGATCCTCGAACCTCTTCGCATAGGAGCGGTCGTCTTTTAGGATGTTTTTCTGCCGCAGATCCGCCTCGATATCCAAGAGCTCCTGCTTGATGCTATCCACTTCCGCTGCGGGGAACTAAACGGTATCAGAGAAAATTATAGGGACACTGGAACGAATAATTGACGGACCTTTGACTTTGTGTTGCATGCTGACAGCGTCCTTAATATGGAGACCAATCTCTCATAAGTGTTGCAGAGTTCCTTGTTCTCCCTCAGAGGCGCCAGCCACTCTTTCAGCACGTTCACTATCGTTTCGCAGGCTTCTACTCTGGCTTCCAATAAATTTGAAAGATGTGGATCATAGCTCTGGCGACTGCGCTTGACAATATCTCGAAATTCTTCTATACGGTTGCTAATCGACTCAACGTCTTTCCGGTAGAAGAACGCAGCTTCTTTCAGGTGGTCGAGCAGTCTCTGTAGGAGCGTAAGCAGGTATAGGAGCCGGGTTATAGCGGGAAATGGACCTTTGCGTTGGAAACGGCCGAGTAACTGGAAAATAGGTCAGTTGGCTGTATCAAATTCGAGCATTGGAGGGCGTGGCGCTTACACGGCAGGAGCTTCGTGGTTTTTTCCAATGGTCATAAACGCCAACGATATCAGTTGGAAGCAATCATCCAACACCGTATCGACTATCAATACAATCAGTACCTTTTCCAAATACTATCGGGGAATATGCGTCGCATTCCGGACTGCGGAACGCCACTCTGGGAACAATGCGCACCTCGACTATCATCCGTCCGTTTCCCTTTCCGCTTCTCGTCCAGAGCATGTACTTGGACGATAACCTCCTCGTACGCCCCAATGATATCCTGTGACTTCACGTACGTCGACTTGTCCTGCCGCAGCAGCTCGAGCCCGTCGCGGACCTGGAGCAAGCGGTCTAATATCGGCTTCTCCGCGGGGTCGAGCGGGGCTCGCACGACCGGAGAGTCGGTCATGGTCGTGGACGTGGGTTGGAGGGTGGGATTGAGGGATGGCACGTCAATGCGATAGGAGGAGATCGGGAAGAGTGAGGATGGGAATTGGAAGTATCTGGATATGCAGGGTTGGGTGAATGACGATTGGGACCCAGGCGTGCCAGGAGGAGGTGATGATATGCATGCAGCTGGATGACACCATGGATTGGCGGGGTGCTCTGCTTTATCGTTCATGATCCCATCCATGATCTATCCCATGCTTTTGTAGTACTTATTACCTTTTCTAACGGATTCTATATTATACAAGCTGAAACCGTTAATGCCGCCATTAGTTATCAGGAAATAGTTATCTGTAGTTATTGCTTATGCAAACCCTAGTCATACGTTATGGTGGCTGACTTGATCACTTTCATCGACCTGCGTGTGACTGCGCTACATATTTATACCATTTTAATCGATATAAGATACACTTCTATTATTGAGTGGGGTGGGGGTCGCAGTAAACCTCTTCCTGAATTCCTCCTGGTGACGAGTGTCCAACCAGATGGGCAGTTAGGAAATTGGTTCCCTCCGACGAGCGAGAGGCTCAAGAAATCGTAACAAACATGTCCCATAACCCTAAAAAACCATCATTGTTGCTCAGAACATCTTCGACGACGGCTCCCCATCCCTTCTCTGTTGCGGAGCTCGCCATCAACGGATCGGCGTAGAGTCACGGGCTAAGGGGGGCCTGAATCCGAGGGGGTGCCTGAATCTTCCTGGGCATGATCCGTTCCACTGTATGGAATGCTTCGAAGACGAGAGCCGTCACCTGAGCTTTGGACAGGGTCATGAACGGGGTCGGCACCTTGCTCAGTCGATAAAGAGCCTCCGCAAGAAACGCTCGACAAAGCCGATACTCGACGATGAGCCCGGTGGACACCATGACGTCCCTGGTCAGCATGAGGCTGTACGCATTCGCCGTAACGATGTCCGGCCACACCGCACGGATGTCGACCGCAAGCGCTTCGTACTGATCCGCGGGAAAGGCAATGTCGATTCGGAGAAACTGGGCGAGCCGCGTAGGCAGAGGACAGTACCCGGTATTGGAGTTTCCGACGAGGTACCACAGGGTTTTGAGTTTAGTCGCATCTCCCGTCTGCTTGTAATTACGTACCAGATCCTTGAGCTGATCGCCGAATGATTCTGCCACGTGCAGGATGCTGCCCGCCAAGTCTTTTTCCTGAATCTGCCCTGCATGTGCCGTTGGCGCTCCATGTTGGTTATCAGCTGGCTGGAATCCCGTCTGCCGATGGAATGGATCGTTATTGCCATTTCGAGCGGTCCCGTCACGCTCTCCGTCCTCCAATCCCCAGATTTCTCCGCCATCATCGCTTGTTCCGTCTCTATCACTGATTCCTCCCTGCTCCGACAAAATCTCCGCTCCCTTGCCCAGCTGGAAGGCCACGCCCATGGCTCGGTTGCCCCAGTGGACGCTACGCGCTTCGACGGTCCGTCCGGGAAGGTTATCACGAAAGTGCGAAAGAAAGAACACCTCATTTCGCATTCCACGGTACGGGGTGCATAAGCCGTGTTTGTCGGGGTCAATCAGAGCGAAGACCTTGAATCCTCCGGCCTCTCTTCGTTGCTCTGTGGTGATCCGTACCACTGCCATGAATGGAAGTTGATTCCCATGATCCCAGTTCAACACTGATTCTCGAGAAGGCGGGGTAACACCGACAACGATATCTTTATTCACATAGTTGGCGGATTTCATGTATCGATGGCCGAGGCCCGGAACGATATATCCGATCAAGAGGTATTTGTCGGCGTATTCTGACGGGGATGCTCGTGTCTCTGCCTTAGTCAGATTATGCGTCGTTCGAATGGTAACGCCATCAGCGCCCAATCGTCGAGTATACGGGATGCTCGAATTCGACCACGCATTGATAAGCGTAAAGTGCTTGGGCGTCGGCGTCGGAAGCTGAAGCGCCCAACCGCAGGGATTGATCGCATATTCCGTCTGCTGCGGGCCTTGCGAGGGCTGAGCCGGTGAACTGACAGCCACTGCCATTGGGAATGAGGCTTAGGAGACGTAGTCGATAGCAAAAGGAAGGCCTCTAGTGATCGAGATGAGTGATAGAAATTAGTGCGAGGCTCAGATCGAAAACTCGATGTGACTGAGTTTGGACGGTGCAAGAGGAAGATGTAAGAATGAGAGTGGAAAGTCACTAAGTGTGTTATTAGGACTGGCTCACTCTTACGTGATAACAATTTGGAAATCCTCATCTTCACTTCCCACTGACATTGGTACGTGCACGTATCTCATATCAGTCCAGTCACCGAATCTATTTACCCTAAAGGCAAACCTCAACCTGTAAAGTTGGATTGAACAGGTCAGTCAGAACAGGTTAGCAATCGCCAAAAGGTCATGTCGATGTCCATGAGAAGTGATTTCCCGATAGTCCCTCCTCTTGAAATATCGATAGTGAGAGCGAGCTGATGAAGGCATCCGCAATTAAATGTGAGTCCCAGGAATAAGCTGCAGGGTGCCATAACATCTGTTCTGGAAGGAATTGCTATTTTATACTAGATACTGTACCCTGAGAATGCTCCTTACAGCAACACTACTAGTATCGACGGTGCTGCAAGTGATGACCAGATAGAGAGAAACAGTGCACTGCTACCAATCTACGGGTGGAAGTACCAATAGTGGTCCAAAATTCAGTCCAGAGCATCTACCAAGGTTGTATAATCAAAAATAGTGACCTGGAGCAGAGTCGAGCATCGGATGGCGGATTGATTTCTTTCTGGAGTGTGTAGATTTGCGATGTTGAGAAAGGGATGAATGACCAAGTGACGTTGAACTGAATAGTGATCAGCTGACTGCAGTGGAGACACTGCTCACTTGGCCAATGCCCCTTCCTCCCATTACTGTTTGGGCCTTACTGCCTTAGGCACAATTAATCGACCTTGACGGCCCCCACAATCGGCAAATCCCGCAGCAAAATACATCTCGAACTTTCGACCTCCGGCCTTCCACCTCTCGTCGCCAACTGCATCCTCTACTAGATCACTCACATACGAGATACATCCTCGACAATCTAGCTCAAGATGTCCACCGCCGAGCTTGCCACCTCTTACGCCGCTCTCATCCTGGCCGATGATGGCCTCGATATCACCGTAAGTGTCCCTCCGCCTCGATACTCCCTCGCACTCGCTAACCCCAATATCTAGGCCGACAAGCTGCAGAACCTCCTCAAGGCCGCCAAGGTCGAGGAAGTCGAGCCCATCTGGACCTCGCTCTTCGCTAAGGTAAATCACGCCTCCACACAACTTATATCTGTAACCGAAGAACCTCGACTCTGACGATGATCAACTCCCACAGGCGCTCGAGGGCAAGGACGTGAAGGATCTGCTTCTGAACGTCGGCTCCGGCGGCGGCGCCGCCGCTGCCGCTGCTCCTGCCGCCGGTGGTGCTGCTGCCACCGAGGACGCTCCGGCCGCCGAGGAAGAGAAGGAAGAAGGTACGCGAACTCTCCCCATCTCCCGCGGTTCGACGCACGATCGCTAACTTCTACCTGTGATAGCCCCGGAGGAATCCGACGACGACATGGGCTTCGGTCTGTTCGACTAAGCTTGCTGCTTTCCACACCGCGATTCCCTCTTGCATTGTCTGGGTCGGATGGCGTCTGCTTTGTGCTGGGGACTTTCGGGACACGTTCGATAAAAATGGTCGGGATGCGCGGTCAACACGGTTCATTCGAAACCCTTCGGGCCCGTCCTACATTATCTCTTCCTAGTGGTCCTTGAAAAATGGCATTGACTCGATACAATGACGAGCGGTTACACTGTCCTCGGGCAAAATAGAGAAACCTGGATGTCTCCCATGTGTGCCATCCGTGACGGCGGTTGCTCCACGTCGGTCGTGGTCCCGTGCAAACACCAATCAATGCGTGACGTACTGCATCACAAACTAATCCGTATCCCATGATCACAGTCCTGCGACGCTCGAAAATGCTTCCTGAGAATCCTGTTCCCCAACACCTGCGCTAATGCAATTCTAATGTATGTCCCGGCGACCCGTCGATCGTCCCTCATCTTCCCCATGATTCCGACTCAAATTCGCCGCTGCGTGAGAGGCGCTTGACGATCCCTATCCATCATGACGCCGCCCGGACCCGTAAAAGTGTGAGTCCCCGGCGTGCTGGGGACCGTTGCCTGGGCGGCCGGACCGAGCGCTGCGCTCAGCGGTGTCGCCGGCATCGATGTCCCATACCCACTCCCTAGATGATGATGCTGATATACCCCGGTACCAGGCGCGGGCATGGATGGTGCGGCGGTCGCGGTCATTGTGTTGCTTCGGCCGGATCGAGAGGTGAGATCCCGCCACGGCGAGTCGTTGATGACGTGCGAAAGCTCCTTGTTGGCACGGTGCAGTGGCTTCATGTATGCTTTGATCTCGTCCCGGATCAGACCATGCTGGCGAGGTTCCTTCATTGCCGCGATCAATTCCACCCAAGTCTATAAGTGGTGGTTAGTAATGGCGTACAAATGGCGTTAGTAAGAGAGGGTACAAACCTGGTTATAGGTGCTGGTCAACCGCCAGAAATCGGGCTGATTGCGAACAACCGGATCTTTCAGCTTGATCGAGGACAGTCGGCGATGCAGACTTCGCGCCGCACTGGTCATATCCTCGCATTTCTGGATCAACCGCATCCAGTACCGGTGCATCATCTCATCCGTCCCGAACTTCCGCATGACCGATTCTCTGTCGCGAAGCAGGATCGACTGGACGGGGGGGATGGCGCTCAACGCCATCTCAGTGGCACCCTTCAACTGCAAGTAAACCCGCTCGAAAATCATCTCCTCTTCGCTGTCTTCCATTTCCGTGAGTGTATTGCTGCGAGACAAGCCCGGGCCAAACGCTGGGAATGACTCTGTCGAGTGCGGCGTAGCCATGCTCGTGAGCGTGTTGGATCGGCTTGTGATGTTGCTTCGAGGAAGCATACCCTGGGAGTTCGCCGGAGCGAACCGCGACGCATGCAGGTGCGCTCCAAGTTGATTTCGCGACCCGTCCAACCGCTTTCGGATTCTCGATTCTGGGCTGCTCGCAGCCGTGCTGGTGGGCGTGACTCTCTCCATATGCGGTGGCGTCCGTGACTCTTCCAGAAGCTCCAATCCAAGGAGATCCATCGCTTGCCGTAATTCGAGGGTACTACCGTGTAGCAACAGCATCGCGGTCCGCAGAACGGCGCGTGAGCATTTCGCTACGATGATGTCGGTATGCGGGAGGATCTGATCCCACGCACTTGCACACGTGGACAAGCTGCTCTTGACCCTCGCTTGGATGAGGACTTCCACTCCTGGTGCCTCTTCCGGATTCTCGTCGCATAAGGCTTCAAAGGCCGATAGCAGGTGGTGCAGCTCGCTCAAGTCGATATGCAAGTCGTGCAGCACGCCGAGTAAATCCGATGTCTCGGCGACACCGTATTTTTGCATCATTTTCACCATGATTTGACCAACGTCCCGGACCTGGGATACCGCCCAGACAGTGTGCATCGCAGCGGCGATCACCCGATCGACTTCTCGGCCAGGAACATTCTCGCGGCTTAGGAGGTCAGACAGCTTCTGGTTGTTCAGACTCTGACGGACTCCTCCATTCGCAAATTCGTTGAAACCGGACGGCGGCGCGCCGTTTGCGTTGTTCGCAGGCACTGCCGCGCCATTTAACGCCGAGTTATGGCTGAGGCCTCGCAGATGACTTCCCCGCCGAAGCGTGTTTTCATCCACAGTCCCCAAGTGTTCCGTACCCTTTCCTGGAACCATACCCATTCTCTTGGTGCGGAAGGTTGCCGAAGTGACGCTTTCGCTGCGAGTTCTATTCCTCTCGCTTGCGTTTGCGATGATGAGAGGTGTAATCGGTGGCTGCCGCGGACCCGGTCCTAGCACCTGGCCCTGCGATGACTGATTCCTGAAGTGGGAGCGGGTAGGTATCGGAGGAGGGTGTGCAGGAGATTCTGGCCGTATCAACTCCAAACTATCGATGCCACTAATACTCGGCTTCACCGGGAATCGGGTGCCCGCCGCCCGCCTGAGCGGACGTGGCGTTTCTGCATCCGCATCGCTGGTCTCCCCTTCCGACTCGCTCTGGAACTTCGCCCGGTTGGCCGCCGCCCGCAAGTATTTTTTCACCTGCCGGGTGATGGCCACCTCCTTCTCGCCTTCATTCGTGGGTGCGGTGCCGTCCGCCTGGATCGCGCAGACGTCGGCTGGGGGAAATGCCAGAGGGTTGTTGTCCAACTTCAGGACCCGAAGACTGTACAGATCGCCGAGGCAGACGGGCAGTCGCTCGATACGGTTTCGAGAGATGGCGAGGACTTTGAGGGAAGTCAGGTTTCCGATTTCGTCGGGAAGTGAGCGGAGCTTGTTTTTGCTGATGTCGAGGATTTCAAGGGAGGACAGTTGGAGGACCTAGACTTGTCAGCGTCTGGGGGGTTCTCCGGAACGCGAAACCGAGAAAACATACCGGCGAGGGAAGCTCTTTTAACAGGTTATAGCGAGCATTTAGATATCGCAGCCTCCTGCATTCAGCTAGCTTCGCAGGGAAGGTGGTGATTTGATTGTGTGATATCGCGAGCCTAATCTGGTCAGAACGTCACATGTGCGGACGACGTCGACAAGATGACGGGGATGTTTGCTGTACCTTTCTATCTCATCCTTTATTGCCTCAATTGCTTCATCCGGCAGCCGCGGGATATTATGATGCCCCAAATCGATCGTGATGCCCGGCTGCTGTACCCCGTCCGGCGTCCCACCCCCGACTCCGGCCGGACGACGATGATCCTCTCTCGACGTCTGGATGGCGTTTTTCACCAACGCAACCACGTCGGCATCGGACTTCGCCAGCCCGGCATCCTCGCTCATGATGCGGGAGGGTTATGAAGCGTGCAGGCCAACGGCGAGGCCGCGTGTGGTTTGGATGTTTGCCGGGGTGAGAGATGCGAATGGAGATGTCGGGAGCATGACGAGGCGGCGGTGAGAAGAGATGGGAAGATGGGATAGGGGATCCAAGCGGGGAAAAGAGAAAAGAGGGAAGAGAACGGATGAGGCGTGTTGCAGAGGGTGCGACGAACGAGGCAGAATGCTAATAATGGCGAGAATCTAGGCACGGCATCACGACTCACGTACGATGTTGAAGCATGCAGGTCAAGACTCCAGCCGTCAAGCTACGCCGCTACGGGACTGACGCTCGTGGTTCCAACGGGTCGACACTCGACACGCGATGTCTGTGGCGCTGGACTGGAGTCTGGAGTTAAACAAGAACGGGACCAGACCGGATGGGGGGCATTGTGGACAGTTGGACTCTCCATGAAAATGACTAAGTATTATTCCAATCAATAAAATGCTCCACTAAGTATCAACCGTTGAAATATACCGTTGCAACGGAACCTAAGCCCAGGGCGTTCTTTACCAGAATGAGCTCGATAATTCCCGTATAATTGGTTGGACCCTTCACAGCTATTTCCTAAACTGCAGCCATCCCAATTGCTTCGTGAACCGATTTCACCTGCTTAAATAATACCGATCAGAATCCCAAACCGGCATTGACGACCGATCGAAGCAGCCTCGGGATCATCTGCCACGCCTCTCTCCTGCGTTAGTGCCGTACCGCTCAACCGTTGCTCGCTGCAGGGCTAATTACAGTCCAGGCATTACTCCCGACTCCCGACATCTAGCCCTATCGATATTATTTCGGGTTCGAAAGCGCGGAAAAAGAGGCCCACAGGAAGTCATCGACCCGCGGTGGATGCAGCGGCAGATATTCCTCGCCCGATCCCTTCGTTTCCCTTCATCCCTTCGCTTCTCGAGCCCCTTCGGTGGCCTGCCTCTACACCGCTCCGCGCATCTTGAACGCTCCCTATCCCCATTCCATCCCTGGCTCGCGTCCCCTTCGGGAAAGATGAGTGCCGACACGAGTAAGCTCACGAACTTCCGTCGGGAACCTTCCCTCATGCTAACCCCCTCCCCCCTCTAGGAATGATCTCCCGCCTCATCGTCCTCTCCGGCCCCAGCGGCGTCGGCAAAAGCACCATCAAAGATCGCCTGATGTCCGAATACCCTGACAAGTTCGAGTTCAGCGTCAGCCACACCACGCGCGCGCCCCGCCGGAAAGCCAACGTCAGCGACGCCTTGGAGCAAGACGGCGAGGACTACTGGTTCGTGCCCATGGAGCGGTTCGACGCCATGGTCGCGAACGACGAGTTCGTTGAGCACGCGGTGTTCGGACGGAATAAATACGGGACGTCGAAGGCGGCGATCGAGAAGATTGCCGATGCTGGACGCGTGTGCTTGCTGGATATCGAGATGGAGGTACGCTGGCTCGATGGCGTTCGAAAAATGGGATCATGCTAATTGGGGCTTCATCACGTGCAGGGCGTCAAACAAATCCGAAACTCGACCCTTCCCGCGCGATTCCTGTTCGTCGCGCCGCCGTCGGTGGAGGTGCTCGAGGGGCGGTTGCGCGGGCGGGCGACGGACGACGAGGACTCGATCCAGCGGCGGTTGGACCAGGCGAAGCGGGAGATCGAGTACGCGAACTCGGACGCCGTGCACGACAAGATCGTGGTGAACGATGATCTAGAGACGGCATATCGGGAAGTGCGGGATTTCTGTCTTCAGGGGTTTTGAGACGCGGCGGGTCAGGGGGAAGGGGGGACGAGTCGAGGGGGATGATACTAGAGGTCATACGAGCATCTATATTACACGGCATTATACGGTGTTGGTTTTTCACTATTTGTTCAATTTGTCGCTAGACTAAGTGGTGCGAGCCACGATGATGGATGGCATGAATGAACGGATCATGACACCAAATTTGCGAACGCCGTCCACCCCTATGTATGCAATGTGTGTGTCGTGACGAGGAGCTTGCTGTTGCTCCCCCACAAGGAATAAAACAAAGGAAAAGGTCATGGGGGGTCATGACCGTGAATGCAAGAGGACCCCAATGCAATTAAAGTCTTTAGAATGGCTCCATGCATGATACGCGTCGCCTGTACCGCAGCCGGCAGTAGTAGCGTAACCAGGAACATGGCAGAAAAGCGAAATCCAAAACCGAACACCTAGATTTTCTATGCAAAGCGTTCGCGTCGCCGGGCGGGCGTCGGAACGGTGATAAGGAAAGGATGCCTCTATGATGCTACAGGGACCGGAGCCACCTGTCAGTAGAAAATGCACGACCAGAGGGTCGCGTGGGAGGCCGTCGTCAATCTATCCGTCCGCACATGCAGGGGGGAAGTCGATCGGAACCGTCGAGTGTTCCGTTCGCGCGGTCAAAGATAGAGGAGAGAGGAGGTGATCGCTGCAAACGATCGGCGCGCAAATCTTATGACGTAGATGTTCGTGTGGGCGCGGCTAACGCGACGTCCAAATTTCGCTCGTGGATGACCGACGTATATTTTGGCTCGCGCATGAATTTCGGAACCGAGTCCTATAAAAAAAAACTGTCAATCGCAAATCCACAAACATAGGATACCGCAGAGACTTACGCTAGCCATGAGCTTAAACACGGATGTTTGCGCCTGATCGAATAGCGAGGCGACTTCGTCGAGACTCTTGATCATTGCTTCATCATCGCCCACCGCTCGGGTCATTCGAGCTGCGAGGGCGGTCCGTAGCGTATAGTCGATATTCAGTTCGCATGGAGAACCAGGGGCCAGGAAAGCGTTGTAAAGGCCTGAAAAAGTCGGTCAGCATGATTTCGCAGCTTGACAATCGAATAGAAAAGAGAATGACTTACTGTATGCAGCCGCAAGCGTCTCGCGGATCGTTTCCAGTTTAGGTGATGAGCTGCTCTTCTTGGCATTCTTGTACTGTTCGAGGAAAATCTTGACGTCCAAATAGAATGATAAGTTCTCCTCGCAGTGGGTGTCGCGCAAAAACTCGCGGAAGAGCAGTCGCAGCGCGGGATCGTTGACGATGACTTGCATGCGATTGGCATTTGAATCGCGGGCGGTTCCTTCCCTTGCTCGCAACGTGCTGTTATCACCATTGGCGGACGAGGTGCTGGGGCTGACCCAACCTGCCACTCTCTGACCCTTCTCCGTAAACGAGTAAATGGCAGTTTTGGAGGGATTGAACCCGGTCCGATTGTCGCGCTCGCCATTGGGTGCAATGTGCTGGATCATATTGTATTGGGTGAACAGCGAGGCCAGCTCGAACGCTTCCCGCTTGTCTACCATCGTGCAGCAGTCGAGCAGCCAATCGACCGCCGCTTTGCCCGTGAACGTGTTCCATAATACCCGATCACCGACTTTTCGTTCTTTGGCCAGCTTCACGCCGACCAGGCCGGTCACGTAGTCGTTGAGCGAGTCGGAATCGGAGGCGGATGTTGAGGTCTTCACGTTCGGCTCGGCGCCAGCGAAACGACGGAAAATGACTTCGATGGTGGCTTGATCCCGGTGCAGGCGGTCCGTTTCGTTCTCCCTCTCAAGAATGACGAGGTGCATAGTATTTCTCGGCGAGTCTAACAGGTCGTAGACGTGTCTTTGGTTGATGCCGTTGCGTTGACAGAACCGTTGCAGAATGTGCATGCCTTTGGGTGTGAGTTGCCAAACGGCGCTCTTGGATGAGAAGTCGGTCTTGCCGTCCACCGAGTCGATGAAACGCGCTTCGAGGAAGCGATGGCATACGGACCGTGCCATCTCCTTCGCCATGGAGAAGGTGGTGGTCGTGGTCGTGGTGACAATGCGGGATGGGTCTTTCGGGTCGGGCATTCGGTTGGACTGGGAGAATTTCAAGGAGCCCAGGTTGGTGATGGCTTCCTCGGAGGAGAAGGTATGTTCGACCTTCTGGAATCGGACGCGATGCGAGGTTAGGGGCAGGCTGACCATCAACGTCGAGAAGAGGTCTTTGAAGTCCTGGTACATCATGAATTTATCAGCGTCATTCTCACCGGGCGAGTGGGGGCCTGCATTGGAGGTCTGGAACCAAGTTTCAGTACGATCCTAACGAACGAGCGGTCAAGGGGTAGTCGCACTACACCCACTCGAACGACTGGCAAATTGCGATGCGAAGGGGGGGAGACAGTATCGCCGGTCGAGACAGAGAGGCCATCGGCCATGGTCCGTGATATAATTGCGGATCGATCTCTGCGCTTGATTCCGACTTCATGGCCGCTCGGATTCCATATCCCTCATCGCGACACAGAACAAGGACCGGATCCGCAACACATGGCCAGGCTCGACGGCAACACAATTGGGCAATTGGGAAGCAAAAAAAAAAAGCAAAAGTAGGGGACAATGCAAATCAAGTACGGGAAAGGAGAGATTCGATTGCACTCACCCTTGTGAAAGGCCGGTCATCATCGGTCATGCGAAGCAGTCTAGAGGATGTTTGATGCATTTTGCGGATGGTAGGAGGTGATTCGGGTTGGTCGAGGTCGAAAGAAGCAGCAGAAGAGGGTGCTTTCGAGTGCAAAGCCGATGATGAAGTGGGAGGCCGTGGGTGGTCCTTGGAATCCAAACCTCCGACCGTCGTCAGGTCGTTGGACACGTTCTCGGGGTGGTTCGACCGGTTCGGTTGGTGGAGAATGGTCGTGGATCGGTGCGACAGGTCTGCCGTTTGTGGATTACACAGCAGGCCTGGAGCAGAGCCAGTATCCGGGTTCTTGGGCTCGCGCACGGCAGGCTGCGTGCAAGGGAGCACGAGGTCCTCGTTGGGCAACCCGACCGAGTTTCCAGACGTTGGAGGAGGGACGGCGACAGCGGAAGTCGAAGTCGTGTGAGTTGTGGCGGCAGCGGCGGCGGCAGCTCTTCGGGCTGACCAGTATGAATGCAATCGAGAAGGCCTTCGGGTTAGGCGAGATCGAGGGGGTTTGGCGGAGGAATTTGCAGGGACGGCGGTGGTGGTGGTAGTGGTGGGAATAATATTATTTTCGGAGTTGGTTGGGCGGGCGACTTGCGACGATGCACGAGGCGATGTGAACGTCAGCGGAGGTCGATCGTCGCGTGGCAGGTCCCACGTTGTTGGTTCCAAGGAAAGTTGGTGACTCTCGAGTTGACGTTGGGGTGGATGGGGGAGAGGCAATATCATCGGGGGCGCGAGTATGCACTACCGGTATGCAGGAGGCATGGAGAGAGCATGGGAAGACAATGAGGAGGTTGGTCCGTTCGTGCCCTTCGTGGTGTGCGGTATACGGTGGAATTGAGTTAGCCTGCAGCTTGCAGGAGGAGTGGACGACTAACTCAGGCCCTAGTGAAGATTTGGGGTGTTGGTGGGATGGGGGAGCAGAATAATGAATGAGTGGCGAGTGGTTAGAGTGTAGTAGACTGGTAGTAGTAATAAGAACTAATAAGTGGTGGATGGATGGGGGTGGACGGTGTGTCAACTGTCAACGCCTTGAAGCACCTCAATTCCTCAAAGAATTATGGGGCGGATGGAATAAAGCCGCACCACGCGATGGTGGATCTGAATAGTGAATGGGAACTGAATAGTGAATGGGAACTGAAGTGCCGAGGATATGACTGCCTATGGAGTCGTGGAGCAAGAAAGTCCACAATCCACGTTGCAGCGGCCTTAGTAAAGAATAGAGTTTTTTAGGGGGGAAATGGATGCTGCAGAAAAAGGCGACGGATTATGCAGGCAAAGTAGAAAAGGTGAAAGCTAAAAGAGGAGCGCGGTCCGGCTGGGGAAGCTAGAGCTATGAAGGCTCAAGGTACGGAACGATGCTGGATGTTAAGTACCGGGTTTGGTAACTGATAAGTGATGGGATTGTAGGAATTTGGTAGGATCATACCCAGCACTTTAGGATCATAGGTTAAGGATCGTAAGTTAGGGTAATAATAACGTGGGCTCCGCGCTGTGGAGGGATGATGCAACGAAGGAAATAAACGATGCAAATCGATTTTGGTTATCAGCGCTTCATTTGCCTAGACTCGCAACTATCCTGTACCAACGACCCGTTTGTTTCAGCTTTTTTCTCTGGCCAGTCGTAGTGGTCAGTGACCACCACAAGTCCCATAGTCTCCGACTGACTTGTCCCATTCACGTTCACGCGCCGTTGGCGCTGCAACCAATGTGAGACGGCGACATTTGGCCGGCTGGTGACAGACTGACAGAACTGAGAAGGGGAATACTTGGTTTCGGTCTCAAGAAATGGTCTCTACTGATCCACTAAACCGCCCGATCGCTGTTTCGCAAATGGCTCATGAACCTCAAACAGGCTGCGTTGAATGTGAGTCTGGCTGGGTCTGGGTCTGGTCGATTGTTCCACAGGACTGGAGGACCAGATCTTGTTTGGATCAGCAGCGAAGAATCTTTTCTCAACAGTGTTCGGATATTTCTAGAATTATTCCTACAACCTGGGCTTTAAGACATCAATGTTATGCACTTCAGTATGTAACTACACGGATTCATATTATTATGGAACATCTTGACGCATTTATGTACCTGAGTAACCACCAGGCATGCAGCGATCAGCGATCAGTTCAGCAGACATCTGGGTAATGCTGAATAATCTACCGAGTAGACTCTGGGCAGGATTCGATTATTCGATCCTTTTGATTGACCTGATTGCGACAGTTTTCCCTTCATTTCGTGAGAGGACTCATATCTGCAATCTCTCTGGGCTCACTCCCGGGTTGTTAGAGGAGATTAGCGTCTAGCAGTCACAGGATGACAGGCGGAAGAGGGTGAGGGCCAGGGGGGGCATCTCAAGCCTAAGCCTAAGCATGTAGCTAGCGCCGTAAAAGCGCACGCGGTGCCCTTGCACTCAGTGATGCAGCCATGCAGCCTGCAGGCCATGCAGCCGTCGATCGCTGAATGAGCAGCACAACGTGGTCAGTGGTGGTGTTCCCATCAGACATCAGTCTAGACGGAGGCCGAATCAGAACTGGTGTTCGGGGGACTCGGACATCAGGCGGGAAGAAATCAAAATGGAATCTTAATGGACGATCACTAAGGTAATGGGGGCTATCTTTCATGCCTACCATGTACGTAATCATTCCCGATTCTTTTGATTCATTCTGCCATTCATTCTGCCATCCATTATTTAGTTATTTTCGTCCTCTCCGCACAAGTTATGTCATGTTCTTTCAACTGAGCATGATTTATTGATGAGGTGGACAAGAGAGAGCATGGCTGCATGGACATCACGTTGCGTGCTTGCTTGCATCGTTTCGTCACACAACCGGAAAGACACGAGGTAGGCCTGTCGTAGCGTTGTTTGACTCGTTGTGATTTGCCGCCTGTAGGAGCCATTTTTGTGAGGATGAGGCCTCATGAGGGGCACTTCCTGGCCGTTTGAACTGTGGACCGTGGAGAGAGTGGCTTGTCATTTCAAGGTCTAGGGAGGGAGGGAGGCCTGTCGCACCACATGGAAGAGCCCGGCAGTCCAGCACCCCAGGGACCAGGACTCCAGGACGAAACAGGGAAGAGCCAGGGAAGAAGAGTCAGGGAAGAAAGGAACAGTGAAGAAACACCCCCAGTGGCGCTGGGCAAACAGGGTTAGGCTCACACCAGCCAGTCATCGCCCATCGGGGCTCCCTCCCCCGTTCGCCCTTTCTCAGATTCTCTCCCTTTCTCACTGACAGCAATAGACAAGGACCCCAGCCCTGCCATGCTCTCTCCAAAGTGCTGCCCAGTCCAGCCCAGACAGCCCAGTCCAGGCTCCGGTCTTTCTGGTGGCCGCTATTCAGTGTCATGTTTCGGACACAGCAGCCCAAACTCGTGAGTCGTGAAGTTGTTAATTATCAGAGATTCGGGGTTCTCTGCCATGTGGTCGCCACAAATCACCAACAGGGAAAAGGGAGAAGGGGAAAATCCCCAAAAAGGGCTTTCCCCCAAGCAGCGCACACGACAGATTCTCGTCGACCTGTGATGTAGGCAGTAGCAAAAGTTGCAACGCGTGTCACATTGATCCTCCCACAAGGGCTTTTCCCACTGCACAAGGCCACAACCGTCCAAACTGACATGCCGATACATGGTCGCCAAGACAGTCAAGGTCACCAAGAAAAGCCAAGGGCATCAAGGGGACGGGATGCCATGTGGAAGACGCTGCGTTGCTGCTTTTCACGTCGCACCTTTATTGCAGTTCGTGTTGCCTTGGGAATCGCCGAATCGTCGTGCTGCTTTTGCGTCCCATGTCTCTCCAGTCTCCATGAGACATGAATCCATGCCACTGATGATGATCGTCCCTGAGCTGTTAGTCTGGCGCATAATTCCATGATTTCCAACAGTCCCAATTCCCACTCTAATTGCAATGAGCATTGAGAGCGGACATTCATCTTCTTTCGAATAAATCCCCGTCTCGTGAGTGGTGCCCACCGCATCTTCACAATGAAGACATAAGGAATTAGCCATTAGGAGTCTAGAGAGCAGTGTTTTGTCATGCTCTAACCCAAACCGTTCAATTCCCGATTCCCGGATTTTTGATGATCATCGCAAAATTCTTCTCCTGTCGTAGCCCCAACTGACTCGTCCAACGGCCCAACAACGAACTCCTCCAAATCCAAACTATATTTCCTTACCTATCCACACCTCACAATGTCATCAGACAATCGCAGTCGTGATGGGCTTGATGGCGCTCTCTTGATGGATGATCCCAATTCCCATCCAAAGCATAGTCTCCCAAGTGTCAACGTGATCAGTCATCCACCGCCTTTCTTCCCCATTTCGTCCCTTCGGGCCCATCGGCGTGGAAATTGGAGCGGACCGCCGATCTCATGCGCCCACCGCTTGGCCTTCATGCTCGTTTCGCGTTTGCAATTTGTCCAGCCGACCGGGCCCATCGAGAGTCTATGGCTCTCCTCTCTCCATCGAGTACGTATTCGCGTTGCAGAAGTGAAAAGCGGGAAGCGAGACGGGCCTGCGCAAGTTTCATGTAACTTAACTCATTGGGTCTAAAACGCTAAATGGAGTGGGACCATGCGAATTTCCATCGCTCACTCTCTGTTCCTGACGGAATGCAAGATCCAATGGAAGCTGCGCTGTGAAAATCTTCGTGATACCGACCAGGCGACCACGATAAGTACCTCAAGGAATAGATCTATTCTTCCCAGATTGAATCAACCTCCGTCGAGAGAGGGAAATCCCGTCTCCGAATCCCGCGCGAGCCATACATCGCTTCTGCAGTCTACGATTGCGACGTCAACAGGTCTGGACTCTGGAGGGTCTAATGCCTAAGTCTATTGATATTCGGACCGATATGCTTCGCTCGAGACCCACCACAGTGTGTCCAGTGTCCGCGGAGCTTCTGGACTAGCGGGTTTTGCTCGTGAAGACGTGACGTCTCTAAGGCATCCAAACGAAGACCTACGCAATGAAATAATGCCATTCCTAACTCCCGTGCCATATAATTCCCGACTTCCGTCCTTCGCCCTTCGCACTTCGGTCATTCGGAGGAGGAAATCATCAGATCTTCCGCCAATGGTGATCGTGGCAAACCCGTTCTGGAACTCTTCTAGAACGCGAGCCCTAAACCTGAAATATGTGTGGGACATCTCTTTCGTCACGCATGGTTTTATGTTGCACCTTTTCCGCTTCCGTCGTGAGCTACTAGCTAGTAGCCTACCCTATATGTAATCCTCACACCATGTTTTATACTGACGCACCAAGGGAAATAGCCGTGTTTGAGTAGGACCAAGTCAAGCCAATGTTTAGCAACGAACTTGGAGATGATTCGTGATGGACATGTTGGATGCTCTAGATACAGCAGGGTTCCTAATTCGAGAGTGGTGCTTAAAAGCCCCTGAGATTCTGAGAAGAACCGGGTCGAACATCGAAGTAGCAGCCGACGTTCAAACAGAAACACGCTTCTTTTCGGAGTGTAGAATCCAAGGTCGACGAGTCGTCCAATGCCTCTATCCCGCCTGATGGATTATTATTAGTTGCGGATTGATACATGCGCAACCCGACCATCCACCGAACCCGGGCAAAACAATCCTGATGGATCCATTCTGCCACAATGTCACGGTGTCATAGGCCAACCCGTGGTTCCAAGTAAGGTGTCCAATACTTTCTCATGCAGCGCTCCATTTCCGACAAGCCCCGATGCGTTCAATCCATAATGCAGCCGAGATAACGCCCGTCGATCGAACGTTTTCGAAAAGAGGACCCGATCCCGACTAGGATGGACCTGCCGCCACGTGGACGCTGTCACCCGCAAAGATCAAGATACACCCCGTGGCCTGTCACATCTCATTTAGATCTCATCGTCGGAACGTCCCCAACCCACGCGGCATCCCGCGAGGTCACACAACATCACTGGCCTCCATTCACTCAGCCTTCCAACGTAGCTCTTGCGTACATGCGGTTATTGTTTCTTTCGGCCATGCCGATGGTCGGATGAGCTTCTTCCGACGTTGCTAGGGGCTGGATTCGAGGAGCTCCCAAACACGGGCAGCTGCTTGCTCATGGCTTCGTACGTGATATCGCCGTGCTCCTTCGGGAGGCAGCTGCTGCGTCAGGTTGTTATTCTATTATTGCTTGTTGCGTTTTTGCTGTAAACCACTGGCACCAACGAGGCAACGACTGGCCATCGGCCTCGATAATTCCCGACCCGAGCCGCCGGTGTACGCTGTCATAAGGTAATATTATCGAACGCGAAGACAGACTTCGAAACGACCGGGACCATCCTTGGTTGAAGGCTCAGACCCTCTATCCGCCTGTTCCCGTCTCTGGCGTCCCATCGGAACGGTCATCGCGAATATGTCGATTGCCTTGAATCTCCGAGCCTCGTCTCACGGCCTACCCCTGGTCTCTCACGCAGTATCGGATTTCCCGAGGTCGGTTTTTCCGTCCGGTGAGGCGTCGTCGCTACCGGAGGGCTGGGTTTTAGTGACTCGAGAATCTTTGTCGTTTTCGACCCTGAAATCGATTCATGGTTCCAGAAGAGGTTCCTGGGGTTTTGTATGGAGTTCAGAACAATCAAGATTCTACCGGAAGATGTCAACCGTTGTGATTTTCCACTTCCCATCTCATAGTTCGTCGCCCGTCTGCTGTTTGCTTCAATGTATGTCTCATGCGCGGCAAGCCCTTCGCCTGCCCTTCTGTCCTGTTTTCGCCGTTTTCCAAGTCCTCAACGCATCTACCCGCAACTAGTGACATTCCTGGCCGCAGCCCCTTTCCCAGTTCCCATCACCAGAACCTAAAATACCTCATGATTCCCCTTTTCAGCCCAAGGCATCCAAGATTCCATCTCTCTGTGTCCGCAGTTGAACCATCAAAACAAAAACTCCACACTGAAGCGGACTGTCGAGCCGCAGTCTCTTTCCCGTCTCCGTTCTGGAGCGGCTCGAGTACAGTGTCCAGGCAAAACGGCCACGTTGGAGCAAGGTCCTTTTGTGTAAGGGAGCACAACAACAATGACTATGTGGCGAGGTTACACGGCGTCCGTTTCTCCCAGTCGATGCGGCATCCCGATGACTGCTATTAGTTGACAATTAGCACTGCGAAGCAGACCAATCCCTGCGTGGAGCGGCTGGCGCGCCTGGCTTCTGGTTCCGAAGTGAATATTCCTTTTTTGACAGAATACATGGAGACCGGTGAGGATATGACGGGTCGTTCGGATGTTTTTGCGTTTCTTCGTCCAGACTAGCCATGAAGGGGCTGGAGTGAGATCGCTCTCTGGCTACTTCTTGATCGGAGGGCAGGCAGAGGCCAACCGTCTCATTGCGTCTGTTCGTTATCGTTCGGGACACCTCATCTTCTCGTCCGGTCAGCGTCGGATACTACCTGAAGAAAAGCGCTGGGAATTACGGCGGAGCCTTTCCAGTCGTATCTGTCCTCAAAGCGCCTTACCACCTCTAGCTGCACTTCCGAGCGAGAAATCCGTATGTTCCCAACAGATCGTATTTCCTTTCCGACGCATCTGTCCGTTCTCGAAGTCTCGCGGTGAAATTCCCCACCTTGAATTGATCCAAATCTCTTCTCGCAACGAATGGCGGAACGTTGGTATTTCTCCGCCAGGACTTGGCTGGTTTTCAAGTTATTACTTGATCACATAGGGTGTGAAGATGCAACTCCCTATTCATAACCATGAGCATGGCGGCACACATGGATAACTTTCAATAAATTCGTCATTGGCATGCAAGCTCCCGTGTCATGTCCAAGGCCTTCGCTCGAAACATGTTGCTCGAAGAGAAAATATATACACTGTGAAAGGCCAGGCTAACGGTGTCGGCAAGAATCATTACCATGCCAAATGCGATGTCGAGTGCCTTAAATCGGTCCCTAAACGCCGGAGATGCAAGGTTTTTTTTAGACGGTCATGATTGAAAATCGGGATCATCGACTTCCAGCTGGTTGATCTTCTTCTTGGTGAACTCGAACGCGGAGAAGAAGATGGCATTGACGACACACGAACGACCCATGGAAACGGTAAGACCTATCGAACGGTAAGAACGTGATCAACTCAGACAGACCGCGATGAACGAGAAGACAAACCTCGATACATTCGCCTGTTGAAGAATTCGATTTTGGTCCTAGTGGTCTCCCCTTTCCCGCCAGTCAAGCAATTTCGCTGGTATATACTTTTGGCGGAATCAATCGGATATATCTAGAGGGCGATCAGCGGACATCCGTGGATATCATCGGGGGTAAAACAGAGTGACTCACACATGCCCAACTAGCGAGGCCGCAAAGTCCACCGGCAGTGACCACTGCTGCTGGGGAGGTCGGCGAATTGCCTCTCGCGTTTGCCAGAAGCTGTTTGGCACTCTCATACGTCATAAAATACACACCGGTGCCTATCGTGTCGCGGACTATCCTCTCATGAGCGAATGGACAGATATGGCTCGGCATTGAGAGATCGACTCACGCAGATGGTAGTGAAAGCCTGCATACAATGCCGCCATCCCTCTATGCTTGATGAGTGCATGTGCCGTTCGAAGGGTTCCCATCTGTTGGTATCTCTGGCTGAGGGAGTCGATTACTTTGCTTCCCTCGTTCCGGTTCGCCATCAGAACAGAGAGCTGGGCGCTCAATTTTGTCAACTCAAAAGGGCCTGCAACAAAGCCAATCAGCGACATTCACCAGACCTTCATACCCTTACTTACATGCTATTGTCGTAATCATCGCGCCAGCTGTGGCACCTGCTCCTCCAAAGCACAATGCCGTGGACAGCGACGGAAGGGCTCCTCTGGTGTTTGCGACGACCAGCGGGGAATTTCCGGTCGCTTGGTAGATCCAGTCATCGTAGGTGTATTTCGCTTTCTGGTATATCGAGAAGGATAGCGTTCGTACGAGTGTTATACTCGCCAGGGGCGACCAAACTCCTTGCATACGCATCAGTACCGCATTTATGGGATATGTTCATGCTCGACCAACCTCTCCAAAAGCCATGGAACCCTTCTGTTCGATAGGTGTGCTGAATGCAGTCGAGGAGGGAGCTGAATTGGTAACTAGGCTGGATATCAGCTCGGTAAACACGCAAGTCAGGGCTTCGGGCGTCTTACGTTTGCATTCGAGTTTTGACCGAGTCCAAAGGATACTGTAGAAAGACCGTGTTAGACGCGTTGCCAATGCAACTCCATCTTAAGCACTTACGGTCATAAACGTCGACAGCAGACTGCTCGTGCTGGCTGCAATCTCCGTGCGATACTTCTTTATCCATAGCTTTCTCGAATCGTCCAGGTATGGGTGCCGACTCGGGACAATCGCATGCGGCTGGCTCGCCTGGAGCGAAGTAGACCTGGTGTGGTCATCGTCGCGCTCCGGCATGCTGGGCTGGCTATCGCGAGCTGTTGAAGACCGTAAAGGTCCTCACGGCAATCGCGATATGGCCAGTAGCCAGTGCCGCTCCATAAAGCTCTCGACCAACACACGAGGGTCCAATGGTCGGAATTGATGTCCGGGAGGAGGGTGTATTCGCGATATTGCCTGGAATCGGGCAATGCGATGTCGTGAGAAGGATTGGAGAGCTACGGAGGATACTCGGGTACGTTCCTGGATTTCAGGAAGTTGTTCAGTGGTTGTTGATGTTGAGAACTAAAGACGCTATGACGGAGATGCGATCTCGAAGAACGTGAGGGGCATCCAAAGATTTGATACGGAACTCCTTCGGGTGATGGGAATAGGGCGGGGATGACTGGACTGGAATGGCACTAATTATATGGCAGCAGCCAAAATCCAAAAGATTCAACAATGCAATATTTTCAGTTCATCACGAGTGTCTTTTTCATTTGCGGAGTAGAATACCGCATGGCGAATATAAATGATCGGAATCTGGTTGAAATGTCCTCAAGTTCTCTATCGTGTAGTATCAACAGGGAACTCGAATTGTACTGTTCGTAAATCCTAGTGTTACCCCCCTAAGAAGCATGCGTTCGCTCATGCCATTCCACCGTTCACCCTCAGAACCTGTCCAGAGACCCATCTGCCCCCTCACCGGCCAGGAAAGCGGCGGCATCAGCCTGATCCTCAGGCTCGGCGATCCTATTAAAAGGATTGCCCGACGCGAGTGCCTTGATGACCTGCTCACTCTTCCCCTTCAAGAACAGGTCGGTTCCAGTGGGGCCGGGAGAGAGAGCGTTGACCAAGATCCGCCTTCGTCCGAGATCCCTGGCTAAGACCCGGGTTCATCTGTTCGATCGCGCCTTCGGTGCTGTTGTATAGGAGGTCTGTTCAAAGGCGTTAGATTGTATCCGTCTCGCTGGACGCGGCCAATACTTACAGTTCGGCGGCACTGTGCTCGATGCGCATGGCGATGTCGACACCAGGATAATGCGGGAGCCCTCAGGCATGTGAGGAACCGCCTTTTGGGCGAGGAAATATGGTCCTTTGACATTGAGCGCGAACGTCTGATCAAAGTCCGCCTCGCTCGTGCTCATCAGATCCCTCATCGGAAGCACTCCTGCGTTCGCCATTAAGATATCGATCTTGCCGAACTTCTGCACTGTCTCTTGCACGATTCGTTCGATATCCGGGATACGGGCTGCGTTGCCTTGAATAGAGATCGCCTTGTCGTCGCCGATCTGCTGGACCACTTCATCTGCGGCCTTGGAGTCGAACGAATAGTTGATGGCGACTGCAGCGCGGTCTTGAGCGAGGCGCAGGGCAACAGCTTTGCCTATGCCCTTGCGGCCGCCAGTTATGAGAGCAACTTTCCCAGTCAGCGGACCGGCCATTTTGTCGTCTTCAGGAGAATATAGGTGTGCAAATGATGTGAGAGGTAATGATGCGGCAAGAGCCCAACCGGAATTAAAGACTGATCTATGGTTTAAAGCTGATCGAACTAACTTGGTAGGACAAAATGATATGAACTCGAACGAAGGAATGATACATTAAATATCCAAATGAACACGGATCTAGAATAGAAACCGTTATTTCGGCTTTTTATGCAGCAAATAGGTCTTGGAAATGGCAGCCTCGACATGTTCGAAGTAACGTTGATAATAATACATTCGAATAGAATGATCCCTGATCTGAAGTTCCAAATATCCAAACAAAAGTGGTATATATAACCTTTGGCCCCGGCAGTCGCTCCGAATCCGTTTGTATCCATTGGTCTAATACCAATCGCTGTTCCCTAGGAACAACAAGAATTTTTTTGAATCATAAGTCCGTAAATGAGAGGCATTACCCCAACCCAAAAGCCTCGTCAGGTAGGTAGGGTTAGGATTAGGTGCGCAAACTCGAGGGTACGATATCCCTAAACTTCCTATTCTCGCCCCTTTCCGAGTCCCTCTCCTTCCCGCTACTAATATCGACCTCCATCGTGCGCCAGATGCCCTGCTGGCTATTGTTGCTCTCGGCATCGTAGCCTTTCGCCCTCGTCTCGTATTTGGCATCTTCTCTGAGCGCCAGTTCCGAGACAGAAGAGGCCCGTCCCTTTGGGTTGGAGGAGAGCTTGAAGCGGGATCCGGAACGACTCCGCGAATTGTCCGTGCCGGAGCGCGAGTTGGCCGACCGGAAGGTAGCTTTGTGGAAGAAAGGCCGCAGGGTCGGGATGCAGGCGGCGACGAGGACGACGTTTTGCTCGATGAGGCCCCAGATGACGAGGGGGACCACGTTCCATACTATTGCGCTTGTTAATTACAAGAGAGGGAAAGGGTAGAACCGGGTGGAACTTACGAGGATCCGTGCGGTCCGTAAATAGATGCAGATACGTCGCCTTCACAATCGTGACAATGGCGCTCAGCAGCGTCAGCCCCATCATGATACAGACACCCAACTTGGTCGAGAAGGGCATCTGCAGCTTCCAGAACACCGAGATGGGGACAACGGCAAGCACAATGTCCGTCACCGTCGTGTACGCGCTGACGAAGTAGTTAAAGTTGTTGAACACCGCCGGATCCCAGCACTTGGCGTTCGGCGTGTTCGGGTTCCATAGCATCTCAACCGGCGTGCATTGCACGAAGATGAGGACGACGGAGACGAGGGCGATCACGACTTGCACGGTGACCATGCCGTAGAGGAGATTCGTGCGCAGCGGGTACCGGTCCAGGAGATGGACAATGAGGATAGCGATGGAGATATTCGGGAAACTGAAGGCGCCTGAATGGTGGTATGTTAGTCTCGAGACCTATGGATGCTGGAGAATCGACTGGACGGACCAATGTTGAAGGCTGGCAGTGCGTTAGCTCATAAGTTCCATAGTATATCGAATATCAGCACATACGAAATCCCAAAATCTGCCATTTGGCTGTAAGGACCACTCCGTCGGCCCCATGGTCAGCGATTACCGCTGCCGTATGCCGACCCAGGCCAAGGGTAACGGAGTAAGATACAAATGCCGCAGCGATTATGCTGAGAGCCTATAAAGTCCATTATCAGCCTCGTCCGTACCATACCATTCTGCTATGCTTACCAGCGAGAGGAAGATGAAAAAGTCATCCCAGCCAAGGCGCTTGGTAATCTGTGACCGCGCAAATAGCTTCAGGAAGACCGTCGCAATCGCAATGCCAGTAAATACCCACGCAATGATGTTGACGGTCATCCCACGACTGTCATGGAATTGGGCTTCGGTCAGCGCCGGAGGTGGAGGAGCGCTTGCCATGGTGAAATAGTGGATGGTCGTCGTTCAGACAAGACAGTCGGGCTTTCGAAACATGAACCACAAGAACAGAGTCTCGAATCTGCAATGCCGGCAGGCCGCAATAATGAAAGTGTTTTACACTACTCTGTATGTATATGATGGTTCCGGTTCACGCCCGGAGCAGTGGGAACGCTGGACTAGAAGTAATACGGTAAGAAAGTGAACTGGCCCATAGTTCATACATATGGGCTTACTCCGATCATCGCCCGTAGCAAGGACAAGACAACTAGAAAACGAGAAAACGATCGAGTCGTGGACTTGCAGGCTCAGCAAAGGCCGTGACATGGATATGACATGTTCAGGGGCGGAGCTGCATATTTCGCTATGGAGTGGTGAGTGCTGATCAGTCTGGGTTTGAATGCGAATGGAGACGACACTCCACTTCGGAGTTCCGGGTCACTCCAGACATTGACAGACTGGAATACTTCCGCCGCCAAGATCTAACGGCCTATCCATTCCCGTTTGATAGGTGCTCTGAGGGCAAAACGTGGGCCTTTATACGGAGCTAACAGATGGCAGAATTGCTTAAGCGAAGCCAATTAGTGTTAGCAGGAGGACACTCGAGAATTGAAATGCTGTTGATTGTTTTGCTGATTTCTAACGCGTCTTCCAAGAGAGGACCCCCACGATTTTCGTCCGGAAGACCAAACAATGCTTGAGTCAGGAAATGACCCATAACTCATAATGTAACGGAAAATGAGGTGGGGGCTTTATACGGGTTCCTGGCCATGAGGCTTGAACGTGCTTGACCTGAAGAAGCATCCAGATTTCAGGCGGATTGAGTAATGATCTGCATTCAGGTCTGGCTGCACGAGTGAAACGACTCGCAAACAATCGCAAGAAGCGGCCGAGCGGCAGGAAAAGGCAGTCGATCCGTAACGGACTAACGGCGCGCAAGCATGTGGACTGATGGAGGATCCAGGCACTGTGGGGCACTCTTGTCTCCAGCGTAACCGAAACTTGAGAAATGAGACTCAGAGTTGAGAGTTGAGACGTTGGGCAGCGGACTAAAATTCGGCCCGACAATCCCTTTGGCAGGTGGTCCGGGGCGCCTGGCTCGGGAGTCGGGAAGTCAGGGGGAGTGACAGGGATGTGATTTGTCAAGTTCAGCTAAAGCCCTAAGACTGGTGACTATCGCCAAAATACGGGCACTTACCCACCAAACGTAGGCACCTCGCTGCCCTAACGGGTGCGAACTGCGAACAACCCAACAGAAAGTCGGAGCCCGTGCGGCTAACATCAAAGATCCAGTCTTAGACCCCTGCTTGCACCAACAAACTGGGAGAAGTCGGAAGGGCCTAAACCCTGCGAGTCTGCGAGTCTGCGAGTCTGCTTGAAGAAAACGATCCGCAGTGGACAGTGGACGCTTGGTCCCCGTACAAATGGCAAAGGGAACTTCCGCCAACTTCGGCTTCTAGAAAAGCCCTGAAAAGGGGGTCGATGATAATTAGCAGCGCGTGGAGCCACAACGTGGACGGCACCATCAGCCATGTCTCATCAGATCAACGAGCCACGGTCTACGAGGGTCGAGGGACGGCTGGTGAGGTCAGTAGTACTCTGTGCTGACTAGTGGGTATCTTCAGTTCTTCTTCAGAACCTTAAAGGATCTGTTGGAACTTGGACATTTTCCTACTTCCGTAATTGTGTCTCAGACTCCCAGTGGTCGGTTCCCTGCGTAGTTAGCTCCTGCAAGATTTCTTGGACTGAGAACACCTCTCCATCCTTGCCTCATCATCGATTCCCATCGCAACAACATGGCGTCTCCACCAGTCGCCGCGATTCTCGAAAGCCTTGCCACGGCCGGAAAGGCATTCGACAAGAATGAAGCCGGCTCGAGAGAAGCTCTTATCGAGAACAGCCGCGCGCTGGTCGCCGCGCTGGAGATTCCGAGCGAGTTCATCCAGCGCAGTTTCTGGGCCGAGGTGAGCTCTATGCCGAAAATGATTGGTTCCAACTATCGTGCTCACCATGTATAATAGCCCGCCATGTCCGCCAACATCGCCATCGCCGTCGATGTCAAGCTTTTCCAACATCTAAAGGAGGCGGGCGATGCGGGGCTCAGCGGTGCGGCGCTTGCTGAGAAGACCGGGTTCGATGTTGACTTGCTGGAACGCCTCGCAAGGCATCTCGTGGCGATGAACATCCTCACATATCACGACGGCGCGTTCCACGCCACGGCCCTGAGCAAGAGCCTCGCGGAGGAAAACTACCAGCACAGCATCTCCTTCTGCTACGATGCGGCACGGGCATCGTTCAACGGCTTCCCGGAATTCTTCAAGAAGACCGCGTACAAATCCCCCGCGTCCGGCGGGCTCGACGGCCCCTTCCAAGACGCGCACAAGACGAAGCTCCCATTCTTTGAATGGCTGGTCGCGACACCACCATACCTCCAATACTTTGGCTCCTTCATGAGCGCGTACCGCGCCGGCAAGGCGAACTGGTACGACGCGGGCTTCTACCCGGTCGCAGAGCGCATTATCACCGGCTTCGACGCCGAGGCCAGTGATGTCCTGCTCGTCGACGTGGGCGGTGGAGGGGGCCACGACGTCGCCGCCTTCGCCGCGCAATATGCCTCGCGCCCGGGCAAGATCGTCCTTCAGGATCGTGAGTCCGTGATCGCAGGTGTGCTGGCGAGCACCGAGGAGCGGTCCTATGAAGCGCAGCCGCACGACTTCTTCACGCCGCAGCCCATCCACGCGGCGCGTGCATACTCGCTCCATTCCATCCTCCATGACTGGAGCGATGAGAAGGGCGTCAAGATCCTGGAAAATTTGGTGCCGGCGCTCAAGAAGGGCTACTCGCGTGTCCTGCTTAACGAGATCGTGGTCAGCGAGGAGAAGCCGACGCTGGCGGCGACGAGTATGGACATGATGATGCTGGCGCATTTCGCGGTCCGGGAGCGGACGGAGGCGAACTGGCGGGCCATTCTGGCGAAGGCCGGGCTCAAGGTCGTCAACATCTATACGTATCCGGGGGTGGCGGAGAGTCTGATTGAGGCGGAATTAGCGTGAGCGGTTAGATGATCTTATAACGGCTTACACGCATATAGGTGTCGTTGAAAATTGGAATCGCTCGCCGTTGACTTGATGTGACCCGGGAAAAGGGTTCCCCATTTCCACGTTGATTACGGGTCTGGCATCACTTCATCCAGGTGCTTGTCCAAGACTCCGGCTCTTTTTCCGTAACATAATGCAACGCGTTTTGGACTGAAAGGCGTTCTCGGGTGGAGTTCTCGATGATGACGACGTCGCAGGTGATTCCCAGCATCCGTATGATAAATCGACTTTTCGTGGGCTTTGAAATCAATTCATTTTAAGCCTTGTTTACCTGCACCTCACAGATGATTCCCAGCATCCGTATGATAAATCGGCTTTCCGTGGGCTTTGAAATCGATTCATTTGAAGCCTTGCTTACCTGTACCTCACAGATGATTCCAGTCCAAAATTCGGGTCCACCGCCGCCCTCGGCCATTGACCTTGTCCAAGCTCCAAAGTAGTGGTTTGTCAATGATGGGGTGCGTCACTGAGTGGCGGAACGTGTTAGTTCGATGGAGTATCAAGACTCAGTAGGAGCTTACAGGTGTAGATACTAGACCCCCAATACCGCAAGTCCCAACTCCTAATGTAAGGTGCACGTACGAGCCAAGATCTTTGTCATTCGCCAAGCGGACTGCCCGGGCGGAATATATGGCCAATGTAGCAGGAGTGGCATAATAATACGGTTTACGAGTTCCGACTTAAGAGGAACCATTGCCAAATGACAGCGGGTCACAACAGTGGCAACATCACAGCATGCACGGGATGAGCTAGCGTGAACACAATAGGTAGGTGCTTGCGATTCGCATGCTAATCGCCGAGGAATAATAACAGATTCTATGTTCATGAATTTTACAGTTTACACTCTGTAAGAAGAAAAGACTAATAGGGTGACTAGGGAATCAGGAAGCACTCTGTGGCTAGGACAATGGAAAAGGAGAGAGATGAGGTGGCACGGTGGGTGAGTCTTGAGGTCATGCGCTCTAATCACATGATCCATCTAGCAGACACGGACGGAGCACAGCATCTAGATCTTGGGACTTGAGTCTGCCTCGGTGGCGCCACACAAGGTCACAGGGTGACTAGAGGTTGTAGTAGTACAGCATCTTGCTGGATGCTGATGTAAAAGTTCGATTAGGACGGCCATTATTATTATGGGATGGAATGTTCGGTCCTTGGCAGTATTGACACCATCTTCAATCCAGTCTAGCCATCCAATCCGGCAGCTCGCAAGACTCACGCCAAGGCCATTTGATGTTTTATTATACACGCCAACTCGCCAAGCCATTTCCACCCTAGTCCATGTTCCTTGGCTCCAGTCGGTTAGGATCTTCGTTAGATCATCACTTTATTGAGACTTCCGCGTATCTGGAACACGAAATGCCCTTGTTAGCCAACCCGAAACCACCTGAAACGGGTTGGAGGTAGAAACCTAGTGCACCGCCTCCAATTGGGATTTCTAGTGTGCACACACGGGGATATGATAATCTGGTCTCCAGTTACGCCATACCTAGGTACGTACACGCTTTCTTTCTGCTTGCGACGAGCCCAGATTTGAGATGGTAGATCCGATTCTCTCCATTGATCATTATCCATCATCCAAAGTCCTCGTCTCCTCTCGGGGCCGTGCAAGTTAGGCTTGCCGCTAACAGCCTACTATGTACTATCTCACTCCCAGTTCCCACAGCGCATCTTGCCGCCTCTACCCCGGACTTGTACAGGGTGACCAGTCACTAGCATTCACTGACGAGCGACTGGCCAAGTGACCAGCGACCAGTGACCACCAGCACCCAACCAATTAGCACTGATATCTCACATCTTGTCAAACCGAGGGTTTCGTCCACATGCGGGGAAAGGCCACTATTAATTTACTATGTACATACAACCATGTACAAACGACGATGGGTGTACGCCACAAATAGGGCCTAGCCCATGGTTGACCAATCTATTCCAGACTTCCAAGGAATGAAAGAACTGATGGAAGCGATTCTCGTTGGACTGAGAGCCAGTAACATTTCGACGTCGGCCCACCGTATGGAAGCCGTGCCTCATTCATTTGCAAGCATGTGAATGTCTTTCCTTACATGGAACAATGCCCAGATTTAGGTACAGGTACTTATATCCATGGTCGTCTGGATATTGCGAACTCCAGATCGACCCCATCTCCATCGCTCGTCCCCAGAGGTTTCGAATCCTCTCCATTGGAGCACGAATATCGAGCACATCGCCTTGTTTTCATCAAAATGGGAGACAAGAAGGCTGTTGTGGAGCCCGCCTCCGAGAAGCAGGATGTGGAAATGGTCGAGATGGTGGACTCCGCTTCGGATAGAGGAGCCAAGACCGATTCCCTGAGAGACCGACTTCGCGTCAACGTCGACGGAAACGAGGACGATGCCCCTTTCAAGGTATGGCTAACCCATCATCAAGCCCGTCAACAATTGTGATCGTGTCGACCAAGTGGATCGAGATTGAAGCTGACCCTCCCTTCCAGCTGAACGCGCGCCTTGTTATGGCTCTTGTGGGCTGCAGTTTCGCCTTCGCCGGCTCGCAATTGATTCCGCTATCCTTCTTCACCCTCTATACCTTCATCGCCAAAGATTTTGGAGAAACCAACTTCGTCTGGCTGAAGGCCGCCAACTGGACCGGCCAGATCGGCGCCGCATGTACCCTGGGGCCTCTCTCCGATCTTCTCGGTCGCAAGCCCATGTTCATGGCTGGCATCTCTTTGTCTATGCTCGGCATGATTGTGTGCGCCTCGACCCCTACCGCCAGCGGCTTCATCGCCGGTCAAGCTCTGGCCGGTTTCGGGCTCATGGCCGAAGAACTCCTCGCTCTTGCCGTCACCGCGGAGCTCGTGCCGACCTCGAAACGAGCCGTTTACGGGGCCGCGATGATTGCTGGTTTCATTCCCTGGGCACCCGGTGCGTTGTACGCCCAGCTGATTGCCATGTACAATTGGAGATGGATTGGCTGCATGATTGCTATCTGGCACTTGCTGGCTCTGGCCATGATTGCTGGGTTCTACAAGCCACCGCCCAGAGTTGCTCACCAAAGCGAATCTAGGAAAGAAATCATTCAGAAGATCGATATAGTTGGCATTGCCCTTGGCATCACTGGGTTTGTGGTTTTCCTCGTCGGCCTCAACTGGGGAGGCCAGACGTATCCTTGGGCGTCGGTTCAAGTTGGGTGTGCTCTAGGCTTTGGCTTGTTCACCGTCATTCTGTTTATTTGCTGGGAAATGTTCGGCGCCAAGTACCCGTTGTTCCCTCGTCGGCTCGTCCAAGTCAAGAGTACCTTCTGGGCCATCATGCTGGTCATCTTCGCTGCCGGGATCAACTACGTTCCTCTCGCCATCTTCTGGCCCATCGAATCCATCAGTGTCTTCAACTCGAACCACAAAGAGACAGGACTCAATACCGTTCCTGTTGGCCTCTGCATTCTCGGTGGCGCCATCATCTCCGCCGGATTCTGCGGGAAATGGCCGCAGCATTGCCGTTTGATCATGACATTCTTCTGCATCATGCAAACAGCTGGTAAGTCCCGCCTCAGTCCCCCAGCCTGGTCCAAGAGTCCAGTGGCTGCGATGATTACACTCATTGAGCAATGCTGACCGTGTCTGCTTCAGGTGTCGGCGCCATGGCCGCCATTGATCCTCACAATATTAACACCGCGTGGCCCCCGCTTATCATCGGCCTCGTTGGAGTCGGCGGGGTGCTATTCCCCAACCAAATCATCGTCACCGTCATCACCCCCGACGATCTCCTGGCCACCGTCACGTCGCTCACCTTCGTCATCCGCGGCGTCAGCCAGTCGGTGGCGTTAGCCCTGCTCCAGAATCGTTTCGTCGCCGCCGTGACGGCGAACGCTTTAAAGCTCGTGGCTCCCGCCGCCATCAAAGCCGGCCTGACGAGCGTCCCGCAGATCACCGAACTGGTCAACTCGCTCACAGCGGTGCCATTCAAGGAGTATGTGCCCCAGATGTTGCCGATGGTCAATACGACCGAGAAATATGACATGCTCTTCGAGGCCACCGTGCAAACCTTTGGCAAGAGCTTCCCCACCTTGTATTACATTGGCCTCGGGTTTGGGATTGTCGGATGCATCGCCTCGATTTTGGTGGGGGATATGTCCAAGTACATGGACGAGCACGTGGCTGTCCATATTCACTGATCGCGTTACGTTACGAATGTACTCGACCTAGCTCCGCGTTGGAATTTGATTGATAGAATATGTCTAACTACCAATATATTGAACGTGCCGCACGTCCCATTTTGATTTTGCCTGATCGCTCGGACCACGCGCTAGAACCGCTAGAACCTAAAACCGTGACAGGCTGATTGGCAATTACTTTTCCGAGACGGTGAGACCCTATTCCCGAAACATCACGGACCATCAACGGGTGTATGGTCTAGAGGTATGATTCTTGCTTAGGGAAGTCAACACTTCAAAACATGCAAGAGGTCCCGCGTTCGATTCGCGGTACACCCCCTAATTAGTCTATTCTTTTTTTTGGCACGGATGTGTGCGAACCGGACGGTAACGAGACTAGCATAATCATAGACTATAGAATTATCCGTGATACCAGCAGAATCCAAGCCCTAATTATATTTAAATGACCACGGTATTAGGTAATACGTAATAAACTTAAATATGTAGTCGTATCACGCCGCCTTGGTATCCGAATAACCCTTTCTACCCTAACCAGTTTCGACGCTCGCCAGTATGTACGGACAGGTCAATATTGTTTTTGCATGCTTTGATGACTTAGGTATACGTCGTGAAGCCTACATCAAGACTCGAGAGGCCATACTGGAGAGAAGGTAGTTCAATGGAACAAGTAAGCAACCGTGACGGTAATCCGAGGGGCGGTCAAATTCTCCTATAATACCCATCAGGGTCCCTCTGTGGCAGAAAACTGTGATTGTGTCGAGATGCTTACAAACCTCCGAATTCTCCAGAATGGTCTTCGTCGACTTTGAACAAGATTTCCTATTCCCGACGGCGAACTCGACGAAGGTTGAAGGAGACAATGAACAATAGCTAGAATATTCAATTGATCTAGCAGGAAATTCTAAAAACATGACTATTCAACTCCTGATTCGACTCCAGTCATCGTTGACCATGCCCAAGACCCATGCACCTTGCTATGACCAGACCAAAAACCGAACATGTCAAAGAAAAGAAGCCGGATTTGACCCAGCTCCAAATGCTCCCTGCAATCCAAAGGGAAAATGACCCGGATATAAACCGTAAGATTGAGTGGCCCAAAATGCTCGCAAGTGCGAGCTCGTAGTGATGAGAAATGTACCAGGGGCCCCCAACGCCATAAACTCAGACCGTCTCAATATCCAGCTGAGAGATCCTCTTAAATCTCGTCAAAAGCTCTTATCTCGCCACATCTATAACTCGTCCAGCTCGAACTCCAAATTCACGTCCTCGCTGCAATCCACGCAGTAATAGTTGGAGAACCCGCCGCAGGTGACGCGCATGTTCCGGCACATATCGATGGACCAGGCGTCGTAGGAATAGCCGCTCAGGAGGCGGTTGGGGCAGATTTCGATGCTGTCGGACCAGATGAAGTAGGAGTGGTTGCAACTGCGGGGTGGATGTTAGTCGCTGTGGGGGAGGCGATTGTGTCGCCAGAGGCCGGATGAGGGGGAACTTACCAGTACCAGCTGTATGTATATTGACACATTTTGAAGAAGGGAAGCGGTTGGCTTCGGGGGAAGTGTGGGTTTGGGGGTACGGGGAGGAAGTCTAGATAGAGGTACAGAAGAGGTCGACCGACTGCAGGATCGTGCACACCGCTGGTTGGGTGCTAGGAGCTAGGAGACTTGTTCTACTGGCTGAATGCATGCGATAGAGGGAATCGATTTCCCAGGTATGCTCGCGACTGTCTACCTATCCAATAGATCTAGCAGTTCGGCTGATCGTCGTCTGGAAGTAATAGTATCCTCGAGGTGACTTCTGGAAGCGTGCTATAGTTTGAGTTACAAGGAGAAGAGAGGAGGAAAAGGAAAGGAGTCGGGCGACGACTTAAGTACAGGAAATACGAGACCTCTGCCAAAAAAATACGAAATAAAACCGAGCGCGATGAATGGAGGGCGAGGAGGCTTTTAAGTTATAACGGATGGCCACCCCACGGAACGAGGCGGTGGGGAGAGCCATGCGGGATTGCGGCCCAGCTACAGCAGTTCCGAACAATGGAGCAATGCCGGTCCAGAATCCGGAGTATTTGGGTAGATACTTAACCACGATTGGCTCATGGCAATGTCGGATACCAAATCAGGCATGAGGCGGCGGCAATGCGGGTCGCTGGGGCTGGAGTCGATCCGCATCCGACCAGGCTACCGTACCATATCCAATATTGCTGAACTGAGACCAGGTGACTCATATCAGGTCAGATGGATTGTTCCGTGCATCCATCGTATGCATGAATGCAGACAAGACAAGGCGGATGCGAGAGAGACGTTGATTCATTAGAGAGGCCATACTTCCGATGACCGGTCGAACACGAGACATGGAGTCTAGGCGACGGGTGAGGCTTGGAGACGAAGTTGATAGTGAAGAGATTCCGAATCCCCGACGTTCCAACATTCTGCAGGGTCCAACACTAATCTGCAGGGTCCCCGCCTTGCCGCCTCGCTGCCTCAGGAGGACCCTTTGCAAATTCCTGGAACATTGAGTGCTTTAATCCAATCACCGATAGTCTTCAGAGGTGGAATCGGGACCCGATCGCTGACTGGACCATTGTTCCTCCTCGAAAACTCAGATTCCGTGGCGTGGAGGTTCCCGATTCTTCCTCGCTGCGCTCCGGCTGTTCGGACATGGCGGGATGGTTGTGGAGGAGCGCAGGCGGTGCCGCTCGTCCCGCTGAGCGAACGGCAGTATTGAACTACAGTCTACGGGTTAGCACGTTCATCTACGCACTATTTTGGCGGGGTATGGTGGATTCCGATATAATAGGATTTAGGAAAGTCGATCTTGACTTCGCGTTCTCCCTTGTGTTGTCACTTGACGAATCACGGCATCGGTTCGGACTCAACAATATTTGACCGCCATTGCTTTCCATGCCGCAGCCTCTCAGCAACAGTTGTGAAGCGTCCAAGGCGTCGTGATCCCGAACCAGGTGTGATGATGTGCGACAGCTACCTTCTCCGACGTCGCAATTCATCTTGTCCGCTCAGCGCTCAGTGATTGATGCCTCGGCTTTGAATCTTGGATGTTCCAGGCCGCCTCGTGCTACCAGACCGTTCCGTGTGGCGCCGGTTTTGAGCAAAGAGTAGGCAAGGACAAGACGGTATTGTCATACAGTGATGAGATAAAGGTTGTGTTCGTCACGGTTTGATGCTAGTCACATGCAAGGAGTAGCTCGAGAAATAGTTGAGTGATAACAATGGGCATATGTATTTCTATGTTGACAGCACGCTGTGGGCGACCAAGCAGGAGTCTTGTAAATCCGTTGCCTCAGTCGTTAACTCCGAGGGCCTCGTCTGATATTCCGTAATACCTTTATCTCAACATGTATCCTACCCTATACTACTAAGCAGTACTGCGGTTTCTCTCCATTGACAGAGCCCTTTGGCCAAAACTAGGCCAATTAATCATAGAACAGGTGGTTCATACATCGGCACCATACTATATACAGTTCCAGAACCCGACTCCAAAATCTATAAGAATGCAGCTCCGCTTATCGTTGCTCGTTCCTCATCATTCATTCATAAAACCAGCAGTAACCCAAGCATTCCCACGATGATACAAACAACCCCTCCCCTAACCCCATGCATGCTCGCACTGCTAGCCGGAACCTTCTCAACTGCCCCCCCACCACCCGCCGTCGCCGAGCACTGCGCCCCAGTTCCACACGCATAATCAGTCGGACAACACCCGCCATTCGCGTCCGCAGGGCAACTGAACCACCCCGATGCACACGATCCCGCCGTCGTCGCTGGTCCATCTCCCACCGGCGCAACGACGGTGACCCCATTGGCGTCGACCGTAGTGGTGCTCTCCGCTCTCGGACAACTGGTCTCCGCGCAATCGCGGCCGACGCGGCAGCAGCCACCGATGTAGAACGCGGAGCACATGTAGAATCCGCCCGGGCAGCCGGAGATGGGTGGGAGGGTCGTTGTCGGTGCCGCGGACGTAGGTGGAGGAGAGGTGATTGTCGTGCTGCCAGTGGGTCGCACGGGAGGGGCCGCGGTGCTAAGCGGAGGACAATCGGTAGGTCCACAGCCGCGGTCGGAAGGACAGCAGCCGCCGCCGAGCGATGCGGGGCATGATTGGAAGCCGGGGCTGCAGGTCAGTGGTTGCGTTTGGGTGGTAGACGGTGGGGGAGGCGTCGGAGTGGTTGAGGGGCGACCGGTGGTGACTGTAACGACTGGGAGCGTTACGGTCGTTGTCATGGTGGACGCAACGATGCCTATTGCCCATCAGCATGAGGTATTTCAGTCAGCGGACTCCAACAGCACACTTACATCCAACATCGAGGCAGGCGTAGTTCGGTATACAGCATCCGCCGTTCGGGCTATTAGGACATGCCTGATACCCCGCCGCGGTGTCACACGACGACAGCTCCCCTCCGCAATTCGAACCTTGAGGACAACAGCCGACGTCGCCCAGACCCGTATCGTCCACCTGCACGCAAGTCTCGCCAGCTCCGCAGCAGGAGTTGGGTCGGCCGATCCCTGCGCAGCTCTCCGTTCCGAGGGGGCATAGGAAGTCCCGTCTAGATAGCCTACTGCGGCCCCATAGCCATCGATGCTCTTGTTCTGTTGCGTTCGAGTGGAGAAGGAAGGGTTGGAGGGGAGTCGGATCTGAGAGATTCGATCGATGGGCGAGGCGGTCGTGGTCTAAAGGGGCCGGGACAGATGCGACAGTATTGTCGTCAGGATCTGGAGACCCATCTGAAAATGCGCTTTCGGACGCCCACGCTTCATCTGAACTTTGCCCGAGCTGCCAGTAGTCGAGGAAGAACATCTCTCCTTCGTCGCCGGACATCTTCCGTACCGCGGTCGGCTGAGCATCTCTTCTTAGCCGCGAATGCGCTTCGATATTCCTCCGCACCAGCCGCTCGTGCTCGGGATAATACTTGACATCTGCAGGAAGATCGTAGGGCCATTTATCGCTGTCCACTGAGGCAGTCTCCGCCGAGGTGAGAAGCAGGACTAGGAACGATGACAGCAGTGATGGACTGCATAATGGACGCATTGTGGACTCTCAGGCAACGTATCACACCTGGTTTGAGATTAGTGAGGAATGTTAAAACGTGATCGCTAGGTTAGTTTGACCCAGTGGGTATGGTTCGGTATCGAATTGGGGAGGCTGGTCGACAAGAAAGCCATGATTGAATCCAGAGCTTACGTGAACGTCAACGGTTCGCCAAATGTAAATTTAGATTCCATACGTTCCAAACGCTTTGAGCTCGTGAGAGCATATTCTACAGAACCATCGGAAATTGTGCGTCACAACTTCGCTCTCCGGTACTCGTATCTGCTTCTATTCGACTGGTTGACTGGTTTGGGGTCGGGGTTAAAAGGCATCACGTGAGCTCGCGGGATTGTCGCGATGCACCTCGTAACGTGACGCGACTAGCTTCCACTGAATCCCAACGTCATCCCTAACCTGGATTCCGTGGCAACAGCTTCTTGTTAATCTTAGGGCGTGAGGTGTCGATGATATTTACTTATTCCTTCCTCTCCGTTGGATACTGTTTCTCTACATTGCGCTGCCATCTAGCCCCTTACATTTCACTTGGTTACAGGGCGTACGTCGTGCGATCGGAGACCATGAGCAGCCTCCGGCGCTCCGGACGGATTCAGGATCGGGTGCAGTCAAACGTTGCGAAGAGCAGGATACCGGCAACGGTCTCTAAAATATCCACTACAAAGCAGAATGGTCCCGGATCGAAGAAGCGAGGACGGACTCCTGAGCCTGCCCTCCCAGCAAGAGATGTAGACGCAAGAGGAGCCCAGGCAGCGCAATTCGCCGTTCCTACGACACCTGCCAAACGTCGGGCTAGGCCTACTAAGACTATAACGGATCCCACTCCCGTCACGCCGACCCCAGCAAAGGTTGACTTGATCGTGTCCGCCCATACACCTCCTGTTCCCATCACATCTCGAGTTTCTCGACCCGCGGGACTGCACGTCACGAATGCCTCGCTTTCAACACCCGGAGGCTCGAAGGTCGTGGCATACCTCCCCGATGCATCCCCAAGCAAAGCCGCCACGATCCCCCGCCCATCCACCACCACCGACACCCTCCTCGAAGAGGCGTGCGCCCATCTCGTCACGACAGACCCGACGTTGAAACCGCTGGTGGAAAAACATACCTGCCAAATGTTCACGCCGGCGGGGTTGGCGGAAGAGATAGACCCATTTGAGAGTTTGGCGTCGGGCATCATCTCGCAGCAAGTACGGCTCCCACCTCCCCTCTCAGTCTCGCATCCCCTAACTCACCATCCCAGGTCTCCGGCGCCGCCGCCCGCTCCATTAAAGCCAAATTCATCGCGCTCTTCCCCGCCGCTGCGCGCTTCCCCCCGCCGACCGACGTCGCCGCGACCTCCCTAGAGACTTTACGGACGGCCGGGCTGTCCCAGCGGAAGGCTGAGTATATAAAAGGCCTCGCGGAGAAGTTCGTGGGCGGTGAGCTGAATGTGCGGATGTTAGCGACCGCGTCTGATGAAGAGGTCATCGAGCGGCTGGTCGAGGTGCGGGGATTGGGCCGGTGGAGTGCGGAGATGTTCGCGTGCTTCGGGTTGCGGCGGATGGATATATTCGCGGTCGGCGACCTGGGGGTGCAGTAAGTTTTCGACTTTCGACGTTCACGCTGAATCAGAGGCTGACGGATGCATAGGAGAGGGCTTGCCATCTATCTAGGTAAGGACGTGAATAAACTGCGGAACAAGGGCGGTAAGTGGAAGTATTGTTCGGAGCAGGAGATGTTGACCCATTCGGCCAAATTTGCGCCGTACCGTACGCTCTTTATGTGGTATCTTTGGAGATTGACAGAGGTTGATGTGGACGCTATGAGTTGAGGTGAAGATCAGTCGAGCTGCACATATTCCATGGACTCATCCAACCTCTGGTAGCGATGGGTGTAAATCTGTGTTTGTAAATATACGACTTCGTGGCGTATCGATTGGGCCATATCCAGGTGCCCAGGTTCGGCACTGGCACAGTGTCACCGCGTATTTTCTGTTGCGTTTGTACTTAGCAATGCAGCCTGCAGTCCTGCACCATGCCGATTGTTGATCCATCATCCATGAAACAGCGTTTCGGTCATCACACGAATATGAAACAGAACAACCATTTCCTATAGGCGGTAGGGATGCAGCGCCCATGGCCTCAAGAAATGACGATGACCGTTGAGCCACCCGATCCGAACGGGACGCCCGCGTCGAAATTAACCCCTTTTCGATGCTCCCTCATTAAGATTTGGTTGCAGTCGAATGATTGTGCCCGCCATCCATGCATGGATGCCTTGATTGGAGACGGGCGCGAGCGAATGAGCCGCGATTAGCGGCCCCGTGTGGCATGGGACAAAACCTGTTCGAGCGCAACGATGGCATGCGGAACTGGCGATCGCGATCTTGCGGTCCTGAGAGCTAGAGAGGTTAAAACAGCCGATAATCTCCTTCGTTTCACATTGCCGTTCGGGATTGAGTAGCGATACCTATGATATGAGATATCGAAGCTGATCCGCTCTCCAGAGGACCTTCGCATTGCGAGTTTGCGACAGACAAACAAAGGGGAGGATATTGGGGTAGGGTTTAATTTATCCAGTAGTGCCGAGCCTGCGCAGTATCGATCCCCAGGAGGCCCGTGTGGTACAAACCATTGAAAGAATGAAAGGATGGAACCAAAGGATTTCAAGATTGGGACGGTGTCCCGCAATCTAAACCATCAACATGATATCTCCGCTGTCCGGCGTCCGCAATCACAATGATATCAACTTCGCATAGGTAGGGTGTTTGATGATTCCGCAATCCGGAATCCGATTTGGTGGATATCGCTCGGGGATTGTAGAAATTTAACATTGACAAAGGGGCACGACCTTCAACCTTCAATTGGAGTGAAACCAAGCAAGAGGTGGATGGACGGATGTACACAGAAGATGCAGTTGACACTTGACAGCTTCTCAACGTAATAGATCTTAGGTGGTACACTGTGACGGTATCCATGGCGTATCCAGTCAAAATGCTGCCCTCAAATCCGTCACTGGTATCACGATTTCACGACTCACGAGCAGCACGCCAGCACTGCATGGAATCCAGTCTCAAGAATAAAGAAAGCGTTCTGGATTTGAATGCTAATTCCCAATTCCCAAAAACCGACTTGGTTGCGTCATCCGCGGAATGGAATCGGCAGTGGTGGTGGGGAATGGAGACGATCCGAAGGAAATCAAGGAGCAGTGGCGTTCCCATTGGTTCTGGAACGAAGAGCCTGCATTGGGTTCTGCACCAATTGCCTAGCTGCAATGTTAGCTTGATGGATGTTGATAGAGAACTTTCGGTACATCGTTGAAGAATGAAGATGATGCGGGAAGTCCTGGATGATAGGTATCTAGGCGATAGCAGAATCATGTTCTATCGTGTGTGACTTGTGCAAGAGATGACCAGATAGAGCGAGTAGAATAATAGTGCGACCAGACTTTGATACCTTATCCAGTTGTTTCGTCCGAGGATGGTTGCGAATTTCCAGGGCTAGCGGATGGAACGTCGACGGGGACGCTCCTTTGTCCAATGGGTCGGTTTGTCAATCATAATTCACCCAAGACCATCATACATACCTTTGCGTTGATCTTTGTAAAGTTTGCATGAGTGGAGAGCCGATTCCCAGCGAACAGAGGCTCTTATCGCAACTCCCTCTAACTAACTAACTCCGAAGCGAACCCAAACAAATGAACAACAAAGCGAACGGATGAGGCGCGAACTGGTGTAGAAGACTACCTAATCACTAAAAGACGACCGGCAGTCGGGTCACGTCCTTTAGGGGGGACTAGGGGGGACTAGGGGAGGAGACCCACGAGGTTTCAAGTTTTGGTGGGAAGGCAAATCACATTTGGTTAATGAAGTGCCGGGGGGTCAACTGGGGGCATTTGGGGTAACTTGGGGACAAATTGGCGATTCGACCGCCCGTTCACTGTGTCGCACATGCCATCGGATGCCAACTATGCGCCGGCTCACCCCCTAATCGCCTGTTCAGTGTTGACTGTAGTGATGTCCTCCATGGCTCCATGGCTCCATCGCTATCATCAAGCTCTCCTAATTCTTGATCCACTCTTCCTCTTCTTCAACTCTGCTTGGCTCTTCTTCTTCACCTGCCATTTGATCCCTTGGATTCTTCCTTCGGTTTTTGCGCTTTTCACCTGCCTGTCGTTTATCAACTTCATTTCCCTTCTCTCATCAGTCATCAGCCACGCACTTGACTCCTCCATTCGTTGAGGTCCGAGCGTGCTGTCTGTGTTTGAGTTGATCCTCCTTCATTCATCGTCTCTCGTTGCTCTTCCCTCCATTCGCTCCCAGCGTTCATTTGGCTTGCTTGCTCCTTTGCTTGCAACTCCCACTTCATCCGTGACTTTGTGCCATTTTCAACGGCCTCGTCGACGGAAACTTATATTAATCTTCCTCAGGTATGATGCACTTGGATGCAATTGAGTCGTGATTTGCCTGGTTGCTGATGACATTGTTCCAGATATCCATCTGTTCATCCTCACATCCCTCACCATGCAAAAATACATTCTGGCTGCCCTCGCGGCCGCCGGCTCAGCCTACGGTACGTCGATTCTTCATTTTAATTTGGCCTAAACCCTGGAGTCCGGGGGATGGGCGATATCACCCATAACACGTCGGAATACTGACTTCTCGCCAGCTGCTTGCAGTGCTTCGGCAACTCTCACCATCTCGAACGCCGCCGATGCTTCGGCCCTGGCGTCCTGCAAGACCTTCACCGGGAACATCGCCATCGCAACGGACACGGTCGATCCGATCAACATCCCCAGTGTTAGAACCATCCGAGGTGACCTGATCGCCAACAATGTGAGCACCATGAACCAGCTGGGCGCGGATAGCGTGGAAATCATCACCGGAACCTTCGGCCTCAACGACGTGCAAACCCTGAGCGTCTTGAGCTTCCCCAAATTGACTGCCGTCGAATCCATCATCTGGCAGGGCCTGCCGAACTTGAACGGCTTGAACTTCGATGCGTCCGTCCAGCAAGCGTCCCGCGTGGATATTCAGAACACTTTCCTCGCATCGCTCAAGGGTATCAACCTGAAGATGGTGGACGAGCTTTACCTGGCGAACAATGGCATGCTACAGGAAGTCGACCTCCAACTCGGCAACGTCTCCCACGCTCTGACCCTCGACAACAACGGAGACCGTCTCCAGGCTTCGTTCCCGAACCTGATTTGGGCTTACAACTTGACTTTCCGCACTGCTCCTAGTGTCTCCCTCCCTTCGCTGAAATATGTGAATGGATCCATGGGCTTCTATGAGACCGCGGTCTCGGAAATCTTCGCAGCCAACCTGACTCGCGTGGGAGGATCTTTCTCGCTCGAGGACAACCCGGAACTGTTCAACCTGTCGTTCCCGCTTCTCCAAACCATCGACGGTGGCTTCAGGCTCGCTGAGAACCCCAAGGTGGCCGATCTTACGGGCTTCCCCGCTCTCAAGAACATCGGTGGTGCCTTCAACGTTAGCGGCGAATTCGAATCGTGAGTGCCGGAATTCTTGTACTATTTGCCATTCCACTAACCTTTCGGCAGGGTTGCGCTCCCGTCTCTCGGCGACGTCCGTGGCGCTTTCTACATCGCCAGCACCGAGGATATTAAATCTGAGTGCGACAAATATAAGTCGGTCAACGGTCCCAACAAGATTATCAAGGGCAAGTTCACTTGCGAATCCAAGCCCACCGCGTCGAGCGGCGGCGGCAGCGGCGGCAGCTCTACCGGCTCCGGATCGGGCACCACCTCGAGCGGCTCTGCGGCCCTGTTGGACGTCTCATCCACTGCCATGATGGGCTGGACGGGTTTCCTCGCCGCCATGCTCGGATTGCTCTGAGCGGGTTAGACGCGACGTGGTGATTAGCAAGAATTCTTTTTAATGTCGAAGGTGAAAGCAAATCCTCTGCGCACCAACGGGAGATTTGAACCCCATCTTTCCGCTGGTGGCGGGTGCGGAGGCATTCTTTGTTTCGTGGTCGCGGTTCATGGCGGGAGCCCTATGCATACCGGCGAGTATTATTCTTGGCCGTTTGGAACCAGCGTGTATGTATCGATTCACATTTGACGGAAGGTCATTCAAAGGCAGTTCGAGTCTCTCATTCCCGGTGGTTCCAAAAGTTTCTCTATTCTCCGTACATTGGATCTTCCCCCGGTTGTGGCCCGCACGGAAGCCAAGCAGCGACGTAATTGTGGAGGAAACCGAACGCGAGCATCGTCTCGACCGAATTGGGTACGCTTGCGCTTCCCTGGTGTATGTGCGAGGCGACATCCGGGGAGGCATTCCACTCGAGAGTGATTATCATTGTTGTTCCCGCGTTTCCTCAGTTCCAGGTTAATACATAGATTCCGCATGGTTTTTGCTTCCCGTTTTGTAAATCGCTCAACCTGCACTCGCGACGCGGCCATATGTCCCTTGCACCCTGCCACAATGCCGAAGTCGTGCCCTTTCCGCCGTCATTTCCCTGCAAAGCTAAATGATCGCTGCAGTCATCCGAGTTGCCGCGAGGAGGGTGGCTGTTTACGCTCGCCCTGTGCGGTACCGTCCATATCCCCGTCCCTGTGGAACCATGTGTAGACACTGTGCGACCACTCCTGAGCGTTTCGTTTCGTGGTCGTCTTCCCCCCCGTCTCAACCGTCGCCTGCCCCTTCCCGGATCGTCGAAGGCGCTCGACTGCTCGAGGCTTAGGTCGATCTGTCATCTATCGCATCTGGATCAGCGTGCAGGTTCATGTAGCTCCCGTCGCCGTCTTTGCCGTCCAATTCGTCCATGCCTGTGTCCAGATCGATTCCAGATCGATCGGCCATCGCCTTCCGCGTGACGGAGCTAAAAGCAAAAGCCCTTTACCTCCTCCTATCTACTTGCTGGCTTGCTGTCGATCCTCCCTACCACCATCACTCGTGCCTGGTCAACCGACTTGGAAAACTTTGGTTACTCAAACTTCCTCGATATGCACGGCACGTTCATGGTAAGTTGGGGGGGGAAGGGGGTGGGAGGTGGAGCCGCCGCAAACGTTGGACCGTTGAGAAGAAACGAAACACGACCGTTGCCCTCCACGACCTTTGCGCCGCCCGCCGTTCCTGGCCACGACCCCGAAAAACCCGCAAGAAAAAATGATTCCAGATGGGGTTCGGGGGTTCGTCGCTTGCGGTTCCTTGCATTGGGCAACGCTCACAACCGTTTACCCGTTTGTGTCTTGCAGGACTGTCAACCAGAAATTGACCACTTTTACGGTTGCAATGTGTATCCCCTCCCCCCATGGCCCCCAGGCCCCTTCTCATGATATGCATCTCTCCCACGTCCCCTTTCTGCATGGGATGCCGTCGCGGAGACGCGGATCGACCTGCTCCTGGTCTGCAATGTCCAATCGTTTGTCGTCCTGTCGACGCTCTTGTACTTCGCATCAGCTGAAAGGCTGCAACACAAGCCGCTTTGGATCGCTGGTTTAGACCTCGACGTTACCCCCAACGTCGTTTTGGATACATCTGGGGAAGGCTGCTGTCAGACGCCGTGACCCGCCGTAGCCGTCAGTTGAGATGCCATGCAACGAGGCCGCTCGCGTTCAGAATTCATATACATTTGGTCGCCCCGTCTCACAGGTAAGATGGCCCTCTAGTTTTTCAATAGTTCCTACCGGCGGCATTCTTTGCTTTCGTTCCTGCTCGTGTCCCCTCTTGCTTTATATGTCGTTTCGTTCAGTTCTGCTTGAACAGCGTCCATCCGCTTTGTTCGTTCGCCTGGTCCCCTTGTTGTAAAGATGGCGGCATATCCACCACTTCCCCCGACTAATCTCCCCTCTCACCGTCCATACTCTCGTCTCCCCGACCTCATGACCCATAAGCCGGGGGGCTACACCATTCAACCTTTCACATCTCATGATCTCCCTCGCGCCGCTCCGCCGTCCGCTCGGGTTCCCCTCACCCCCGACTCGAGCTCCTGCTCGTCGCCGCGCTCTCGTCGGGGCTCAAACGAGGCAGATGATGGTGTCCATATGCCTCCTATGTCTAGCGGCGGTCCGTGGTTTCAAGGACCCCCTCACGCTCCATTCCCACCGTCACTACCATCCTTGCCGCCCATGCTTGATCGCTCTGGAGCCGTTCCTCGTCATCTGGTCCAGCAGCAGAGACTCTCCCCTCTCGACACGACGTCCGGGTACCTTGTCTGTCGGACTTCTCATTCCACCCTATCGCTTCGAGACGAGTCCGAGAGCATGTCCCCAGCCTCTCCGTCTACCAGCGTGCACACCTCCACCACGACCAGCGTCCGTTCCTCCCGCAAGCGCGGCCTCCCAAGCGAGTGCCATCCTCCCCGCAGCAAACGCAAGCGGCCCACCGACCTCGACGGCCCCTCCCCCCCCTGCCCAGGCGACGATGAGACCGACCCCGACGAGCCGACATCGGGCGAAAAGAAGCGGCTGAACGAGAAGCAGAACCGCCGCGAGCTGACAGACGCCATCGGCGGCATCCAGACCACGCTGCTCGAGCAGGGCGTCCAGTTCGACATCGAGTCGCTCCAGAACCACAACCAGCGCACCAGCGGCCTACGGTTCAAGAAGGTCGAGACCCTCACCCGCGCCCACAAGGCGATCATCCAGGGCAGTCGGCTGGCGGAGGCGATCGAGGGGTTGAAAGATCAGGGGGACGCGAAGGGGGGCAAGGGGCCGTCGACGCTACAGAGGCAGGCGTCATGGATGAGCGAGGAGCATGTCGATGACTTGATTCGGGTCATGCGAAGTCTGGCTGGGAAGACGCCGTCCGATTGATATATCACCTATCTTGCACCGGTGTTCATAATGTCTCTTTTGTCTCCAAGCGAAGAACGATCCGACGCTCGGTACACCCATTCACCGTCCTTACATATCATGACCACTCCCCATTCCTTCATCTGCAGCAATATATCGCATGTATCCTTTAAACTAATGGGTGGCTATCTCTCGGTACGGGAACCTGGTTCGCAAAGCTATTGAGCGTTGGGACTTGTCTATTTTGGTTTTTTGCGGCTTGTATTAGCACCCAGCGGCGTCAAAAAGAAACGACGACTTGCAGGTTCATCCGGGAACCCGGATCCGAACTGTTTCGGTAAACTAGGTATCTAAATATAACGTAATTTTATACACTTCGCAATGTGCTTGTCCCTGTTCCTTAATCCTTTGCTGGAAGGATGGAGGGATCAGTGGCCGATATGCTAATGTATCTTCTGTTTATTATGTCGCCCCTGGGGAGTCCCAATCTCGTTGGATATGTAAACTGACTTGTGATTGCCTCTTTTGGACTAGAGTAGCGTTCCCGTTCGGGGTTAGTTCGCTTGGCCCTTTTTAACCCCTTCCAAAACTTTCAGGAAACATAAATACTTCTATCTTCTCTTATTCCTGACACACTTGGAGCTTGAAACAAAGCTCCAGGTGTGCCTTAGCACAGTTCCAGTGGAATGCCATCCCTTGCGGGAATGCACACTTGACAAGTACCAGAGGCAGGTCATAATTTGTGATGTCGTCTGGAGAACCGCCCGAGAGGGATTTACTAGCTTTTTTATATGTGAGGTTTGGCTCGCTAATCTAATCATCGCTCAATCATTTAGAATGCAGCCCAACAGCTACTTTACGTCGCCGTAATCTTCGTTAAGTATTCTGCATTTGGAAGTCTATGGATAGCAGGGTATCGTTGTTGCTGTCGCTATCGCCGTTAATCTTTCCAGAGACCACTGAGACTAACCGTCTTTGACTACATTTTTCATCGTCAAAAATTTGGGCACCAGAAGCTTCTGATCGATATCAAGTTACGGTCAAGTCTCGTGCATGTCGATAGTGGCGGAAAATTAAAGATTAGTACGGATAAAGTATCATTCTATACAAATGCAAGGCGTGCGGCTTTTAGAAAGATAAGTACAAACTGGTAATCATTTTCAAAGTTCCCGTCAGTGATATAAACACCAGCCCACCAGGTGGGGTCGTGGGAAACCAAGATCAAACAAGAGGAGATCGAAAAGTAGTTCAGACGTAAGTAGTCCAACCTTGTTAACTCGTCTTCTATATCACGTATGTCGGATTGTCATGCCTCCATCCACTGGTATTGTTGTACCATTCAGATATGACGAGGCAGGTAGGCAAATATTTACAGTCACTGTGAATAGCGCTAGATTAGAGAGTGATCGCAGTGGAGGGAACCATTCTTACTTTGGGCAACTTCTTCAGGATCGGCATAGCGTCGCATCGGTACTCTCCGCTTGGCATATGACTCTTTAAGTTCAGGCGAGATTCGTGCAGTCATATCGGTCTGTGTCAACAAGTCTCGTTAACGTTTTTTTTCTCACTCAGTACAAGCGCTCTCCTTACAATGATTGCACCTGGGCAGATTGTATTCACCTGCGAAGTATTATAAGCATCAGATTACTCTCTCATTATCCTATACGGAACATTGATACAACTTACTGTGATGTTCTGGTATTTGCCGAGCTCGACAGCAAAGGATCGAGTCAACCCTGTCACCGCGGACTTGGTTGCACTATATGCAGCATTCCCTGGCCCTGTGACAAAATGTTCCGTACTCGCAATATTGACGATTCGCGCTGCGTCGCTCTTCAATAAAGCCGGCACGCATGCTCGAATAAAAATCACGAGAGCTGTGAGATTGATATCGACGGTCTTGTCCCAGCGAGTCTCAAATGATCCATCTTCGTCGAACGCCCCTCCACCGACAGAGATGCCAGCATTATTGACAAGGATCTGTAGGTTGGACCATATTATTAGACTAAATCGCAAAGAGAAGGGAAGGCAGTACGCACGTCAAGGCCACCGAATACCTCAATGACCTCTTTGCAAACTTGCTTGACCCTACTACGATCTGCCACATCGCAAACCCAGCCTTTTGCACATGTAGGATGAACAGCGTTGATCTCATCAACCACGGCCTTCACTCTACCTTCGTCCAAATCCAGGACCGCAACTTGTACGCCTTCATCAGCGAGTACTTTGGCAGTCTCTCTTCCCATTCCCGATCCCGCTCCAGTCACGATAGCTTTTCTGCCTCGAAGTGACCGCGATAGCTTGGTCAATCTTCCTGCCGGAGCTTTCACATCGGACAGATGAGATCTGAGTATGTCTATTCTGTTGAGCGCCTTTTGCGCATATTTATCTGATGGTTTGGACATGGTTATAGCGTGTATGAAGATAGCGGAAGATGTAGAAACGAGATGGAGGCCTTAATGTGTAGAGGTGTGATAGGCGTGGCATTGGTTACGGTAGTTAAAGGACCTCGGTAAGCTTGAAATGTCCTGAGGGGTGCAGTTCCAGAGCCTAAGTCCATATATCAACAATGCTAACAAGCCGAGATATTTCGTAGTGTAAGAAGAGGATTCATGTTATTAAAGTATGACTTACAACAAGGGTGGAGTCGTTTTAACGGTGGTCAAAATACTCTATATGTACTTCGGAGGTACGGCAGCGATCATAACAACTGTGAAGGCAACTAAATAACCCGGAGATCTTGATAATCAGCCTACCTATTATCTAATATGAGTTTTGATTCAACATACCCTCCAAACCAACAGCTTTTATGACAGTAACGCTGGCATACGTAATACCAATCAGCTATGTGCTGTTCGAGAATATGGCCTAGTTCATAGATATTCGAAACACACATCATGTCGACACCTTCGATGTCCTCTTAGGCATCAAACGAAGGAGGTGTCTTAAGCTAGCCGGTGCGCCCTACAACATAATGTAGCATATTACGACCAGCTTTACACAGCAGTGCATAAAGTGCACTCTCACCATGAGAAAGCATCAACCTCCAGCTCCACTATCGTCTTCTCATGGCGTCCTAAACTGGCAACAATCGCACGTACATCATCACACAGTGAACCCGGCCCACACACAACAACACCAACCTTCTTGTACCCAGCCGCGACCTCATGCCTTAGCAACGAATCAATATCCAACCGCTCGCCAATGCGGATCTCCTTGTCTGCAACACTAGCCAGCACGGTGTCCAGATCGCGCACGATAGGCTCGTCCGCTTGCTTAACGCCCCATGCAATCTTGACGTTGACGTGCGCGTGCAGGAAACTCAGCAGCCCGGTGATGCCGATGCCGCCACCGATAAGGACCAATCTATCACAGCTCAGCACGCCCTCGGTGGGGTTGTTCGGGTATGGGCCATCGAGAAGGGTGGGCAAGCTAGCGTCGCTCTGCAGGCTCCTGGTCATGCCGGTGGATCGGCGCACGTAGATGGTGATTCCGGCCGTGGTGCGCAGATCGCAGGAAACGGGTTTGACCTGGACCTTGACGTCCTGCTTGGCGTGCTGGTGGGGGGAGTCACCATGGAGGGAGTTGTTCGCGCTAGGGAGGCGATGCCATGCGGACTGTAATAGTGCCGTGGAGTTGACCGAGAAGGGGTGGTTTTCCCACGGCCGCAATGGGTTGACGGTAGGGAAGTAGGCGTAGCCATAGTAACCGGGCTTGCCGTTGAATCGAATCCCAGGAATATCGACGCGGACGTGGTTTGCGCCAATGTCAGTGACGGTAGCTCGTTTAACGCCGTTCTTAACGATATGATAGACACGCGCAAGACGGTCGAAGGCCCAGACGGCGAAGGCGGCGTACAACCAATACTCGTGGGAGCCGGGTTGGCCGAAGCGCAGAACAAGATGGTACCAGCTTCCGACAACGGTAAAGACGGCCATAATAATGTGGCCGATAAGGAAGATCTCGTAGCTCCAGCGGCGTATCCAGAGGAGGCTAAAGACTAGCATAGCACAGCAAAAAACAGTGCCGACGATTCCCCAGAGCCAGTAGGGCTCCTTTACGTCCTTTGCATACGTCCCGGTTTGAACCCTGGCTGCCCAAAGCAAAATTGAATGAAGGACAGTCTGGACAACAAAGAGTCGCGCGACCCAACGATGAAGGAGGAGATAGGTCGAGTGTGACCAATTAGAGAGCCAGAGGAGAATATTGTTTCGTCCGGCGAAGAGAATAGTCAGAGGAAGGAGGGCAAACGCAATTTCGCCAGTGCGATATCCGACATAGGCCAGAATTTCTCCGCGCCAGTTATAGCCCCATGGATGTTTGCCGAGATTCAGAGGAGCGAGTAATCGATAATTCGTGCAGGTTAGGACGACATTGAGGATGATAAACATGGCAATGTACCAAAATTGCCCCAGGGTCGGTACGTTCCCAAGGAGCCAGGGAAGTGGACGAACCTGATAGCGTCCGATGATTGAAGGGTACACCAGGTAAGGATTGAGCTTCTCGATAATTGCTTCTATAATGGGAGTTTTGGAGAGGATGGTCGTGACGATGGGAGTGCCAAAGCCGACAACCAATAGTATGATTCTAACCCAGGTCGGTGACGGCTGTGAACACGGAAACATGTACTTACGAGTACTTGTAGAGGTAGTGTGAATTTTGCTCCTGGATTTCAATCCAATTGACTTGAATATTGTAGTTGCTTTGTGGTACCAACATGGTGGTGTTGATGGTGCGACCGGATGCCCAGGTGATTTTTGGTGTACCGCGGATGTTTCCAAGTGTTGTATTGTAGGTCCATTTTGGGGGAGTTTTGAAATCTCCGGCGACTTGGGCGAACCAGTACTTCTCGATCTCCGCGTTGGAGACCTTGCATCGTGACTTGATACAATAAGCCAAAGTAGTCAAGAAACTAGTGTCCGCAGCCCGACAGGGTGCAGTCGTCACGGGGCCAGGGGCAGCGCCATGACTATGACCACCAGCATCCATGGCATGTCCCGATGGCATGGTACAGGTCAGGTTGGCCGAGCCGATGACAGCGCGACAGGCGAAAGCGCAATATGGTGTTGACCAAGGCTGGGTGATGCCGTCCATGCCGGCGAAAACGGTGCCGGCGAGGCATAAAGGCCTGAAGAAAGAAGACAGCTTCATGGTAAATTGGTAATGGATGCGGCTGGTGTAACTTGTGACTCGAGTTTGAGGGAATGAATGAAGTTTAATGCAACGGGAGGGATTAGTCTTTCTCATATACACCCGATCGCGTGTCCGAACGCCCATTTTGTAAATGCGAGAAGCGTAACCTTGATTTGCGCTTAATCTGGTTTGGCCAGAGCGGTGGGCTTTCCATTTTCCAATGAACATGCACATCAGGACGGGATTTGCATGGCTGGGTTGGCATAAACTACTCGCTCAGCATCCACCATCAGCCAGTGACAGACATGGACAGTCGAATTCATTTGCGCCTCGCGAGCATGGCACTTGAGCAAGTTTCTGCATTAGGCCAATGGTCCTCTAGGTTAGCTGCCCTTCCCCAACCGAGTTCTGGCTAGATAGCTCTTGAACCTTGACTCTCCGTAGGGCACCGGTGGAGCAAGAGAAAGAAAGAGGGCGTGATAAACTCCATACGAAAGGATTGAGGTCCAAACAAGCATAAGCTACCAATAGTTTCGGTTTGTTGAACGGAAGTATCGCGCTGTTGTAGAATGTCTACAACATGGATGAGACGGGGATCATTTTAAGTATGCTCGGTTCCCCCCAAGTCCGCGTAGGTATCAACTATTATAGACTGTAAGAAGTAAGAAGTAAGAACACAGGTTAGCCGTTAGATAAAAGAGGCTACCATATATTAGTAGATATTGGAGGATTCAGGTCACGTGATACATATGCATCCATGTATCCCAACGGTCGCTGCCTTCACCGAGTTCTGTCGCTCTCAAGGAAGTGTCTAAGTCTTCGTCTCAAGCCAGAAATAGTATAGATTCTATCAATAAAGTATCGCTGCTCCGTAGTTACTCTCTTGCTACTCGCCCGCTCATATCACGCTACTCCCCCATTGAAGGACGACGTGCGAACTTATAGAGGCGCACGGGTGTCAAGTGTACGATGGTGACTGCAATCGAGTGCATTTCCGCTGATTCTAGGCCTCTCCCTCCAATTCAATAGCACATCTAGAATCGCTGGGATTCCGAGGTCTGGCCTGGATCTAATCCAACTATTTGTGTTGCTATTTACTTGCTGTACTCCGCCATTGCCCTTGGCAAATTGGCATCCCCGCAGGGAGGGCGAGCAACGGCCTGGCAGCGATGAGAAAACCCTCTCAAATCCACGCACCAGCGCCCTATACCACTGGGCACTGAAGCCTGAAAGCTTTGGGATTTGCAAGCTGATAAAGTAATAAGATCCCTAGTTACCTGTAGAGCAACCCTATTAGTTCCTGAAGGTTTATGAACATGGGACCCTGGTGGTCGTGGTGAAGTCGAGAGTCGAGACAGTTGACTCCATGCGTTCGCCTTGTCAAGCACATATCAATCACTTCTTCACGGATGGATACATACTCGTACATGATCATCCGTAATACATCCATACGTGGTATATCACCGCTGAGTGCAGGAACCGATGAACGATGGTGGATCAGCGCCGATCGCGTTTCCCTCTTTTCCAGACCAGGGGATCCTTGATCAGCCGCTGCACCAATGACCAAGTCCAACATCATCCACATAACCAGTGAAACCACACGCCTAACACCCTGATAAGGTCTAGACAATTGATATCCCTTCAAGCTTCATAGCACCTTATCCGCCTTCACGTCAATAGTTTACCATTTCGACCGCCACATTCTTCGCGTCAAGTACCGAATCCGAACCATCATTGGCCTAACGTGGAGTCGGCTTGAATCGCTGTGAGTTGCGACGCGCCGGCTCCCAACCATGCTTCTCCCGACACATGGAGGCACTGGAGGGACATGGAAAGCTGCGAAGAGCCAGCTTCTTCCCACGAGAGCAATATGGAGCTGCTTCTCACGCTCGCGAATCCTCGGATCTGTCCTTGGGGGGGTGGTAATATTTCTGCTATGGCGTTTCTTCGGTGGACCATCGAAGGATATGTCCAGGTTTGCCTAATATCAGCTTTGATGTCATGCGCAGCGAGGCTAATTCATTCTTAGATTCTACTGTTCCGGCCCCTCCAAGCCCCCAACGGAGATGACCGCCCAGGAGCAGGCGAGATGGGCGTCGCACATTAATACTCCGGTCCTATTCAACTACCACAAGCCCATCACCGTCAACTCCACCACCATCGAACCCGTCGACCTGAACCCCGTCACCTCAACCCCACAAGCCGTCTCCAAGGGCGAGCGCGTCCTCATCCTCACCCCTCTCCGCGATGCCGCTCGCTTCCTCCCTCGATACTTCGACCTCCTCTCCGTCCTCACATACCCCCACCACCTCGCCGACCTAGCGTTCCTGGTGGGCGACTGCACCGACGACACTATGGGCGTCCTCGCCGCGGAACTGGACCGCATCCAATCCAGCCCGCAGGAAGGCATCCCGTTCCGTAGCGTCTCCATCGTCCAGAAGGACTTCGGCGGCCCGCGTCTCAGCCAGGCGGTGGACGATCGGCATGCGTTCGAGATCCAGGCGCCGCGGCGGAAGGCCATGGCGCGCGCACGGAATTATCTGCTGTCCGCGTCGCTGCGCCCAGACCATTCGTGGGTGTACTGGCGCGATGTCGATATTTATGATATTTCGCCGACGATCATCGAGGATTTGGTGTCGCACGATAAGGATATTGTGGTGCCGAATGTCTGGTTCCATCGGTACGAGGAGGTGAATGGAAAACTGACGGACATTGAAGGGAGATGTATGTGTCTCCCTATCGCTTATTGCCGCCCTTGCTGATAAGGTAACAATACAGTCGATTACAACTCGTGGCAGGAGTCGGCCAAAGGACTGAAACTAGCGGCAGGGCTTGACAAGGATGTTGTTATTGCAGAAGGTAACAGAATCCGTTCTTCTACTGGAATGACATACTCATCGTTTTCTAGGATATAAGGAGTTCAGCACAGGTCGGACGCATATGACGAAAATGGGAGATTGGCGCGACCCCGACCGGCACAAGGAGATCCCGTTGGACGGGATCGGGGGCGTCTCGATCGTGGTGAAAGCCGATGTGCATCGCTCAGGTATGTGACCTCGAACCCACTCCAGCGCGTATCCTGACCCTGTGTAAGGAATCAACTTCCCCTGCTACGCCTTCGAGAACCAGGCCGAGACGGAAGGGTTCGCGAAAATGGCGAAACGCGCTGGTTACTCCGTGGTTGGGCTGCCGAACTATATCGTCTGGCATATCGACACCGACGAGAAGCCTGGGAACGCTTGATCGTCCGTGATGGTTAGTTTACGATGGGCATGTTTGCGATGCTCACTCAAGGGATCCATGTTTAAACGGAAAATGTCCGGACCTACGGAAGCGTTTTGGGTATTTTCGTTGCGATGGCCGTCGTCGCATCGCATACACCTGACACCTGAGTCTGGACTATGATAATGATGGCGTTTCAATCCTCTTACACGTCCGGCGAAAATGGCTATCATTAACTATAGATGGAGATACCGATACAGGGAATTGTACAACAGATGGAAGTATGGCCCAAAGATTTCGAGGCGGGTTGGTCGAGCTCTGGAAAACTTGACGGAGTCAGGGGTGTTTCTGTTCATTGACTTTTGTTCTTGAACGGGAAGATGGGACCGACTGGATGCCTTCCACTAAGTTAATAGTTTCATTGGAATATCTATAGTGATAGACAAACAAATATGTTCGATAAAAGACCTTCATATTGTAGTTCTTGAATGATGGTGACTACAAGGGGCCTCCGGGGGGGAAGAAATTGAGTTACGTTTCTTGGCATTCCCCTAAGCACAGTTCCCACGATCTTAACCAGAACGCGGCGGAGAATTCACTAAAACAGACCTCTAGTAGTTGCTTAATTAGGAAAAGAGTATACTTTTTGGTATTATGTTGTTTTTGAGCGAATTGGGCCTGTCTGTAATGGTGGTGATGGTTGGGGGAATGCCAAGAAACGTAACTCAATTTCTTCCCCCCCCAAGCCCCCGTAGGGAGTAAATCCATAATCACGTGAAGCATGTGGCGCCGTACCAGACGGACTCGATGCTGGAGCTCGTAGGATTCAGACGTCCATAATTAATACAGTAAATTTCCTCCCAGCATAAACTAATAAGTACACTTGAGCTTCTCCGACAACGTGCATTCCGATTCCTATTTTTGCGACAGTCTTTACATATCACGGGCCCAGATGGCGTCCAGCGAGAAGAGCTCCGCTCCCAAGATCCCCGGCGGAGGGCTCTCACTCTATGCGCATTTACTAGATCCAAAATCCAAGGAAGAGGGGGGAGGAGGGTCCGGCGTCATATCGCGCGGTCCAGTCATTTTCAAGAAAGATGAACAGACGGAGGAAGAGGCGCTAGAAGCCGCGAAGAAGCAGAACATTGCCGGTACCGAGTCTTTGATCCCCTAGGTCACCACGTTTGTGAAAGGCAATTGCAAATGGCTCACTGTTTTCTGGGGATTGTTCCCGTTGCAATCCAGCAGCCGCTCTCCGTTTTCAACCGATGAGAAGACCACAAGTACAGAAGGCCAAAGTGAAGCCCGCATTCCCCAAAGTTCCGACGGCGCCTGCGCAGGCGACCGCGGCGCAGGCGTCGAGCGATGGCCCTGCTGCACCCGCGATACCTCGAAGCACCCTGGCGGATTGGGCCGGGGAGGAGGAGGACGACGATTACGCATACGTCGAGAAAAAGCAGCAGCAGCGGAAGAAGAAGCGAAAGAAGAACAAGCACGGCGACGCGCCTCTCGCGCAGAACTGGGACGACATCTACGATCCGATGCGGCCGAACAACTATCAGGAGTACAGGAAGAGCGACGAGCAGTACCGCGCGATTTCGGAGTGGAAGCAGAGGCTTCATGCGCACCAGCTGGCGCGGCGGCGATCGGCATCTGCGTCTAGCGATGAGGGGACGTTCAATCGCAATGGTATGTATAGCCAGACACGGAGTCAAGGAGTCAAGAAGTCGCTAATCATCCGCCAGCCCGGTTCGCCCCCCCTTCTAACTACAACTTCGCGCCGCCGCCGAACCTCGACGCTACCGCCGACGAAACTATGGGAGGCACAAGTCTGGCAACTGGCGACGATGCTTACCTTCGACGTATGCGCTTGAGCGGCGTAGGGACCGAGGCGGGCGACGAGATATCGATTTCACAGCCGACACTCGGTCAACAGAACCAAGTACCGGATATACCGCCGCCACCTTCAAGTACCTCACCCCTACCCCCGCCGCCTCCCTCCGCACCTTCCGGCCCACCCCCCGAGCCAAACACCGCCGGCGCGATCATCGCGCGTGCCCCCGTCCGCTACAACCTCCCCCTACCCCCCTCAAACGTCCCCTCCACCGATGCAGAACTACAAGCGGCGATCAACGCAAATGACGAGCTAGACGACGCGCCCCCCTCGCCGTCCGAGGAACCGCCCGCCCGCTCGAACCGGCCGGGCCAAGCGGGCTTCGCGGAGCGCCTGCTGCGAAAGCAGGGCTGGGCGCCAGGGCAGGGGCTCGGCGCGGAGGGGACAGGGATCACAAAGGCGCTGCACGTCAAGGTGGAGAAGCGCAAGGTCGCGCGGACGGATGAGGAGGGGGTGGTGTCGGTGTCGTCGTCGAGTAGGGGGAAGATCATCGGGGGGAAGAAGGGAAAGGCGGCGAAAGAGGAGGAGAGCGAGTTTGGGAAGCTGAGTGAGGTGGTGCGGTTGGATGGGATGCTGGCGGGGATGAGCCGAGAGGCCATTGTAGCGGAAGAGGCGGAGGGGATGCTGGGCGAGATTGGAGAGGAGTGCGGGGCGAAGTACGGTCGAGTCGAGCGTGTGTTCGTTGACAAGGATGGACTCGACGAGAGCGGTGGGATGGGAGCACCGGTGTTCGTGAAATTCACGGCGCCGTTGAGCGCCTTGCGGGTAAGCGTTCATCTCCGATGCGCATTCCGGAAATCCAGCTAATTTGATCGTAGGCTGTAAACGCGCTCGAAGGGCGGATCTTTAATGGAAACAAGATCAAAGCTCGGTTCTTTGACGTGGTCGATTTCGAGAAGGGCAAGTATTCGTGAACCGGATCAGGGGGTTTGCGCTCGACTGATTCTCGCCAAATGCTTTCACAGCTGGCAGGCACTTCTCATCGGACTGATCTGTTCTAATTCCATACCCCACGTTAATTTTATGCATGTACATCATATCCGTGCCCTTCATCGTTAAGGTGAATACCGCTCAGGCAGCGCTCCGCTATGATCAAAGTGTCCAAATATTGACCCTCAACTTGATACTCCACCATGTGCTTTTGATAATTTGACAATGCCAGGCCAGAAAATCCCGTCGCCGTCCAAAAACCAGCTCCCCCGAATGCCCTACCTATGTCAACCGATTCCGAGCGGCAGATACAGCCGTGTATTGCTCCGTCCATAATCCCCCCTTGCCTTTGCCGTGAGCAGCCGCTTCTGAATCTTCGCACCCATCGCCTGCGTCCGGAACGCCAAATCCTTGTACTCCGGCGTCCCACTCCCGTTAGGCTTCGAACCCATCTGCATCAAATCCTCGTGCATCGCCGCCTGCTTCTCCCGCATCTCCATCCAGTCGCCCAGCGTCGTGGCGTTCTGGAAACACACTGCGAAGCCGTCGCACGCGCAGGTGAACACGTCGGGGCAATGCTCGCCTTCGCCGAGGAACAGATACTGCCACATGTATTCAAACACCCGCGCGACATGCGTGTTCGGCAGAGGCGTCTCTTCCACCCATTGGCGGTAATGCATCCACCGTTCCAGCGACATCGACCGGATCATCGGCCGGGTGACGGCGAACTGCGAGTACGCTGGCGCCGCCAGGCGCGCAGGAAGCGCCGCGTCTCCGTGCAGCTCCCGCCACGCCTTGCGAAACAGAGACTGGTCGATTTCCTGGAAATCGTCTTTGGCCTTCGCGGCGTAGAGGTCGATGTCGGAGGAGAGGGGCGTGGTGGTCGTGTTGAGGTCGATCGAGGAGGCGCCGCAGCCGGGGGCGTGCTCGCATCGCAGCGGTTGGTAGCCCTGCTTCATGACGTGGGCGAGGTTGAGGCGGGCGATGATGGACGAGGTGCTGAATCCGAGGAGGTCGTTCTGGTGCCATGTGGAGGCGTGGGCGTGGACGAAGACGGAGACGTCTGGGAGCTGGTCGTAGTGGTCGATCACGTATTCGAGGAAAGCGATCGGTTCGACGGAGGACCTGTTCGTCGCGACGGAGCGGGCGCCGTCCTGGAGACTTCCATCGAGGCTGTATATGGCCTTATCCAGATCGCGAAAGGTGTGTTCCACCCATTTGATGGACTGCTTGCAACATTGGGAGACTACCAGCGTGGTGCTATATTTGGCCCGTTGGGATGGTTCACGGAGCTTAGCTGCCGGCCTGGTGGAGGAGAAGTTGTACAGGAGGAGCAGGAAGGAGCACACGAAAAAGACACCAGTAAGGACAATGCCTTTCTGTAGTATCATTATGCTATTGGCATATTGACGGGGTGGATCGGAGCGAGAACGTACTTAGGTACGCATATCGCAGCTCTTCAAAGGCGTCTCGCCGAAAGGAGGTAAGGGATGAACACACCACAAACCAGGACCAGGACGGAGAACCGGAAGATTGGGGAAGAATGAGGATGACGTGGAAAGGCCACCAGTCACGTGGGTATCGAATCACCCCTGAATCACCCCCTCAGTCACCCCCTGAATCCCCGACGTCAACCTCATTGGAATTTCTCACTGGATGTTTACCAATGGATACGATAGCGGATTTTCAAAGCAAGGCATGCGTTCACGATAGCATGGTGCAATTGAGGAGATGGTGTCATGGTGGAAATGCTGTTAATACCCAGACCGTAGTGACTCCGCAGCGTTATTGGACATAGACGTTTCATTCCGCACTGGTTCGGACTCATCTCCTGTGTTTAAGTGCTGGGAGTTACATAAAACAGCATCATACAGAAATAAGAGCCGGTATTATTAGGGATGTTATGGATTCATCCTGCTCCTAGTAATACAATCACACGTTCGTAAATCGGAGTCTCCCAGGCACATCCATATGCTGCTCTGTAAGCTTGTCTAGCTTCAACACGTTGAATCGAGAGATATTCAACTCATTTGAAGCTTCCCCTACAGAGGCATTATCTGCGGTATCAAGATTAAGCTGCCTCACTCGCAGCGTGTCAAAGATCGGCGGCCCAATGCTGTTGTTGAGCCACTTATTCTCGGGCCGCGTCTCCATCAGCTGGATCTCGAACCGCAGCACGATCTGCGCGAGGAGCAGCTTCAGCTGGTTGGATGCGAAGAATCGACCTGGGCTTCACGTCGTTAATGTGTTGAATCGGACATTGGACATTCAAGTACATACCAGGCGTGCCGGCCGTGCGAAAATCCCATAAACGTCTCACTGGTCGAGACCATGGCGTGCGGCTTCCCATCGTCGCCTTCGAGGTGCCGAAACGGCTCGAACCTCATGGCATCGTGCCAGAAATCTTCATCATGTTGCGCGGAGTAACTGGTCACGCCGACTTTCATTCCGTAAGGGATATACTCGCCACTGGGCAACGTGATCCCCTCCTTTTTCTTGACCATCTTCATCACGCCGCGAGACAAGAAGCCCCACAGTCGCATACTTTCACGTAGAGTACTGTCAATTCGCGTCATGCTCTGCAGAGCTAGTCGCTGCCACTGCTCGGACTCCGGGCGGGATGAGACCACACCGTGGACTTCGGTGCGCAGGCTACTCTGTATGGCAATGCAATTCGGTGATGATGCAATGTCGAATAATACGTTCGTAATCGTAATGACTGACGACTGGATCGCCGCAAAGGTAAGAACGGTGAGACGTTTCGCGATGAATTCCGGATCGCGACCTCGTATCGACTCCTCGTCGAAGTGGGTATAGGCATCATGAAGCGCCCATTGAATGTAGTCGTTATGCCTGGAGTAATCCGGGTTCTTATACTCGCACGGTCTCGTACCAAACTCGTACTCAATAATCCTAGACTGGATGACTGGAATGATTGCCTTGCGAATTCCGCGGTAATGGTACATGTCGAATGCTTGGATGATAGGGGCGAATATTGGCCGCAAAGATGGAGGTAAAAGGTGCAAGAATGTCGCAACTATGACCACATATCTCGCAAACGTACTGCTCGACTTCGTGTATCCTTCATCTCGACAAAGGGGGAGACCAACGAGCACCCGGTTGGAGATTCTCGCAATGACTTGCAGCAGACTTTGATATAGAGGCACAGCCTTCCATCCGAGAAGGTCCGGTTTAATGGTTGCATGGGAACCCCAGATGTCGTCCAAGCTGGTGGTGATCTCGTCCACGATGTCTGCGGAGTAGCAGTCCAGCCACTTGGTCATCTCCCGATTGATGACTCGCTTGTGGACAGTATCAGAGAGAATGCGGGGGTGCAGCATCGTCCGATCCCCAGCCAGGAATTGCACATTGGTCGCGTTCTGGTCCATGATGTGATCCGGCTGGTTCAGTAGCCACGGCATCTGCGAGTGAGGGATGATAACCTCCGGACCGGTTAAGATATTCGGCAGAATGTATGCTTTGCCGGCTTTGGAGTACTGCAAACGGGTTACTCTAGGGCCACCCCGCTTGGATAAGGAGACTGACCTTTTGGTACCCGTCATTGATCACGTCTTTCATCCTGAAAAAGCTGAGTAGAGTCGACTTTGCACGGGCGAAGGCCCCTTGCTTGCCTTCTGCGCATCCCGCCCAGGGAATGCTGGGTGGGAGCCCATGACGAGAGAACAGCCTTTTGAAGATATAGCTCACGGCAATGGTAATGCAAATAACAGTGACAAGAGCCCAGAGTTGTACAGGAAGACTCATATTTCTAGCCTGAAAGTTCCTTTTGGGATGCAATCGGTATGAATATTCACAATGCTAAGGGAGATGAGAGCATGAACGGAGTATAATCACAAAGGGGATTGGTACATATATGGCACCAGTTTACCAAACCACAAACTGAACTGATCGGATAGTTGTGGCTTGTATTGACATTGAATGGGTGTCTTCAGCAGCCGAACAGGTTTATATTGACAGGCAATGGCTTCAACGCAAGGCTAGGACGGGAGAATGAGATTTGCCAAAGGATAATTGCTTTTGATGTTGGTATCAGGTTGCGTATAGACAAATGCCCATTGCAGGTCAGGAAGCCAATTCAGTGCGAGGTGTATGACTCCACACACCGGACAACCGGCGGAATCCAGCAAGAATATGGACAGGCTTGAAAGAAAACGTCGAAGGACTTGATATGGAAATGAATTAACATTCAGAGAAAACAAATGGCGAAAGATGACAGTTCAGTGACTTCCTCTGTGTCCCACAGATAGCACTGCCTTGGAGGTCAAAGTCAAAGAAACAGGATTGGTAAACCGAGAATAGGAAAGGTGCGTCTAGGAATTCCACATGCTCGTGAATTCTTGCCCATATTGCGGAAGAGCAAAGCATAGCCGGAAACAATGGATACATATCGAGTTAACGCCGGGACTGCAGAAGGTTCTGTATCTAAGTTAGGTTGTCGATTGTTAGAAGACATCCCTGGGGGTTGAGCGCCATTGTTCGGGATGATCCGCGTAAACTAGGAGACCTCCAGTGGAGAAATATTGCCATACTAGATTACTAGTAAGTTCTGGATCTGTATTAGGCAGACGTACAAACCAAGAACAAGTTGTTATCCGTTAGCCCTGGTTAGTGGCGTCGCTACTAAACAATAGAAAACCTCGCTATTCCGCAACACGACGTGGTGCATGCCATCCAACTATCCAAGGCATAGGATGTGATAGGAGTAGAGCTTTGGAAGAATAGCTTGTCCGGCTACCAAATCTTAGCAATCAGTAAGCATGTAGTCCAGTATCCTCCGTGTCGGATACGTTCGCTCACTTGCTGGGACATACGAATCCTTCGACCCGAAAGCCCGGTTGATCCAGGTTACCAATCGAGGTATGTCTGCTCTCGGCAAGTCGACAAGACTCTAAATTCTAATCAATGCCTATACAGGGTCCTTAAGCCCCAGCAAGCCTTCCAATAATGTGAGTATGTGACGAGCCAGCTGAGAGGGAACCATCAACTCATCACTGTTCTACTGCACGCGACGCATGGTGGAAAGTTAGCTTTTCGAGCCGATATCAAGGTAAAAGGACCAGTGACAGCGGGAATGAAGGCAGCTAAAGTTGAAATCTCCGGGCAATAATGGCCGTGCGAGTTTGACATTTTCTTTTATGATTTTGTGAGGATAGTCTTGGTCTCTTGGATGAATCTCAGCCACCTCGCTGCACCAGGTGCCGTTTCTGGCACTAAGACCCGTGCGCCCCATTGTGTCCTCATTAAAAAAGTCTCAACAGAATATATGGGCCTTTAACGAATCGGCAGCGATGTCGATGGATCCATGGCGTTGGGTCATGTTGATCATCCCTATTATTGACTAGCAGAAATATAGTATCATTCCTGGACCTTTGAGTTTTGACAACTTCGTCAATCGCTAGTCATAACTCATGATAGCGATAACTGACCGTGAGTACTAAGTATCTACGCAGTGTGCGACTTTTCCTGTCCGATTGTCAAGGATTGGACTAAGGCATCAAGCATGTGTAACGGATCCATCACTTTGGATTCGATACGGACGGGAATCAACATGTCGTGCGCGGTGCGTTTCCTTATCCCTCGTGGCTTCAGAATAGGGGTTCCACCCAATCACCGTGGAACCTTCGTCTCAACCTTCCATCCCTCGAAGGGTAAAGGGAGGAAAAGCCGAGTGTGGAACACGGCAGGATGTCAGGATCTGACTTCTGATCGGCTCGGACCACCCCTGACGATCGACAGGACACGACTTACGAGTTACGACACATTCACATAGCCCCAGGCCATCCTCCCGTTGTTATTGTATCGCGAATGGCATCAACTGCACAATATCTCCTCCGATTGGACGGTGAAGTATGCATGTTCCTCCTAGCATGGAATCTCTTCCACCTTTCCCGAACCGCTGGAATCAAGCGATGCAGCGATGCAGCGATGCAGCAAAGTTCGATATTGGAGCACGACACCACGGCTCCTGCGTCCGAGGTTCCGAGCTGGATTGCGTGAGGAACTCTCCAGTCTTGCAAAACTCTCCGATGGGCCGGTGAAGCTGTCAAACTTCCCGCTGTGGAGCCGGTGGAGTTATGGAGTGTGGAGTATGGTACGTAGGAACCGTACGATACTCGATATTCAATACTCGATACCAGGAGTCGACACATACGGAGCCGACTCCAGACTGCCAAGTTGGGTGTCACTAGATTTGAGAGCAGCCACAAACGCCATCGGCTTAGTCTCCCATTTGCAGGACATGAGAAAATGACGATCTACAAACACCCCAAACCGCATAGGTATGGTCACTCTCTATATGATTGGCATTTTATATTCGGAATTCCTTAAAGACCAGGTTGTTGACCAATCCTTCTCCTGAATCCTCTTCTGATGATTCTCGGTCCGAGTCCCCAGAAAGATGGAAGCACCGCTGACGTTTCATCCTTTCCGACGGTATGTAAATGGCTCCCTGTCTCAATCCCAGAAATCCATTACCCTATTACTTACGGATATTAGTTTGGTTAATTTTTAAGGTTCCCTACTCCCTAGTCACTCGGCTCACTGCCTAGGATAATTCGGTAGCTTACCCAGTGGAAGGGTGCGCTACTGTACCGTACGCAGTCCTCCCGCGGCTCCACCTAAAGGACGAGCTCGAATAAACTCCAGCGAGTTTGAAATTTGAATGCTTTAAGGCCTGAGCACCGCAAGTACTCCTTACGGAAGACAGGATTTACTGTCTATGCTCAGGTATGTCAAATCATTTGCGCCATTTTCAGAGAAAGCCTTGGCTTAGTGCAACTGCTCCACGGTGTGTCCAACGACAGTGGCTTCCAATGATATTCGGATAGACGGCTTATCGAACTCCCGGATCCACACTATTGTTTCTCAGACCCGAACATGGCCTGATTATTTGGAACAGTATGGAAACTGTTCACTACAGCCTACGGGATATCAAGTAAGGGATATTGTTACCTGTTAGACAACGGAACTAAGGCAGCTGAACTACTCCGCACTTCGGCTCGACTAGAGCTAGCTTCCTGTGGTTGAGTGAGCCTCCTCCAGTATTTCGCTGACTTCCCGTTTCTTGGGTACATTCTCTCTCTATATAAGAAGCCTTTCTTGCAGCTTGTTTTACTGCTATTCATTTGTATTCTTATATAGTCCATGTTCCTGGCGTAAAATTCTTGATTTCCTTCTTGTATCGTCCACCGATTTCCTAAGTCCCCTTTCCGCTTCGGTGAATATCTCAGTTTTCAGTCGCACAAATCTAGGGATACTAGTCTTGTACAATATACCTGCAATCATGCGCTTCTTCCCAAGTCTTGCAATAGCTGCCCTTGTCGGCACCTCATTCGCGGCGACGCCACAATGCCCTGGCGGAACCGGCGGCGGCTATACACTGTACTGCTGCACAGCGACCCTCGACGGTGGTAATGCCATTGTCAAGAAATTGGCCGCGGCAGTCAACTATCCTCTGAACGAGGACACCGTGAACTGTATCCTGCGTAAGGGGTTTCGACACATCCCTAAGACGAGCACACTGCTGACCGAATCATCAGCGAGCCCTGGATTGCTCGACCTCTTCGCACCCACTCCGCCGGAAGAATGTCGCGGTGGACTCCAGTGCTGCAAAGTACCGGTCATAGAACTCGTAAGTTTTTCGTAGTGACGAGGCTCATGGGTTCCGAATGCTTATACTTATCGTAGCCTACGATCGCTGCTTTGTACTGCCAACCCCCAGTGTGGGTTTAGTTCGTACTGAAACAGGAATCAGTGCTCCCGTTTCGGAGCCTCGATCTCTTTAGAACCCAAAGGAAATGTGGTGGTGGCAAGGCACGATCCTTGAACTGCGCGCTTTCCGGGGGATAACGCTAGAGGGAAGCTGTTCTACGACCTCGTTCTACTGTATCGGCGTCATTCGTTTGTTAGATACAGCTGGAGGAAATGGATACGACAAGGGATGCGCTGGGCCTTGATCTCTCCCGTTGATATACCGATGTACCCTGGGGTCAAAGATGTCGCCAAGTCAGATCGAGTTTGGTGTGAAGTCTTGCTGAACGATCCTGCTTTTCATGAACACCATACCATGCATGATGTTGCTAACGAACCGAGTTCCGCATTGGTTTGGAAACGATGTACTCGGTGGAGTGGCCAACACGCCATTTGTTGATTTGGCGAATATACATTGTATTGCTAGAGTCATCTCGATATCGGCGTCATATTTTCATTGACAAATTTCCATAATCCTAACGTGCCTTCCTTCGTCACGATTGAAGTGGAAAGTATAAGTATAGCGTCTCAAAATTCGCCGTGATCCCCTGAGCTCGCGATCATCGAGGACTGTCGGCAACCTACCAAACAATACGTCAGGAAATTCCGCCACTGTAATCCTGACGAGACACGCGAACTAGCTCTTGAGGGCTGGGAACAGATTAATCAGGAATGGATCAATAAACGAGTCCTGTCTATACCTGATCGGTTGCGAAAAGTAATCGAGGCGGAGGGACAGCTGATTTGCTTTGGCGGCGGAATAGCAGGTTAACAGCCGCATCTCTTTCTGTATATAACTATTTATAAGTGTCAATAACCTCGCTTTTTAATTTGACGTGATTTGAACGCGTAGTTGTTGAGATATCCTACTTTGTATGCGAATATGTATGTTGTGGCAGCGCCCAGCCAATATGAGTCCAGCTAATATTGTCCACCACGTGCTTGGCTAGCTTTCCCTTCTCTTCCTCTCTTCTCTAGCTTTGTAATAAATGGAAGTGGTACGGAATACTTGCAGGCCTTGCAGTCAAACCGTCTCAGGAGCTAGGCGTGAAATAGAATCGCGATACGTTCCGTGCGCCCACTATAGGGGTAGCTAGGTGAGTTCTGAGAACGCGTCGCGGTCTAGAGGACCATACTATAGTTAAAGTAAGTAGTAACTAACGTAATCCACCAGTGCGCTAACTAGTAGTATCGTAGATTCGTAGTAGTAGATCCGTTACACTCGTTGCGATGATCCTTCGTATTGAGAATGAGTATACATTAATTATAAGGATTCCTGGCCCTCTCAGAACTTCCCTGGGGTATCGTCCTAGATGTCCTACTCCTTATATCCCTGTGGATTCATGTCTTATAAGAACAGTCCACCTTACACGTTTCAAGAATCCAAAACGAACTTCCTCTTCTGGATGTACCCCTTAAACGTAGCGACCAAGCGAAAATTGAAAACATAGCCCCCCCATATGCGCCAGTTTTAGCCTCCGTCATACATCTTGTGGTGTTGATCGTCGTTCTGCTGTGACCGTCGCGTATGCAAAGGGTACGTCGTCATCGCTGGATTGGCTGTGGAGGATCGTAACTTTCCGGTCGACCTGTATCTGTTTTGAGGACCGCAAGGTTTGCATGTTGTAGGTCAGGCTGCCATCATGAACACCACTACGAGTTCCATGGAAATATTCAGACTGTCCTTTCGTAGCGGAGCGGGTGATGCTGCCACCCAAGGCACGGTAGGCTTTTTCCATCAATGACTTCAAGCACGGAATGCAGGCTGCGATGATGCCGACGAACATTTCCGCAAATCTGCGTCACAGGTTAGTTCCATGAATCGAGAGATGAAGGCGGCAAGGCACCATACGCCCAAATGCTGAGATCAGCGCTATCGAATGTCGGATCATGGGAATTCAGGACTAGTCGGAGCATGGCGAGCTTGACAACACCGCATACGCCTGCAATCAAGCCCAGTCCCAGAAGGAGAGCCAGGACAACTTTTTCGCGCAGTGGTCGATTGATCTTCCAGATAAATGCAAGGGGAAGAAGCGCGCATATAAAGTCGGTCAAGACGAAGAGAGCTATAATAATCAGTATAAAGGTCTTGAGGGGTGACTGGGGTCGCTGACAGGAGACGCCGTAGTTTACGTGAAGTACTCTTTCCGGAGTCCAGCAATTCGTTTGTTGGAGCATTGGATTCCAGTTCGCCGATATTGGATTGCATTGAACTAGTTGAGTCACCATAATCGCAATCGTGGTTAAGGTTATAAGAATGATCAAGCCTCCAACTCCCCATTTCCACTTGGGCGTCTGCTTGATCCGAAGTAGCATGAAGAGAATGGATATTTTTACCATTGCAACTGTCCAAACCCAAAGAGGAGAAATCATGAAAGAGAGCTTAAGAATCATCATAATCTCCTTCAATTCTAACTGTGATACATGCAGCCCATCTAACAGCGTGTACAGTCTGAGGAGGATCCCGTACCCGGCAGTGGCAAGCGCCTTAATCACATTAGTACTCGGTCGTCGCAATCCAGTTTGTACGGTAGGCTTACCATTGCAATTGAGATTGTAAAATCATCGAGTCCAAGTTTTTGGTACGACCGCCATCGCGCGTATATTCGGGTGGAATAGACAGTCAGGGCCAAGGCCAACATCGTAGTGGTTGATGCTACGACTTTTGGCCCAATCAACGTCGGTCGGGACTCATTGGAATGTGTATCCCCTGGAGGTGGTGCGCCTGATCCTTCAAAAAGTACTGACATTGTCACGATCGCAAGTCATCGATTTAAGTAAATCGAAGCAACTCGATCCAGCAGGCTCGCACTGGTCCCCAACCAGGCAAATGATCAAAGGAAACCGGAAGTACCTTTCCGTAAGGGTTATCAGGGTAGAGACCACAGTATATACATCGGCCGTGGGCCTTGAAACCGGGTGGTCCTGCAAACCCTAATTCCGTGCAGTCAGGATCCCAAAGCGGCGTAGCCGAACCCTATTGCGCCATGATTATGCAGTCTGGGGCACAGAGATGCGCCATGATTAGAGTATGCAGTCTGGGGCACAGAGATGCGCCGAGACACTATTGGCAGTGGCTGGTTAAAAAACTTTAAAAATTCTGTTAGTTATCCGGTGCTGAGAGATCTAGATTTCCTGAACTGCCCTTAGCGATCCGATGTGGAGATGATTCGAGATCGAATTGAGGCATCGCGCAAAGCTATCGGATTGTGAAGACCTTTCAAACCAGCAACAAGATGCCGATGATTAACAATGGCAACATGGATTATGCTGTACAGACAGCGAGGAAGAGATCTACCATACAACATTGCTTGGGACGCCTTCCCAGTTCCCACCTTCCCCAGCTGACTCCGGAATCCGGATTGTTGATGGGATGTCAAGTTCTGGGGATGTGTAAAGTGGGAAAACTGAGGACTTTACCGTAAAATAGCCTTAGATTTCTGGAAAAGTTTTTTTTATCTTACATGACGGTATAATACGCTAGGCTTGAATAGGTTAGTGTGCCTTCCAAAAAGATAATAAACTAGCTATTCATAGCTAGCTTTCAAAAAAGTTCAGAAAGTTCAGAAATTACAATCTAAAAGAAGCAATCACATACTAAATTAGGCTTCGTTTGGTAAAGTGGGTCGGTAAAGTGGGTCGGTAAAGTGATAATCTATAATACCGCCAAGACCCGTAATTACGGGCGATCTATCTTTCATACATCTTACATTACACATCCCTAGGATGATGGACATCATGATGTCCATCATCCACGTGGAAATTATGGAATTCAGCACTCGGTTTCCGATTCAACCGAAGGAAAGTGGGTATCATTCCCTGTCGTACATCGTACCCCGTACTAAGTGCGGAATACACACCCCACAAGGACTTATTCTTGCGCCCAGGGACTTCCCAAGTCCCAATTCATCCCAAGACCCAAGTATACGTAAACCTAGCCTCATGCGCACTTCCAAGTTCAGCTAATTACTGACTCAAGGGGTTGTCCCAAGGCCATTCATGTTACAAAGTATGTATGTACGTACAGTCAAATCTCGATGGCGCGATCAATTTATCGGTGACGCCGGCATCAGCGATACTCACGCAGTTTCAAAGCAAGGATGCGTATCCATACATGTTAATACGAAGAATAGGCAATGCGGCGCGAAGGCGGCATCAATTCCCGGATCGATACGGTAGACGCGTACGGTGTTTGGCCATTTGGAAAAAAGGTCTGCAGGCTGGCTCATACAGATAACAGACTACTCACGCCACGCGCCCAACATATCCCCTCATATATTGGGCGCTGGACACCCCAAAATGAACCAAGTGATAAGATTTCTATTTGGCGTCCAAAATGGATTAATATACAAATTTGGCAGTAGATCTTTGCAAAACCATCCAATCTAGTATTCTCCCGATTGGATTAATTTCTAATCGCGTTGGGCGGGTTGAATCTCACTTTTTAAGACCTCCCACTACGAGGTCGAAAATGCATCATGAATTAGAAACTCCTCTCATCCACCGAATTCACGCGTTATCGCCACGATTACGATATAGATGCAGAGGTGGTTAGTCTCACGATCCTTACGAGCTTTTTTTGCGTGCTTCCCTCGCCTTTTCCGCCTCTTTCCGGGCAGTTTCCTTCCTCTTTGCCTCCTTGAGTGTTGTCTTAGAGTATCTATTCTCTCCTGCTCACGGTTATCCACGATTGCCCTGCATTGGTCGACCGTAATCATCCCCCCTGAGAAGACCCGTCATTTGTTACCCGCTCTAGCATTAAGTGATCTCATCTTCTTTGCGAGATCTGAGTCGTAGGGATCCTGCATCGCCTTCTTTGCTTCAAGGGACTGAGTCTGGGCACCTCTACACAGCTGATCAATACTCTCGTCCCCTTGGATGAAACTGCCTAATCGCCGTGTAGCTCGCACGGTGGTGGGAGTCTTCAGGCCAGGAGAGGCATCCTGACCCTCCTGTATACTCTGCTCAGGAGGAGGGGTCAACGGTCTCTGTTCAGCCTCTCTTGGTGGTAGGCGGATCTTCTTGAGCACCATCTCAGGATCCCAGGGATGTATTCCAGCCTTCCGGAAACCGCTGCGGATCGTGCCCTCGGTAAGGGCCTGCTGCCTCACTTCTCCTATCCCATCCAGAAACTCCAGCTTAGTGTATGCGGTGATACCCTGGCGGACCGCATACTCATACCGCTTCCCTGGTAATGCTTCATCGGTTGGAAACAGGTAAGGTCGAGAGGCTGAATAATGTGCGTCATATGAGGGGGAAAGGCAATTGGGTAGATATCGTGCTCCCAGCAAAAGTCTACGAAAAGGTTCGTCTGGTGAGATCCATGCCCATCAAGGAAAAGGATCCTCTTTTGCCCTCTCCTACCCCGTCGGTCTGGTATGGCTCTCAAAGTGATGTATCCAATCGAGTGCGAATAGATCGTTACTAAACGCCTTCTCCGTAGCACGAAGAAGTATATCCTTATTGATATTCATCCCATCTTGGACCCATCCTTGAAGGATACATTTACCCTTCATGATAAGAGCGGCAGGAATCTTATGCCCCTTCGCATTCACGGCCTCTACGACTGTAGCCGCTTCACGGTTCTCTGGGACCGCCATTCGGCTATAGTTTTCGTTGGAGACTACGCGAACAAGCACGATTAAGGAGGGGTTGCCTACCCCGATCATAAACCCAGATTCATCCATATTCCAGATATTCTTAGACTCGATATTCTGGTCGTTAATGATAAATTCGACGCTCTCGAACCAGCTCTAGATAGACTCGTAATCCTCTGCCTCTCGTCACTTTAGATCTCGCGTCCTCTGCTTCATGGTCTTGATCCCAGGGTGTCGTTTAAGATACCGCGCAACCCAATGCTGACCTAGAGGGGGAGCGATATACCCCGGCGGTCCACCGTTATATTGATCTAGTGCGAACTCCGCAGCTGCTTTGAGCTGCGCTTTCGTTGGCGGTAGACGGAGTACACCTAACCGTCGTGTATATTGAGCGAGATATTGCTCTGCAGGAGGAGGCAGGCGAAAACAACCATCTCCGGGCCGCCTAGAGCGGGACCCGGTGCCATTGAGGCGGGTGAGGATACGACGGTATAGGGATTGGGCACCAAAATGCCGCGCCGCAGCCGCTGAATTAGGCTGTTCGCCTTTACGGACCGATTGAGCAGCCAATTCCACGCGTTTCTCCTCGAGTAAATATTTAGACATGATGGGTGGTGGTGAGTATTAGGTAGGGCAAAACGGTGATAGAGATTGGTGGTCTTGACTGACGAACTTGAGCAGAGTAGAACACAACGACCCAATGTCGGAAGAATATCAGGAAAAAGACTAATTCCTTCAGAATTGATGGATCTGTTAATTTACTATTAAATTTGTATGGGAACTACAACGGGAGGCGAACTAACGCGAAACGTCGCGTTGGAGATCATTTCTATGTTGGTTGGGGTGTCCAGCGCCCAATATATGAGCGGATATGTTGGGCGCGTGGCGTGAGTAGATGCAAAGGGTGTCGATTCAAAGATACCTGATGCACATTGGGATCAGAGCGGTGAGAATTTCATTATTGCGAAAACTAAAGAAGAAGCAAGAGAGAGATATTCATACACCTGTCCGGCCTCTCAGCGAGGCCCATGTCACCATGTGTGATGTGGGCGCCCTGCAATTGACGTCATTCTCGTCATATGCGAGGTCCTTTACAAGAAGCCAAAGGTTAGGAATTAGGTTAGGAATTAGGATTGATTTGTAGATTCAATCACTGAAATTCTCCCCAGTTACATACTATCTAACAAATTTCACTGTCAAGAGAATCAATCTTTACCAGCAGCATCGTGATCGAACCCGATTACCGAATACGGAGGTCCCTTACTGTCTTGTGGGTCCCATCTTCAGGAACCATCTTGAAATGGACTTTGTTACTGGCGTCATTCGGAATAGACTTGAGGGCGTAGTTGCGTCTGGAATCACTGCCGCTGGTGAGATCGCGGGAGACTCCGTATCAGGATTTGGGAATGTGATCGAGAATGGAGGACGATCAGTGGGCGACGGTGAGCCTTAACTAAACGCCTAGCCTGCTCGAAATAAACAAACTAACTTCCTAAGGTGTGGCCAGGACTTTTGATGGCTGGGGCGGGAGTATCCGAAACTATGGCAGCAGAGCGACAAGTTCAACACCTGCTAGACAGACGTCATCCAAGGTCATTGCAGTGAAGAAGCAAGCCAACAACAGAACGGCCACAACTTCATCACAGGAGAAATTGCTTCCGAGTTCCGCTTCGAAAGCACTTCCGGCTACGAAGCCTTTGAAGACACTGCCTCCGCCAGAGAGCGTAAAGGCTCCCGCAGCCGCGCCTAGAAAGCCGCCAGCGAACAAGAACACGGCACCCTCGAATATAAAGAAACCAGTGGTCGGCAATAGGGTAAGAAAGGGCCAGGCACCGGAAAATGCAGGAAACGGCCCGAAAGCACAAGCAGCGCCAAATTCCGCGGCGCAGCCGCGACCGAACAGCCAGCCCAAAGGGGTCAATCAACTAAACGCTCCATCGAAGAAGATCACAATCTCGCCCGCGTCGCGACCGAAACCAAAGGGGCCAGTGAAGCCACTCGCTTCGAAACAAAGCCATGTTCACATTGGCGGAGTGAGTGCTAAGTCTGCCGAAAAGAAACGACAGGATGCACCTGAGTCAAAGCCGCAGGGCAAACCAAACGAACAAAGGCTCAAGTCCATTGACCGGACATTCTTTTGATTGGGGTCGGATGCAGTCCATCAGACCTGTGTGCCCTTCAACCAGAATAACCATGGGTGGTACCATTCACAATATGCGGTATCAGGTGTCATGAATCTGGCGACGACGTTCGGTACCGGAAAAATTGTTATCTTTCATAATGTCGTACATAGGCTTCTAACACGATCAACTGTACTATTAGTGAAACGAGATGAGCAGCGTTTCTAGGACAAATCGGACACTTCGTTATTTCCCTTATAATTCAACTGCTCAGACGGACGTCCCCACATTCTCACCACCAGTCCCTTCAACCGGTGCTGCAGCTTTCTCGGGTTGCTTTGCTTCCTCGGGCTTGGTGGTGGACGCCTTGAAGGACTGCTCAAAGTCACCGATGATGTCGTCGATGTGCTCGGTACCAACCGAAATACGGATCAAGTCCTCCGTGACGCCAGACGCAATCCGCTCCGCTGGCTCTAGCTGTTCGTGGGTCGTGGTCCACGGGTGGATGGCGAGAGTCTTCGAATCTCCAACGCTGTGAATGCTGTCAGCAATATGTTGATGTAGAACGATGGGAAGCACTCACTTTGCCAGATTGGAGATCAACTTGAAGTTATCAACCACCTGACTTCCTGCCTGCCCACCTCCCTTCACCCCGAAGCTTAGAACACCACCGAAGCCCCTCTTAAGGTACTTCTTCGCATTCTCATGGCTCGGGTGACTCGCCAACCCAGGATAGCTCACCCAGCTAACATTCTCGTTCGCCACCAACCACTCCGCCAACTTCTGCGCGTTCTGCGCGTGCCGCTCCGCCCGCAAGCTCAGCGTCTCCACCCCCAGAATCAACTGCTGCGCCGCGAACGGGTTCATGCAGGCGCCCAAGTCCCGCAAGATCTCCACGCGCGTCTTGAGCGCGTACGTGATGTTCCCCATTGGCCCGAACGTGTCGTGGAACCGGAGCCCGTGGTACCCCTCGGACGGCTCGTTCATGTGCGGGAACCGTTTCGCGTGCTCCGGCTTCCCCCAGTCAAACTTGCCCGAGTCGACGATTATGCCGCCGATCGTAGTGCCGTGGCCACCGATCCACTTGGTGGCGCTGTGGACGACGATGTCAGCGCCATGATCGATCGGGCGGACAAAGTAGCCGCCGGCGCCGAAGGTATTGTCGACGATGACAGGCACACCGTGTCGGTGGGCTGTGGCGGTAAGCTTCTCGAAGTCGGGGATGTTGTAGCGGGGGTTGCCGATGGACTCGACGTAAATGGCCTTGGTCTTGTCATCGATCAGGCTCTCGAAGTCCTCGGGGTTGTCGCTCTCAACGAACTTGGTCTTGATGCCCAGTCGAGGGAAGAGGACTTTGAGCTGGTTGTACGTGCCACCGTAGAGATTGGAGGTGGAGATGATGTTGTCTCCGGCTTGGGCGAGGCCGGCAATGGCCATGAATTGAGCAGCTTGGCCAGATGCGGTTGCGATGGCCATGACACCACCTTCCAGTGCCGCAATGCGCTTCTCCAGCACGTCGACAGTAGGCTAACTTATGTTAACTGATGACCCTTTCATAGATCATGCTGGGAGTCTCACGTTCATGATACGGCTGTAAATGTTCCCGAACTCCTTAAGCGCGAACAAACGCGCACCATGGGCGGAGTCATCGAAGCAGAAGGACTGGCATGATTAGTTTAATATCCAAATCTGTATTATCCCTTATCAAGCTTACTGTGGTAGCATAGATGGGGACAGCCCTGGACTTAGTAACGGGATCAACCACCTGCCTATATGCGCGTAGAGTTAGATATATGTACATCAACCGTCCAGCAAGGGACATACCCTGCGTGCAGTTGGAGGGTCTCGAAGTTCGTTGACAGTTCGGCCATGGTGATAGTCGTGCTGGTCAAGTCGAATATAGGAGATGCGTAGTGAACGAAGAGATATTACGACTGTGGTTCGTATAAAGATGCTTTCGAGTAGATCAACCGCCTAGCTAGCGCGAGGAACTGATCTATTTATTTGCACGATGCTTTTAGAATTCGTTCTTTCAGAATAGCGACTTGTTCTGAGACCGCGAGCTTGGCTTTGAATCCTCAAAATAGCTACCCAGCTCTTTGAATTGCGTGTTCTACTCAGGCGGCGTCAATGTACAACTTGTCTGATGTAAGCCGGCAAGCCCGTGGTCGTGATTCGGATGCTTAGGTTGGATGAACTATGAAGTAGAAACCGAACAGCATCCGAGACGTGGGAAATCAAGGGATATTCAGCTCCTCAAAAGGCACTGGAGCTCCACCAGACCACGCGAGAGGTGTTCCTATTTCGGCGTGATCGGTTCTCTTTAGCGTGAGCACGCCATCTGTAGCACCAAATCTAGAGCCGCCATCGAGCCGTTTTTCTCCTCTTTACTGCAGTTTTTACGAAATAGGTTCAAGCGAAGAATGTGTTGGTGGTTTGAGGTTCGGTCGATATGCCAACTACTTTGTTACAGATATTACTACCAGCCCTGCGGTGCATTCTGATAGTGTGCAACAGTCAGCGGTCAGCTCCAAATACTAGGTCGAATCTCCTATTCGATTTTTTAATAATGCACAGGGAGTTTCTCTGGTGTGTCATTTTCGTTCAACAGAAAGTGTGGGGTAATTGGCGGGGGATATTCCTGCGGTGCTCTCGGCTCTTGCAGAAGCAAAAGCAGTTTTGGTATTCAGCAAACCCTAGAATGGGCAAGGCCACCTGCTGCAGATCAACGAGGTGGTCACGTAATTAGAACTCGTGTTACATGCTCTACAGGAGTTTACCAAAATATTCCTTGGTCTGGATCGCTTGTAGTTGGGAGTCGGGATGATGAGTACACATGGATTAACTGCCATATACAAGGTGGGATGTGGCGTAGATCAGCTAGCGGCAGTCGACGAGGCGGGCGCTGCAGCATGAGGATTGAAGATGGACACGAAGCCAAGTTGATCGTCACACTGTAAAAGGCCCCGAGACCGGCATGCCGCAAACCGCCACATATATCAACAAACCTTCAGCTTTCGCTTGGCTGGTTGGAGACGGCGGACAGCAGCCCCCTTCGATCCTCGGGCACTTGGCGGAACACACGACACAAGACTTGGCAAAATGGGGTCAGGACATAGAGCAACGAACAATCAAAACCGCATGCTATGATTCCACTACGTATGGTGCATATGTAGCTGACACGTGGACGACCACCCAACGCCGGATTCTACCCCACGGGTTTTCCATAGACCGACCAGATGTTTTGAAAAGGATGCTGTACAGGGCGGGAGGATGGGAACAGTGCCTCGTTTACGCGGCGGCTTGGCCACGTTCAGCTGATGGAGGTCCGTATTCGACTTGAGGGTGGGTCTCGCCTGGAATCACGGTCAATATGGCATCCGGTGCGTTCAATCATATAGACGGGATGGGGGTTGGACTTACCAGGCGCCATGAAGTTCGTTTCGGGGTTCTTCGTCGCTTTCGCCGCCGAGCAGCGCGCCATGGTCGGCGAGCTTCGCGAAATCGCATCGGTGAAGTAGAAGTTCTCGACCACCTTCTTCATGATCTCCCCGGTCGCCTTGGCTCCCTTGTTCTGATCGACCAGCTGCACTTTCGCGAGCGCCGCCACCTCCTGCGAGACCGGCTCCACCACGTCGTACCGCCGCAGCGCGGGGGAGATCTCCTCCATGCGGTCGCGCAGCTGCTCGACATCGTCGTACGGCAACGGCGCGCCGAGGTACTCGCTCGCGGCGCGGACGATTTTCCAATCCTCGCGGCTGGCGCCGGGGAGGGCGACGGCGTTGCGGCCCATCTGGGTACGGCCTTCCGTGTTCACGTAGGTGCCGGACTTCTCGACGTACGATGCGCCGGGGAGGACAACGTCCGCGAGCTGGGCGCCTCGGTCGCCATGGTGACCTTGGTAGATGACGAAGGCGTCCTTGGGAATGTCCGCGTCGGAGATCTCGTCGGCGCCAAGAAGCCAGACGATCTTGGGCGTGGTGTTGGCCGTTTGTGGAGATGGAACCGTGAAGCCAACCTCGTAAGATCCTGTGCGAGAAGCCGCGCGCTGGAGGACGCTGTAACCGTTCCACTCTGGCGTAACGAAGTTGCTCTTGTTCTTCTCGACGAAGGATCCCACGGTCTCGAAAATCGCCTTGGCGTCGGTATGCTCGGCAGCACCGCTCCCAACGATGATCATTGGGTTCTGCGCGGCAGCGAGCTTCTTGCCAAACGGTCCAGCCAACGCCTGCTTAAGGCCATTGGCGTCAGCTCCCAACTTCTCGTAGTCGAAGGTGCTGGCGAAGTCTTCGCCAACCACGCCGACCTCGAGGTCCGAGCGCAGCCATTGCTTGCGAATCCGCGCGTTCAGGCCCGCCGCTTCGTGGCGAGGGTTGGTGCCGACGAGGAGGATCACATCGGCCTCCTCGACGCCGGTGAGCTTCGAATTGAAGCTGAAGTTCTGTCGGACATCGACGCCATGAGCAATGGGCTGATCGCCTTGGGGCTGATCCAACGCGAGGTTCTCGGATCCGAGCTTGTTGGCCAAGTCCTTCATCGCAACCAGCGTCTCAGTATCCGTCAGCTGGCCTGCAATGACCTTGAATTCATCGCCCTTCGGTTGAAGTTTTTGGTACGCGTTTCCGATCTCCACCAGCGCCTGCTCCCAGCTCGCAGGCTGGAATTGGTTATTTTGCCGGACCAACGGAACCGTGAGACGTTGTGTGTTGAGCCCATCACACGCGAACCGAGTCTTGTCGTTGATCCACTCCTCGTTGATATCGTCGTTCAGTCGAGGAAGGATCCGCATCACGAGCATGCCTCGCGTGTCGATTCGGATGTTCGATCCCAGGCCGTCCAGAACGTCAATCGATTCGGTATGGGCGAGCTCCCAAGACCGGGCCTTGAAGGCATATGGTTTCGAGGTGAGGGCGCCGACGGGGCAGAGATCGATGACGTTTCCGGACATTTCGGTATCGAGGGCCGTTTCGAGATAGGTACCAATCTGCAGATCATTGCCACGTCCCGTGCTGCCCAGTTCAGGAGCACCGGCGACGTCGTTGGCAAATCGGATGCATCTTGTACAATGGATACACCTGTTCATCGATGTCTTGATATTATCAGCACGTGTTTATATGAGTAATGCATCGATCACATACCTTGACCAACGGTCCGATATTCTTGTCCTCCACAGCTCGCTTCCCCTCCAGCTCATGGAATCGTCCACGATCCGCACCATATCTCATGCTCTGATCCTGAAGATCGCATTCACCACCCTGATCACAAATCGGGCAATCGAGCGGATGGTTTGCTAGTAGAAATTCCATGATCCCCTCGCGGGCTTTGTGGACCAGCGGCGAAGAGGTCTTGACCACCATCCCCGGCTGGACGGGCCACGCGCACGAGGCCACCGGTTTTGGGGATCGCTCAACTTCGACCAGGCACATTCGACAGTTCCCGGCAATCATCAGCTTCTCGTGGTAGCAGTATCGCGGGATTGTGGCGCCGGCTTTCTCGCAGGCTTGGATGAGGGCCGATCCGGCTGTACGCGGTTAGACATCGCCTCGATGCTTGGATAAGATGCAATACCCTCTATTGACACTTTCTTCCCATCTATTGACATCGTTAGCAGTGGCTTAATGGCGGTGGTCGGAGGGGGAAGTACCAATTGTGAGCTCCACCTCGGCCGGACGGGACGAGGTCCCGGAGAAGGTCCTGGCTGCATTGGCATTTAGAAGCCCTTGAGATCGCTTCAGCGACCTCAAGACCTGCGGTCGCAGCATCTCAGGCAACGTGGGAATGGGAACGGTGGGTTGACGGGAGGTTGATCGTCGATTACATTGATTGAAGAGCGAAGATGTGAAGCTTGACGTTCAAGAGGTAATGCGGGTCCCTTGATTGGTTGGCGTGGCTCGGATTAGTCATACGGTCACGTGCTGCTTATATGAAGTAAATCTTCAACTTTCGCATCTTCCTACTGTTTTTCTTTTCTCGTTACTCATTTACGGGCACAATTTATTGTAGGAGCTTGTTGGTTCTCGATTTCGAGATGCTACTTCATTCTCCTCTATTACGTGCCCAAGAGCATAACCCATTATGCACCGTAGCTGGAGCGACGGAGTACCAACGATGAAAATTTCTCCTTACCGACGGTCGCTACATTTCGATACCATTGATTTCTTGTGGTGTCCTCATATGTAGTACTATACAGTGGCTCGTCTGTGGATCCACCGGTGTGATATATTGTAGGAACAAGATGAATGCAAATCGGAGCTCTCGTTGTACCCCGTGGTGTTCCTACACCTATGTCTTCTTCCACTACAAGTCCCATTTGCTCCGTCCCAACTCCCAACTCCACGGTGTTCCCAAGAGCCCTTTATCAGCGCTCAAGTAGGTCGCTTGATTGTTCCGCGACCTCGCGAGCCGATGTAATTGACCAACACCAGACAGGTAGCTCGACCGGTCCCCATAACCCCATAAGCGAGATGATGAGCCTATACATAAGGACTACTTCCACCAGCCTCAGCTCTTCATTCCGCTCTTCTGCTCCCAGCAGCCTCAACGGATTATGTACCCGCAGTATCGCACATCAGTATCCGCGTGAGCCCCTCCCCGCGCCCAAGGCAGCGTCGCCTTTCCCCCTCCACCCGTTGTATAATCATTCCCCGTCCCCAACCTCATCCCCCCAATCACGACCCCCCCGGCTTCCCCCCCAACTGCGCCACCGCCAGATTAATCCTTCTCCGCAGCATCTCCACGATATCCTTCGTCGCGAACCCCTTCGCCTTCTCGTCGCGGTTGATGCGCAGCGCGACGGCCGCGGTGCCGATGCCGACGGCGAAGATGGGGTCGAGGTTCCTGGGAGGGTTAGTTGGGCGGAGAGATGGGTGGAGGTGGGGGGTGTACCGGGAGAGGATGTAGGTGAGGCGTGGTGTAGACATGGTGAGGATTGGGTTGGGTTGGAGGGAGGGGCGGTTGTGGTGATGTGGAAGTGGATGGTCGTCTCGGAAACGGTTGGAAAAGGTGAGGAAAAGTATGAAGCGCTTGCGTCTCGGAATAGCGGTTCAGAAGCGGGAGATGGACGCTGTCGATGCTCTTGATAATTGATGAGTTGGGCTCGGCATGGTGCTAGCGGGAGGGTGGGTTCAAGGCTGAGCTATGACATCTCCATCATACGCAAACAATCCAGACCATGCATGGAGCATTATGCGCTTTACTCACTATTGTAGGCAGGATCATCAATGATCCTCTACTGACTACGCCTACTATTATTTAGATGTATGTTGTATATGCCGAGAATAACAACGACTTTGTGATCACTGATCATGCACGATTCAGAGGTAGACGCTTGGCACCAGGATGGCGGGTCGAACCTTTGTTGATATGATGCTATATAATAGACTTAAGAAGCACCGAATACAGTAATGATGAAGATTGTAAGCTATCCCATGGCCGAGCGATTCCGCATCGCCTCTACTCAACGGCCTTCTGTGTTCTTGCGCAGGAGGATAGATCCATATCCTCTGCTCTGCAGCTCTTTCAGCAACTTGTCCAAGTCATCAAGGATGAGACCGCGATCGCATATAACAAAACATGATTGACCGAACGCCTTCACGAGTGATAGTGCGGCTTGGGTTCCCCAACGCCAGGTCAAATATTCGGATGGGCGAGGTTGGAATCCATCGCCGGTCGATCGTCATCCCTCACAACGCCTCGCCGAACGTGTTCTCGCCGGAGTACGTGATGTACAGGAAGCCGTCCTCGTCCTGTGAAATCGTCAGTAACTAGTTCTATTATTCCTCATCGCTGGGAATATCTACCTTGTGCTCCTCATAGATGCTGCTCATCAGCGCGGCGGTCGGGGGCAGGACCTCATCGACGAAGATGAAGATGGCCTTCTCCGGCGACAGCTTGATGCGCTTGCGGATGACGTAGACGAACTGGCCGACGGTGAGGTCGGCGGGGACCAGGTACTTCTTCTTGTCGATGGTGGCGATATCCGACTTCTCGACCTTCTCGCAGATGACCTAGATAACGAGCGATGGTCAGCACAAGTTGATCCACGCGGAAAAGGGCCAGCAGAAGGCACCGTTGATCGCTGCGACGGTTGAGGAGACGGTGGCGACTTACCGGAATGCGGTCGGAGTACTTCTGGCGAATCCGCTCGGCCTCAGCCTTGCGCTTCTCGAAAGGGTGCTCGTCCTTGAACTTGGATCGCATGATGGTGGAGAGGACGGACGGACGATATGAAGGAAGATGGAGGGGTCTCGGGTTCGATAAGCTGGGGATGCGAGAGAGGATTTAAGGACGATACGAGGAAATGTTTAGGTGTGAGGGAGTTACTAAGTTCAGGTTTGCGGCGGTGAGAACAGAAGGTAGGTTGTGGTGACAGGTGAGTTGACCGTTGGTGAGCAAGCCAGAAGCCAGCTGCGTCTAAGTAGCGGGGCAGGAGCGGTGATTAGGCAGACGCCAGACGTGGGTGAGAGCCTGAGAGCTGGGGAAGGTGCGTGTTTGTAACCAGGGACCGGTCACCGTTAGCGCTAGTTTCAGGACCAAATATCGTTCCGCTGCTGTGCTTGTTGCTCAGCCTCCTTAGGATACTCTGTACGGAGTAGGCAGTATTACAAATGTCAAGATGCTTCAAACGATCTAGAACTCTATAGAGGTACAAGTGACATGTGATGGGTTTATCAGTGATGATTCATACGAAGGGACGCAGTAGTACAAACTACAAGGACATGTTTCATTGCTCAGTCACCAGTCTGAGTCCTTCAAAGACAAAGACCCATCCTGACGTACGTCCTGTGACTCCGCGCTTGTCACGTCAAAGCCGCAATCTGATATCCAGGTTGCGTCAGATGCTCTTGTCACCGCCATCAACACATCACAGTCATTCTGGACTTCTGGTCTCACATTTGGGGATTGATATACCTTCAGTGTTGTACCCTGCTGTCGCATATGCTGGATCCAGGTTCTTTTCCAGGTGAACGGAAGATGTTACCGTTGTTCGAGGTGTCATTTGATTGGTCCGATCACAAGGGAGCTTTAGTGCTTTACCCAGCCACTCCACGTGACAGGGTACTACACCGCCACATTATCATTATGCAGACTTATGCTGGAGGGTTGGAGGGTTCTCTCCTGAGGTTTTAAGGCATCAGCCCGCCTCGGCATCAAACCTCACCCATGTCCGTCGGAGGAGCCCAAGGATAATCTGATCGGCGTGCCATGGTGGTGTGACGGCTCCATTCTTACTCCGAGAGCCTCAATATATCTGTCGGCTTTCGCTCGTGATCCTCTGAAATCTTTCGCCCATTGCGATGTTGCCTTTCCCCCGAAAAGCAGCATGAATGTGTTTGGCCTCCGCAGCAGAGCATGCGCTTCTGCGGCTCGCAATGTCTCCCGCCAACTGCCTCGGAAATTGACCGCGAGAGCACCAGTACAACAATGTCGGCAGTATGCCAATGATGCGTGGAAGCAGCAGGTTCGCTATGGATCGCCCGGGCGTCAGACCGTGGAGGTGTGGTATCCCAAGACCCGAATTGCAATCGGCGTGGTGTTCATCAGTGCTCTGGTCTATTCAATGGTATACGACGACCCTGATCAAGCTGCTCCACGTGTTCGCTGACTCCATACCAGGTCACAGAAGATGTCGAACGGACCGAAGCCCCATCCATTGCCGAGCGCGATAGCCTGACGAAGAGGGAATCCGGGATCACAGAAAACTCCCCTATGCGACTTCGAATGGAAGCCTTCATCAAAGAACACCAAAAGAAAATCGTGCGGGAACTGGAGAAGGTGGACGGCAAAAAGTTCACCATCGACTCGTGGACAAGACCGGATGGCGGTGGCGGAATAACATGTGTCCTGCAGGATGGGAACGTCTTTGAGAAGGCGGGGGTGAATATCTCCGTGGTGTATGGAACGCTGCCGAGGGCGGCCATCGCAAAGATGCGTGTCAACCACAAAGCCTTGGATCCCGATGTAGAGAGCTTGGAATTCTTTGCTTCTGGATTGAGCATGGTTCTACACCCAATCAACCCAATGGCGCCTACCGTTCATTTGAACTACCGGTACTTTGAGACCGCGAACGCTGACGGGACATCAAATGCTTGGTGGTACGGGGGTGGATGCGACCTTACCCCGAGCTACCTGTTCGATGAGGACGCGATCCATTTCCACAAGACCATCAAATCCGCATGCGACAAGCACGACAAAGACTACTACCCGCGGTTCAAGAAGTGGTGCGACGAGTACTTCCGCAACACCCACCGCGGCGAATCCCGCGGCGTCGGCGGTATCTTCTTCGACGACCTGGACGAGTCCGAGAAAGACCAGGAACAGCTGTTTTCCTTCGTCAAGGACTGCCTCTCCGCCTTCCTGCCCTCCTACCTCCCCATCATCAACAAGCGAAAAGATCTGCCCTATACGGAGAAAGAGAAGCAGTGGCAGCAGCTGCGGCGCGGACGATATGTGGAGTTTAATCTACTACATGATCGGGGCACAGCGTTTGGAATCCATACCCCTGGAGCCCGAGTCGAGAGCATTCTCATGAGCCTTCCTTTGACGGCGAGATGGGAATACATGCATTTCCCTGAGAAGGGCAGCCGAGAGCAGCGCCTTGTCAATGTCCTCCAAACACCGGTCGAATGGGTCTAGACGAATCATGTCATCACACTATACCATATCTGTACAAAAGAAAACGAATACAAAGGACGATAGACATACAAGGGACAATATACTGCACAATGTTTCTTTGTTCTTCCCTTACCGTTTCCCTAACTCTCATGTTTTTGACTGTTGCAACAAAGCGCAATGGCACAGAGGTATTGTTCGAAGCATTGTTTTCATTGCCAACTTCCAGTTATGTCCACGGTAGTATGGAGCAATGTCTTCGTCTGGAACCTATATAGATCTGCAGAATCCCGCCGTGGTCCCTGACTCCTCTCCTTCTGCAGAAAAACTCAAGCAGGGAGGATCTCAGGCAGGATTCCAGACCGGATCTGGAAACATCCACTATGCCTGCATTCTTCCCCATCTCCCCTCCGGGCGCGGACCTCCGTAGTCCTATCCGTTTTAATGACACCAGTCGCTTCAGCAGCGCTAACCACAGCGGCACTTACACCAGTTGGTCTCCCCTTCTCCCCCTCACCCGCCGCTCCAAGCCCTCCAGCACTGGCTCTGCCGGCATGGCTATCGGCCTAATCATCGGCATCATAGTCCTCTGCACCCTCGTCTACTTCGCCCTCGAATTCCACAAGCATGTGGTCCCGCCCGAGCACCCCAGGACCTACCGGCGCCGCGACCGCCCCGCTCACCCCTCACATCCCGAGGACATCAAGCCGGGCCGCCGCCGAGCGCCCACGGACGGGTTCCAGCGCGCCCATACCCGTCCTACTAGGACTCCGCAGCGCACCACCACGCCTCCCCCAGCGTACATCCCCAACCCCCCTCCGCCCAAATACCACCCGCGCGTCCCCCCGCACTTCATCTCGCACTGCCGGGGGTGCTCCCCACCGCCGTCCACCCACTCCGGCCAGCATACCCCGGGCCGGTCCCCCTCGCCGCCCTCGCCGCCATCCTCCTATTGGGGCCGGCACACCCGGGCGCGAACCCCCTCGCCACCATCTCCCCGCTCGGCCCGGCACTGCCGCATCCGCACGCCGAGCAGCTGCAGCGCTCGCAGCACGAGCAGCGATGGGAGCTATTTCGTCGAGCAACGAGAGAGTAAGCGTGGGCTGCCGCAGTTCGAGGAGCGGGAGCACTATCGCACAGAGATGCGGTGCCCTCCGTTGAGTGGATCTGAGACTCCGCGCGGGCGATCGCGATCGCGACTATAGGTGATAGATGACATCATGAAGGCAAGTGAAGATTCCCTGCCACACGCTAACATCACGCTACCATCCCTTTCTCCTTTCACTATTCCTTCTCGCAGACTGATTCGCATCGACCACGTTGTCGCGGAGTAACGCGATAGACTTCTGGTAAGCACACTTTTGCAGGGTTCAGAAGAAGGCGTTGTTGGGTTAACTAAAATTGGAAAAATTGACGAAAAGTTGAACATTGAACATTAAAAATCAATACATTGATGCAAGCCATGAAATTGACTATTATCTTTGTGATGACATATGAGACACGAAAACCATGGTTGCACATTGCACAAAGGCGCGGCCCCTGGATCCATACGAGGTAGGTACGTCGGCTGTATCCCGTACTACCTACTACTTACTTCACATCAGCCGCAACACAAATCTGATGGAATCTTGCGTCGTCCAATTCCAATTCCATGCCGTAACACCGGACGAGACTCTCCTCAATCGGGAATCCACCGCGTCTATCTTGCGACCTCCCACCTATGAAGTATGAACAACGGATGGACGTCGACATGCCGACCTCCAAATGGCGATCCGACCATCAAACACCAAGCGAATAGCAGCCTTGACCCGTAAAACCAAAGTACCCGCATTTCAGGAACGGGCAAACCGGCGAATTTAACGGGTCCGACGGCTCAATGAGCCTGTCTCAAGGTTTGATGATGTCGACGCGGTATGCTGCCCCGATTGGTTGGGATGCCCAGCTGGAGGCGTTTGCATGGGAGAGAGGGAAGTATCCGTATCCCAATGAGTCCCCATGAGCACGAGACCCGAAGTTGAGTGACATAAAGGTCCTGTATTAATCAAAGCATGTATTCACCATCAGTTCGTCGAAATGTAGCATAAATACCTTGCTGACCCCCGACAATCGATGGATATCGAGTGTATCCCACTGATGTCCTTGTCACCTTGGACGATATCCCATCATCCATCTATCCCGAGGCGGCGCCTCTACTGCCATCATGGGTAACACCAGCAGCTCATCAGCGCTGCAAAGTTGCTTGAAAAACGTCTGCGCCGGCCAGCAGAATTGTGTAGCCTTCCCCACGAACCCGGTCCTTACGTACCACTTGGAATGGATGAAGCCGTACAATCTGAATAAGATTCCGACGCCAGTGGCGGTGACCCGTCCCATGACGGCGGAACAGATCGCGGGGGTCGTGAAGTGCGCCGTGGCCTCCAAGGTCAAGGTACAACCGAGATCAGGAGGGCATTCCTATGGGTGAGAATAGTCATTACCCCTATATATATCAACTATGCTAATGGGTACATAGGAACTATGGTACGATGACCCTATAGAATTTTTGAGTATGTGTCCCTAATATTGCTTACACCTAGGCCTTGGCGGTGACGACGGTGCCGTGGTCGTCGACCTCGTGAACTTCCAACAGTTCAGCATGGACGAGAAGTACCAAGCGACCATTGGCGCGGGAACGTTACTAGGCGACGTCACGAAGAAGCTTCATGAGAACGGAGGACGAGCTATGGCCCATGGGACCTGTCCGCAAGTCGGGATAGGCGGCCACGCAACCATTGTGAGTGACCGATCTGGCGACTGTCGTCCTTCGCATCGCTGACGTCGTACGATGGTTAGGGGGGTCTTGGACCGCCGTCGAGGATGTGGGGTACGTCACTGGACCATGTGGTGGATGTCACGGTTGTCACAGCGAAAGGTGACATCGTCAAAGCTAGTGAGTCAGAGAACTCGGACTTATTCTTCGTACGGCCTCTGCATTTCCCCCTTCATTCTCCCGCTGCCAACTCACAGCTTCACAGGCACTGAAAGGAGCGGGGGCTAGTTTCGGTATCATTACCGAATTCAGAGTCCGAACTCACCCTGAACCCAGAAATGTGGTAGAGTATACATATGACTTCACTTTTGGAAAGCATGAAGACATGGCGTCCACGTTCGAGGTCTGGCAGACTCTTATATCCGATCCGAATCTAGATCGCCGCTTTGCATCGCAGTTCATCCTGCACGAATTGGGTGCAGTTGTCCTTACAGTCTTCTACGGCACCGAAGGAGAATACGAAGCGACGGGTATTCCAGCACGGCTCCCGAAAGGAGGCAAACTGGCGTTCGCCATGGAGGACTGGCTCGGATCCGTGGGTCATGCGGCCGAAGTCGTCGGTTTGCAAGCCGTCGGAGGTGTCCCTATCCCCTTCTACACGAAGACTCTCGCGTTCCGGAAAGAAGACTTGATCCCACGGTCGGGGATCACCGAGCTCTTCAAACACTTCGGGAAGGACAAAGGGACCATAATATGGTTCACGATCTTCGATCTCGCGGGTGGCGCAGTCAGCGATGTGCCGCAGGATAAGACCGCTTATGCGCATCGAGACAAGCTGTTCTTCGTTCAGTCGTACGGTGTTGGGATACCGACGGTCAGTCAGAAGACGAAGGACTGGTTGAATGGTGTTAATACTATAATTCGTGACGCTTTGCCGAATGCGCCGTTCGGTGCTTATCCCGGGTAGGACCTGCATTTCGCTCCGAGCCTTACAAGCTAACATCTGTACTAGGTACGTGGAGCCTGATCTGGCAGATGGTCAGGAGCAATATTGGGGTGCGAATCTCCCTCGATTGAAGGATATTAAGAAGATGTGGGATCCGAAGGACGTCTTCCACAACCCTCAAAGTGTGCCACCAGCCAAATAACCAAACCATGCAATATGCTTGCATTTTACGGCCTGTAATCTTTAGGTTAAATAGAGTCGGGTTGCATAAAATATGTCCATTCATGAGTCTGCTATGCTGCTATGATGATATCTCTGAGTGGCAAGCTCTATTGATTATTGAGTACATCGGGGGAGTGATATGACTGCACAAGGCAAGAGGCCATGAAGAACAAAACCGCGTGGTATTTGAACGACGGCATGGAGGTCCAGCCAAGACGGTTTTCACATATGCGTTAGGCTCACCATCTTCGCGGGGGAGAAGATATTGCCTGGGTCATACTTTTTTTTCAACACCTTAAGCTTCGTCGAGTTTCGGCCGTAGATCTCTTGCGGGGTGTATTCAGCCGCTGCGATATTGTTAGTACTATTACTCCCCATCTGTGACAGCTTACTTACTGGCAGAGTTAGCATATATGCCAGAGCCCTCGCCCTTTTGTCCAGACGCGGCACCATCGATGCCCATTTCGCGACCGATCTTTTTTAAAAAGTTTCGGTTGAACTCGCGGAACTCGTCATCGAGTGCCGGGTCCTCCCACTTCATGGAGGTGGCCACGTTGTGATACGCTCCCCGGTTGGAGAATGCCATGGCCTCGTTCGAAACCTCGCGGATCTTATTATTTGGCCAGGCCTCGAAAATAAAGACCGCCTCAATGGAACCTTGATTGGCCAAGACAAACCGGTTGAAGTCCTGGAATATGTCCGAGACCTTGTCCGCGTTGAGAGGGAGGGTGAAGTTGGAGCCGCCGCCGTTTTTCCTTCCACCATGCTTGGCCATGGGATTCAACAGGCTATTGACAGCAGTATATGATGGCAATACCGCAGTAGAATTCATCGTCGGTTCCAAAGCGAAAAAAGGAGCGAAGAAGGCTTTTGATTCCTCTTCAGTACCAAAGTATACCGGAAGAGCTAGTGGCATGACCACGTTCGACCCAGGAGGGGTGGCGAATCCAAATGAAAGGCACGCACGCGGGTCTTCTCGTCCAGCGACCTCGTTGAAAGCAGCAATCAGTGCATGCAGTTTGTCCATCGTGAACCCCAGCATGCCCGCCCAAACAGAGGCTGGCGCTGGATGAGCTCTAAAGACAAACTCCGTGACCACGCCGAACCCTCGACCGGCTCCTCGGACCGCCCAGAACAGATCGGGATTCTCGGTTTCTGATGCGACCAGGCAAGACCCGTCGGCCAGCACGATCTTCACCCGAAGAAGGTTGTCGATGGTCAGTCCGTACAGTCCACTGAGGTAGCCGTAGCCACCACCCAGAGTCAGTCCTCCAATCCCGGTGTGGTTGACGGTGCCCCCGACAGTGACCAACCCTTCCGCTGCAGCCGCGACGTCTACGTCTTCCCAGAGGCAACCGCCTTGTGCGACGATTTCACGAGTTTCTTTGTTGATCTGGACGCCGCGCATTTGCGAGAGGTCAACAACGATGCCCTCGTCCGTCGAGGATCCTCCCGAAATCGTATGACCACCTCCTTTCACGACCAAGAGGACCTCATTGGAGACAGCAAACTTGACGGTGGTCGCGATGTCCTCGTCGCTTTTGACCATCACTACAGCGGGCTATGTGACTTCGTTATTATTCGATCTTCTGAAGTTATATTGATCGCTTGACTTACAGCCCGCTTCTCAATGGCACCGTTGAAGCGCTTGAGGCTTTCATCGTAGCCCTCAGTTCCAGGCTTGAGTATCTTCGCAGTGGACGAGCTTAGCTCCTTTTCCAACTGTCCCACCCAGGTTGGCTCCCTGCTAGAGTCGGTCATTTTGATGTTTCTTCGTAGATTTTCTTCAAAGGCGATAACTTCTCACTGGTTTGACCTGGTGAATACCGCGAAGGAGTATACTATATATAATGAAATAGTACGCAACAACGCGACCATCCATCATGCCCGGACACGAGATGACGTAAATGCCCGTGGTAAACATCGTAACAACTCCTGCCGTTGGGTGGCTTACGTGGTTATTCGGCGGGGTTTGAATGTATTAAGCCCCGATATGGCTCCCAAATTTGCATCGAAGCTTATGTCAAATTGTGCGCTTATGTGGGGCTTCGTTGCATAGTCTTCCGTATTGCTGATATTTCAAATTATGCATTGCCCAATGTAGGTCGAGAAACGACGTAAGATTTCGGTTGTTGCCCTAAGCATCGATATGCTAGGTACGTAACTCGTATAGCAAAGCTGACAGGATCCGACGTGCCCTTGCATAGACAACGTGTCACGTGGATCAGTGACTGAAAAGGCATCATCGCAATATCTGGCGGCAGAGATGTGTGAGCTGATTCCTTCTTGTGAGCAGCACGAGTACATATGGATATGTACCCGAGACCGCTGATGGTGCATCCTGCATGTGCCATAAGCCATTGCATTTAAGGCTATTGTTAACCATCATACACCATCCCGCCCCCGTCTGACACATATATTCTTTTCTGATTCACCTGCGACCATTGAGGACGACAGGTGCGCTCAATACTAGCCAGCTCAGGGGGGATTTCCTATCCGCCAGAGCAGCGCGCATTTCCATTCGGCTAGCTTCATGCAAGCTCGACGGAAGAGGAAACTCTTCCGAACCAACTGCTCTTAGGTCCGAGTTGGGGCTCAAGATCTCCCTCGCTTATCAAAAATGCTTGGATAATGGGGCTGCATGTTCTGAAATCAGGCAATACAGATACTTGATAGTATTCGCTCTCAAGGCTAGACAACGCCAGCAAAAGCTTATGACCCTGGCGCCCTACGTTCGTCTGGCATGGCTTTCTTTTCTTTAGCCCCTTGCTTCTTGCGCCGTCGCTCCACGGCCCTCACTCGATCCTTGCCTTTCATCTCAGTGAACTTCTCCGTCAGAGCCAGACGCTTCAAGTCGGAATTCTTGAGGTGGTATGCTTTCTTGCCCGACTTCGCCAGCTCCTTCTCGTTCTGCCGATGCTTTCGCGATAGTTCCGCAAGCCGTTCCTTTTCGGTTCGAGTTCGCTCCCGATCCTCCATCCGCCGCAGTTCTTGCTTCAGGACCTCCCCCTCCGCTTCAGTGATCGCGGGCGGCTTTCCTTTCGACCCTTTGCCTTTCGATTCTTGGATTTGCTCCCGTAGGGTATCCATTTCCGAAGTGCGATATTGCTGAAGGAACCCGTACTGGTTGGTTGCGTGAGGATTGTTGGATTTGTTTGCGACATGGTCAAAACGCGGATCTCGAGAGCGACGGGCTTCGGAGTTCAAAATGGTCCGACGACGAGTTACTGGTCGGTTGCTGGGTAGACTCGCTGGAGCGTGTTTAGATGATCTGGCTCGTGGATTGGTATCATCCTCATCGGAAGAGTTAGAGGTATCTGTATCATCAGATGACTCGTCTTCGGGTCCCTCTGGTTGGGTATGCTTTCGTCGTAATGAATCGATGTGAACGGAGGTGTTGGACGACTTTGGCCTCTTCTCATTGCGACCGTCCTTTGCACCCCTTTGGACCTGTGTAGATCTTCGCGACTCTCGAGGGTCAGGACGCTTTCGTTTCCCGCTGGTCGTAGAAGCTGGATCGAGGGCATCTTGGGCCTTTGCCAGCGCTCCAAAAGATAGTTTTCCAAGGCTACTCTGGATGTGAGAATGGGGATTTGAAGTTCTCGTGAGACCAGTCGATCGTCCTGGAATAGGTTGTTCCATTTTGTGAAGCGCTATCTTCGAAATATGCACAGGAGAGGAATGGTTTCCAAGGGTCCGTTTGGAAGTTTCCTGGAGTTCAGACGTTGTCCAATTACTGGGTTCGTATTCTTATATCCAGTAGCATGTAGGTATAGATCATTCCATTGCCACGCTCTATTTGTTTGCAGAGTCGTTTGCAGTCCTTGGGCATGTGTTCTATGGAAGTTTTTGAGGCTTCATGAAGTGAAATCGATAAAATGTGGGGGCAGGATATCGGTGTCACGTGCATACGAAATCAATTTGGCGTCTGCCTTGTTGCCTTGCGATATCACTTCACTTCATCAAATGTTGATTCACTTGGGAACAATATCAAGTGGCGCAATTGCAATCTTCACATCAACATCAGTGATTATAGCTATACGGGCGCCATGGCTTATGAAGTGGTGCCTGCTTCAATATCTGTTACGATATTTGATACGAAACAGGCATACATATTTTTGGATTAGCGCCAGGCGCTGTAGGCAATCACTGGGCATTGAGTGAGTGATTGAATAAACAGACGCCAGTTCAACCATCAATCAATACATCATATTGACAGATATTTCACCTGAATGTCTGCCTTTATTCATGGTTACTCCACTTCTGCCATCGACCCGTCATCCAATTTGTTGTCAATTACTGATGACAAAACGCAGTGGCAAGTTGCCCAAAGTGGTCAACCGGAGACAGGAAAGACACAAGCAACTCCGGCAAGATCTCAAAATGGAGGAGCCAACAGTACCTGAGTGGAGAGTCAATTCTCAAAGTAATGGAGCGTCCAAATCCTCTCCAGGATCTTCCGAGTCAATTGTGTTTGCCGGGCGGAACCCATCGGGGGTCAAGGGGCGGGGCGGTCGTTCTGCCCGCAATAACACACTGAAATGGGCCAACAATGCCTCGCACTCGGTGAATTGGGGCCACAATGGTGCTCGATCGGATCCGAATCCAGCAAATCCCTTCACTGCTCCCGTCAGAGGGGTATCGATACCCTCTAAGCCAGATCGAAATCGAAGCCGAGCGAGAAGACCTATGGAGCCTAGAATGGAATCTGGTAGTCACTTCAGCAGAGGCCAGGGACACCAACAACCAGATAATATTGCTTTCTCTCAACACCTGAACCCTCATTTTAGAAACCAGGGGACATATGACACCACGGGTATGGATGTCTCTCGAGAGTTTCAGCCACCGTCAACATATGGCGAAACTCTAAGGCGAGATTATTCGTTCACTCATGGGTTTAATGGATCTACTTCGAACTCGTCAGATTCCATGCAACAGTCAGCAGCGGTCAATCCGCAGTCGTTCGGTTTCAACATGCAGCAACCTATCTCATCTCTGGGCAACCTGCCTGTCTCAACTGCCGAGGGTCAATTCCACTCGCCTGGGATGCCATTTACCAGCGGACAATTTGGCAGAATGGACACTTCGCAAGCACAGTCCCAAATGCTGTATTCCAGCGGACAATTCGGCGGAATGAGCACCTCGCAAGCGCCGCCTCAAATGCCAATCATGCCGTACAGCAACAGCATGTTTCCGATGCAAGCAGGCTTTCCAGCGCCGAGCGGGACATTTCCGAACATGTTTGGGAGCATGTATATACCAAACATGCTACCCAACCCGCCCATGCCTGGTTCAATGCTTGATCCGTCGATGATGTTCCCGATGCATCCAGGGCAGCAGCAACAGCAGCAGCAGAACATGCCGGCTACTGTCCCTCAATATGATCCGGACGATTTCCGAGGCGTACCTGGTACCGTAAATCGAGATATCCTGGGTGCCGCTCAGCGGAAAATTCCTCCTCCAGAGTTCCCGACCCTAAAGCCGTCACCGACAAAGCCATATCTGGCCCAGACCACGACCCAGTCAATTCGAAGGAGCGAGCCGCAACCATTGTTGATAGTTACCGACCTGAACGGAACTCTCATTTACCGTGGTGGTCGTGGAAAGCAAAACTTTGTCCCTCGTCCCAATCTGGACGAGTTCCTCTCCCAGCTGTTCTCCGATGATTCATTCCGCACAATGGTCTGGACTTCCGCTCGACCCGAAAATGCCGCTGCGATATTAGCGAGGCTTCTCACCCCGGAGCAGCGTTCGAAGCTGGTTGCTGAATGGGCTCGAGACAAGTTAGGGCTCAATCACAAGCAATACAACCAGAAAGTCCAGGTGTACAAGCGACTTTCAGCGATATGGCGGGACAAAGGCATCCAGAAGAGCCATCCGCGGGCCGCTAAGGGTGAAAAATGGGGCCCTCACAACACCGTCCTTATCGACGACTCCCGAGAGAAAGCGAGCAGCGAGCCGTACAACCTCATATGCATCCCGGAGTTCGTCGCCGAGAAGAAAGCCGAAGGGAAGCCGGAAGGGGAGGCGGAGGCGCGCGTTTTGATGAAGGTTCTGGAATACCTGGATGAAGCGAAGTACTGGAGCAACATCAGTGCGTTCATCAGGGACAGGCCTTTCGCGATGGAAGATGTTGGTTAAGCGAGACATCGGCCAGCGGAGTCTGGGATGGCACGATGAGATGGATTGTAGTCTCTACGTATTGAATGGCATCGATGGTAGATCGATGCGGCGCACTTTCGGCTCATTATTACATGATCATCAGATACCCTAGGATAAGGATCGGTTCGTTATGGATTTTACATAGGGACATAGATAAAATGGGATAATTCGTCTGAGCTATCAGAATGAACTGTGGTGCTTCGTGCTACTTAGATATGGCCAATCGGCTAGTCTTCCAGTTCGCAGTATGCATGCAAGTCTGGTGACCGAGGGCGTGTTTTAGAACCATCTGCCAAATATCCAAGGCATGGTCCCGAGTGCAGATATGTCAGTCCCGGACCCTCGCCTGTGAAGCCCACTGGGACTGGAGGGTCGGTCGATCTCCGTCATCCTTTCGCAGCAGGACAGAATATGTTTCTGCGGTGCGTAACTCTACTTGCCCCGATTCATCCAGGCTGGGCCTTGGAGGGCGACGGAATAGTTCCTCGTAGATTGATCAAAACCAATCTCGATAATGCTGCTTCAAGGAGACCTGGAGCGTCGTCGATACCGCTCACCGGACCGTACTCTGTGTTCCCGTCGTTCGTCTCGATGTCTATGTCGATGCCGTTCTCTTGATCGTGACCGGTGCGCCCTCCCTCTATACCTGTCCTCGGACCGTGACCTGTGCCGGGGCGGCTCACGCCTGTGTCGTTCTCTCGATCTTGACCGCGATCTCGAAGGTCGTCGCTCGTGTCGTCGACGCTCGTTACGGTGTCGCCGGCCTTCGCCGGGTCGATCCGACTCGTCATGTCTGTGTCGTCTCCTGTCCGATCTGTGCGCGGCTGCGGGCTTGGAACGCGCATCCCTCCTCCTGTCCACCTGTGCACTTCCTTCTAACACCTCCTCCTCCGCGCCCCCATCACCCCCACCATACGCACCATACCCAACCCCCTTCCCCACCCCATCCAAACCCCCGGCTACATCCCCACCTCCCGCCGTCTCTGCCAACGCGCGCTTGGCATCCGAGTCCGTCGCCGTATCCCCGAGCGGTACCTGATTCGGATTCCGATCCGGCACCGGCAGCCCCAGTGCGGCGGCCATGGCATCTTCCTCTGCTTCCTTGATGCGGCGCAGTTCTTCCTTGCGCGCATCCGCGGCAGACGTCCCGTCGGCTTCGTCGCCTTTCGCGTACCAGTTTAGGTCTTTGCCGCTTTGCCATCGGCCGACGGCTGGATCGGGAGGTTAGTCGCGGGGTATCTTGAGTGGGGGATCGAGTACGTACGGGCCATGAGGGAATGGCCTAGGTAGTTTTCGCGCTGGGCGTCGTTTTTGACATCTTCCCATTTGAATTCGGCTCGGCCACCTCTGCGATAGATCAGTATGATGGTCGGATATATAGGATGCGCATTGCACGTACCTGCTCCCTTCTTTGCGGATTGTTTGTAGGAGATCCATGATTGCATGAATAGCTGTCGTAAGGCTCCAGAAGAACGAGTCTCTAGTGCAAGACAACGAAGTCGGATTGAGTTGTTGAACAGTTGAACGTCATCGGAGCAGATGGAGACTCGGAATATTTAATGCCTCAGGCACCAACAAATCATCACCATCAATGACTTGACCAGACGAATTCAATTGAAGCTGCGGTCTTCATTCACTTCAACCACTTCAACTGCTCTAAGGGGTTTTATTTAACTCAATTTACGCACTTCACTATCATCCACGGAATCTTTTCTCTTGCCCAGGCGCTTAAACAGGAAAATTATTCAACTTGAGGACGCTATTTAGCTTCCAGAACTGCCTTGAAGCTGCACGAAGCTTGCGGAATGAAAGTTCGACCACTTTAGAATATGGAGATCCAGCTTGATGAGATACAATGGCGGCTGCCTCAAGCCGTCGAATTCTACCGTGGTGTGCATACGGACTCAGGTAAGTTTAACGCGACCAATGCCCGTCCGCCCGTCGCTCATATATACAGTCCACCTCTACTTCATGAACTCCCCCTTCTTCGATCCGACCTCCAACAACGGCGTCCTCCGGCAACAGAGTGAGCTCAATCCAGCGATGCAGTACCTCCTCCGAAGCCGCGCGGATTTCGAGAACCGACTCAAAACCATGCAAGGCCTGGAGTTCATGGTGGTTCAAGAGCCGCAGCAGTTGAGCGATGGCCAGGATACGGGGATATGGATCATTCGAAAGCAGGAGCGACAAAAGCGGCCGGGGAAGGAGGATGAGCTTACGGTTCTGGGATCCTACTTTGTGGTTGGTGAGGATGTTTATCAGGCGCCTTCGATCGGGGATATCATCCGGAATCGGCTGGTATGTATCTCTCAGCACACTTGTGATAGGTCATCTTTAACACTTCACAGCTCTCGGTCACTACCAGCCTGACGTCACTTCTATCACTTACAAGCTCCCTACCGCTTTTCAACTCCGCAGAGGGATATAGCTACCTCCCACCAACCTCTAAAGATCTCCAGCTCAGCACCATCGCGACCTCCCGATCCCCCAGCCGCGCCAATACCCCCGGCTCCGATACTTTCCAACAACCGGGGCACGAACCCTCCAGCGATGAGAAAAGCGACTTGTCCTTATTATGGGACTCATTCCAGCTCGCCAGTCGATACGGCAGCGAATTCGCTGACGAGAACCCCCTGCTCGGCGAGCCGGGCAGCTTCGTATTCTCGTCGACCAGTGAGCACCTGCAGACGCAAGCGTCGAAGGTGACCTCATCGCAGAAGTCCGCTACCAATGTCACCAGCTCCTTCGCGAGCGGCGTGAGCACGCCTACATCTGTGTCTCGGAAGCCAACGCCGGTCCCGATATCTGCAGGTCCTGAGTCTCGCCAGGGGGTATTGCCGCCGGTGCGGAAAGGTAGCAAAGCGCCGGGAACTGGGAGTACCCCGACGACTCCAATCAGTGCTGGTGGGACGGGGAAGATCTCCTTTAAAAGGAGGAAGAGCAAACCGCCGGGGACGGAGGAGATAGGATGAGGGGGTGGGAGTTTTTGTTCTTCTGGTTTAGCATAGCGTTTGGATTTGGTAGAGGTTGATACCCCAGGACAGGCGTATATCGAATTTTCTTTGCACATTTCCATAGACATAGAGACCAGGACACTTTAAACAGCGATTGGACGTATGGATGTGTATCAGTAGACACTCACGGTAGAGAGTGAAGAGTAAGGGGTGCCAAACTGAAGCCCAAAATATATTGCGGCCTTGGTGCCTTGGTGCCTTGGCCTTTCTCAAACTTCCCATCGTATTCCAATTGTTGTGGTGATGAACTGAATATCAACTGATGATTGCAGAACTCCTGTTCAAAGATACCTAACTTGACATCCTCCCAGTAAACCCGAACCTGTGCCATTCATTCATTATACCCCCCCATTCATCCCTGATCGCTGGACTCTGCTGCCGAATTGACACGCCCCGAAAGAATCCCCAACATTACAATCAACTCAAACACGCGCATCGTGGACTCATCACACCTCTACATCGCAACTTCAGTCGCAACTCAAGAATCGAGTCCTAGAACCGTGTCCTAACTCGGAGTTCTCTGCTTTAGAATACTTCCTATCGACATCCACGAACCGGCACAAGAAAGGAAGAACGGATACCCTACCACTAGAGGTGCCATGGCGGAGCCTCCACATAAGCGACCAAAGCGGACCGATAGCTCTGATATGTGGGACCGCGGTGCCTCGGAATTAAAGCCTCGTACCCATCACACAGATCGACCTGGCCCCGAAGATACATCAAGGAGAAGGGAGCGGAGGCGTTCGCGATCAAGATCGCGCGAAAGAGGGGACGCAGGGCGGGACCGGCCTCGAGGTGATCGAAACTACGACAGTCGTGACGGGAGGTCGAAGCCGGTAAGGCCTAGGGAACGGAGTGCTAGCAGAGAACGCTACAACGCACGACGAGGTGGGTTCCTACTCCAGTCTTCATGCCGCGGTTCTAACAAATATCTAGGCGACGACCGAGCCAGATCACGATCACCGCGGAGAGATGAGTCGAAGTACAAAGGCCATCGCGCACGCTCACCGCCACGAGGACCGCGCACCGATCGATCCAGAGAGCGACGCCGCGGCGACGGCGACCGATCCAAGGCCAATGTGCCAGAAACGAACGGAACCGCCATGGGAGCATCGTCTAAACATGCTGCGGACAAGAAGGACCCGGATGAGATGGAGGGTATTGAGGAAGACGAGGACGCTGTCATGAAGCGGATGATGGGATTCGGCAAATTCAACACGACCAAAAACTCGAAGGTTCCGGGCAATGAGATGAACTATGCGGTCAGGAAGGAGAAGAAGACAATGTACAGGCAGTACATGAACCGGCCAGGAGGCTTCAATCGACCTCTCAGTCCTGGGTGAAGGTAGGACGTGGGGAGGAGAGGTTTTAAGTTGTCGATGCGGATATTTCTAGCGTTTGGTGATGATGTCGACCTGCATCGGCCGGAAACACTGTATACATACTCTTAGCTAGCCTCCATGATCGAGGCAATTGGCGCTGTGTTCTAGAGAAAATCGGTCGTTTCCACGATCTATCGACCTCTTCACATGCTTTGCTCTTATACACATGGAAATCTTGCTGGAGTCCAGCCCAACGGCCCTCGCAACCGCGAAGTTACCGTATCCTCCCTGTATCCACAGACATCGTACAGCATCAGGAAAGTTAGGTACATTACAGTCGGTATAAAATAAGTTGCAGTTAATAGATGGTACCTGAATATCAAGACCCTTAGTGTCGGAGCAGGAGTATCCCTGTCTCTCCGAGCTGCATATGATGCTCCTTTACCAGTGACATGTTAACTTCTTCACCTCCTCCAAGTACAGTTCTGATGGTTGGCAATGTCAATGTCACTCGTTTACTTCAATGCGATAACTTGAACCTGAATTTCAGCTTCGTGTCAATTCTCATGATCTAGTTCTTCATTCCGGAGTGGTTACATATGGCGAAACTTGCTATGGCGCGGATGCGCCTCGATTCCATGTGGATGTTTTGGGTCGTACTTCTGCTCCGTCTCGTGTCCGGCGTGGATGCGGACACGACATACACAGCTCAAGATATAGAGCGGATATCGAATAATACCTTACTATGGGGCCCATACCGTCCCAACTTGTACTTTGGCACTCGGCCAAGAATACCGAACAGCCTTCTAACCGGACTCTTGTTCACACGGGTGGAAGACTATGCGTCCATTCAGCACAGTATGTACCAGATCTCTACTCTAGAAGATTGAACGGTGCACTGACATCGACCTCCAAAGCTTTTCGTCATACCTGCGAGCAGAATGAGAACATGGCTGGGTACGGATGGGACATTTTCGACCCACGGCTCGGAGGCATCCAGACGATTCGCGACACAGCCAACGGCATAGACTTGACGACCTCGTTCATAAAAGACACGGCAGCCGGTGATAAGGGGGGCAATTGGGGTGTCCGCATCTCCGGGAAGCCGCGAGAAAAGGAGGATGTCAAGACCACCGTCATCTTCTACACGGCCCGCGAAGGGCTCGGTGGCCTTGAAGTAGAGACCGACGTACCGGCAGAAGGGGTGGAGGGTGATGTTGTCATGAAGGGCGAGAGCGGTGCGCTTGGAGACTTTACTATCACGGTTACGGGCGACCCGGAAGACCGAAAGGGTATCAATAAGCATCCGTTCCATTCCCATGTCACAGCGCAAGAGAAGCATTTGGATCGAACGTTTGTGAATACACAGCAGTTGCAGCCGGACGCCTTGTGGCAAACAAAACGTGCGTATCATCCAGTTGAATGTCGTACAAGCTGACCATGTTCTCCGCAGCTATATTATTCCAGCATTTGAAGACCCAGATTGAGGAATTGATTGAAAGGTACGGTAAGGACAACCCTCCACCACCGTATCAGCTATACACGATCGCGAACAACGCCGGGGCTGGGAACCTGCAATTCGTCCAGAAAGTATTCGAAGGACCGTTCGAGTTTGACATTCTGTTCAACTCCGGCAGCGCGCCCGAGCCGATTACCTCGACGACCATTTCGTCGAAGATCGAGGATCTCAAGAAGTCGTTCGCCGCGAAATTCAAGGACGTCTTCAAGCCGTCCGCGCCCTTCACCGGCGCCAAGTACGAGGAATTCGCCCATTCGCTCTTTTCCAACCTCATCGGCGGCCTCGGGTACTTCCACGGCGACTCCCTCGTCGACCGCTCCTACGCGCCCGAATATGAGGAGGAAAACGAAGGCTTCTGGGACGAGACTGCCGACGCGCGGTCGCGCGTGCAACCCGTGCTCGAGGGCCCGTCGGAGCTCTTCACCAGCATCCCGTCGCGGCCGTTCTTCCCCCGTGGGTTCCTCTGGGACGAAGGCTTCCACCTGATCCCGATCCTGGACTGGGACGTCGACCTGACGCTGCAGATCACGAAGAGCTGGTTCAACCTGATGGACGACGACGGCTGGATCGCGCGGGAGCAGATCCTTGGCCCCGAGGCACGCAGCAAGGTACCGGCGGAGTTCCAGGTGCAATACCCACACTACGCCAACCCCCCAACCCTCTTCCTCATCATCTCCTCCCTTGCCGACAAGCTCGACGCGCTGAAATCCCACCCCCTCACCCCCCACACCGACATCCATACCGACCCCAGCGCTTACCTCCTCTCCACCCCCGGCGCCGTCGACGCCGCCCTCCGCGACCTCTACCCCCTCCTCACTAAGCACTACGCCTGGTTCCGCCGCACCCAGGCTGGCGACGTCAAGTCCTACGACCGCGACGCCTTCTCCACCAAGGAAGCCTACCGCTGGCGTGGCCGCACCACCACTCATCTCCTCACCTCCGGCCTCGACGACTACCCGCGCGCCCAGCCACCACATCCGGGCGAGCTGCACGTCGACGCGCTCAGCTGGGTGGGGCTAATGGCCTCTTCCCTCGCGCGCATCGCGACCTTCCTCTCCGAAGACGATGACGCGGCGCGCTTCGCGAAACATGAAGCCGCGATCCGGCGCAACGTCGACGATCTGCACTGGTCGGCAGAGCGGAAGATGTACTGCGACGCGAGCATCGACGACTACGAGGAGCACGTGCTGGTGTGCCACGCGGGGTACGTGTCGTTGTTTCCGTTCATGGTGGGGTTGATGGATCCGGCAGGGGAGAAGATGGGGGACGTGTTGGATCTGATCGCCAATCCGGCGGAGTTGTGGAGCGAGCATGGGATTCGGAGTTTGGGGAAGGGGGATGCGTTGTATGGGACTGAGGAGGATTATTGGCGGAGTCCGGTGTGGTTGAACATGAACTACCTGATCGTTTCGAGGCTTTTGGTAAGCTTTCCTCTTCCCCCTTCCATTTCCCTCACACCCCCACTCCAACCGTATACTAACGTACCCCCTAGTCTCTCGCCCAAACCCCCGGACCCCACCAGTCCCGCGCCACGACCCTCTACGCCGCCCTCCGCCGCAACCTCGTGACCACGGTGTACACCTCCTGGAAAGAGACCGGGTTCGCGTGGGAGCAGTACCACCCGGAGACGGGGGCGGGCCAGCGGACGCAGCATTTCACCGGGTGGACGAGCTTGGTGGTGAAGATTTTGGGGATGCCGGAGATAGGAGGGGAAGGGAGGGAGAGGGATGAGTTGTAGTAGGTGTGGAGGGAATTAGGTGATGGCGGATGGTTGATTGATGGGGGTCATACCCCGAGGTGTGGTGGACGGTCATGTCCGCCATCCGTTACTGTACCTGTACATACTTCATCACATATCAAAAACGCATACCACATCACACATCTCACTCCCAATCGCAATCTCAATCCAACCATCCCAACACACAACCCCATCTCGAATCATAAAATATTCCATGCATTTCAATACTCATCATAAACGTAAAACTACCAGATCCTCATTCGTCGCCGAATCGTAGTCATCGTGCCTTCATTACCCAGAAAGTGGCGCTCTGGCTGGCGCGGTCATCCAACGAGCCACGCCGAGCGAGCTTATTAATGCCATGTATACGGAGTGGTGAGGGTGAGGTCGCCGCGTGGAAGCGACAATCATGTATGTGGAAACTCGTCGCCCGCGTTGGCTGGTCGTGAGAAGAGGCGTAGGTGTGTCGTGAATCAGAAGCGTGTCGTCGTCGCTTGTTCGTTTGGTTTCGGTATGTTCCGTTCGCGTGGTGATCGAATCGGTGAGAGGGAGGCCGATGTGGTGTGGCCGGACGGAGAAAGAGGGTATTCAAGAACCGAAATGGATGATGCATGGTCGTGTCATCGCGAGTGGAAGACGCGTCCTCCGCCTCCAACTTCCCACCATCCACCGCCTGCACTTCGCATTTCATTCAATCATCCCCACCCATCACCCCTCCGTCCCCATCATCCCCCTCATCGCAAACCGCCTTATTTCCCACCGCCACTCATCCCCCCTCCCCGCCTCATCCACCCACCCAGCCACCCTTCGCCTCCACACCGCCTCCTCCTCCCTCTGCCTTCGAATAAACTCCGGCCCCAGATCAAACTCCTCCGGCATCGGCTCGGTGAATCCGGCGGTCCCACTCGTCGTCGGCTCCGGCGAAACCGCATTCTCCGCGGTGCCGAGATTCACAGGTAGCGGCGCCGCCAAGCTCGCGCGCTTCGCATCCTCGCGCTCGTCCGGTAGGTCAGGCAGCCCGGCGAAGGGGTCGTCTTCCTCCTCGACGGAGAGGGCGTCAGGGGAGAGGACGGCGTTGGGATCGCCGCCGGTGGTGGAGCGGGAGAGGGAGCGGGGGTCGAGCTTGAGCCATTTCATTTGGCGGGGGTCGAAGAGCATGCCGCGCTCGACTTGGAAGGCGGAGGCGCGGGAGGGGAGGTGGGAGATGAGGGCGGGGCGGGGGGGAGATGGGGGTTGGTTTTGTTGGGGTTGGGTCGGGGGAGGACGGGTGAGGTGGAGGGTGGGGGAGAGGTTGAGGGGGATGGAAGGGGGGGTGGAGTGGGTGTGGTGGTGGCGGAAGTGGGATTCGTGGGGGGCGTGGAGGGGGAGGGTGGAGGTGGAGGGGTTGGAGTGGAAGGCAGCGAGGGCATTTTCGTTGCCTTCCCAGCGGTGGAGGACGGGGTTGAAGATCATGCCTTTCTCATCTGGATGCAAGTCAGTATGTGTCGGATGGAGAGGGGTAGGAAATGTGGAGCGGGGGATGGATTGGACGGTATTAGCCACCCAGACTCGGTGCATGCTGTGCTTGGCTTCAGGTCAACTCACTCCTCACTTGCCCCACGCCCACCCCTTTGATTAATAATGGTTTCTTCGTCTCACCATCTCTCTTCTTCTTGGTCGCATGGACTGTCGGGCTCCTCGCGGCGATCGTCGCCTTCCAGTTGGTGGTGACCGGCATCAACGGCCCCTCGCTTCGCGGGCGGTTAGACGTCGTGCCGAGACGTTGCTCGCGCGCAATCCGGCTGGCGGCCGTGTCTCGGGCAAATCGAGGGGTGTTCGACGGCTCGAACCCGGAGCGCAGGCTGGGACCACGAGGACCGGGGGTGGATGGAAGGGGCGTAGATGGGACGGATGGGAAGGACGATACACTCGAGCCGACCCCGGACAGCCTCTGGTTCTCCTGATTAAGTCCCAGGCGGCTCGGAAGGTGGCGAAGGGTCTTTGGCGGACCGCGGCTGGTCGGTTGCTTGGTGAACTTGTGCTCCTTCGTGGCGGACGTGGGAAGGTCGTCGAAAATGTCGAGTTCGCTACCGTCGCCCCAGTTGCGTTGGCGGGTGGGACGGTTGAGGGTTCGCCTTGCTGCAGCGTCTCGGGCCAGATGAGCGGGAGCGACGTTGGGATCTTTTCGCATACCGACGCGAGAGGGGGTGTCGGAGCCGCGATCTCGCTGGCGGGAGAATGGTCGTGAAGTTGGAGAGTTGGGGCGGTTCGGATCGGAATCCCGACGGAACGACGAGAGGGATCCGAGAGAAGATTTTGCGGTAATATGATGGGATTGGTTACTTGAGGCTCCGGTGGGTAAGAACGGAACATGAGACTTGGGTTGCGAGTGAGAGTGAGAGTGTTGCGGATAGTGGTTCCTGAGCACGGGAGCGGATCGCTTCGCCTTGAGTAACTGCGCGCTCGTCGTGGTGGGCGCGACACGGCCAACCCGACTCATATGGCTTGCGCCTGGTTCGAGGACCGGAGCCAGGTTCGAAGATTTCGACGTGGGACGCGGAATTCGGGATGTCAGCGGCTTGTCCGTGAACGTGATGGTGGTCGCGGCAGATTTCGTTGCCGGCGTGAACTGCTTGACGTTCTGGACCTTCACATTTCGATTCAGCTTCAGCTTCTTCGGATCGAAAATATCGCCGCCGAAATCCAGGTCGTCAAAGGACTCCTCGGGTCCTTGCATGGAGCCTGCGGTCCGTGGTCGCGACGCCATCGGCGACGGGAAAGGATCGCTCGGAGGGACAGGATCCTGCATCGGTGGAGGAGCCGACGTCGGGGGCTCTTCGACTGCTTTGCGCTTTTTCAGGAGCGCGCCGAAGTCGAGCGGTTGATCAGGCAAAACCAGCCCGTCCAACCCATCGTCTTCACTCTCCGCGGTCACACAACTCCCAATACTTGGACTCATTCCGGAGGCGGACGAACTTCGACCTCGCAGCTCGCGTCGGGTGCCTCCAAATCGGATGCCTAAGCTTCCTTCGGCCCACTCGTCAAACTCGTCTTGGTCGGTCAGCGGGGTCACGGGGCATTTCGGCGCGTCGGAGCCCAGTTCGGTTTTCAATTTCAGTCCTCCCGCGGTCGGCAGTTCGATGTCCTCGCCCCAATCGTCGTCGACCTTCGGGCGCGACTTTTTCTTACCAAGACGCTTGATGGTGCCGCCGAGGAGCGCGGACGAAGGGATGTTAGCCGGGATGGGAATGCCGGCGAGCTTCGCGGAGGAAATAGCGTTGGTGGTGGAGGCGTCGTCGTTGGGAGCGATCAGGACCTGCCAGTCTTCGTCGGCGGCGTTGGATTCGGAGCGGACGGAGGCGCGCGACGAGAGGGAGAGGGAGGTGCGGGTGCGGGGGGTGGTGAGTTTGGCGAACATGTCGCCTTGGAAGTCGGCATCGTCGTCCCAGTTTTCGACCTGAGTAGCCATGACGGCTGCTCAACTGGGGAGGGACAGCCGAGAGGCGGAATATGGAGAGCCGATAATGCGATGGACGTTGGCGATAATGTGGTGTAGGAGGGTGAGATTGGATGGAGGTCGGGATATGAGAAGAAATTTATTTCTGGTGGGTGGTGAGTGGATGGACCATGTGAAGGTATGGTGGCCTTCCCTCGTGCAAGAGTGAATTGATTGAATTGTTGAAGTGTGGAGGTGAAACATGGAGGTGGAGGAGAAGAAGTGAAGAGGTTGGAGGTTGGGGGTGGAAGCTGCAGAAGGGAGAGGTGAGCGTGGAGGTGAATGAAGGCATCAAGGCCACAAGGCATGCACAGATGAGCCAAGTAAGGTACCAAGGCCACAAGGCGCAAGGGAGATCTCACGCGAAACTGACGCGCTTCTCACAGGTGCCCATCTCCACTAGAATATCACCGTTGAATAATTACTTACGCATTGATGAGGATGGAAGAAGTGTTCTATCCATTAATAGATACAAAACTGATCAACTGATGTTACGAGTCCCAATTAGAACTCTAAATGTCCCGATGATGGGATTCAACCTTGCCGAAACGTCTTATCCAGTTATCCTTCTTGTCTTCACATCAAAGACCCCCAAGCAAACCACGACACGTCCACTCCCTTCAGATATTACTCCCACCACACCCCATTCAGGCCAACTGGCAATATTAATATCTCAGAGCGTAAACCGTTAACCCCCTGGAAGCTTCATTGCTTCCATTCCGCCCCATCTATTTCATGCTCCTCTCATTTCTTTTTTGATTAGAGTAGTTCGAAGTCATTCAGGCTCCAGGCCCCAGGACGCTGTCACTGCTGTGTTGCTGCCTACAACGATACTGTGTCCTCATATCTTGCTCGTGCTATAATTCCTGTCTGCTGCTGAGTGTGTTGGCTGATGGCTCTTTAAGTAAATTGAGGTAAGGATCCGACTTCAGACTTGGCTGCCTGCTCCCCGCTTAGTCTAGCTCTGGTTAGCGGCATAGCATCACACCCCAGATTGTCGACATTGGGATTATTTATGTGCGGACTGTGGAACAGCAACAGCACGAGCAGTCGATCATCAATCATCGATCGTTTATCATCTATTATCCTGATTTCGATCTCCCTGTAGGACGAGATTACTGTCGAGATACGCTCTCTCCAAACCGCTCGACCGTCATTTCCGCTTAGAAACTCAATTAGAATATGATATCGCAATCTCCCTCCGTCCGCTCCATCCCAGTCTGAGGTGCGAATTTCTCACCATGTCCACAAGCACCGACCAGATCCTCCGTGTCGATCGATCCGACAAGGAGTCCTTGACCAGCGAGGAAAACGACTACGTCCTTTTCAAAGTATCTCGAGACGACGGCACACCATCAAGCTTGGGTGTGAGCTTGACCGCAACGGAAGGACTCGCTGTGTTTGTCGGTAGGAGTAAGTACGCTTTTCGTCGTCAAATATTTCAATCGGCGTATATCAACATGGGTTCGTCGATTATCGATCTGGAGGTCATGGTTTTTGCTTCCTTGTACGTGGTTTGATTTTCTGGGCGAGTCCCTCCTGTCGCGCTCGGACGGCGTAATTTTATATTTTATATTTCGTCATTGTTTAGCCTTTCCTATCGGCAACCCCATGTCAGCTAGACCGTCAGACTAACCAGGTCGTGTAGTCGTTCCAAGTCGCATACGGAGCATCAAGGCGCCCAACTATCGTGGTAGCGATGAGAACTTGGAAGTAGCCGTGCGGCACTGCGTTCTCGAGGAGCCGATCCCGCCTCAGCATGCCGAGACTCTTGCCGGGCTGGAGATCGTGGCGTATAAATCGTCTGTAAACAAAAATGCGGCGGAGGAGCAGCTCCATGTCGTCATTCGGCAACAGGTCAGCGGCATCGTGGTATGGCCTTACGAATCATCAGCCCCTGAAATTGAAATGCTAAGACGTCACCCAGCAACGACTCGCCACCATCGAACTCGCACCCAGCGATGAAGAAGTCGACATCCTCTCCTGGACCGCGACCGCCGTCCAGTCCGCCCATCGCTTCCGCGCCGAATCCGCAACCCTAACCGCCCAACTCCAAGCGCAGCTGACCCGCGCCGAGACCCTGCAAACGGAGCTGGAAGCGCTCCTCTCGCGGAAGCGCGATGACGAAGATGCCATGCTCCTCAAGTTCGCGGCACTGCTGAACAGCAAGAAGCTGAAGATCCGCGAAATGCAGCGCGCCATGGCCCTCCGCCCGCACGCCGCACCCGGTATCAAATGTACCTCACCCCGCCCATCCTCCGAATCACAAACTGACTTCCCTAGCCGACGAATCACCCCCTCCAGACAATTCCGACCACAAACCTCCCCGTCCCAAACGCAAACCCCCCACCCAATCCCCCTCCCCCTCATCCTCCTCCGACTTCGAATCCATGCCCCTGCCCCGTCCTGCCTCCCCCTCCCACTCGAACGACGACACCTCCACCCAGCCCCCCAGCGACACCGACACCGCCACTGCCAGCGACCATGAGCCCGAATCTAGCCCTCCGAAAACCCGGAAACTCGGCCGCGTCGGTGGGGGGAAGCGGTCACCAATTCCCGCGGCAAATCAGGGGCGGAATGCCGCCTCGCCGCCGGCGACGCGGAGGAGTCGACGGCAGCAGAGTAAGGAACCGTCGCCATCAGTGACGACGGCGCGAAGAAGTCAACGTACGCGGGCGAGTCAGGTGGATGAGGAGGGGGATGGGGATGAGATGGAGGTGGAGGTGGAGATGCCGCCGCCGAGGAGGGAATTGCCGCATCGGAGGGGGGTGGTGGAGCGGACGGATGAGAGGGTGGGGGAGGAGGGGAGTGAGACGGAGGATGAGTTGTGAGGGGAGAGGGTGGAGGTCGGTTGCGTACCGTGCTTACTTACTGCACACACAGTGGGGATTAGATGGAATGGCCGCAGTTGGCTATCGGAGACCTACGCTACACTGCACTACGCTACGGCAACCTCCTCATCGAACACTCTCCAAAGCTCTAAACAGCGATAGCACATAATATCGTGTTGCGCCACATCATCATCGCACGTGGTATCCCAACCATGTCTGATCGCCCTCCCGCGGTACTCCCCTCGCGCCGACCCGAATGGAATGACGCATGCCTGACGCTCCCTGGGACGGCCATCCACACTCCGGTCCAACCCATTCTCGTCCACCGAATCTTCGCATCGTCGGGCTTCTCACGCACGACGATCATCGGCGTCTAAATGTCTCCATCTCCTCTACGGTAGTCTCTCCATCTCTTCTGCAAGTCCCTAGATCGCCTACCTACCCAGAGTTCCCATCCATCAAATCTCGCCCCGCCCATAAGGCTGGAGCCCGCGGCTGAGGGTTGAATCGGCTGGTACGGATATCCAAAGTTCAGGGAAATCTACTCAGGCACGAGGCGGTCATTGGTAGGGAGATGGGGGGATGGTGCGGGTCAGTACGGACCCTAAACCGCTTCTGGGGAATTTCCCCTTTTTTTATTTTTGTGAATATCGGGGTTGGGAGGGAGGGTTTGATATTCTGAGTACTCTGGATATGGATGGTTGGTGGCCAGGGCGATGGGGTTTAAGTGGTGGGTTCATGTTGCGCCTGTGGAGGGAAGATGCAACGATGCTGGACTTGAATTGTTGCTTATCCCTCTTAGAATCAGTTTGTAAACGAAGATTTCCTTTCGTCTCCTATTCGATGTCAAAGAAATGCGAGATACCGCGGTGATTTGGCTGAGCCGTCGATGTTTGGATAATCCAAGAAAACCTACCAGGCTCTCTGCACTGTACCGCACCGTACCGCACCACACTCGACAACGCCTACCACCACGTGGACCCTGATATCGCGACTTCTTGGATGCGTCCCATCCCTTCTCTCAATGAAGCATGGCGATGGGATATTCGTGGGAAATCACGGCATGGATTGGTCGAGATGGTCCATTCGTGGTGCGGGTGCGGTACATCTCGTGGTGACATCCAGAAGTACATCCAGAAGTCCATCCATCAGCTCCATCTCTCGTCGGTAGAAGATCGCGAACTTAGGGAGTCAGCTGGAATAAAATCGAAGCCTTCGAAGTTGATGAAGATGGATTCTCTCCATCGTCCTACAACTGAACTGTGGTCAACTTGGATATTATACATACTTTCACCCCGCCGTATCAAACGGAACGCTATTTAGCCTAACAGCCTGGAGCTGCCGATCTTGTACACGGTTTACTCTGCCCTAGTCCCGCCTGCAAATTATTGGCGCTAAGTCCAAGCTCTGGCCCCAAGCCCGCGCGTGCGCTCAAGAGTCGATCGAATAATCAGCATGAGCCCAATGTTGCAGAGGCGCGGAGGAGAGCAGGGCGTGGAGACGGCAGGGGAGGGGGCGCTCTCGATGCATCTCTCCTCCTCCTCCTCCTCCTCCTCCTCCTCCTCCTCATCCTCCTCATCCTCCTCCAACATCATCACCAACACCTTCTCCTCCTTCATCTTCTCCTCCACCTCTACCTTCGATCACTCCAACTCCAACTCCATCCCCAACTTCAGCGCCGGCTTCGACCACCGCTTTTTCAGTAATCGCTCCATCTCCACCCCCGACCTTCCTTTCCCCCGCTTCTCCCATCTCGCCCATCTCCCCCATCCAAACCGCCCCCATCTCCCCCATCTCCCCCGTCCAACCCCCCCCTCTGCCGATCCATTCCTGCTCGGGAACCCTCCACTCCCGGGCCTTCCCCTCGCTCCGAATACCAGCCTCGTCGTTGATCCCCAGTGGCTCACGCTGGACGACATGAATACTACTCCGTACTTCTCGAATTCCGACGAACCCTCGCTTGCCAACACCCCGAAATGGGACGACTACACCACCGGTTTCGATCAATCCGATTCCGCGGCAAGCAGTCCCAATAATCTCCAGAACGTTCACCCATCCACGCAACCGTTTGCGCAATCAGGCTACGAGCCACCCCTCGCGCTGCAAGACGATGTGTCCGCCTCCGCCATGATCTTCCCCCCGTACCGCCTCCACCTCGGCGCCAGCGCCGCCAAGTCGCGCGTCGAAACCCAAGTCAACGTCCCTTTGACCCTCTATCCTGCCCCGCCTGGCATCTCGAAGGTGCACCTCCCCGCCGAAAGTATCGCCAAACCCAAGCTCCTGATCCGCGGCCACGAGCCCTCCCCCGACACCCTCGAGCTCTCCACCTACCTCGTCCGCACCACCGCTATGAAACACCGCTACTTCCAACGCAAGGCCCTCGCCCACGCGCGCGGAGACCCCGATCCGCCTATCCAGCCCGACGAGCAGGCGGAGCTCGATGCCGACGACGAGCGCCGCGCCCCGGACTTCGACCACGCGCCGGACCACCCGCAGAACGGCGGCGAGGTGAAGATCTGCAACAACTGCATCTCGCGGGAGCGGAAGCGGTCGCTGCGGAAGAAGCCGAGCGATAAGGATGAAGAGAAGCTGTTGAATCGCATGTGGAGCGAGCTGGAGGCCATGCGCATCGTCGTTTTCAATCGGGGGGAGATCCAGGACTGGACCCACGTGTCGAATCTGCGGATCCCGACGTTGCCGTTGGCGGGTCATGCGGCGGCTGATTCGGCGCTGACGGTCGAATTGCCGATGCGCATCGCATGCTATTGTCGCCATCAGGGAGAAAAGATCGGTTTCCAGTAAGTTCAGAGCGTTCTTCGGAACGGCGTTGGTACTGATTCGTGTAGAGTCATTTTTACCTTGAAGAACCATCTCGGCCATGTCATTGCGCAGGAAATGAGCCAGTCCATCCATATCACCGACGACCATAAGGCCAAAGAACCACCGACCGCTATCCCCTCCTTGGATATGACCGGAATGGTCCTCCAAACCGCCGCTCCTTACATGCAAGGCATCCCAGCCACCATGGGGATGCCCGGTCCGTCGTCCGCCGTCTCCATGACGTTCCCTCTGGCTAACCCCCCAATGTATGGACTTGCCGGCCAACCGATGGGATTCCCGCCGCAGCTTTCTCCATCGACCTTAGGACCCGTCAGCCAATTCCCCATGGCTTCCACAGGAATGGATCCGCAGATGATGCCACCGACCTCGGCTGGACCCATGCAGACCACCTTCACCGGGGCCACCCTCTCCCAGCGCCACGCCTTTTCGACTCCGAACCTCGTCGAACTGGGCGGGATGGGCTCACATTACCCAAGTCATCACCACCATGGTTGGGATACCGTTCACACACCCATTGATGGTATGTGGTTCTACCCCATCTATTTACAAACCAATGCCTAAGTCGGTCAGGGACTGTGACACCTCGAAATCTGTCCCGCCCCCCTTCGCCGAGTTTCGAAGCCGGCCCGGCGAAGAAGCGGAAAGGCTCGTCATCGGGCGCCCATCGACACAACATGTCCTCCGCCTCGCTGTCAAATCTGATTATGACCCCCATCGCCGGAAACCCCCTTTCGCGTGAATCATCCAACCTCGCCATCACGCCTCCCGCCATTCCCTACAGCAATTCGTCCGACGGGTTCCCATTCACCACCACCGGCGCATACGGTCCTAGCTCGCGCAACTTCCCTTCGCCGACCAACTTCCATAACCAACAGTTTTACTCGGCCCCCAACTCTGCACACCATTCTCGTGCTCCTTCTCCGACCTCCTTCACCAATGCGATGCAAAACCAAATGTCGGCACAAGTCCCTCACCATTCCCAACGACCGTCCTCATCTCAAGCACTCAATACGCAACCCCACCGCCCACACGGCCGCCGCGCCACGCCCCAACACCCCTCCAAACCCACCATCACCAACCTCGTCCCCGCCGAATCCCCCATCAAAGGCGGCATCGACATCGCCTGCATCGGCCACAACTTCCACCCCAAACAATCTGTCTGGGTCGGCCCCCACCGCGCCACTGTCCGCCCCTCTACCCTCTCCGCCTCCTCCCTCGTCTTCGTCGCCCCCACCGTCCACCGCGCCTGCGCCCTCCCCGTCTTCCTCACCCTTCCCACCGAATCCCCCGACGACCTCGACCCCGCTCCCGACGACCCCCGCCCCCTCCTCCACTACGCCCCCGACGACGGCCCCCTTCTCGGCGAAGCCATGCGCATCCTCGCCCACCGCGTCTACGGGCCTGACGTGAAAGACCTCCGCACGCTCGCCCATCATCTCGTCCGCGCCGACCGCGCCGCCCACGCCCCCTACCTCGACCCCGCGCAGGACGCCACCAGCGCAACCGCCCCGCCCACCCAGCCCATGCCGCCCACCTCCCTCTACCCGCACGGCCTTATGCCCGGCGGCAACGGGCAGAACGCGTTCCTCCTCGGCCCACAGGCGAACGGGATGATGGGGGAGGCGACGGCGCTAAACGATTCGTTGGGGGACATGACGTTGACAGATGCAGGGTATGGGGGTGGGGCGGCGCTGAAGTTGGGGGACTTTGAGATGCCGGAGGTGGGGTTGGGGGATGTGCCGGAGATGGAGGTAAGGGGGGCGGAGGAGGGGGAGTTGGTGAGGAGGATCGAGGAGTGGAAGGGGGTTTAGTGGATTTCTGTTTCGAGCTGTTGGGTGGGTTTCTTTTTTTCATTCGGGATATTACGCACGGTATACGATGTGCCACGGGGTATGCGGGTGCTCTCTTTCTTTATTTCCTTGCATATGTTTTTTTGTCCGTGTCAGATTTTCTTGATCGTCTTTGGGGAATGGGAAAAGCAGGGCACACCGTCCATTATCTACAAACGCCGGCACATCATCATCGCGTTCTAGCGAAGGGGCACATAGGGGGAAATGGCGTTTTTTGGAGGACATTTCTCTCGACTGGAAAAAGGGGAGGACAGGAATCGAACTCCTTTCATTTGTTCTTTTAATATTTATTCCTCGTCGCTTATCGACTTGCTGATAGGTCCTGTATATCGAGTCGCGTTCGGTCGCTCGGTCTAGGACGGCTGGGATAGACCGGACCTGGTTTCAAGATAAAATCCAGTCGGCTCATTCAATGATATGCGGTCTCGCCGTGGTTGGGAGTAGATGAATTGTTTGGAATGCATCATTGATCGACATTGTTGCTAGGAGCTTTGCAGCCCTAATGATGGATACAGCATGCGAAATACCAACAGCTAGCCTACCCCAATAAACAAAGAACATATCCCAGCTCGAGGAATACAAACATCCAACATGTACTTCCTCCCGCGCCTCTCAAACTCCAACCCAAATCTCATCCACAACGCCAACCATCGTAAACCTCATTATGAAACCCCCCCTCCATGCCGCTTCACCTCCTCCTTCGCCATCCACGGCACCTCCCGACTCAACAACGCCCGCAACTCCGGCGTGATTACCTTCTCCCGCTCCCGCGGCGTCAACTGCCCGGTCGGTATCCCACCCGCACCACTACCACTCGCAACATTCGCACTAGCACGACCAACCCCACTTCCCCGCCTCGTCCCCACCGGATTCTTTGACCCCCCCTCACTCGCACTCGCACTCGCACTCGCCGCCCGCCGATGCGTCGTCATCCCCGGTCTTGCATCCCGCAGCACATTTCCCCCCGTCGCCGCCTCCGCAAACGTATCCTCCGACCCCGGGAAATTATCCCCCTCCGGCCGCCGCTCAAGCTTGAGCGCCGCGCGCATGGGCGGGGTGAGGGTGTCGGAGGGCGATTTCGGGGGGGCGGGGACGGACTCGGTGGAGATAGCGCGACGCGGGGTCGGGGGTTCGGGGAGGATGTTTTTGCGGTCGACGGCGTCGACGGTTTTGCGGAAGCGGAGGAAGAGGGCTTCGGCGCTAAGAAGGGTGGAGTTCAGGTCGATGGCGTTGGCGAGCTCGTTGACGTACTTGAGGACCTCGTCGAAGCCCTGGAGGTGTTCGAGGATGACGGCACGGTGTTTCTCGAGGATGGCGAGGGCGACGAAGAGGTGGAAGTTGGCGGAGAGGTGATCGGTCCAGAGGGATTCCCAGAGGCGGAGGACGTCGGGCCAAGGGAACTCGCGCTTGTACCAGACGAGGAGGGGGCGGAAGAAGAAGAAGAAGTTGGTGGAGTCGAGGGATTGGAGGTGGAGGTAGAGTTGGGGGTCCATGAGTTGGACGAGTTGGTCGAGCGTGAGGAGTTGGAGGCGCATGCCGGATTGGTCGCGGAGGAAGTTCCGTTCCTGAGGGGTTAGCGAGGGTGTGTTGCGGTGGGAGGGGACATACCATTCGGTTCATGAAGCTGACGAATCCCCAGAAGGCTATGGCATCATCTTGACAGACTGCATAGATGGGTGCGAGGAGGTCGCTCATGCCTTGGACGTAGCCGAGCTCCCGGTTGTATTCGTTATATGTCAGGAGCATGTCTTTCATCTGCTCGAGATGAACGTTTGTGCCCGCATCCGCGAAAGGCGAGTTCGGATCCGGATGAGGAGTGTCTTCCCCGGCGAAAAGGGGAACGTGTCGGTCTGTTCGATGTACGTCCTTCTCTATAGAGGCCCGAAATGGGGCAAGTCAGTCTTGATCCGTCTCCAAAAGGCAAGAGATGTACGAACCGATCATGTTCTTTTGTTCCTTCCACGATCCCCATGCCTCCTTATTTCCCGACTCTCCATCGACCATCCGATCCCACCACTTGCCTTTGAGCCGGATATACTCATCCCGCTTGCTATTCATCATCGCATGTCGCTCCGCGGCGGAGCTGTTCCAGTCATACACCCCCAGCAAGAACATCCACGCCTCCTTGCGCACTCCGTCGTCGGGATCCAACCCACCATGGAACACCCGTTCCTTCACCTCCCCCACCGTCACCTCCAGCCGTCCATGCGCGTCAAACCATTTCTTCCACTCGATCATCGTCACAGGATCCCGCCGCTCATTGATGCTGAGATCCCGCGTCTCCACCTCCAGGATCTCAAAGGTTCCGAGCTCCGTCTCTTCCTGCTCCATGATATCCTTCGCCGTCCAAATCCGCTGCTGCCGCTCTCGGTCGCCCTGCTCCGAGATCCCCATCGCCCACCGCGCTAGGTAGATGCGCGCGGAGTCGAACTCCTCCTGCAGCGTTTGCACTTCGGGGTTGCGCATCAGGTTCCGGAGCTGCGGCGGTAAATTCTTGTTCTCCGCAACTGCTTGCGCCGTACGCCGGGTAAACGTGGTGACCTGGCTCAGCTTCTCCAGGATGTTCCACCGCGCTTCCTTGAGCGCTTTGGTGACGGGATCCATGCCTCCATCGCGACGACCGGGCGGTTGGGCATTGGATGGTCCAGGCGATGACGGACCGGCTGCAGCGGGCGATCCGCCACTCGAAGGTCGTCGCGCGCGTTTCCCATCGATCCCAATACTAAACCCCAGCCGATCTTCCTCGCTCGGCTCGATCAAGAAGATGTTCGGGTCGGCCCCGCTTCGCTCCACCCGGACATATCGCTTCAGCCATCGCAGCACCTCGTCCCCTCCCCAGAACATCCCGCCGCCATCGCCGAACGGGTCGAAGCTCTCCCTGGCAAGCTTCTTCCGCTGGAGAATCGTGCTCTCGCACTCGCTGTCATGGAAGAACAGCGCGGGGAAGCTATCGCCCGCGCGGGTGTTGATGACGACGCTGCCGAACCACCACCCGATGCTAGGGGGGCGGACGAGTAGGCTGTAGATCTCGGAGACGGGGATGGCGAAGGCGTAGCCTGGGGAGCTCGAGCTCGCGTGGCCGATGTTCGTGGGGGGGAGGGGGACGAGGTAGGATTGTTTAGGGGGAGAGGAGCTGCCGCTGAGGTCGACTTTGACGTAGGCATTGAAGATGGTGGAGGAGAGGTCGGATTCGGGGACCCAGGCGAGGAGGAGGGAGGAGGATCCGATTTGAGAGGGAGAGGTTGGAGATGAGGGAGATAAGGAGGCGGGTTTCTGTTGGATTAAAGCGATGAATCCGGCGAGGTTGTCCCTGGCATGAGGACTTGGGTGCACGTAAACCTGTTTGGAATTAGTTCTTGTATAGTAGGATCGATTGAAGCTTCTTAAAGACTCACTTTGCTCTTCGTATACAGCAGCTTCACCCCCCGACCCGAACTGGTATGTCGGATAGTGTTATATTCGCCCTCTTCGTCGTCACTCATGGCGTAGAATGAAGCGCTTGGAGACGGTGGTTCCTGCTTCGGGGAACTCATGACGGAGGAGGAAATAAGAAGAGTTCACGCGACAGGTGAGGTCATATGGTTTCCTCGGGTGGCGGAGTCGCAAGGCTGTGGATGAGGTACTTAGTACCTCAGGTACGGCAGACTTAAGGAATAATCCCTGGTAGTGTAGTATGCCTCGTGTATTTGGTTCAGTCGTCAAAGAGGCTGCACAGAACTGTCAATAAAAAGGCAAAGAAAGATATTACAATCTACATGGAACTTACGAGGTTTGAAGAGTGCACTGTGTGATATTGTGAGCTTATGTGATGATCATCAAGCGCCTCCTCAAGCTGTCGTGGTGTGATGGGGAGGATGACGTCCGCGGGGCGGAGGGGTGACGCGGTGCACGGAGAGCTGCGCAAGCCGCCCATGCAGCTGATATTCCAGATCCGAGGTGTAGGGTGGACTTTGTACTATTGTCCTTGAGATGAACAATGATGGATCAGATACAATATCAGAAAGGTGTTGGCTTGGTGTGTTCAAAGTTCAAGCGTACTGGAGCTGCTTCAGCACACATTGAGGGGGAGCAGCTGTGATATAAGTGGCTTGGTCATTATCATCCATGGTACGGCACGGTAATAGCCAAAATCAAAAGAACCAGACATCCCATCCAGCTTCCAGCTTGGAAAATGGCTGCGAGCCTAGATGCACTCCTGCCCTCGGAATCCAGCCGAGCACCTATGAACCTGTGACAATTGCCAGAGGATTCGGAGCCTTGAACATTGATTCTCCCATTCATCGGTACGGCCTTGGACCGCCAGGTAATCCGCCTCTTTCGCGACCACTCCGTGGATTCGGAGGCAACCCTCCCCCTTGTGAACCATACGGACTATCCTGACTGCTGCCGTACGACTGATTCGAGCTTCCGGTCGATCTCGACGTTGACCCCTTATCATACCTCCCTCTCGGCTCACTCATAGTTGAACTCGGTCTATCATACGGACTGCCCTGGTCATATGCCCCACCCCCTCCACCCCTTCCACCTCCAGCGGGACTCGCATTAGGCGGCGTCGGACTCGTGCTCCTCCCCCCGTATAACCTCGCCTTCAACCTCTGCTGCGCAGACGTCCCCCCCGTCGTCGGCGGCGACGCACTATCGCTCGCCCCCGAACTCTGATAGCTCCCAAACCGCTGACTCGGAAGCGGCCGCGACGACGCCTGCTGTGAATGATTCGGTGAATACGAATCGACGAGCCCCGCGCCTCCCATCGGCCGGCGCGCCTCGGGCGGATCGGTCTTCGCTCCTTGACGGTTCGGTGCGTTACGTCGCAGCGATGATGGCGGGGGTTGCTGTGCCTGCGCGCCCGAGGAGTCCCAGAGATCGCTCAGTCCGCCTCCGCTGCCTTTATACGATCCCTGCTGAGCCGGTGGTTGTCCCTGGTTGTTGTTCCCCCACATGTTGGCGCCGAGGTTGCTCACGAACGCCAGCTTCCCGCCTGCGGTTCCGGCCGGGGCTCCTGGCGGGGGCGCCTTGGGGTCGGGGGGGAGCCATGGGGGAAAGGGTCGGCCTTTCTCGGTGTAGTATGCGCGGAGGACGCGGCAGATGTGGGTGTCATCTTCGGTGTCGCCGTCGGTTTCTTCGGAGAGGAGGGTCCGGCGGAGGGAGGAATAGCGGGATGCGGTGGCGGTAAGGAGGCCAGATAGGTAGGAAGAGGAAGCCATGCCCTTGAAGTGGTCGTGATGGGTGGTTTGAAGTCACGAGGGGGTTGCTCGATGTGGAGTCTCGTAGGACGAAGGGGTCCAGAGCGTTAGGGATCAATCAATATTGGCGGGTAGGTACAGCAGGTGTTTTAGTGGGTGTTTCAGTGATGATTTTGTCATTTGGAGAAGTTGGTAGTTTGAAAGGTCATGATATTAGGTTGAATGTGGAAGTGAATGAGGAGAGTGTATTATTGGGGATGGAGGGTTCGATATGATGCAGCATGTTGATCATCACTGAGCCAAGGCTGGAGACCATTGGGGACAACAATCATATCGTCAGCACAATCATCCACTGTCCATTGTTACATCAATCAAATTGTTACATACCTTGTCTCCGATCCACCGACAAAAATTTCTTACCTTTTCAGATAGGATTTCCAGATGGGATGAAAATCATCCTACTTGACCTCGCTGGTCAACGAATATTGGCGGCAGTGAGCCCTTGAGACTTGAATCATTCCTACCCGTCCTCAACCACGAGTACTATCAAGGACTTGAGTATCAAGCACTTGCGTCTCGAGACCAGAATCACCGGATGTCAATCCATCATCCAGCTTCAAAGCTGTTTGTCATATCCGGATACCAGACTCCGCGCATAAGAATCACCATTAGTTTGCTTCGCCATTTGCCATGCGCTCTATAGAGTCTCTCTTCATGTCTTCGTAAACCTACTTCCATTCCTTCGTGCTATCATTATCATTTTTCAGAATTCTGCAGTCTGGGTTTATACGCATCTTTTTAGTAACTAGGTATATTCATACTTCATGCATAAGAGCCTCGAGGGACGGTTTATCCTTCTGGTATACCACAGCACCATATAGGATTCCCCCCATGACGGGCAGTTCTGAATTTGGACAACATGAATCGCAGACCAAGCCGCCAATTTTGCTGGATTCAAATGAAACCGATGCCGGATTGCGGCGTTGTCGGACCAAATCACGCAGATGGGGCAAATCGTGGCATATTTAGCTGCCAATGACCGGAGCTATGGGCATTTCCATGCATATTTTATCTCTCACTGCAAGGGATGCGTCACGATATTCGTCCATCGCGATCGACCCTCTCAGGCTGGGGAGGTGTTGAATTATTAATTTCGATAGGAACGGGTAGCTGGTGAGAAGATTATATTAACGCCACACATGCTTTTGACCACGGGTCGCGAACCTTGCGGTCAAACATTAATTATATCGAAGAAATATACGTCATCACATTTTCTCGGCTCGTTGAGCAATCCCCAGAAGAAGAACGGTGGGCAAAACGGGAAGGCTTGCCGCAAGAGGTACAAGAAATCTTCCGATACATGCACAATCTGCTACATTAGCGCCGAGAATCACAAGAAGCTCATTGGCAGATCCACCCGATGGAGAAAAGCATTTCACAAGGCCTTGGAGGAGCAATTTCTTCTTCCTGGGCGGACGACCTGCTGCCTTGTCCCCCTTATCCGTGGAGTGGCAGCTCTGGGGGTTCATTGAGGACTATTCATGACTCACAGATAGGACCGTCAGGCCATCTCCTTCGCATCCTTTGAAAACTAGATAGTATCTCCAGACATCGACTTAGGTTTCATATCTGCGAGTGGAGTATTTGTGGCGAGAACGGTTTTCGCGAGCAGCAAGGGAGTACATTGCCTTTTCAATGCGCGATATCGAGCAATGGCCCCATTCATCACGGGACTACCCAACTTATCTGACATGATCCAAGTTGAGTCCTTGGGTAATTCAATCATGTATGTGTGAGCAGGACCTATACGGCGGCACTATATCTGTTGCATTCGGACTAAGAAAGTGGGATCACGTGGGTGGGTGTCTTGGGTCGTTGTAACACTGAGTTTACTGACTGGACGGAGGTACTTCCGTAGAAGGCACGACATCATTGTATTGCGTTGTGTGGCAGGAGCGATAAATTGGATCACATGCGAACATCAGATCAGACCATGCGTGGACAATTCGCTGACAAGCGACACGATAATAATGCGAAAACAGTGGTGGAAAACGATGGTTTACCTTTACTCCCCGTATTGTGATATGTTTCTTGCCATACAACACAACGACTAAGATACAGTCTTAGGCCACTTCAATGGCATGCTCAATTGAAATGTTTCCCACCACCTTTGCATTGTCCGAATAACCGTGTCCGTGGTACTGGTGATGTCGAACCTCACCATCTAGCCGTGGCTGTGACCGCCTGCACCTGCAAAATGTCCATCAGAGCTTTCCGAAGCGCCTCCAGCAGCGGGTTCTGCGTCGGTCCCTGCACCGGTGGATGAGCCAGTCTCTGCGCCGGTGGCCGAACCGGTGCTGTTGGACGAGCTGCCTGAGCTTTCTCCACCAGCGCTGCCGAGAAGTCCACCCAAGCCGGAGCCTCCGCTCAAGCTGCCGCTCAAACCAGAGCCAGTAGAGGAGTCGGTACCGGAGGAAGAGCCGCTGGAGCCGGTGCCGGTGGAGGAAGAGCCGCCTGACCCTGGGCCGGATATGTCAGTTGAGAGCTCCATGGAAAGTGTAGAATCATGTACCACCGCCGCCAGAGGCACCACCGAGGCCACCGCTAGGTCCTCCAAGGCTATCGCCAGACAGAAGGCCGCTAAGTCCTGCTTAGGGATTAGTTTATTAGTAAGATATAAGGTGCGGCGGGTTTACTTACCACCACTCTCATCAATATCGCTACCGACTCCTTCGAGGAGCTCGTTGAGGCCTACTAATAATTAGGCTTACGCTGAATGTAGAAAACGCTCGGTTTGACTTACCGCTGCCAACTTCGCCGAGGAGTCCACTCCCATCGGTATCGCTATCGAGTCCTCCGAGGAGCTCGTTCAGACCTACTAATAATTAGACTTACGCTGAATGTAGAAAACGCTCGGTTTAACTTACCGCTGCCAATTCCGCCGAGGAGTCCACTGAGTTGACGCTTAACAGTCGGGTGGGAGTCGGAAACCATGCGAGCAATGAGCCCATCAATAACATCTTCATCGCGAGCACCATGGGAGTGGCTGTGTCCATCTCCACTCGCGCCGCTGGAGCTCCCTTCAGAAACAGAGGGGTCGGTGGCCGGCTCGAGGGTAGTCTCGCTAGATGCGCTCCCGGATTCTCCGCCGCTGGCGCCACCTAGCAAGCCGGCAAGCCCAGAGCTATCGGATGCGTCTCCGCCAGCATCGCCAGCACCGCCGGCCTCGCCTCCATCGGCACCACCGAGCACGCCCCCAAGGTTGCCCGCACCCCCTTTGCCTTTGCCCGTGCCCAAAATCGCACCGAGGCCAGGGATTCCGCTGGGACGAGCACCGCCTTTTCCTTTCCCGAAAATTGCACCAAGGTCGGGGGTTCCGCTGGATCTAGACCCCCCGGGTCCACCAAAGCCTGTGGAAGAGGTTGGGCTTCCACCAGGAGGGTCGCCAGAATTGCTCCCATGGTCGTGGCCATTCCCTTTACCCTTGCCCTTACCCAAGAGTCCAGCTAATCCACCTCGTCCACCGGCACCGCCGGGAGAGGCAATTCCTGAGGGAAGGGTTTGATGCTGAGCAAGCGGAGCACCCTCGGCAACAGCCGCGGCTAGCACGGTGACAAGAAGAATAAAGTTAGTCATGATGGCAGACTCGCGCCAGTGACGGAAACAGAAGTTAAGACTGAAAAGTGTCCAGCACAGTCAAAGATAGCTAGTGAATGAAGGGGAGTGACTAGAGTGGGGGGAAGAGGGCAGTTGGTGTTGTAGAACCTCTCTCGGAGCGTCCTTTGCGGCTGTTCTTATAGAAGCAAGAGGAGATACCCCTTGTGTCTCCGTTCGGGATCATGCTCGAGAATTATTTGATCAAATGGGGAAGTAATGGTGCGACGAAAACGAAGCAATCTTTCTCTCACTGGACAAGTGGACATCATGGTTAGAACCTTGAGGGTGACTATCTTGCGCTTCGCGTGTAAACAACAAGCGGGCCACCCATCGTAGGGACCATAGGAGGTTAAACATTCTCAAAGGGAAACATAGGGGCACTCCTAGTATGTCAGCTGGATGTCCTAGGACCCAAAGGGGCACAGCAGATATGCGACGGAAGTTAAGCCCTCTATCACGCCTTGTCAAGGCGAGGCCATTTCATGTGACTCTTGCATCAGCCGGGAAACGGCATAACCGGATTCTCCTAGGCGGAATGTCTAGTGGTCGGCTTGCACATGTTGACGCTGTGTCCAGTCGATCGTCCTGTTTTTCGTAGAGTGATTTTGTGGTCAATAATCTAGGCAGGGATCATATGAAACCGATGAACCCCCAGATATGGATGGGACTCCATAATTCTTCTACCTCTCGACACCATACTCAACAAACAGTAGAGAAGCATTGCGAGAAATTGAGGGACTTCTCCAGAGGAAATATGAACAGTGACGCAAGTTTCCATTACCTGCCTGCTAACATGCTGGTGATCCCTTTTTTGAGTTGCGAGTTGCAAGCCACTAGCCAGCACATGTTGGGGGAAAGGTCCTGTAACGCAGTATGCAGAGTCAAGTGCAAAACTGAGAGTTGAAGTTTGAGATACATATAAATTTGAAACGTATTCCGTAGTTCTGTTGCTGTTCAACTCCTGAACGTGTGATACAAAGTACACTAAGTCCATTTGGGTTAGACCCAGCTTCGGCCAACCTCGTCTTGGTCTCACATCCCGTCGGTTCGGAACGGACTTTACGGTTTGGACTTCCTGAATTCCTAATTATGTCGTTCGTTGCCCTATCTCGCAAATGCACAGCCGAAGTGTTGGTAAGGTTTCTTTGGGAATCTCAGGGAGAGGTATCATCGATTAGCAGGAGCAACGCATGGTCTCAAAGCGCGAACACATTCCCTTTTCCTCGCTTGGTTCACGTTTCATCCTCCGCAGAACTAAGTATCAAAGTACATAAGGCCTCGGCGAAGATGATGTTGAGGTCGGCATGGTATTACAGCTATTCATTGCTGTCATTGTTCTGCGATCGGTCCAGTCGTGAATTTATTAGGGTTCGAAGTCGTTCTTATTGTCGACAAGCGATCATGTCGTGATCCGCGACCACTATAATCGAACATCAACCCTCCAGCTGATGCAATGCACTATAACATCACGCCACTATTAATCCTACTCGAATCACCGCCACCTAAAAATCCCCAGATGATCTGAGGCTCCAGGTCTCTCTGCCGTTGCCTATTGGCATTCATGCAGATGGGTCTCCTGGGCTGCTGCCCGTCTTTGTTCTGGCGACGAATTGTAAGGACTGAGGTGAAGCTTAAGGCTAGAGCATTGGCTTGTTCGCTTGGACCAGTCATATCGCCCATCACCTATTAATTATCTCTCGCCCGTGAATGGTCAGCGCACTCATCTCATCAACGCCAATGTCACTCCGTGGCATGCCTCAACCAGTCAACCTTCGTCACGAGCACTCATGACGGGAGTTGTGGAGAATGCCCCCCAGATGATTCGAGGCTCTGGTCACCTTAACGGTGTCCCGCTGTTACTACAGATGCCTTTCGAAAATCACCAATCAGGAAATCACACCCCCCAATTCAGGGAACACCACCGGTCTACCACCCAGCAATGGTAATTTTGGTATCATGCATTCAGGAAACTCTACCGGTAGAATTATGCTCCTACTGCAACTCAATTCCGTGTCTCTAGATCGCTCGTTCCCAACCAAGCAGTATAAATATTTCTATAAACCTCCCCATAGCTTTTGCAACCATCCTGTTTCCTCCTAGCATAGTGTTAAAATCATTTAACACTTAAGTTACTGGAATTACTATTCTTCTTGAAAATATCCCTTCATGCTTGGTATCTAGCACCTATCCACTGGCAACTACAGGTAAGTACCGCCCAGATTGTTAATCTGATTCATGTTCGCTAGTTCATGTTCCCAGTATATGACTATACATTGTTTCCCGAGTCTCCCAACTCACTGCTTCTTTTTGTTATTGATGTACAATACTTACTAGATGTGTGCCACGCAGTCCATCGTCCCTAGGCGCCTATACAGTTATTACGACGACATACAATTATAGTTTCGACTTTGATCTCAGGACCCGATCTAATCTTTACCTTTAATTTTCGACTGCAGTTGCACCGGAGCTTCCTCCAGTGTCTGGCAGCGTCGCGAGCTTTGCTGTTGGTTTAAATATCATTATGGGCGCACACCAGGAACGACAGCAAGCTCCGCTTGTCGGGTACTCGTCCAAACTGGGGTCCGGGACCCAGGCGGATGGGGCTGGCCCGCACGCCACGCCTATCATCCCGGGCCTAGTGCCCGGTCCGATAGGACAAGCCGTTGGATCGGCGTCAGGGGCCCTCCCCATCAACGTGCCAGCTTCCGAAAATTCGGCCATGTTCCAACCCCGGCACGATCGCACCATCATTGGAATCGAGCTCATTACTGAGGCAGCGAAGATTCAGCATGAGGTCGATAAGCTGAGCGACACAATCATGGATGCGCCTAGCCAGGGCCCGCAGAGCACGTCGGAGAACGGCTCTATTTCTGTGATAGACGCCAGCCTTGCCGGTATTGGGCAGTCGTTCAATGGTACAAGCGGGCTATCTTCACGGCATTCGTCGCTGCAGATCTCGTCCGACGAAAGCGAAACCTCGAGTAACAGTTCGCGCGGTCGCAGGGCTCGCCATTGTGCAGCTCCAAGTGAGTCCTCCTAATAGGGATATTGAGGAAATATAAAGCTAACAGGAGCTCAGCTACACGGGCATACACCGCACTGGATGAGAACGTGATTTTGCAACGATTCCTGCATCCGGAAGAAAATGAGGGATTGCGGCTGCTTTCACGCAGCACCCTTTGAGTCTCGCTGCCACATCTGGTGTTGGCAGCGAAGAAGTTTCCTCAATTGATAATAGACCACCGCTGAAAACGTGTCGCCGTGACGCGTTATCATTGAGCCTGCCCGTGCGTTTTACGAGGTTGGATTCGTGAAGGCCTAGCATGGCCCTTTCGCCTCCAAGTATTCCGTATCACCGGCGGTATTACTTTTCATTCCTTTCAGGCGTGAGAGAATTAGTGCCTTGTAGCCTTATGGCCTGACGATCTCAACCAGAGCAGTGTGTTAAGAAAAGGGAATTACCACGCCTGTGTATCTTATGGCTGGTGAGATTTTCCCACCCGGTTTTGAGAATCTCCAACCCGCGCTAGTATGGTGGAAATTAATCGTTAAACTAGACCTAGCGCGTATTTTCCTTCGTCTTCGACTATATTATCAGGCCTATCTGTTATGGTCCCAGGCCTGCGGCCAGTTCCCTTGGTTGTGGCGGAAGACGTGGCTGGTGGATTATATCAGTGAAGCAAACAAACATGCAGATGGTAACACAGCATAATTCTTATAACGAGGGATTTTGGTGGGTTTTGGCGAAAGTTCGGCAAAATCTATTCCTATAACCCGATATTCCTATACAGGGGTATTCTTATAACGAGGTCTAACTGTATCTATCTGTACAGTCTATTATCGACTATCGTACATACGGTATCAGAGCATTTCTACGGTCCCACATGCCCCCCCAAAGTTTGGGCTGGTTGGATGGACTGGAGCAGGGCTCTGGCGTTGTGAGCGCGTGCAGGGTCTTGGCACAATGCGAGGGAGTTTTGGGCTCTGCCGGTATCAAAACGAGGGCGTTTCGCCTAGGTGGAAAGATCGCAGAAAACGGCGTCAGAAACCTCCGTTTTTGGAGGTCATTCTGTAGCACAAAACGTTACTCCGTATATACAACTCGCTTTCTCTCGTGATACCTCGCAGTACATTGCATTAAGTCGTAGGTCATCACAATACATTTTATCAAATCGCAAGTTGTCGCATTACATCACAAATTGTCGCATTATTTCGCATTAGTTCATTTTACTCTATCTGCTCCTGCATAATTTCGTACCATTTTTTTCAAGTTCATATTAGTTCGCATCGGGTCACATAATCTAGCTTTCGTCACTCTTAGCTGGTACTAGCAGTGCCTTGCTGTACACATTAGGGCATTGGAGAGGAGAGTCGCTATCTCGCGCACAAAAGGTGCCGGGAGATTTCTTCTCTCTCTCTCTCTTTAGTTTAGATTAATGGAACTTGGTAATCGCAGATCTTGCGCATCCAGACCGTGCCACTATCTTCTTTCTACTGACATCGCTGCCTCTTGCGCGCACCAAGTCCTTTACTAGCATTTGGAGCCGCCTCTGCTGCAGCGCTCATAGGGCGCTCTCTGGGCACATCCTCAGACAAAAAAGAGCATTTTGAGCATCGACTTGGGCAAATCTTTCAGCGTAGAAAGCTTCCATATCTCCAAAGTGATAATTCCATGCCATTGTTAGAGTATAGGAAGCATACACTCCGCTTATGGCGAGAGCCATAAGCTGTGCTTCGATCAGTTCTGTCGGCTGCGATAGACATTTATGCGCACTGGGATTAAGTGATCGGGGGTGATTATGATGCTTGTGTAGAGCCTCCAGCTTCCACTGGTCGTCGTTTTCGTTCTTAAATATGACAAGCCTAAAAGTACACCCTATTAAGCGCGTGCTTGTGCTCATAATCCTTACCCTTTTCTACGAGTTTCCGGATCGATCCCAGTAGTAGTAATATCATATCTTAACATTAGAATGGTGAGGTCTGCCCCAGTTGAGTAGGAAACCGTAGCCATGCTACATGCCATGGCTCCTAAGAGCATTGTAGGCTTCTTCATAGGACGCGTAAAAACAATTTAGAGGAGGGGCAATATTCTCTATGTTGAGGTCTGTGAGAGAAGAAACAGATTGAACAATGAAGTTGTCCTTAGGCGAAGACTAAGGGAAATGCGCGCTAGGCCTAGTTGAACGATTATTAATTTCTACCATTACTAGCGGGGAGGAGAAATTTCAAAAACGGGAGGAGAAATCTCACCAGCTTTTCCCCACCGGGGTTTTTCATCCTCCATAGTTGCGATACGATCTGCATGGTCACTAGATAGGACCGTATCAGACGTTAAATAATAATAATAAGAAGAATCAATTTAACGTACTATCTGGATCCCTTTCGGGTCAACGAATCCGGCGTTGCGGAGAGACTAAATTCCCAGGCGTACTACCAAGGGGTTGGACCAAGATGAAGCCAATGTGCAGCCAGGTCTCCTCTAGGAACGGAATACCCTGCGGGGCTTAAGACCAAGGCTTTGCCTGCTATTTAACGCTGAGATACTCCTCGGAGGATGACATTTCATTCGGACAAATCATCACAAGTTCTACCTTTAGTCTGCGATGCAACATGGGCTGGTTCACCCTCAGAGGCGCAAAAGCTTCCCCCTCCAAGTGAAGCTTGAGAGCAGCCAAAACACAAGCAATTCGATTCGCGGCAAAGATGGAGGAGCTGAAGGGCCAAACGGAAGTCCTCCAAGATAAGGCGGATAAGCATCTGGAGAGGGAGACCCGATTCAAGGAGCTGCACTGACAACAGTGTCAATTGGGAGAGGTCTGCTTCTTCGACTCCGCGTATTTGATTTCTAGAAGGACGGGGATACCGGGGAACCGATGTTAAGGGGGCTAGTAGATGACGCGGCAAGTATTAGAACTGTGAATAGTATTAGTAGTTTATGTAGTGTGTGGTCAGGCCAACGTATCATCTTTACTCAAATCAACACTTAGTGACACGCTCCATTAAAGGTGCACAATAGACCAGACTCCTTCAACCCATCCAGTGCTGAGTATCCAGATGCGCCATATGCCTCCGAATTTTACATGGAGCTCTTGTTCCTGGCCGAAATGTGTGCAGTAAAATACGAACCATCCCGATCCAGCCATCCAAGTCGTCCAAATCATAATCTTATGTTCACGTTATGTTACCAATCGCTCAACCGAAAGCTGGAGGCTCTATCGTCTCCAGGAATCATACAGTGCCATCAACTTTTGTCTCGCCGCCTTCCCCCCTTTCTGGATCCTCGGCACCATATCCTCCGCACTGATCAGCTCGCTCACGTCCCGCCCTCCCATCACGCTCCTCTCCACCCAACCGCAACGCGCCTTCATAGTCTTATTCGCCCCCGCCTCCAACAGCAACCTCACCGCCTCCACATGCCCCCCCGCCGTCGCTGCATGCAGCGGCGTCCCAAACGGCCCACCCGGTCTCTCTGGGCTCGGGTCAGCCCCCGCCTCGAGCAGCTTCTGAATCGACGGAAGATGCGCGGCGCGCGAGGCGGCTTGCAGCGGCGTGTAGAAGTAGCCGAGCGGGATGTTCGGGTCGGCACCAGCTTTGAGGAGGAGGTTCAGGCACACGAAGCCGCGCTCGCCCTTCGCGGCGGAGGCCTGGGTTGCGGTGCCGTAGAAGCCGCTGGAGGTGTTGATGGCGGCGCCGGCGGCGAGGAGGTGGTCGAGTGCGGAGGAGTCGCAACGGGCGGCGGCAGCTTGGAGGGGGAATCCGAAGGATTCGATGGAGAGGGGAAGGAAGGTGGTGTTGGGGGGCATGGCATTGGAACCTTTGGAGTGGAGGTTGGGGTTAGCGCCGTACGAGAGGAGGAGTCGGAGGATGTCGGTGCGGGAGTGGAGGACGGCTTCGTAGACGGCGAAGGTTTGGGATGGCGTGCAGGCGTCGATGGTGGAGTTGGGGTCCGCACCTTCGGCTAACATGGAGTGGACTTTGGAAAGGGGCATGTCTTTTGTGAGCTTTTTAAGCTTCTGGTCGAGTTTGGTTTGGTCGGAGGGGGTGAGTTCTTCCCGGGCACGCCGTGCGGAAGAAATGGCAGCGGGATCGATGATTTTGTTTTTGGAGCGTTTGTGGTCGAGTGGTTCGTCAGGGTCAACCGGTATAGGGTACACGCTATCGTATGAACCCTGGTTCCATGCGTCGACATTTATCGCATCGGGATCGGATTGCGTAGTTGAAAAGGGGAATTGAAAACCGGTTGGCCCGCTTCTGTTCAGATCGTCGTGCGTATATCTTTGATGGGGTGTCCCGCTCATTCGGGACGATTCCTCTGCTCGTTCCATATCCCAGGATGGCAGAATCGACGACTCCGGGCGCGGAGGTCTCCAACCATTGAGCGTTGCCAAACTTATGGTTTGAGTCGGGCCCGAGCTTGATAGCCATGAGGATGTCGGTGACTGATCGGATTCTCGTCGGGGGCGGACTGGAGTCCCAGGATCGGCTGGAGACGGCAATACCACGGTCGAGATCGAAGACAGACTGACTAGCTCCGCTTCAATTGGACCAGGTAATCGGCGTTCTCTGGCCTTCGGTTTGATTTGAGGGGTGGTTGGCAGTCGGGGGTTGATATCTCCGTAACCTTGTGTTGGCAGGAAGAGGGCTTCGCTGTCATACATTGATGCCTCATATGCGGTCTCAGCATATGTCGATGAATCATCCAGGAACCTTTCCAGTCGCTCCAGTGCTAGCGCATTGGGTAGACACCTGTGGTCTAACTGCCCTTTGAGCTCGGCAATCTCGACAAGAATCCGAGAGGCATCGCTTTGAACGGCATCCATGCCAATCTGGATCCCATCCGTGTCGTTTATTAATTCCCTTGCTATCGACCTAATACTAGTCAGCCGAATTATGTTCTCGTCCCACAATGCAATTGACAACGTCATCGACAACGTACAAGTTTACTATGTCGAGCGCTATATCCAGTGCAAACCTATGCATCCCCAGACATCTCTGGAGCTTCGCCGCCTCTTTCCTGCCCAGGACCAGCCAATCCATCCTGAAGGCGCCACGATAGTCGGCAAGAAAGTCCGGGATCTGCTTGATAACCAAGTTGCATCCCTCGAGAATGCCAGCTATCCGACGTCCCAGCATGTCCGAGCTCCCGAACCACCCCTCGTCTTTGGCATCCTTTGACAGCAATTCCAAATCCTCCTTAATCAAGTTCAGCTCACGATCGAGGGTCCGGACGTCATTGCGAGCGTCTCGATACTGGCGAACAAACTCGGCGGTGGTCGACGTCACTTTGCCGATGGTGGCTACTAGAGCAAGGCAGCTCACCGTGAGAGGTACTGGATCCATTATCGATTTCGGTTTCGAAAACAGGCGGGGGTAGAATCCAGGGAGTGGCGAAGCCACCAGTATTCCCGAGGGATACTTAAGGAATGTTCCTCATAGGTTTAGGGGGTGGACCGATGGCCCTGGGATGGTTGAAGCAGAATTGAAGAACCATACTTGAGAGGGTGGTGCACTATATATCGAACGGGCGATGGCCTAGCACCATCACAAGGCGCGCTCTACTACCTTGGAGAATCGGCTCTTCGCGCTTAAGGCTGTGTCTAGTGTGTGGCACCACGAAACTCCAACAGAAGAGCAGCTTGGCGACGAACCGGACGAGGAAATGCAGCATTCGGACGCCATCAAACGAGATAAAATCATCGCTAAGTATGATGTGATAGGTAGATGGAATTAGATGGACTAGGGGGCGTGGGGGGGGGTTAGCAGCGTATGAACGCGTGGAGCAACGCCGTTCGGGGATTGGTTGTAAATTTGCATAGAGTTCGGATGCTCCATATGCCCAGCCCCTCCCTATTCACCCTCATCCTCGAACCCGGAAGATTCTCTATTGCTCGGTCACGATTGATATTCGCTCGGCGCCTCGTTGTGCATCTGAGCCATTCGATGTTCGTCGTTGGTTTCAGCGTGGAGAATCGAGACGATGCCACGGCCGCCACGACTTTGCATACTTCGTGACATCTACTTTGTCTGACGGTGGTCCGGAACTCATGTGATTTGATATGTCAGTAGTAATATCACATTCCGGAAGGACTGGTAATCGGTCGATCTCTTCCAACCACAGCCGAGAGGTGGCGTCTGGTATCATCTATCGGCGATTCGGCGGTAGACCTGCAGTGGGTCCAAAGCGAACATGAGCAGAGGATTGTGGCTTGACTACCACTGTGCCAAATGTAGAATCCGAGTCCATAACGAATTCTTGGCGGTTAAGCAATAGTGAGAATGAATAATAATCATTGTCTCGCAACATCGTCATCGCTGTGTCCTCCATTGTACCAGCTTCGGCGGGGTTTGCCGTCTTGGCGAGCGCAACTCTAATTTCACTCCTGTACGGAGGTCCATTTCAAAAGTTATTGCTCGCCAAGAAAGGGCTTGATTATATAAGCCGTTCGACAGCCGATAGCACAGGCAGTAGGGTGTCTAGCCAACGGGCGGGTACTACGCGCGGTAAATCGAATGCCCGGCGCCCTTGCCTCGAATTAGGCTCTATAAGACCTGATTAAATGCCCAGTTGATAGGCAGTCCAGTGCCCGTGGCATAGGCTCTCGAGACTGCTTATATAATCACGCCACTTCCTTGGCGAGCAATAACTTTTGAAATGGACCTCCGTAGCGGATAAGCCGATTTATATTGCTGGCAAGGTCGATCCTGAAAGATCGGATTTGGTTCTTACGTGATATAAAGGTATAGAACGAGTGGGTCGTACCGTCCTGGGCGTACCTCGCGAGTCACGACGTATGCAGAACACGATGAACCAATGTGGGACGACGGAGCACTGCGAGGACCTTCTACATCGATCCTATGGACGGATGATCAACATGATTCACAATAAACGTCGTTTGTGGTCGCAGGATGCATTTGTAAGGCGACCGTAATATCATCAATTCATGAGTTGGATATCATTGACTTGACTATGCAAGGTTGCAGTCGCAGCTACTTCACAGCTCACACTGTTTGACTGCATCTTCCGATCCGCCACCGCTCTGGTGGATGCTCTTCAATTGCCATAGCGAAATTCCGTTCATGCCGATTTTTTTGATCATAGGGGAAAGCAGTTTGGTGATAAGGAAAACAGGAACCCCGTCATGCTGTATCATGGTGAAGCGAATGGTATCGGACGTCTCCCCGCAAAGCAAGTTTGGGGGATGCGCACCGGGACCGTGGAGAGGTCCATCGCCAGTAAAAACCGGCGAAGGAAGTGAAGGATAGAAGTACTGTACAAAATGCATGACGGGGCTTTGGACGTCCTCGATGGGATTCGTCTCCTTACTCCAACGCAACTTCCGCTATGTCCCGACCTCGAACGTCCTCCGGGTATCGCCTTGCACTTCACTGCAGGCATTGTAGGTCGCCGTGTGGGAGTAAGGAAATGTTCGACCGCCTAGTTGGGGCAGCTAGACTGAACGTGGCCCGGCTGCTTGCATCGGTAGCAGAGACGCTCTTGACCAGCGTCAGACGGGCAATCTCTGGAAAGATGACCGACCTCGCCACCTAGAAAAAGTCAGCGTCAAGCCCTTCACAACGCGTGTCGGTGCACCTACAGTTGTAGCACTTCTGTCCTTGGGTGCAATCCCGGGACATATGTCCGTAGCCACCGCACGAATAGCAGGTGGTGCCGCGCGACGGACCACCGAACCCACCACCGCCCTGGTAGCCACCGGGGCCACCGGGGGCGCCGCCCTCACGGCAGTTTCGGGCAATGTGGCCGACCTTGCCGCACTTGTAGCACTCTTGCGAGCTGCCGCCGGGGGGTCCGCCCGCACCGGTCGAGTCGTTCGGGCACTCGCGAGCGATGTGGCCGGGCTGGCCGCAGCGGTAGCACGCACGACCTTCGGGGGCACCGCCACCGCCTGAGCGGGGCTGAGGGCACTCACGGGACAGATGTCCCTTGCCGTTGCAGTTGTAGCATGTTGGGTTGTCGCGGTCGGGGCAGTCGCGAGCCTGGTGCTCAGTAGCGCCACCTATGAGGAATCGTTAGCAAAGGAATTCTCGTGACAAGGCCGTCGCCATGAATATGTCGGAATCGATCGAATGAACTGATTCTACATTCCTGAGACGGGTTGAAAGGCCTGATCTCATCGCCTGATCAAGAAAACGCGAGGAACTTACAGTTGTAGCAGGCCTTGCCAGTGTTTCCAGTAGAAGCGTCCATTTTTATGATGGAGGAATCGTCAGAGGTTGATCTGAAAGCGGTTAGAGAGGTGTACCTTGATGGCGACCTTGCGATGGACGATGTGGAAAGGAATCGGGGTGATCCAATGATACGTTCATCTAACGAGGATAGTCCCCGTTTGATGACCGTAACGGGATTCCCGAGGGGTAGTCGAAGCAATGGCATCGTAATGGATCACTCACCTTTGAATGATAATGTCTGACAAAATATTTTCGGTTTTAGGGCTGAGTTGATGATAGGTATCGAAGGAGTGAAGGATGGGATGCAAGATTGCGACGGAACAACAAGATGATCCGGGCCGGGGGCGGTGATTTACGACTTGATCTTTTCTGCACTTGAAAACGGTGGTGAAAACCTGAAAACAAGTGAATCGATGATCCGGTGAGCTTTGTGGGGTTGGATGAAAAAACGTTGTGTTTGCCGCAGCGAAAGCAGCGAAACGGTGTGTGCTCCTGGTGGCAACCGAGGGTCCGATGGAGCTAACCAGCTTTTCCAGTGTTTTCCTCCAATTTCTCGTCCCTAACACACGCTACGCTAGCCTTACTCAACCTTGCCCCGAAGCTTGGGTGATCGATTTTAGTGATTAGCCACGAGTTTGATCTTTAAGCGAGTCAGTGGCCGTTGCCGTTGATGTTCAAGATTCAGGATCCTGTTGGTTCTTGTCAGATTGTGGCGCTGACGTGTGTAGGAACAGTTCAAGAGCCGCAACAGATGAACAGATTACAGAACTATATCGTGGAAGAACTACAAATCTCAGCACGTTGGAGTTCGGCATCAGTTTTATAGAATCTCCATCATCTCTCTCCTCCATCGCTCATCCCTCTATCTCTCTTTTCCTTTCTCTTGGGACCCTCGCATTGTTGACCATGTAAGGGTGCTGTCTCGTTGAGATTGGTCCTATTCCGCCTTACATGAATCAGGCTGATCATCAGAGATCGGGAGACCGCGGCAAGGTGGCTTCAGATCTCCAACTCTACCATTTGCAAGGGTTTTAACTCATATGCAAGTCACTTTGGGTTGAGTACACCTAATACGTGTCAAATATACCTCCACTTCCTCAGGACCATATGTGATCTTAGAAGTCCCCAGGAACTGAAACATAATCTCCTTCCCTTGATCAGCATCATTTCCAGAGGCGGGAAGTCAATCAAACCACTTCGAGAAATTGAACCGAATAGTTACGCGAGATCAAGCTGACCCGAGCATTTGTGGGGATACCTATATCTTTCTTCAGTTTAGTGGTCGGACAATGATCGCTTGGAGAGGAAACTGGGAAGCTGGCCCTAAAATATTAGATATTAAGGTACACGTGTATACATCTCATATATCTACGTCTAGCAACTGTTGTGTTTACATGTGATACGAGGCCAGCACGGAGGACACCAGGCCATTATTGAGGCTCGGCAAGTTAACATCAAAGAGTGGACTCCTGGGTATCATAAGGTACATATATGATACATCGAAGGCAGAGGACCTTGAATTGATGGCACTATGCACCTGATACAGGGCGCCTAGCTTGCATTAAGGTGGAAACTAGAACTGGAATATCCACGACAGCTAAGGGAAGAATGGTATCAAGGCCATTATTTCTAGAGCCGGGGATGTAGGAGTTAATATCGATGACCATCAAGCCTCGAAGCCTTGGGGTAGGTACTATATGATATAATGCTACTTGCATCGACCTAACGCGAACTCTGGATATGCCTAAGAGCCATCAATTTCGTCCACCCTAGACGGTACTCTATTTTCTCTACTCCATCTTTTCTACGAGAGTGCCTCTGAAGTCTGATGCTGTTGTCGATTCCCCGGTCCGGTGTTCTTCGGTCTTCCATTCAGATCGGTTCAATCGTATATGGAATTCGGGTTCAACCTGAAATTGATCCCCCGGACGCGTTAATACTGTAGGTAACGTACATGCACCTTTTCCAGTTGCCGAATGGCATCAATGTTCAAGATGTGATATTTCATTTCGAGATCACGTGCAGGACGCGTCGCGGTGCCCCACTCAACGCGTCTTCTTCATTCAACGTCAGTTCAAGAACATCGACGTAAATTGTAACTCTGTCGATGTAACAAGCAATCAGCGTTTCTAGAAATTGAACACTATTCGTTTGATCTCCCATCCATAGCAACCTAGTTTTCTATCATATAACAATGAACGAGGTTCCAGTATCCCAAGATGCTCCACAAGATCTCGAGCAAGATGTTACCCCTTCCAATATCTTCATCCCCCCTACAGTCGATACCCCAAAGCTCCTCTCCGGAAATACATACTCATATTTCTCTCCCATACCTTCCGCAATCGCCTCCGACTTATCGACGGAGTGCGTGATTGGGATTGACGAGGCCGGCAGAGGACCGGTTTTAGGACCCATGGTCTACTCCCTCTTTTACGTTCCACAATCGCTCCATTACAGCCTCCTCCGTGATACCCATGCTTTTACAGACTCCAAGGCCCTTACGGCCGAAGTGCGGTCGAATCTGATGCGAACTCTGTGTACACCGCCAGCAACATCAGCCGGTGCAGAATCGAACGACGCCGATGATGCGGCCGATGCAGGGGAGGCTGAGAGCGCCTCACTTCAGACCCATTGCGGCTTTTCAGCAACCCTCCTTTCGGCGACCTCAATATCCTCGTACATGCTTCCATCACCACGAACCGCCCCATACAATCTCAACGCCCAAGCGATGGATGCGACGATCGATCTGATTCAACGGACATACGACATGGGGCTGAACATCACGGACATCTTTGTCGACACCATCGGAAAGCCGGAAGTGTATCAAAAGAATCTCGAGAGGATCTTCCCGGCCGCGAGGATATCGGTCGAAAAGAAGGCCGATGTCACATATCCGGTCGTGGGCGCGGCCAGTGTCGTCGCAAAGGTGACGCGAGACGTGGCGTTGGAAGTGCTCTGGGACGAGTATGTGAAGCATACTTCCATGACGGATCCGGGAGATCATTGGGGTTCCGGATATCCATCGGACGGCCGGGCCACCAACTGGCTCAAAGCGTCCATGGATCCTATTTTTGGATGGGGCTCCGAGTGTCGATTCTCATGGGGCACCGCAAAAGACTTGTTAGAGGGCAAGTCTGCCGCGGCGATTGTGGATTATGAGGAAGAGGATTCCAAAACGGTGAAGATGACCGACTTTTTCAGCTCCAACGGGGAGGACGACGGCGCAGAAGATGAGCTGGGGAGATGGTACGGCAGGAATTTATCTGAGGAAGTGTTTTAGGATTCGTTAAGAATGAAGATGCTGCTGAAGGAGCTGGCGAGTGACGATAGGACATGATCTTGTTTACCGGCCTAGCGGCATGGTGAGTGATGGAAGATTGATTTGTCTCCCTTGATTGCACACCCTACACTGTCAGCTTGCGTTTGTCCGGGGGATTGACTGTTACTGCAGACCCTCGGCGAACAGAATCGGAGTTGTTTTCCTGTTCAAGCAGAAGTGTATTCCCATGGTTATGGGGAATCACCTCGACTGATTGTTGTGAATGAGACGAAGCCTTCACTGAAGCACATCCTGCGAAGCATTGTAATCTGTTGTTTGTGTTTACTCCTCACATTTTGCAATCTTTCTCACTCACTCACCCACTCGCCTGCTGCCGTCTTTCATCCATCATTGAGATCGGTTGAAGGTTCGATTTTAAGAACCAGCGCGGCATCATCTCGTTGGAAGGCCGCGTCATAGTAAGTGGTTCTATTCCCAAGACACATAATATTCTATTGAGCCTCCAAGATGTTGCTCAAGCCAGGACGTTTCGATCGAGGGTCGGTCTTCTATCCATGGTCAACATCTCCCCCGGCCTGCTTCACTCGAGGAACACCGTACGATGACGACGCCGACATCCTGATCCTCGAACACGGTGACATTCGAGACTTCCTTTTCACCGCCTACACTGGTCCTGGGTCTAAAACACGAAAATTAGATTTTACCTGTTGCGAGGCCCGGATTTGCGCCGTTGCAAGATCTATCGTCCTGCTCACTATGATCATCGATGACGACGGCTCGAATCAAGAGACGATATGGCGCCTCCACTCCGATATGCTCATCGATCACAGCACGCTGTGCTTCCTCCATAAGCATATGAAAAAGCTCCTGCCTCAAATCGCAACCCTCGGCGTATGGGACTCCGGAAAGTACGGGCGGACCCTCCGGTTCAGCGATGCTCGGACGTGGGCGAAAGTCAAAGACTTTTTCGAGTTCTACGCCGTGACTCCGAAGAAGGCGGCAGCTTTTCAATACCAACAGAAGCACCTGAAAGACCTCTGGGACAGGTACAGACGCGTCCATGATGCGGCGCCTTCGAGCCAACATGAGCTCATGGCGCAAGCCAAGAATGCTGCGAAACCGGCCATGAAACCAGGTTGGGCCCATCATTGTCTTGCCTTTGGCCGGTATCGTGAGACGGGCACCTGTTACGACTGCCCTAAAATCGCGGCGCGAGCAAACCGGGTTAATCCATTGCTCGCCACTCTCGACCGTGCGGAGCTCTGCTACGCTTCCGAGCCGTTCTCTGGATCGCATCTTGCCCCCGCCTTCACGAAAGTGGTATTTCCCAGGGACCGCCTACCGAACCCTCCAGAAGCTATTGACGGGTATGCTAGGCATGCATATGGTCAATTCGAGCTATATTGCTATTCATTTCGGGATGTTGCTGCCACCGGACGTTGGAAGATTCGGTACGTCGTGGCGGACCCTATCGCCTTATGCCATGTCCTGCAGCACCATCGAGTCCACGGAGAGACTGAAACGGCCAACTGGTACGGTACCTCCCAGAGCTTCGAACCACTGCTTCTGGATTCGCTCGATTATACCGCCGAAAACAGGGCTACCAAAGCACCGACCATCTTCGATATCATCGCGTGTGGCGATATGGGAGATATAGCTGGAATCCTCAATGTCCTTACGGCTTGCAGTCCGCTCTTGAAACTGAGGCTGACCAGTACCATCTTCACGCGTACATACTTTTGGAACACTCAAAGTCTCAAGATTGGATCTCAAGGCCCATTGTGTGCGGACATTGCCACGGTGGCGCTACTCCTCGGCTTGACTCCGATGGAATACTGGTACACGGGCACATCAACGTCTAGCCATGACAGTATCCAGCTTGCTTTTATGGACATGAGCCACGGACATCCCCCTCACAACATCACGTGGAAGAGCACCATGCTACCGGAATGGAGAGCGAAGAAGGGCGAAGGCCTCTACAGTCTCTACTCCAAGGCCCACCTCTCGTTCGACGCTCGCGAGTTAGCGTCGTTCATGTGGCGGCTATACACCTCAATGTTCGCCAGTGACAACTATGAAGCCCTTAAACGCACAGCCTACGATTGGGTCCAATGTCGGCTGATGCCCTCGTACACGCGCGGAGGATTCGCGGCGCTCCTGAAACTGGTCCTCGCCAACGTTGAAGTGGACTACGACGAGTTCGTGGATACTTTTGGAGACATGATGGCGGAAAGTCGGGAGGATCCATGGCTCGGGCCGTATCTCGAGGCCTTGCCGATGTACCTCACTTCTGCCGGTCTCTTTGGCTGGGAGGACTTCCTTCTCACTGAAGGCTATGAGGACTTTCTCTCAGAGTCATGCCTAAGAGGCTGGGAGAACCTCCCTACTCAGCTTTGTGTCACATTCTACATACCACCAAAACATATGATGGACTTTACAAAACCACCATGGGACGACGATATCGGACGTCCGGTTGTCCAAGTCAACTTCCAAACTCCCGATCTGTGGTTCGCCATGTACGATGTACACTGGTCTTGGGGTGAGATATCGTCCCAGGGCCGGGAGCGAACCAATAAACACCGGCTTTTCTTTAAAGAGGACAAGAAAGGATGTGCCGGGCAGTCGCCTATGGTAGTCACCGTTATGGTGCCCACCTGGATCCTATTGCGGACGAAGGACCTATCCGGAGAAGTCGAACTGGCGCTGCGGCATGACTACAATGTCGCAAAAAGATTCGGAGAGAGACTCTCCATGCAGGGTTGTTTGCCACTTTATACGACCATGCTCAGCAGCAAAAACGTGTTCATCACCCAGGCTCCTCCTAACCTCGTCGGAAATGCCTCGCTCAGCGCGATCCCAGGACAGGAATTTCAGGATTCGCCGCTCACTCAGGAAAGTCGAGTCCACGATGCCAATATACTCATCCACGCCCACTTCAATAAGACCCAGTCTCGGGTGTCGCGAATGACCTTGCGGGTCACCTGTAACACCGAAGAGCTGAAACAGCATCTACTAGAGCCAGCAGATGCTCTCAAAGCAGCGTGCATCGAACCGTTCACCGTCCAAGTGTTGATCGGCCTTTTTCTGTTCTCCATCACCCCTCCGATGCCGTTGAAACCCTTCGCGGGTGTGACACGAGTCAAACGAAAAGCAGGATACATCGAATACACGGGTCCGGTCATGTCCCGCAAATCGCTCGATAGATCCGTTGCCAATGTTTGGGCAATCGCCATGTATCCTTCCAGTCCTACCACGGGAAACCTGCACCACATTGAGTTGGATCGGATGCCGACGATTGACATCGATGATGCCTGCAGGCGCGGTTGGATATTCGACTACATCGGCTGCGTTCTCAATAATAAGGACAAAGAGGCGGTGACAGCCCCCGTCCCCTACGACTACAATTTTCCAGTCCCATACTCGCCATTCAAACTGCGCATTGCGCAGATGATCCTAGGGTATGGATGTCCGATCAAGTCACGAAAGACTGTCTTCATGATCGCAGAACGGGAAAATGAATCATCAGAGGACGTCAAACCCCATTTTATTATCTTGCTCTCTTCGATCAAGCTGGACCAGATCGTCCAAGGCGTCGTTCTCGATTGCGCGGTCATTCCTCTCAGCGACGGGCTCCGAGCACTGCTGGCGCCGTTCATGCAAACCTTGGTCTCGAGCAAAGGCGCGTACCAAGTGTTTCACGGGACGCGCAAGGAGATCGCGCTTTGGCGGCGGGCACTGATGTCCTTTGCCGATCGAGCCCGCACCTGGCCACACAAAGCGACGTGCCGATACCAGTCCTGTACGCCCCGCTACCACGGCAAGGACGGTCCGATCTGCGCGTGTGGCACGGGCATCTTCCCGTCTGACTATCCGGTGGAGGCCGAGTTCGAGAAATTCATCCACGACCCGAAATTCAACGACTTCGCGGTGCGCGTCGCGATCCCGGTGTGCTTCCCCAACCCGCTGTTCGAAAAGACCTGGAAGTGCTACCACTTGAGCAACCAGGCGCAGGTCACGGAAACGGCGCAGATGATGACGCAGACCTTCGATATCATGATCCGAGGGGACCTCTGCCTAGCGTGTAGGGAGAAACCGGGTGGGAGGCCGTTGTTGAGATGTTCGGGGTGCCACGTCGCGCAGTATTGCTCGAAGGAGTGTCAGAGTAAGGATTGGAAGAAGGTTCATAAGAGGATTTGTAAGGAGTTCGCCGAGGACCCTCCTTTTCAGAGGGCGGTTACCAGGACACGAAGGCGTTCTTCTCCTACCAACACGTCCGTTCCGGACCATGTGAGGGTGGCGAAGTGGGGGGAGTAGGAAGGACTGGGAAATCAATGGATGCTACGGAGCGAATACAAATGTGTACAATAATTTCATAGTTGAAGAATGCTATTGGAGAACGTCATGACACGTTCCCCGTAACTCTATATACTTGATGCCCAGCGTGCCGTAAAGACGCCATACTATCCATCGCCGTCTCGCCGATCCCAAAACCCAACCCGATCATCGCCCGTCCCACTTGAGATTGAATCGACCCTCCGCATTTTGGTAGTCTCTTAGACACCGCACCACGTCGTCTGCCTCCTTTGCCTCGACGATGATGCCCGCGTTATTCCCCGCAATGAACCCAGAGTCGACCGCCTTGTTCACCCACATGATCAACCCATCCCAATAGCCATCCACATTCAACACCACGATCCCCTTATCGTGAATCCCCAACTGATTCCACGTCGTCACCTCCATCAGCTCCTCCAGGGTGCCATACCCCCCACTCAACGCCACGAACCCCCCTCCTTCTCCCCCCTCCATCACCTCCCGCGCCATCAACGCCTTCCGAGTATGCATATCCTTCACCACCGTCGTCCGTCCGTACACGGTCTCGTCGATTGTGCTCTGCCCCGCCTGCTCGCGCCGCATCAGCGCCTCCGGGATCACCCCGTGCACGGCGGCCGGCCCGCTAAGCGCGACCAATGTGCGCGCCACCTCGCCCATAATGCCGACCGTGCCGCCGCCGTAGACGAGGTGGATGCCGTGCTTGTGGAACGCGTGGGCGAGGGCGCGGGCGGCTTCAAGGTGGGCGGGGGAGGTTCCGGGGTGGGCGCCGCAGCTGGGGTGGGGTTAGCATAGTGGTCGACGGTCAATTGAAACAATGGCGGGGGAAAACATACAAGACGCAGACCACGGGAGGTTTCCCGTCTATTATTGACGCCCCGTTCGCTTCGGCGGGAATGGCCATGACTTCTTGATTGAGGGCCGTTGGTTCGAGTGATGAGGTGGAGCTTTCGACAGCCATGGTGAAGGGGGATGTATCTATATATAAGAAAATAATCGAGGTACACAACTTAAACCTAATGCAATGTACATGCTAGTATTGTACTCTGGGAAAGCGGCAAAGAGACTCGAGTTAGACTATAAGAGCGATTTGGAGGAAACAGAACTTCGGAACCGAAACCAGGATGATTATTATGATGGCGACCATGACTCCTCCGCCATTCACTCAGAAACGATGGATCCATCAATTTCGCCCCCTATGATTGGTAATTCCGATTAACACCGCTGATATTGCCCACCGAAAAAGTTCCGCATCCCTTCAAAGTTCACACATCACGCTCGGATGCTCCCAACTTGAGAATTCCCAATGTCGCTTGTGAGAGGATTGATGGGCGGTTCCAGCGTAGCCTGCAGCATCCTGCTTCTTATCGCCGGGTTGCCCCTGGGACGCGGTGCTTTTGCAGCACGAGGGGGACCAATAGGGATATGCATGGCTTCCGGAGATGTGGGCGGGGTGGTCGATTGCGGCACAGGAATTCAATATACGTAGAATTAGGAGAAGCGAAAGGGATGCGCGGTGGTTGTATCCCCAGCATGGTCTTCAAGGGTGCGATATAGGTGGACGTCCGGACTATATTGAAAGAAGTTCGAAAATCGGGATTGGGCTACGAAGCTCGGTGGAAGGAGAGATGAGGGATTGGTAGCGGTGTTCATATTCGATAGGGAATGGCAATGGGACGATTTGAGGGTTTCGGAAGTGAAAACTAGTATCATCTGTAGGAGACATGTTCATGTCGACTTCATCCTGAATGGAATGAGAGTTGCGGCACCACGGCCCGGACTTCTCACCGCTGCACCTGCATTCTGCAACGTGATATTAAGATCGCCTTTTAGACCTGCCGGAAAGCTAAAGCTTAATGGATTCAATCTTCAGAAAAGCCCGTCCGGACTCGATATACTAGTATACAATTCGAAAACTAAGAAATGCTGTGAAGCGACGCGTGCCACCCAAGTTGCTCATTACGGCGACGTGGTATCGTTTCCGGCAAAAGCTTCAAGAGAACCTCACGAAAGGACAGTTTGCGGCGCGTGCGTCACCATCGACCTTGGAAACCGGACTCCATGCGACCGCCCCATCGTTGTGGTAGCTCGAACGGGTCCACTACATTCCCCCAAAGCGAGTCTCAGACTAACATTTCCACTCGCTATACCCTCCAATGATCTGAAACATCGATGCGGCTCATCTGAACCCTGGCATCTGGAAACCGAACTGCGGAATCTGCGGAGGCACCCCAACCGTGTTCGCTTCCGGACGCGGTGCAGGGCTAGCCCGACGAGGCGGCGTGGGTCGGCTCGGACGATCACCGTATCTCGGTCTCGGTCCCGGTCCCTGGTCTCGTGGTCCCTGGTCTCGCGGCGGAGGACCTCGTCGCGGGGCGCCCGGGTCGGCGACGACACGGCGAGAAATGGCTAAGGAAAGGTCAGGACTGCGGGAGAGGATTGGCAATTGAGGGAAGTAGGGGACCGTACCTTTGGAGGAGACGCCGGCGCCGATTTCAATGTCGGGCTCTTCGACCACCATGCCTGACTCGATCGGTCGGCCACCCGAGCCGCCGAATTCGGCGGTCAGCATCCATTTGCGGTCGGCATCGGTGAGTGCATCGAGGGGGATGATGCTGACGCCGGAGTTGTAATCGTTGCATTCGCGAGGGCCGAAACCTACGCCCCATCGGGTCTGTATTGTTTGTTAGCACTGGAAATGCACTGGATGATGGCTGTAGCTTACCGATCTAGCTTTGTGCAAAACCTCCGGATCTGTTTCCCTATCCATGCCACTCTTCGCGTTGAGCGCGTCCTGTCGATTCGCCATCTTGACAAACGCATGGCGTCGTTCAGAATTGACGATGACACTCTGCACGGTGCCGAAGCGGGAGAAGATGCGATGGATCTCACCTTCGTTGCCGGTCACGCCGCCTACAAAGAGGGTCCTACTCAATACTACCATGTTTGTCAGTCACTGCGTTTGCTATACTCGAACAATCATGCATACCCTTGATGTGGTTCCGGGGAATTGATCGATCCCAGTCCATGAACTTCTGCCCGGGAGCACGCGGCGGTGCGGCTTGCGGGGTGGGCTGTCTATCGCGTCCGGATCCCATGGGACTACGCTGCCGGTAATCACCACCGCCTCGCCTCGGAGGGCCGCGGTCCCTACGATCATAGCCATGGCCCGGGCCTTCTCGACCCACCGTGTTTGGGTCATACACGCCGTATGTCGGACTGTCCCGGCGAGCGAGAGGGGAGCGACGTTGATAATCCGGAGACCTACTCCGTCCCCGCGGTTCACGATAGTCCGGACGGTCCGGTGCCCTAGGATCGCGAGGATATTGGCTACCGTTGGTATCTGGTCTGCTGTAATCTGCGGGACCTTGCGGTGCAGATGGAGGATACTGCGCAGCTGGAGTAGGGGGAGCGAGGTTTGGAAGCTGGGTTACACCCATGGAACTCAGAATCTGCGCGATCTGCTCCGGAGGGAGATTGGCGGCAGCAAGCCCTTGAAGAAGCTTCAAGAGCTGTGCTGGATCCGGATGCGCATTGCCGTTGGGTGGAGCTGCGCCGGCAGTTGATTGCGCGGCTGGTTGAGCGGGTGCTGGTCCTGAATACGATATTCCTTGCGAAGGCGGAGCGAAACCATTGGATCCGTTTACTGCTCCTGGATACGATGGCTGTGGTTGTTGACGGCCGTAGTTGGACGCCTGGGGAACAGGTGGTTGCGTGGGTTGTGGTGCTTGCGGTATACTTTGCTGAGACTGCGGAACCAATGCCGCGAGAAGTTCTACCGCACTTAGCTGCTTAGCCGGCTGAGCGGCAGGAGTTTGCTGAGGCGCCGCTGCGGGAGCCGTCTGCTGGTATCCTACAGGATTGTTTGCCGGAACGGGGGTGGAAGTTTGCGGAAGGACTGTTGGACTTTCGTTAGGAACGGACATCGAGTCGACTCGTTTCAAGAATCTCTTACGGCTGGATGAGCTTGCGAGTTTCTCTTTGAACCCGGCCAGCATCGGTCGTGGGAACGTGCTGCCACGCTCCCAGATATCTATCAGTTTGCTGATTTTCTCCTACACGAGACGAATATGTAAGTATTGGACTTTTGGACCGCGACGTTCATTATGGCAGGGGTGGTGGATCTAGCAGTTGGGATGTCGTGCATACTGAGTGCCAACACACAGTTCATGTCGTACCTTTTGGTTGTCCGGGGCTACTTGAAGAAGCTCATTCATCAATACGGGTAACAGCTCGGTCATCTTATGGACGCCAGAAGCAAAGGTTCCCTCGGGAGCGGCTGCGCCGAGCGCTTGTCCCGATAGCCTTGCTTTCTCGATCCATTGTCGAGTTACTGAGTCTACGACATACAGCACGCCAAGTTTATGCGTTGGGAGAGTGCGCTGGAAGTGAGAGGCGATTTTATGCACGAGCGCAGACTCGGACTAAACACAGGCATCATTAGTGTGCGTTACAGTGCCTAGCCGACCGAGTGTCATACCTTGATGTTTGCGATACAGAGCGCGGTGATCGCCTCGATCTTAGTCTTCGTGACCCCAGGAGCCTTCAACGTCTGGAGCGACTGGAGGAGATTGGCAACCTCATCTGGAGCCGACATGTTGTATACGATGCCCTAAGGCGCGATCAATGTAATGTGTGAAGTTTACGTGATTCCTAGTCCTGGTCAAGGAATCAAATATCGAGCAAGTAGTATCCGCAAGGAATGAGGATTGTACTCCGTGTTATCGTTACGAGTACGCCGAGTGAGTGGCAACAGAGAGAGTACGGTAGACAGATCGCGTTGATAGGAAATTGTTATCGCGGGATCCGGCTACAGAAGGCGCGCGACAGACGGGTTCCTTCGAGTCCTTCGAGTCCGACTACCGTAATCAGTGTGGATGCGACTACGTGTGCTCAACCGAAATGAGGAAACCGTCCCTCGAAAGGAGATATGTGCCTTCACAGCACGCGTCAGTTACGAAGTAATGGTGAAGTCTGGTTGAGCTGGATGGAAAGCTTCTTCAGATTTGGCTGAGATTTAGAATACGTAAGGGTTTACGCCTGAAGAGAGAAAAGAAGATGAGAGATGAAAAACGAAGGTTACAGCAAAACTTTTCATGGATCCAGATAATTGTTGGTTTCGTTTTGAGATTTGCGATGTGATGGCGACGGCGGAATTTTGGCCACAGAATGTCAGCATCCGCATTCCCCGATCACGTGGTTATCACGTGGTTATTACATGTCAAACTCCACGTGACTATCCTGGTCATCACCACATGTCTATGCACGCGGCGGAAGGAAATATTCGCATCCCTACCACCACAACTACTAATACAGGGATCTCCGTGTGCCATGACCCAATATCAAAGCCACAAGTGAGAGTTGTAGCTGGTTAACCATGTGCTACACAATTCATATCTAATACAGAGAGCTAATTATGATGGTTACTGTCAATACAAATGATCTACTGACAGTGATTTAGTGGTTTCACTGATTACATTAACAGGTTGTGAACGTCTAAATGAGACCGACTGAGCCTCACAACAGTATGCTTAGGGGTATCTAGATCACAGCCCTCCTAATTCATCGAGCATGTATCCTACACGGACTATTCGCATGCCAAATCCTCTTCCCCTCCTCTTTCACCCGATCCAACTCATTCATCCCCCCCTTCCTCTCCCTCCTTTCCCCCACCCCCACCTCCTCCACACACGCCCCCACCTCAAACTCTCCCCGACACAACGCCGCCACCCCAATCGTCACCGTCCGCGCCTCCCCCGGCCGCAGCGGCTCTAACACCTGCTGTAATAACCCACTCCACGCAAAGCGCTTGCCCAGATCCAATGCGGTGCTGATCGGCTGCCCCGCCATCCGGGGCTGTAGCCGCAAGATGCCGTGGACCGCGCGCGCCGATCGGTTGCGGATCGTCGTGCGCAGGGTAAGCAGATCGTCCACCTCGACGGAGAAGGTATGCTGTCCGGTTTGTCGGACATCCGCTGAATCCTCCTCGTCGTCTTCGTCTTCGTCCTCGCTCTGCTCGGCGCCGATGATCTGCATCTCAATGGAGACGTCTCCCAAGCTGAGGTTGTCCACCATGCCCCGCGAGAGTCGGATCCCCCGAAGGTCAACGTCGCCTTTCCGACCAGTGCCGCCTTCCTGCCATTCGCCTCGGATCATCTTAAGCAGCTCTTCCCGGAACCAGAACGCCTCCCTGATCGACCGCTCGGCGTCGGGGCCGATCGCGTTCTGGGAGACGATGAACTGCTTCTCGTTCTTCGGGTTTAGCGCCGTGATGCGGTCGAATCGGTGGGCGAGGTAGGATTTCGGGAGGACAAGAAGGACGCGGTTCAGGTGGCCGGGTTGGATGGTTTGGTGGACGGAATAGGTGCAGATATCGTCCTTTGCGCTCGTGTCGTCGGGGTTATGGAGTACGTGCAGCGAGACAGTGAGAGGCGTCGGCCATGTGTTTCGTAGATCGAGGAGTAGGAGGCAATATTCATCGGCGGTTAATTTCACACCCACGCGATTGAGGAGGGTCTTGAAACGGGTGCCATGGGCCTCGGCGGACTTCAGCAGGCTCTTTGGTTCCTTCTCGCATGCTCCCGCATTTTGACTCGCCCAGGCAAAATCCGAACTAAATGGGAGAATATCGGCGCGGTGCACATGCACGCTGGCGTTCACAGTGATCGCGATCGGAACCGCGACGAGGCGCGTATACACCTTATCCTGTGCCTGCGCATCGTCTTTACCGACGTTCGCATAAGCGAAGCGGACCATGACTTCAGTCAACCCTGGCTTCCCCAAAACCTCAAAGCAGAACGTAACCGACGATCGCGGCGCGATTTCCGTCGGGGGCGTCCCCTTCTCGGAGCTGAGCTTGACGGCAGGATTGATGAGCAGTTGGTGCTCCAGTTCGTAGACCTCGGCCATGGGCAGGCTGCGATTGGTCAGCGCTTCTTGGAACGCGGCCTGCGTCGAGTCGAGGAAGGAGACATGGACGAAGTTGACGGGGATGCGGTCGGAGACGTTCTTCAGGGTAATGGAGAACCTGGCCCGCTCGCCTTCCAGGACCATAAGCGCGGACTGCTGCAGGGAGACCGCCGTCATCGTGACGACCGGCTGCTCGGGGATGATATTCAGCGGCACGGTGGCGAACTTCGGGCCGGATTCCGTGCCAGCGCCGTCTTTCGACACGGTCGACGAGTCGGACACGAGCCTCGATTCCAAGGTGAGCGCGGCATGGATCCCAATGTTCTTCACACGATGGTCCGGCTCCGGTCGCCATGGCTCCACGACGATCGGGAACGTCTGCTCTCGACATCCGCGAACCTTCACCGTGCATCCGATGATCTTGGCCTGCCCTGCTTCCTCTGGGATGGCGACGATGGTGAAACGCTGCGACCGGAACGGTCCGAGAACGGCTCCGCTTCGCGACGACCGGAACGCGGCGCCTTCTGTAGCGATGCTCAGGGACTCAATATCCAGTTCAAAATCGAAGGGGTTTTGTAGTGTCGCGATAAAGTCTCGCTCCTCGCCGACCACGAGCATTGTTTCGGGCACTCGATTCTCCTGAATCTTTTGGAACGGGTTATGCAGGAACGGCCCCGTCGATTCCTTAGACTTCTGGTCGAAGCCGCCCGCAAGCTCCGAACGAGACAGCGGACTAAGCGACAAGTGCTCGAAACTCGCCGCGACCGCCAATCCGCGCACCAGGAAGAAATCCCAATAGCCGGTAGCAATATCCGTGATGCCCAGCCCGCGCGCCGAGGCCACCGTCCGCGCGACGTTGTTCGCCATGCGTAGCTGCTCCTCTCGCGAAAGTGACAGGAAGTAGTTGGTGTTGTTTAGCTTCATGGCTTGGCCCGGCCCCACGATGCTGAGAAGCACCGAGGTGAAATCCAAGACGCCCTGGAAGTCGGGCAACGCTTCGCAGAAATTGATGCACGTGCGCAGAACGTCCAGCTTCATGTTGAGGTTTCCGAAGCTGCGTAGCCGGGATTCCAGCAAGATGCGCTCGATGGCAGCGAACTGCGCGGAGGCGAAGCCATCTCCTTTGCTAGCTTGGTCGTCTCCGTTAGTATGGCTAGTGGACGATTCCATTCTACCTTGAGCCCTCGTTTTCGAAGGGATCCCATACACGGATCCCATCCATATTAAGAACTGATCCACCCCGCTCTCGATCTCGCTGGCGGGGATCTCAAGCGCACTGGCCCCCGGCGCGGCCCCGTTCGCCAGATTCAGCGCGGCCAGCCCCGCCGCCGGATGCAAGCCCATCTCCGCCGCGCCAACCTTCCGCGCCTGGATGAGTCCGGGGATGAGGGCCGCAAGCAGCTCCTTCAAAATGATTGCCCGCTTGCGATGCATGCCGATCAGGGAGAACACCGAGGCGATGCCTGCGAGGATCATGACGTAGTCCATGGACGAGACACGGGAGGGTTGGAACTCGTCGGGGACGGCGCGGAATAGGAGTTTGGAGATTTCATTCCGTGTGGGTGTGATTGTGAGTCGTGAGACGCCCAGGTTCGCTTTCGAATTGAGCGGCGTGCCGAGCACGATGAATTCTAACGCCGCCGTGTTCAGCTTTCCGCCGACGAGGTTGATGATGGCGAAGAGTTTGGCCTTTCGAATTATGTATTCGGACGCGGCTAAGGGGGGTTGCGATTCGCCCGAGAAGGTCGACGATCGCGAATATATGCTCAGGATCATTCGGGCGAAATCCGGGAGGAAGGCCGCGAATTTGTTCAGGGATGCCTGCTTCCGACTCGGGTCGGTGGAATGGAGCACGCTCACATCGACGCTCGTATTGACCGGAGTAGCGGGCTTGTTGGAAGGTTTTTCGGTGGTGGGGTAACAGATCTGAGGAATTTGGAACTCGGCGCCGGACCAAGAGAGTAGGATAAGACAAATCATGATGCTCTCCAGGCCTCTCGCATGCCATAGCTGATCACCAAGATGTCGCGCCCGTGCGGTATTCTCGGTGAGTTCAACGAGCGCCTCGCCCCAGCAACCCGTTTGCAGATACATCGTCGCGATCACCAGACCAACGCGTGCTCGTCCCTTATCTCTCGCCTTCTCGGTGATACTCCCCGGCCCGAAACCGTGGACCGACACACGGTCTTGCGGGCGGTCGCGGGGACTCGCCGATGTATTTGAGCGATTGAGCTGTGGTTTTGGAGATGCCCCGATGCCCATTTCTTCGAATGTCTTGGCTTGTCGAGACGGAGGTTCGATCGGAGAGCCCGTTCGGGAGTTGCCGGCGCTCACGGAGTGGCTGAGGCCCGAGGAAGGTAGGACAGGCATGGACATGCGGTGGGATGCGTTGTCGGTTGCCGGAGATGCTGAACGTGCTCTTGCTCCCATGTTCCCCTGGTTTAGGGGCCCTTCCGGGACGCTGTTCCCTTTGGTTATATCGATGGTGGGTAATGCTTGTATGGATTTCGCCAGGGCGGTCATCTCGGCCAGGACCTGAGAGGTGAGGTCGCACATTATCGTCTTTAGGGTTGTTGCCTTCGACTTCTCCACGGGCGGAACGCAGAACGTATCGTTCTCGAGCTCCTCGGGGAGCGACTCGAGTTCGGAATCGAATAGGAACAGCCGATGTATGATTCCGCGCGGAAAGGACTGTTGTAATCCCTCCATCGCATTTGAAAGGTCCGTTCCTAGACGCTCCATATCTACATCTCCTGGTCCCTCGGAGGTAGCATATTCCTGCGCATCGGCAATCCCAATGATCACAATCGGTTCTCGAAACAGTTCGTATGGAGACAGGGCTAAATGCGAAGGCGACGGCATCGACGTGACAAGATCATATAACACCCTCCCTTCCGTGAAGGACAGCGGCGAGAACATGCCTGCATTCCCATTAGCATCCTCCGTACCGCACCATGTCATTCCATTAACCAACCTCGATCCTGCCGCCGATCCGGCGTCACATCACCTAACCGTACAGCGCATTCTGGTATCAGACGGCCGACGAACTCCACCAGCCTCGTGCGCTTGATGGTGCCCACGGGCAATGCCAGCGCTCGCAATCGCGCGGGCGAGATGGGGGAGAGGTGATCCATCGGAGCAACATGGGGATGATGGGGAGGACATCAGGGGCATGGCATGGTCGAGGAGGGAAATGAGGCGCTAATGCTAAAGGTTGGATATGGGTATATTGTGCGTATGAGCTTTCGCCATTTACCTGAATAGTTCGTGAACTTTCTCAATACGAATCGGTGACAATTGTGTATTGTGTGGGCGTGAATCGGTGAAGTGCCTATTGGTAGGGATCTTTCACTAGCAACGCGCCACGAATAGGAGTGTGGGGTGGGAAGCACTGTGGATATTCGACATCAAGAATAATTAATAAGTGAATCTGTTTGAATTCCTTCTTCAATTTCTTCATCAATTTCTTCATATATCATTTTACTTCGCCAGCAGCTCTATACAACTGGAGGCCACCGCGATGGAGATGGCTTTGTCTAATAAGCAGAGAAGACGACAGCTTACAGTGCCGATCGTACTCTATCAAAGTCCTTTATGATTCTCCTCAAAGTCCTCTACGAAATGATCACCATCCGTTGCTAGTATCGGGATGTAATGTTAGACATTTGGATATCTATAACCATCAATCGTACACGATACCCCCAGTAGGAGGATTCATTGCTGCATCGCAGAAAGCAACCAAGCACCTCCCAACGGCTGGTCGAAGTGACTTCACATTCCAATATCAGTATACCTATCATCGCCGATCATGATGACGTAGGGTCACGGCTGGAGATAGATTCAACTAAAAGTAGCATCAAATGCGTCCTTCGTTCAATTACTTCTCTGAAATTAACCGTTCACGGACTTACCATCAAACAAACAAACAGGATAGGAAACATGTCGCAGCACGTGGTTGATGCCGTCAAGGCTGCGGCTCAGACACTCCCGCCGATCGATACTCCTGAGTTCGGCCAATTGTTCGATTCCTTCGGCAAAGCGAGAGTCGTGCTCATCGGTGATGCAAGGTAAGCCAACCAAACGATCTCAAGGAATCCACCTCACTTCCATCCAGCCACGGCACCTCGGAATTCTACCGCGCCCGCGCGGCCATCACGAAGCGCCTCATCGAAAAACACGGCTTCACCACCGTCGCCATCGAAGCCGACTGGCCTGACGCCCGCTCCATCGACCGCTTCGTCCGCCGCCAACCCACCCCCGCGGCCCTTAAAGACGAGAAGATCTTCGACCACTTCCCGCGCTGGATGTGGCGCAACGTCGAGGTGCAGGATTTCATCGACTGGCTGCGCGTGCACAACGAGCGCCTCGACCCCCCCAACCGCACTGGCTTCTACGGGCTGGACCTGTACAGCATGGGCGCCTCTATCCGCGCCGTCATCGACTACCTGGACCGCGCGGATCCCGACACCGCGGCCATCGCGCGGGAGCGCTATGGATGCCTGCTGCCCTGGGTCGAGGAACCCGCGCACTACGGCCGCGCGGCCCTCAACAAAGGCTACGCGCCCTGCGAAGCCGGCGTCGTCCAAATGCTCCGCGACCTCCTCGCACAGCGCATGGACCTCGCCGCCACTGACCCCTCCGCCTTCACCGACGCTGAATTCAATGCCCGCGTGGTCCGCGACGCCGAGAAATACTACCGGTCCATGTACTACGGCGGCGCGGAGTCCTGGAACCTGCGCGACGGGCACATGTTCGCGACGCTCGCGCGGCTGCTGAAGTTGAACCCGGGGAGCAAGGCGGTGGTGTGGGCGCACAATAGCCATGTTGGCGACGCGCGCCACACGGAGATGGGGCGTAAGGGGGAGCATAACATCGGGCAGCTGGTTCGGGAGCATTTCGCGGACCCGACGCAGGTGGCGATCATCGGGTGCGGGACGCACGCGGGGACGGTGGCGGCGGCGGACGATTGGGGGATGCCGATGCGGATCAAGACCGTAAAAGAGTCGCGGGAGGATTCATACGAGCGCGTGATGCACGCGACCGGCGTCCCGGCATTTCTATTGGATCTGCGCGACACGCCGGAGAACGCGGCGGTGCGGCAGGCGTTGGGGCAACAGCGGCGGGAGCGATTCATCGGGGTGATTTATCGGCCGCAGACGGAGCTGGGGAGTCACTATGCGAAGGCGATCTTACCGAAGCAGATGGATGCGTTGGTGTGGTTTGATCGGACGAAGGCGGTGGAGGCATTCGAGACGGCGCAGCCGAGGGGGGATTTGAGCATGGAGGAGACATATCCGTTTGGGTTGTAGATTATGAATGCTTGGAGTCGGGTCGTTCCGTTCGGGTTGCCGATGATCACAGATGGCTACAGGTAACGTCCCGTCCACATGGTTCATGGGACAGGCGCATCTGTTCTGGTTAGGCCATCTATCACTGACAATCATGATCTTAATATAATGTACAACTGGTATGCCAGATGCGGTTTATTTTTAATTTTCTTGCTGTTCGACGATGTCAGCTAACGTGATGATGGTCATTCATCTGAAGTCACTGATGAAGTCTGACAACTGCATGATTGGATTGCATCCAATCCACCAACCCAATTGCCGATCCAGCGATCTATTTGCCTTTCTCATCTGATTTCAGGACGTTGCCTCTGATTTAAAGGGAACACGCAATACGCTTCGTACACAGTACATAGCATGACGTGAAGAATTTAGGATATTAAGCTTGATCACACCTCCTTCTCCGACCTCAGACCTGTCAAGCCTACGCACTGGAGAGAGAAATTGAAAGGTTTGTATATGCTCCCACCTCTAAATGGGTATATCTTGCCGAATCACTGTCAATAATTCATTTCACAACCTTGCCCACAAATCTCTTCGCAAGCGCCCGAATTCCTTTCTTTGCATCCCGCTCAAGTACCTTTTCGGGTGCTTCTGCTTCCACCGTCCGACTTGAGCTGACGATTCTCCTCTATAAGTTCGGCCATCAGCGTTTCGTTCTTCCAGTCGATCGCAGCAAGGGCGTTTTGGAGGGCTCGGGTGATGCCAACATCGCACGCTTCCGGACTTCTCTCTTGGCTTCTCGCGGTCTCGCGCTGAAATAGTTCGTCCGGCCTATCTGTCTCAGCGGCCCTGACCTTGGCTCTCGCGGACATCCTGAGCGGCCGTCCAGCCCTCAAGTGGTGATGGCTGGCGGGTCAGGGGCGGGTCTGGTCGCGTCCCCCAGGATTCTCCTGAGAGGAGAAGGCGGCATTTTCGAGCTTGCCTATGCCTGGATACTACACGCTAGCGGAAATAATAAGACAAATACTAAATGAATGAAAAGGATTTGTGGTCCGGAAAAGGTTCGAAAATCCTTCTAGTTATAGTTAGTTAGGCCTATGTAGTTTCCCTCGTAGGCCTCGGGCTCCGGAGAGAGGCCTGATGGTGTCTGAATCTCTCTCCACGAGACTCCTGACGTCAGGCCCCACCAGCAATTAGGACGCTCACCACTATCTGGTACTTTAGTGGGCTAGGTCATCATGCCGTTAATCTTTCTTTGCCCTTTGGACCTTTTCTTTTTGTTTCCTTTTATATCTCGTATCAAAGCCAAATATATCGCAATCTCTTTCGACGCGGCTTTTGGAATCGAAACCAATTATCACCATGAGTAAAATTATTGCGGTCACGGGTGCTACTGGCGCCCAGGGACGTGGTGTTGTTAATATTATGAAGGGGACGGCGGGATGGACAGTTAGGGCTATCACGAGAAATCCTGAAAGCGACAAGGCCAAGAAGCTGGCTTCAGAAGGCATCGAGGTTGTACAGGCTAGCTTCGACGACGAAGCCTCCCTTGTCACCGCGTTCCAGGTTCGTTGATAGAGATGCCCAATGCCCATGGCCTCTCAACTTGAAGGGGTTAGAAAATTTACAAAGATTTACAGGGAGTTCATGCCGTCTTCGCTGTGACAAACTGGTGGGAGCACCTATTCATGGGTAAATCGCAGGACGAGGCGGGAGCTCTGGAGGAGGAGCAGGGCATGACGATTGCTCGCGGCGCTGCTCAAACGCCGACCCTGGAGCATTACATCTGGTCCACCCTACCTAGCGGCAAGGCTGACTTCCCTGGCAAGCTTGTCACTCCGCACATGGACTACAAGGCTGCTGTGGATGCCCGGATCAAGTCTGAGCTGCCCAAGCTGGCGAGCAAGACGACGTATCTGTACCTCGGTTTCTATCCGCAGAACTTCTTCACTTACCCCTCCATCAAGCCTGTCCAATATGTAAGCATTGCTTCCGTCTCTGTGATAGACGAGGGTCGATCAGTTCCCTGTTAACATGCGCACACAGCCCCCTGGATCTGGAACATACGTGCAGATTCAACCCAGCAGGCCGGATGCCAAAGTGCTTTTGGCCGGTGACCTGGACGTGAACCCAGGCATCTGGGTTCGTCAAATTCTTGCCAAGGGCCCCATCACATTCGGCAAGTACACCAACGTGGCTCTGGAAAAGTGGTCCTTAGAGCACATGCTGGAAGTATGGTCAGAGGTGACAGGCAAGAAGGGCATCTTCATCCCCTGCACACTCGAGATCTTTGCCGCACTACATGGCACTGCCGGCTACGAGTTGGGCTTACAACTCAAATACGGCGAGCTGTGTGACCCTTGGGCAGTGAAAGATAACTTCATAGATGCGAAGGAGCTCGATATAGACCCCAGCGAGGTGGTTGGCTTCAGAGGTGTCATGGAGAAGCTCAAGCACTTGGCTTAGACGGAAAATTGAATAGAAGCATGTGCTTAGATTATAATTGCGCAGCGTAGCGAAGCAGTTTAAAATCCAACTGGGGCTCCTTTTCCAAAAAAAAAAGATACACGCTCATTGGTCAGTAGAAAACCCTCTGTGATTGGTCCCAAAATTTACTTGGCAAAATGATTGGCTGACAAAAACGTCCGGAAAGTTCCGTGTCCCTCTGATCCTTGGCAAAATGATTGGCTGAAAAGTTATTTCATCTCGGAACTCTGTGGACTTCGTCGTTGCCGCCGTCGCTGGGACCTGCGATCTCGTTAACTACATGAGCACCTTTTCACTAGTCTCACGGCATCAGACATATCCTACATCCGATTTCAATAGGAAAACAGCAGATTAGAATGTATATAGGCTTCTGCATATAGGCTTCTACATTCTAGGGGGTTGTTAGGGGAAGTGGGACATAGCATTGTAAGGTATAGACAATTCGACACTATAGAGCAGTCGAGTCTCACGGACAACGTCAATAGAAAAAAGTAAAGAAAAGGAAAGCAAGATCCTCAAGACATCTCCAGGCATCGTCTATGTTCTTATACCGGCCGACAGTCCTGAAATCATCTACACAGACACTCGTTGCCTTCATCGTGTACGAAACCACTCAATTCCGAGGAGGAGGACATTCTTGCTTCCTGACAAGAGCTTGCACAAGTTTGCCCCGGTCGAGATGGTGCGCAGGTCGAGGACCCTGATCGTATTGGCGATCGAGAAATTGACCGTGCATATATCCTTGATGGCATGATCGGTAACTATCTCGACCTCGACCTCGAGTTCTGGAAGCGGATGAAGGCGGACTTTCCGGCCAACTTAGTAGCCGTTGCTGCTGGTACATATGCTAGCCTAAATGGCAAACAGAAACTCTGCCAGGACCTCGTCATGCGTCACTTTCACGCCTACCAGGAGCACCGGCCTCCGCCTCAGCTCCTGCTAAGCATCGATGGTAAGGGTGGGACAGGGAAGACGTACCTTATTATGATCCTTTCCGAGGCGCTTGAGACTGTCGCGAGTGCGATAGGCCATACTACCTCCCCAATCATTCGAGCTGCTCCTACCGGTGTGGCCGCGCACAATATTTCGGGTAGGACCCTTCATTCTCTATTCCGCCTCACTCCAAAGGCCAGGCAGTACGAAAAGTTGTCAAAGCAAGCCGCTCAGGCTATTCAGGCTGCATTCAAAGGTGTTCAATATATCGTCATTGACGAGAAGTCAATGGTTGGTTTGAAACTCCTTGCTTGGATTGACCGTCGATGCAAGGAGATTTGGCCTGATCGTAGTGACCTTCCATTTGGTGGCCTCAACGTTATCCTAGCTGGCGACTTCTTCCAGCTGCCGCCTGTTGGCGAGAAGCCTCTCTTTACCGGCCAGAACAACATTTCAAAGAACATCGATGAAAGTCATGGCCATAGACTCTACCAAGGCTTCTTCCGAACGATTGAGCTAGACGTTGTTGTCCGTCAGCAGGGACCTGAGGAGGCAATGTTTCGAAATGCACTCGAAGACTTACGAACCGGGAATGTCACGGTTGATAACTGGCGCCTTCTTGCCACGCGAGTTGCTTCTACCCTCTCGCCCAGTGACGTCCAAAGCTTCCAAGGTACCCTTCACGTCTACGCCAAAAAGGCAGACGTCATTCAATTCAACCATACACAGATGCGCGAAAGTGGCCGACCAGTTGTCCTGATGATTGCAACTAATGAGGGGAAAGATGCAGCGAGCGCCACTACCGAACAAGCTGGTAACCTGCAGAACATCCTCCCTATATCTATTGGTTGCCGTGTCATGCTTACCGAGAATATCTGGACCGAACGAGGATTGGTAAACGGTACTATGGGTAATGTACGCGACATGGCCTGGGAAGCGGACGTTGAAGATCCCCGGAAGTCGCCTCCTACGGCATTATTGGTTGCGTTCGATAGCTATAATGGTCCATCCTTTCGGGAGGTTAACGGCGAAAAGCTCGTGCCTATATTCCGGTCCCGCCGAGACTTCGTTCACGGTTCTGTCGCCTGCCTGCGTACCCAGTTTCCATTGGTTCTAGCGTATGCTATCACCATCCACAAGAGCCAGGGAATGACACTTGAAAAGGCAGTGTTAAACATCGCTGATAAGCGGGACTTTGCGCCGGGATTAACTTATGTAGCTGTCTCGCGTGTTAAGTCGCTGAAAGGGGTGTTATTCGAAGAATCGTTTGACCTACCGCGATTGCGCATGCAGAAAACTGCTACAACTCAAGCCAGGAACGATGATGTCGCTCGGCGGGCATTCTATCACGTCGCGTCCTCCGTACATACTACATACCGTCTACTCCTTGCGCAGCATGGCTAATGTGTCTATACAGGATCCTCAGCAATTCGCGGTCGGTTTCATGCCACCGCCTCTACGACGTGTTTAACTTCCTGTCCGATCATCCTCTCCACCTCGGAGGTCGTCCCTGCTACTTGCGAGTGAGATCGATATACCTACAACAGGGTCTAACCCGTCCGGCACTCAAGGTTCCTGAATGGAGTCTGCGTAGATAGATCAAAATCAACTAGTTATAGTATATCATCTGCTGTTTATTTCATTATAAGTGGTTTAGCTACCGATGAAACCAGTACTAATAAGCGCGTGTGCTTGACTCTGTTCGCCCAAGGGCAATGATGATACAAGATACACAGATGAATGAATCAAGCACACGGTCAGATCAAAAGTCGCTGTGATTGGCCGCAAAGGTTCAGGACTTCATCAGCAAACTGTGACTGGGTAATTATGCTATTAAAACTTGGGAGGTTCTGCTCCCTACGCTGCGCACCCCTTGGGTCCATTTATGACCCTCGGCCGTATTTTACCAATGAAAGACAGCTACAGGGAGCTTAGATGATTCTAAGGGTAAGAATCCTCCTGTTCGGGAATTTTCCCTTGCTCATGATCATCATGCTTGACCCTCTGCCAGAAAAAGAGGAACTGGTGATTCTAGACAAGATATTTTTATGGTTCTTGGGAGTGCCCTTACACCATATACCTCCAACTTTGACATCTTCTCCAACTGTGCTTTCGAGAGCAGCGTTAAGCTTAGAGACGACAAGAGCCATAGTCAGAGCCAGTTTTTTATCCGCCGTATCTTCCGTAGGGATATCTCCGCCCTCTAAACCAGTCTAGGGCTATCCGTGCCCAGATGGAGATAGCGGAATATGGTCGCCAATATCTCGTTGACAAGTTGAGCAAAAGCTTTAACAACATCTCTATTCCACTGCTCACCTTTCTTGACGGGTTCGGCTTGTTTCGGAGCATGTACTGTACGATTATGGGTTTCTATCTCTTATTGGCACCTCCCCGCAGCTCAGGCCGTAATTAGAGGCAGAATGTCTTCCCTCTTGCACTCGGTCCACATGACAGCAATTTCACAGAGTTATTGATGACCCGGCAGATGGCATAACACAGCTTGAACGAGGCATCAATATGCTTATCACCGGCAAGCAGTTTACGGTCTGCGTCTCTATCATGGCATATATTGGTAATATGCCCCAGCAGCAGACCAGTTCAGGCTTCTGAGCTGTCGCCGCCGAATCTACTTGCAGGATGCGACTTGTCGAGACCGCCCAACGTGGCCTCCTTGATTTATATCGGAGCCCGCAGCCGGTATCACTATAAAGTTATACGTCAGAGGGCTTCTATCCGAAGCAGACCAAACAAGACCCAGAGGAAGTTTACGGCCGGTAAGCTAAGTATAGAAGCAGAGGAACCAGCATTGATGAAACTAAGTCCTGCTCTTGATCTCGTCCTCTCCCGACCTCCCGATCCTGTCCACTCTGAACTTAATGGCATCACGAAGCTAACGCACCTCCTGTAGATCGGAGACCTCTTGACAAAAAAGGCCGCAGCCGAATATGGTCGGTTGCTCCGCTCTTTTCCGTTCCCTTCCGGATAGGGTCGTCTCCAAGCCCCTGAGCACTACATCGGAAGCTACTCCCTTCAAGAGTACGCCCGATGGAGCGTCATTGGCCCCTGCATGGCTCGAGTCTAGTTACGCGAAGAGTATATCCAGGATGCGTAGTTCGAGGGTGTCCATATTGCGTTCAAAGTTATTGAGAGAGAGAGAGAGATTCATACGCCCGTCAGGCCTCTCTGCGAGGCCCATGTGGGAAGCCCCTACCCAGCAGACAGCTCATTATTCGTACGAATATTAGTAAGCGGAAATTCTAAATTTTATTCGTATTCGACTACGAATATTCGTGTCCAGCCCTACGTCCCTCAGGCCTCTCTGCGAGGGCCTTGAGAAGTAATAATAGAGTGATCAGTAATAGTGGTAGATCAGAATGGTGGTGGAGAGGAACTGAGGAAGTCATCATGGTCATGTACACCTAAAGTCACGTGGTTTAAGTTAGCGAAGGGCAAATATGGACACTGATTCGACCACTCGTGAGTCGCGACTGTCGTGACTCGTGAGTTGTGACAAAGTCGTACCTTACTAATCCATCACTCAGAATTGACCACATGTGACTCTATTCCCTGTAAATCGACTCCTGATCTCTCGATCCATACAAACCCTGCAAAAGGCACACGTGTAGGTTTGTTTCGACGACATGTCCCCTTCCTCCTAAAATTCTCCTCACTTTCGTCCTCCACTCCTCCAATATATTCACCAAATGATGCATGGCCAAGAGGCTAACCTGCCAAGCAACCGAAGCTTTGTTCCTTCCTCATGCCGTCCCGGAAATGGGGGAATTCGGACCACCACGGAAGCTTCGCGTTGCTTGTAGCTTGTTAGGTGGCCGGTGCGACGGCGGCGGGTGGGAGTCGTAGCCAAGAAGGGAAGTTGCGCACGCGACACCAGATCTCGTACTCCCATCTATATTACACACGATATAGCAAAATGATACTGAAAGGACGAGATGAATTTGGGAGGGCTCTTCGGGGATAGGATCGATTCAGGTACTCCGACTAATCTACTGGAGTATTGCCACTCCCTGGTACAGGCAAGGTGGTTACTGCTCAACCGATATGCCGTACAAATATCAATAATGATATCCCTATCCCACGTCTCCGGACCCCGGTATATCCCGCCAGAGATCTAGCTACCGTACAGTAGTGTTCATACCATAGTATGTCTACCGGCATCACGAAAATTCATCCTTAATCTGGTTCGTCAATGCCTCAGCTCTCAACGATCCATCCATGGCCCATCTATGGTCCATCATTCGATCTCGAAGGGTCCAACCTGTCGCCGATCCGCCGCCGACCCGCCGCCGATCCACTAATTAAAGAGGAACTAAGCTCCATCCTAATCGCGCACAGAATCAGGACTTTTTTCTTTGAATACCCCCCCCCAAACTTTTAGGTAAACATGCATCCATCGAGTGCCTCCCTCGAGCATTCTCGTCTCTTCCCGCACGCTGGTGCCGGATCTCCGTCCGGACTCTTTTCGGGGGTTCTGCTGTGGTTCTATCTTTCCTGTCGCATGGTCCCGCAGTTGGCCGCTGACTTGCATGGGCCTTACCATTAAAAAAGGTCGTGACCTCCCCCTCCATCGAGTAGGTTGCTACTTGGGATTTTTTCGACCTCCCTGGTCAGACAGACCAGTGTATCAACACAGTCCTCAGTCTTCTACTGTCACTTCCTACTGTCATCATGGCTGATGACGAATCGGTTCGTGACTACGGTACGCACTTTGAACCTTGATATCCATCGCCTCTAATAATTCATAGGGCCGGCCGCCCCTCATGGACCGAATATGGACCATATCGCGACCCGGGATGTCTTCGAAATGAACAACCTCGAAGAATCCGCCTTCAAACGCCTCCTCCGCCCCGACGACAGCTACGACACCGACGGTACCTACTGGGGCGACATGAGCATGCTCCGCCGCCTCAAGTTCGTCTCGAAAGTCGACGCCGAAGAATTCCGCCGCGAGATCCGTGACCTCGGCCGCATGTTCAAGAAAGACCCCCTCAGCCCCTTCGGCATGTACCTCCGCAACGCCGTCATCCCTGGCGCCGGCCTCGGCCTCGAAGGCTACGTCCTCTTCTCCATCGGCAATGTGCGCCCGCTGCTGCAGGCCGCCTTCCCCGCCTGTTGGAAGACCCACGAGGTCTGCGACAAGACCTGGGTCGAGGCCCTAGAGAATCTGGAGATTGTCGGGATTATCTTGGGACAGATCTTGGTGGGGTTCCAGGGCGATTGGATCGGTCGACGGTTTGGGTTGTTGCAGGACGCGTGGATCATGCTCATCGGCCTGATCATGCTGACCGCCGCGTGGGGCGTCACCCAGAACGGATGGGTCATCTGCTACGTCTGGAGTCTGTTCATCTACTCCATCGGCGTGGGCGGCGAGTATCCCATGACCGCCACCTCCGGGATGGAGAACGCCATCGGCGCCGGCAAGATTTCCACCCGCGAAGACCGTCTGCATCGCGGCCGTAAGGTCACCAGCGCGTTCCTGATGCAGGGCTGGGGCCAATTGTTCAATCTCATCATCCTCATGCTCTGCCTCCTGGCCTTCCACAGCGGCAGCAACCCGCCCTACGGAAAGACCTCCGCGCAGTGGACCTACCGCGTCTCATTCGGCATCCCTGCCGTCGGCACCCTCTGGCTGTTGTACTACCGCACATACAAGATGAAAGGCGCCTCCACCCAACTCAAGCTGGCGAAGAAGAAAACATCGGTCACCGGATACGACGTTCAGTCGCTGAAGCTCACGCTGTGGTATTTCGGACCGCGATTGTTCGCCACGGCGATGGGGTGGTTCCTCAATGATTTTCTGTTCTATGGCAGCAAGTTGTTTCAGAGCCAGTTCATTGCGGTGCTGCTGCCGGGGAACAAGTCGGTGATGGTTGGATGGCTGTACAGCTTGATCAACACTGGCGTGAGCTTGGTTGGTTATTATCTGGCGTCGTTCCTCATCGACAATAAGATCTACGGAAGGTATGTGATTTCTCTCTTTCCACTCAATACACAACTAACCGAATATTTAGAAAACACATGCAATCCGTCGGTTTCATCTGCGACTTCATCCTCTTCGCCGTCCCCGCCTTCAACTTTGATTACTACACCTCAACCGCGCACGTCCACGAATTTCAAGCTATGTACTTCCTCGCCTCCTTCTTCCAACAGTTCGGCCCCAACGCCGTCACCGTAAGCATCCCCCCCATCCATCCACCCCCTCATCATCCGCTAACCCCCCACAGTTCCTCGTCGCCGCCGAAGTCTTCCCCACCCCCATCCGCGCCACCGCCCACGGCTTCTCCGCCGCCTGCGGCAAACTCGGCGCCCTCGCCCCCGCCGTCCTCTACAACTACATCGACGACCGTACCAAATTCAAAGTCGTCCCCTGGTTCGGTCTCGCCGGCGGTATGTCCCCTCTCTTTTACTCCCCCTTTATCAAACCCACTCACTAAACCCCTCCCCAGTCCTCGTCACTGTCCTTTTCCTCCCTGACACTACCGGTCTCGACCTCAAAGAGCAAGAACGCCGCTGGCGCTTCATCCGTGCGGGCCGCGAGCACGAGTACCACGGCACCGCGATCCACTGGCGGCACATCTCGTGGTGGGAGCGGTTCCGCGGCGTGCATAAGCCGTACGACGCGGCGCTCGACTTCGCGCAGAAGCTTGAAGAGATGCGCGCCGACTGGGAGGTGTGGCGTGCGCATCAGGGCGCGGAGGATGCGGTGGTGGGGGGGCTGTTGCCGTTGGAGCATTTGGAGCATTTGGAGGCATTGCAGGGAGAGGGTGGAGGACATGTGCATGGGTATTTTGGGAGGACGGGGGTGAAAGAGGGGGTGGAAGTGGAGAAGGAGAAGGAAAAGGAGAAGGGGGCGAGGGGCGAGGGGGAAGAGGAGTCATGACAAAGACTGAAAAGGCTATGAGACATGAGGGTAATTTTGTGGATATTTAGCGGTTTTTCGGCATAAACGCGCTGTGGAATTGCATAGCGTGAATAAATTCGGATTTATTCTGTGTGCTATGCATCATTGGTTCGGTGAAATACGTCGACAACGTCGGCCATAGTGACCCCTTTCCTACGAGGGAATAGCCATGCTGATGCTCGTTCCAAAGCGATCTCGGCCACGCCAAACAATCACCAGAACCACCGCGTCATATTGTCTTTGCTATTGTCCCTCCGATCCAACACAATACCGGTCAACCTCCATCAAAACCCGCAACGGCTCAGTCTCAGTTCCTGTATCCCGATGCAGCGATCCGGCTTGGCTTACCTCTCGGATACCTTTGTACCTAGGTTCCGGTCGGGTCGGGTGGCTTCAGGATCGCGCTGCGGATAGAGACTAGAGAGACGTGGTAGATCATCGTCATTCCACGGCATGAGGCTTGGGAAAGGGCAGGAATGTGGTGTTACGCCTGTCACGAATGCGAATGGGTAATGAGTTGGAAGGAACGATGGCGTGGTGGGCTTAGGAGCAAATGGTAATTATTATCAGGATGTCGATAGGGCTATGTACTCGTGGAGCGCGAGTTGACGGAGGACGGAAGAGTTTGTCTGGCATCCTGTCTCTTCTAGCATTCATCATGCTGTAATTTGCTATCTGGAGAAGTACTCCATGTCCTCTGAAGTAAGGTTGTATTTGATCCACCAGCACAAGACTGTCGTCAACATAACGTTTATGATGGTCCTACAGGTGTGCGGCTCGGAGGTTTAGTAATCAGTTCGGTATAACCATCCGACCAATCGAACACCGATGATATAGAACTTAGAAGTATACGCACGTCACGGAAACTCACTCGCCTGGGGGATACGGGCGTAATGCCTGTGTCGTGCATCACCACAGACCGAATATCGTTCTTCGGCTAGGGAGAGTTCCAATTATGGATATAAGTTGAAACCTCTCGTTCCCAACCTTCAGTTCCACGGATGAAGTCATGGACCTCGGGCGCCGAATGCACTGATAACGCGTAACTATAAAAATTGATGATAAATCAAAGTTCTTCGAGGGTTTTCGATTCGTGATATTTAGACCGGAACCTGAAGATCGAGAAAAGTTTTTGCTGCGTTCTACGGATACCTCTCGGAGACTCGGACACTTCTTTCGCCCCGCACTTGGCGTCATTGCCGTTTATATAAGAACCCCCGCTTGAGATACCCGTACTATACATACATAAACGCCATTGACCCCTCCCTCAGATTGCGATATCTCCCATTGCCATTCCCTATTCCAACCATGTCTCCCCCCACTACCGCAAGGCAATGGATCGTCGCCAAAAAGCCCACCGGCCAAGTCCACCTCTCCGGCCCTGACGCCACCTTCGCCCTCGAACCCACCCCCCTCCCCGCCCTCTCTCCCAACCAACTCCTCCTCCAACCCCTTTACCTCTCCAACGACCCCGCCCAACGCCCATGGATCCAAGCCGGCACGGACCCCGAGCGCGCCTACACCCCGCCCGCCAAGCAAGGCCAGCCCATGCGCGCCTTCGGCGTCATTGCCAAGGTCGTCACCTCCACCAGCGGGAACTTCGCCGAGGGGGATCTCGTCTCCGGGATGTTAGAATGGACGGAATACACCGTCGTCGACGCGACGTCCGTCCAGAAACTGCCTGAGGTCGCCGGCATCCCCACCACCGCGTTCCTCGGCGCCCTCGGCGGCACCGGGTTGACCGCCTACTTCGGCCTCTTGGAAGTCGGGCACTGCAAGGCCTCCGACGTGGTCGTGGTCAGCGGCGCTGCGGGCGCCACGGGGCAGATGGTCGTGCAGATCGCGAAGAAGATGATTGGGTGCAAGAAGGTGGTCGGCATCGCCGGGTCGGCTGAGAAGTGCAAGACGGTGGAGAGCCTCGGCGCGGACGTTTGTGTGAATTATAAAGACGCGGACTTCGACAGCCAGCTGAAGAAAGCGACGGACGAGTTCGCGGACCTATATTTCGATAACGTGGGCGGGAAGATCTTGGACGCGATGTTGACGCGAGTGAAGCGCGAGGGACGCATCGTCGCGTGCGGCGCCATCTCGGCGTACAACGACCAGAGCGCGGGCGCGATTCACAACTGGTTCGAGATCATCTCGAACCGGATCGCGGTGAAGGGGTTCATCGTCACGGATCATCTGGCGCGGGCGGCGATCGCGCGGGAGGAGCTGGTGGCCGCGTTCAAGGCGGGGAAGATTCAGATCTCGGGGGATCAGGAAACCGTGGTAGACACCAAGTTTGAGGATATTCCGAAGACGTGGGTGATGCTCTTCGCGGGTGGGAATACGGGGAAGCTCGTAACGAAGATTGTTTGAGCGCTTGGTTGCTCCTCGGGCATGCGTAGATGAACATGGTCTCGAGATACCAATGACGAGTTTTCGGCGACCGAGGAAGCATATATACCTATAAAAGCAATGACACCCATACGATGACACACTCTGCAATGAACTGAGCAAAGTGAGCTGAGTGTCAAGACATTATTCAATAAAGCCATCGGATTGGTCCACAACAGCGGCTGAGTATCCCTTGGATGGTAGTATTTACAGGTAAACATGAAGGGTACCTGTGCCCATAATTTGAGTGCTGGTTCGTATTTGACAGCAAATATATTGGAAATAGTCCCCAGAGTGACTGAAAAATAATAAATCGCTTGAATAAAGTCAAACGCGGAGAGTTCGACGGCCAATATTGCAGAATAAATAAAAAACCTTCATCCGGGTATATCAACCGACGACGACAAGCTCGCTAATATAGATTACATCCGCTGAAGGTCCCACTGTCTCATATATAAAACGTATATAGATCGGCTGGGATAACCAGCAAAACCGGAATGTGTACAGGAAATCAGGAATTTTAGTCCTCCGTCCACTGCGGAACCCATTCCATGCCGGGATAGCTCACCCCCCTCATAACCGGCTCATCGTCCTCGCTGTCTTCACGCAGAGGCTGCGAATCAGCCGCAGACGCGCCCGTCACGGCCGCCGCACCTCCGACGGCGACAGCACCAGCAGCGCTGACACCTGCTGTGGTGCTTAGTGCAGCACTGTTTCCTTTGGCAGGATCTTGGAAAACATGTGGCGGGCCTGGCGGAAAGTCTTTCGGTGGCGGAGGCGGCGGGGACATGGAGATGGCGAGGGGGTTGATAGGCGACATTGAGGTTGCTGTGCTGGGCGACATTGGGAGGGGAATGCGATGAGGTTTAACGTTCGTGTTGAGACTCGGTGGCTGGGGTGGGGTCCTTTCCGGCTCCGGGGGAGATGAGTACTGCTGTGGCGCTGGAGGGGGTTGCGGTGAGTAGGATGAATGGGGTGGTTGCGTGGTGTGCGGGGAAGAATGTGCGTGAGATAGAGAGCGGGGGAGGTTATGCTGCGCGGGTTGCTGGGGAAGAACGAAGCCATGAGGTTGTTGTGGTAGGGACTGAGTACGTTGAAGGATTTGCTGAGGTTGTGGTGGAGCTTGCGATGGAGGCGAGGGGGTTTGCTGGAAGCTCATAGGAGGTGGAGGCTGTGATGAAGCTTGCGATTGAGGCGAAGGGGGTTGCTGGTAGCTCGCAGCAGGTGGAGGCTGCCCATATGAACGCTGCTGTACCTGTTGCTGTTGCTGCTGCATCAGGCGTTGTTGCTGAATGAAGACCTGCTGCTGTTGATATTGCTGGTATTGTTGATACTGCTGATGCTGCTGCATCTGCGTCAACTGAGCCAACTGCGCCGGCGTATACGTCTGAGGAGGGAAATGCCCCTGATCGCTAACGCGGCGGTACCGCATCGCCGCCATTCGTGCAGCAATCATTTCCTGACTGGGTCGACGGTTATGCGACATTTCGTCTTCCGACTCTTCAACGCTGGAGGGGAGGCTGATGTTCCACGGTCGCTCCTGGTGCTGCCCTGGAGTCTCGTTGATGCTTCCCATGCGGATATATGGAGGCATTGCAGCATTCGACCAGCGTTGATTTCCAGGCGCTGGGCCTTGTCGGGGATCCATGGGTGGCATACCCCCTTGTGCAGGCGATCCGTTAGCGTTATAGAAGAAAGGCCCACCGGACGGCGTTCTTGGGCCAAGGCTAGCGCGTGAGTCGGGAGAGATGGATGACACCGATTGTGGACCGTACGGCACAGCACCAGGCCCATATCCAGGCGGAACAGGAGGACTATTGCGAATTGGTGCAGGACCTGCATATGGAAGGTGCTGCTGGGTGTTTGACGTCAAGGACTGGGTCCTTTCTGCAACCGGTTGCTGTTGACCAGTCGGATCAACCCTACCTAAACCTTGATCTGGACTCCACGTTGGTGGAGCGTAGTACCCCCCTAGAGGGGGAGGCATTCCCGGATCCTCGAGAATCGGTGGAGGCATCGAATGTGGAAGAGACATTGTTCGATTCGAACTTGAAGATTGGCCCCGTTGAGGATTGGATTGGTAGCTTCGCATGTCTTGATATGCAGGACCCGGGCCTATGATGGCCGGACCACCTTTCTTGGTCATCTTTGACTCTGACCTGCCAAAGAAACTTCCCAGGGCAGAGAACCTTTTCTTCTTCGGAGGATCGGGCCCCAGGCTACTAGAAGATCTCTGCAGCTTCTTGCCAGACTTGGCATCGGTCGGCTTGGGCTTTTCAACGGGCGGTGGAATCCCTCCTATGATCTGTTGACTGATCGTACGAGTCGGAGAATCACCGGCCTGTCCTTGCGTGCTATCCGCCTTGCTGAGCACAGAATCTGCATCAACGCTCAAGGGTCGATTATTGAACGGATTGATTATTCCCGACTTCCGGAGCTTCTTCTGCGCTTCCTCCTCCTGTCCATCGTCACTCGTAATAGTTGACTGATATGAAGGCTGCCGATTTGATGGTGGAGATACCAGTTCTGGATTGATGCGCTGTGGAGTTACCGGCTGTGGTGGAGCAGCAGGTGGTGTCTTGAGTGCGCTCTTAGACTTGAAAAGTTGACCACCGAAACGGGATTTCTGGACTAGAGGCTCGGATTTCGAGGGCGCTGGCGGACCGACGCCAGGAAGCCGATACTCAGAGGAGTGCTGTCTCGGATCAATAGTCGGCGGAGAGAACGTTTGTCGACGAATGTCTTCCGGCGATCTCTGAGCAGGCAGTTGTAGGTTAGGCGGATTGACACCGTGATTCGGTCGCCCTTGCACCGGTTTTCCATGTGCTTGACCAGCTGGCGGTATGGTTTCTCCCATGTCTCGACCAGCAGGCGGCGTTAAAATTGGAATGGTGCTGATCTGAGGCCCTTGTGGTGATTGATGCTGCTTTGGCGGCGATGTAGCCAAATTGGGCCCATGCTGGCTTGATCGCTTGGGAGAAGTAAACGATGGTTTTGGCGGCTCATGCTTCGGAGGTGAATGTTCAGAGACCGAGTCTGATATGGCTTGAAGACCATGCCGTGGAGACACCGTAATCACGTCTTGCGGGACGCCTCCTGTCCTAGGCAGATGTACGAATGACATTGGCCGTTCTCGACTCGGTGCAGGAGGATGGTAGTCCCTTTCCATGAAACTTGTGCGCACAGGGCTGACAGGGGGTTCAGAGCCCGACACGTCGCGTGGATGGTCGTCATCTGGATGAATCGTCGAAACATTTGGCGTCGGCTTCATACCGGAACCATCCAGTTCACCAGCACCAGATATGTTGACAGCAGGATCGAGTCTTGGGATCTGCGCGTCGCCGGCCGCTGCTGTTGGAGTGGGCTCTGATGGAATGGACGGACCTGCAGCTCCTGTTCTAACCTGCTTACTGAAAACCGAAGGAGACCCTTTGACTTCTTGCCATTTCTGCTCGGAACGCGGCTCAGAACTTGCTCCAACCGTCGGCGCAGGCTCGTTATGTCGGCTTCCCTGATACTGCTCCGTTTTCTCGATTTCTATAGTCTTCTCGATATCAGAATCCTCTGCACCAGTAGACTCATTGTCCGAAGGTTGCAATTCCCGGTGCTTCTCGATGGAAGGCCACGAGATAGCGTCACTCGAGGTATCCTTCTCCCAGCTTGCGGCAGTTGATGCTCGCGAAATTCTGCGACGATCGGGCGAATCATCTTTCGTTGCCCCTCCCGCGCTTTGCACCTGAGACTCATATAATATAGTTGCCCGTGGAGTCACCAGGTCATCTTCCAACATCGGAGAAGCCGAGGCGACGACGATTTGCTCTACCGGGCCTCCGTCTGGTTGTGAGCTACTGACAGCTTGCGCTTCCTTGCTTGGGAATGATGGACCTGTAGGAGTAACGGTATCCGACCCGTCGATCGGTACCGCCGCTTCCACGTTGGTTCCAGAGCCATCAGTGGTTATCTCATTTAGCAATTTCTGTTGCTTCTTGTCTTCTTCCAATTTCTCTTGTTCCCTCTCTTCGTCTGCTTCTCGCTGCACCTTTCGTAACTGCTCAACATCAATGCCCTCGAAAATGTACCCTTGAGAATGCCTCACAACACTCTCAAGTAGTAGTTTTTGTCTCACATTATCCAGACTCCCCGCCTCCTGGTCCGGTGCCTCGCTTGCGCTATCACCAGTCGTATCCCTCATCCGCGAAGGTGACATATCGCCATCGTTGGTTGGCATATCTGCTCCATGACTCTCTCGCTTGAACGTTGATCGTGCTGGGCTTGGCAGGACTCCCAATTGATGAATTCCCTCAACTTCCGTTATCTTCGGAGGTGGCATTAACGTGTCGAAGCCATGGTCACCCTGACCTCCAAATGGAGCAACAGTGTGTGGATTTCCCGTGGGAGTCTTCGGCGGCTCATCCCATAATGCGACGTCTGACACCTTTGGTGCCGCCGCGCCGGAAACTGTCATGGCCATGGTGGACTGTCGACGAGATGGCGGAACCGCTTCTGATGTTGAGGATGACTGCTGAGGTGGCTGGCCACTGTGATTATTAGGATATGCCACTTGAGGGCCTTGCTTCGTCGGATCCAGGGCAGGTTGATGGTGCATTAAGCTTCCTTGTTGCCACTGTGGGATCTGAAATTGCACTGCGGTGCCAAAGGCTTGAGTGTCTTGCTGTTGGGGAATAGCAGGACCATGTAACTGCTGAGGGCCGGGAGGACCCGATGTCGTAGGGAACGGCATAGGCTGTTGGCTGGCGAGGTTGAAGTTCTGCGACAGCGGTTGCGTGCCTTGAATATGAGGTAGCTGGGGAGCATCTGTCGACTCTAAAGCCATGCTGCTCGGTCTGCTGGATCTGCTCCCGATGCTTATGATACTGGAAGCTGTGGACCGGCCTCGACGGAACATGTTCCCTATATCCCATTTACCGCTCCGTCTCTTAATCTCTTTACTATCAGCTAGCGAGCGAGACTGGGACTGCGGTCGAGAACCGGATTCGGAGGGTTGGATCGATGATCGACGGCGGTTTCTGATAGAGCCTAAGACGTTGGACTGGGACGATGAGGCGGATTCAGTGGGGATAGTGGGGAGTGGGGGTGGAGGCATGGTATAGGGCTGGGTAGAAACACGATGGTAAGCTGCGGGGATAGGCTGCGGAGGGTATTGGAATGGTGGAGGAGATGGAGGGCGTTGTTGGGGTGCGCTCGGTTGGCTGTGAGACAGTTGGGAAGAAGCAGATTGAGCGTGGGGCGCTGGCGTCTGGGGTGCAGGGGAAGTTGGGCTAGGGTCCAACCGTTGAGGCAACTTGTTGGACTGGTCCGCGGGATTGGCAATGGAAGTACCATTCCCCAATGCTGGGGGGGCTGGAGACGCATTAGCGAGGGGAGAATGGCCGGGTGCCTGGCCACTTTGCCCGCTATGGAGCGACCATGTGGATGGCGTGCCTAAATAAGAGGCATCTCCGGCAACAGAAGAACGAGGGGAAGAGGTCTAAGCATATATGGTTAACGATACCCTGGTCCGATTGAGACTCACTGGTCACAGTTTGTCGAGAATAAGTAGGCAACGAGACAGAGAAATTAGCTGGGAGAATATTGGAATACAATAAGCGAAAGATGTAATATTAGACGGTATCTGCACACCGCCGTTAAGAAACTGTACCCCCACATTCATATCCGCCTTCGAATACTCTGAGACATGACCTTGCCCGAAAGCATCGTGAAAACATCTTCTGCGCTACAATCCATAAGAGACTCGGAGAAGAAGAGAGGTTGTGTATGTTTCAGCATCCACCTTTTCGACTCGACTGTATGAGCAGCAAACCGGTTGCTGCTGTCGAGGTATCGTTCATCACCTCACTAAGAACGAATCAGAACCCCCTATAGATAGAAGAAAGGGAGAATCCATGAGAGATAGAGAGCTCAAGTGAAATGTAAAAGCAGTTGCATGGGTAGTCGGATGATAAAATGGTTAACCGACCTTGTCTCCGCCATGTTTGAACCGGTTCTTCGACTTCGCGAGCAAGCCCTTTGCTCCCGTGGTAGCCTTCCCGCCCAAAATTCCAGCCTTGCCACCCAAAATGCCAGCACTGTGCAACAGGTCTTTCCCAATCTGTTGCCCCTTGCCTTCCGATTGTCCAGCCCCATCCCCGCCCGTCGGGGACGAGGAGGCGAGATTGCTGGATACTCGGCGGCTGGCGGAAAAGCTAGGACCTGGCGTCTGACCGCTTGTACTACCCCCGCCTGTCAGGGCGCCGAGACCGAATCTTGACAATGAAGGACTGCTCTTATGACCTCGTTCTACGCCAGGCGGGGTAGGGAGTGTATGCCCGGCCATCGGCCCTGACTGATTAGCCTGGGATTGCCAGACTGAGCTGGCCAAACTTTGATGCTCCGGATAAGTTGCGACGGTCTCGTCAAGCCAGGACCCGATTCCCGTGTCGGTAGACGCGAATTGCTCGCGAGTATTGCTGTACGCCTGGATTCGGTCTGGCGTGGACTTGATTGCCAAGATTTCACGGAACGTTGGGGGCGCCTTCGCAGGTGCACTGTCGCGGTTCGCGGATGGTTGAGGTAGCGCACCTCCCACGGAGGTTGGCGTTGGGATATCATCCGCGTTCTTCTCAGAGGGATGCGGGGTAGAACCATGAGGCGCAGGCAAGATTTCTTTGTCGTTGTCGCTGTCCTTTTCGATGTTTGACTGGACACTAACGAGATGTAGGCCATCATCGCTCTTCATCGGAGAGACAGTGCGACTTGGATCGCCAGCTTCCTTGCCCAGGCTGGTGTCGCTTGCCGACAAGTTGCTGGGGTGAGATCCACTCATAGCGCTCAAGGGGCTTAGGGGCTCGCGTTCGTGTACGGGAGTCTGTGAAGCTCCTGGCGGAAGGCTGACTTCCACGGATGGGGGCTCGCGGTCAGACGGTGCAATGAATGCGCTCTTCGGCGTAGGTTGAATCGAGTCTAGGCTATCAAATGGAGTGGAAGCGCCTATTTGAACAGGCGTCTCTCCAGTCCGTTCTTGGAGTATACCCGATGCTTGAGCTTGTGGCATGGTAGGTTGGCTGGGCGCTGACGATACCGTTTGCGTAGGTTTCGAATCCGTATCAGGCGAGAAAGGTGGTGGGGTGAGCCCAAGGTCAGCAACGTTATCAAATGACTGCTCCCAGCTAAATCGTTTTTTCAGAAGCGGGGGGTTGGACACTGCAGGCTCGTCCTTCACAGGAACTGCTGGAGGCAGTGCCTCCTGACTTGGAACATTGACACCAAGGCCATGAGGCTCAGGCGGCTTTGACTCAATGCTCGGACCAGTTGCCCAGTAGCTGTCATACTCGCTAGGAAGCACGGAACTGTCCCTGTTGGTGTCATGAGCTGGACCTGCTGCAGAAGGATCGAGATGCGTCGGAACGGCAGCAGGCTGGCCAGGAGAATAGTGAGACTCTGCATGGGAATCAAAAGAACTGAGCCGCCGCTCAATCTCATCGGTCAACTGGTCACTCATGTTTCGGACATCCTTCGGTGAGCCTGTATCTTTCTCCGGAACAGATGGCGGCTTCTCATCGTCGCCATTGTTCGAATGTTTGCTGAGACCAAGTGCGCCTACGACGCCAGCCCCAAGGGCAGATCCGGCCGTGGCAAGAGTTGAAACCGGATCTTCAGTGAGCTTGATCTTTTTCCGCTCTTTCTCTTCCTCCTGAATGAATTTGTAGGCATCATCCGAGAGACTTAAACCGCCGGTTGATGTAGTATGCTCTTCCACTGGACCCTCCCTGACAACTGCGTCAATGGCCGAAGGGTCTGAGCTTAGGTTATCCCGACTTCCAGTCCTGCTGCTGGACTGGTTCGTTGTATAGCTCATCCAGGCCCCTGGAACGCGTGGACGTGCAGTTTCTTCGGATGCTTGTTGCACTTCCGGTTGAGTTTGAGTAGGCTCAGGTCTGCTTGGTGGTCGACTCGGTGGCCTACTGTCTGGCCGCTCCCATGAATCGATGCTGCTGACTGATCCCCGTTTCTCGTACTGCACGGCAAGATCTCTCACGCGACTCTTCGTTGGACTTCCAGCTCGACTGCTCGACTGGGAGTCCTTGACCGGACTGACCGATCTGCTACGAGGACCTGAACCGAGAGGTAGGATAGATGGAACTGGTGCAGGAAGTGGTTTGTCGAGATCAGTTGCGCGGTGTGGTTGTTTGGAAACATCTTGGGGTTCCACGGGCGACGTGGTATCCAATTCAGCCTCACTTGGCTTAAAAAGCTCTTTCTGTGGTGCTAACGCGGGAGAACGGGCAGGTGAATTGTTTGGACTTGGGGTATTCAAATCTCTTCTATAGCCCGGAACAAATTCAGCACTGGCGTGCCTTGAGTGACTCGGGGTATTGACCGGACTCGGTTTTCTGGGTAGAGTGAATTGGGCAGCTTTGGGAGTCTCTAGGCTTTCATGGCGTTGATGTAGAGGCAACACTTGTGGCTCTTCCCGTCCGTCCTCTGGAATTGTCGGGTGCTTGGAAGTAGGATGGTAAGTATCCAGGGATGCAGGGAGCTTGCTAGTGATCGGAGAAATCTCAGACGTGCTGACAGTATTGCTTCGAGACACGTCGGTATCAGTATCAACGGCGGATTGAGGTTCTGCGGCAGTGAACGCAGTGTCAACTGCTGATCGGAACCCTAGGGAAGGCGTGTGCTCGAGCGGCTTCGCTGCCTGATTAGAGATAGGCTGGTCAGATTGTGGGTTTGGAGGCAAGGCAGACTGCGCTGATCGAGAATCAACTGGTGACCCTTCTTTCCATCCACTGTTGGACCAAAATTCATCACTGAAATTCGACTGCGGTTGCTCCCATTGAGGGAGTGCATATGGGTCCGGATTTGATGAGGTAGTCCCGGATGTAGGGGGAATAGTGGCCGAGATCTGGATTCCGGTAGGCTGTTCACGTAGGGTATTGGCGTCATACTCTGGGAGATATTCGCTCTTACGCTCCTCGACCCTTTCCAACGCTGGAGTTCCACGGCGGTTCTGGCTTTCGCTTCTGTCCCTTGGCCTTGGCTCCACTTTCATAGTTTCGCTGACCGTTCCTAGACTGGGTCGCCTTCCGGGACTTCGACCAAGGCTCTCGAAACTCGTCCGTTCCTTTGGACCCTTTCCGCTGGGTGCAGGTGACGCAGCGTCTTCGCCAGATCTACCACCAACGGAATCAATACTTGGACGCTCTGAATCCATACTGGCCCGCTCCTTTGCTCGTTCTTCTTCCATCCGCTTGTAGATGTCGGATGGACGGATAAATGGAAGAGGTTTTGCAGGATTACTCGGCGATGTAGCCTGTTGACTTGAATGAGTAGGTGGCGCCTGTGACGAGCCTTGCTCGCTCTGTGGTGCAGGAAACGGCCCAGGAGCTTGTGGTGCCGGGGAGTCCTGTTGGCTTTTGCTCACGCTACTCCTCCTTGGAGGGAAACGCGCCTGACCAGGCGAGTCGACTGCGCTCGGGGGCATTGATGGTGATGGAGAGGGGCGTAGAGGTTGAACCATAGCTGAGGGAGAGAAGTCTCTTCGATGTTCAGGGTTCACCGATGAAGGTGCATCACTGACAACTGAATGAGCAAGCGACGCTGATCGAGACTCAGCTTTAGCGCTGTTCCGCGAATCCGCAGGCCCGTATGCGGCCGGACTAGAAGTTATCGTGTCCAGTTGTAGAGGTGGTTGACCAGGTCCTAGGTGTCGCGGAGGATTCGCACCCTGGGGAAGCTGTGGAAAGCCCTGTTGATTTGGAACTGGCGCGGGATAACTACCCGTGGAGAACTTCCGCTGTTCCTCACCGGCATCAAATGAACGCTTCCGGGCAGGTCCAGGAGGCCCTTGATGACCCTCGTAAGGACCCTCTGGGTTTGTGAAACTGCGCGTTTGGCCCTGGCCTGGATTGAGACCTTGGCCTTGCTGTCTCAAACCTGTTGGAACGGCTGGTATTGCATTTTGTGCAGCCTGACTTGCGCCATATTCATCGACCTCATCATAATCACCCCAGTCATCCCCATCATATGAGTATGACTTTGCTTCCACCCATCGTTTCGTCTTCGCACGATTAACGTTGGTTTTGAATGACGGAGGTTGCCCGGAAGGGAATGGATTTGGCCGCCGTTGATCACTTTCCTAAAGTTAGCAATTCAATTCATCAGAATATCTCACAGCAGGATGCAACTCACAGTGGGGACTTGGTGGTAGATTCCTCGGCGAACTCGTATGGACGTGACATTGTCAACTAAAGAGACGCGGAGGAGGATTCTGCACCACCTCTTCGCGAAGTGAAACGCTCCACTCGCGATGCTATAAAAGTCCGCTCGACAAATGTAACTAAACTTGTCAAAAGTGACCTCCAAGCATTTCAGTGTACGGAAGAGCGTAGAGAGCCCGCGTCGATCAAGGAGACACTGGCTTCTGCACGACAACCCACAAAACTCCACTGAACCCTGAACCCGATACGATGAGAAAAGGACGCAGGACAGCGCTAAGAAGGGACAGGTACAAAAAGAAGGGGATTCGGGTAATGAACGGAGGAGCGGTTGATACGGGAAGAGATCATGTAATGTGACTTGACACGACTTGGTGTCTTGGTCCTTGGGCATTGCGAATGCCGAATCCGTGCAGTTGGTTTCTTCGACGTGGAACTGGACCCACGTGACGGGACCCACGTGACCCAATGAAAGGGACACGCGTTCGCCACACACATGCAAGGATGATCCCAGCAGTACAGTTGTGGCTGTGTACACTTTTCACGTGACACCAGTTTGCGATCTTGAAACATCACAGGTGTCCCGGTTCATCGACAGTTCATTTCCAGTCCAACTTCACGAGCAGACAACCTTAATACCACGATTTAAATCCCAGAATCCTTCATCAGACATTACAGAGTAAAAAAATCTGTGAACCGGTTTATCCCACATCTTTCTATATCGAACGACAGCCACTCGCCATATCCTGCGCTATCCGCGCATACACTCTCCTGATATCCCTTTCTCCTCCCTACCTATCTACCATCTAAAGCCCCCCAAACACACCGATCATGGCCGTCTCAATACAAGATCGCACCACTGAATTCCAGTCGATCGTCCAGCAAGCCCAACGACGAACCGCATCTTCCAAAGTCTCCGCGCAACGCCAAAATCTCCTGTCCTCAACATCACCAAATGGCACCGCCCCATCTCCCCAGAAACAACGTTCCGAGTTCGCGAGACGAGCCGCGGAGATCGGTCGTGGTATCTCAGGTACTATGGCGAAACTTGAACGATTGGCGCAATTAGCCAAACGAAAGACCCTATTCGACGACCGACCCTTGGAGATCAACGAACTCACGTTTATAATCAAACAAGATCTCGCCGGCTTAACACAACGGATAGGCGAATTACAGGCCTTATCCGTGCAACAACATCCACGCGCTAGAAACGCGCGAGACCAGGAAGGCGAACATAACGACGCGGTAGTCCAGCTCCTGAAAGGGCGGGTGCAAGATGTCGGAAGCAATTTCAAGGAAGTCCTAGAACTGCGGACGAAGAACATCCAAGCGTCGCGATCACGGACCGAAAACTTCATTTCGTCCGTCGGCACCCACTCGAACCCTTCAAATCTCGACCCCAGCCGAACAGACTCCCCGCTATACCAGACCCCTGCACGGGGCCGCTCACCAGCCAAAACAGGTCGACTGGGCGGCGCGGACGTGCTTAGCATCGACCCGGACGACTCTCACAGCGCGTTGGCGAGAGGACACTCGGAGACGCAGTTGATGCTGATGGAGGAAGCGGCACCACAGAACGAATATATCCAGCAACGAGGGCAGGCCATCGACATGATTGAGCGGACGATTCAGGAGCTGGGCAGTGTGTTTGCGCAGCTCAGCCAGCTCGTATCCGAGCAAGGCGAGCAGATTGAGAGAATCGATGCCAACACAGAAGATGTTGTGGATAATGTTCAGGGCGCGCAACGAGAGCTGCTGAAGTACTGGAACCGTGTGAGCGGTAATCGGTGGTTAGTGGCGAAGATGTTTGGTATTCTGATGATCTGTAAGTTCCTCGGATCCGTTTCGATATTAACTTCCGCTGATCATCTCTAGTTTTCCTGCTATGGGTACTGGTATCCGGCTAGGGTTCCCCTCAAGGGGTCTGTTATTCTTAAGTCTTTCGTCGGCCCGCCATCTGGGCCACTTGACAGCATATTGCACCGGCGTTGGATTCTTTTTCGGGTGTTCTGTCCGGTCGGATCTGGGATCCAGCGTTTAAAGCCCAAATGGCTGGTATAGAGCGCGTTATCCGGATCTTTTTCGGAACCTAGCGTGCGTGTTTGAGTACAGTGTGAAGGGTTCTATGTCCTTTTAGATTTCCAATCTGAGCATGGCTTGTAGCCGATCCTATGTCGTTGAACGTTTTGCCCGACCTTCGTGTACAGAGTCGTCGGATCGAAACGGAGTTCCATCTATCAGGCATAAGGACTGTGGACACGAAGAGAAGTTTATGAACCATATTCGCTGGCTGACGGTGGATTCAGTGGGCTACAGTTGCAACGACGTATTGCCTATTATTAATGCAACCCTTGCTCGAGGTTTGATATTACGAAGTATCGTATTTTGCTTAGCGTTTACCCGCGAGTCCATATGTCAATCAACTGCCTCGATCATTTTCCTTTCCCGACAAGGGAATCGCGGGTCCGCCCAAAGGACAGAAACGGGTGCAAATGACCGCTCGAAACGGACCAACGAAGGTATACGGTATACAACCCGAGCGACGCACAGGCAAATCAAAAAAGGTCGAACGGTCTTTTGGCCCACGGACCTTCTCCCTCAAACGATACCCACTGCAGAAATCTACACGGGGGCTACGATGCCGATATCGACAGCTTCTTCTCCGCAAGCTAGAACACTATCCATACCCACCCCAAGTACCAATTCCCCGAGTATACACTCCAGACTGCTCGACAATATCTGAGACTTAGAAAGCCCTAGATTTGCCGTTCAGGGAACAGAGCCCCAATATCGAGCCATGAAGATGCTGTTTGACAGAAATTTCGGAGATGGACGCAGTTGGCAAATATGGATATAGACAGCTAGCGATGTTTTCGGCTGGCAGCAAATTCTCATATTTCTATTATCTCGCAGTTGGATACTCCTTTAACTACCAAATTTGTTTATCGGCCTGTATTTAGTCGGCCACGGTCTTCTCTTTTTTTCAACTATTAAAAGTGCACATCCCCATCAGTGGCGCAGTGGTGCATGTTCTTGAATGCGTGGATGCTGCAGTGTTAATCATAACATTGAAAAATCAATGTATCGAGCTCTTAGGTACCTTTCCAAATCTTCCTGGAATATCCGCACTTCCACCCTTTCATCCAGTGCTATGAACAACCATTGCCATAAGTCGGTCTACAGTTCGCATCGTAGTACCTGCCTCCTTAAAACCAGCGCTTATGACGACGTTGCTACGCACTCAGACGCGTGCTTGGAACTAATTGTATACTTAATGATGTATAACCTAATGATGGATGACTTCATAATATATGGTCTAAAGCAGAAGTGCCGGGTAGTCCCAGGTCGTAAGGTAGATTCCTTCCGGGGCAGGAGTTTGAACGATCGCAACCAAACAGTAAGACGAGGAATCATTGAACAATTCCCATCTATACAATGGTATAGCACCAAAGCGGCTGGTATAAAAACTGCCTACTGGCGTTGGAGGTTCGACTACTTGCACCGGCTGGTTGTCCGGAATCCTCCAGCTCCGCCAGGGTCGAGATAATCAATTTCTATTTTCAAAGGAACGTTAGACTTACCTGTGTATCTGAGACAGATCAGCAAATAGATAAACTGTATGGGATGACTGCTCAAGGAGGGGAGGTGAGAATGTTATTTCATGATTAGTCGTGCGGCCTGATTAGTGAACACTCCAACCTGCCAAATGGGACATATATGTATCAACTCCGGCGCATCCCCATCGACCATTCGCGCCCCAAAGACCAAGAATAGCAAAAACCAAGCAATAGCTATCAACCACTACGCTCTTGCACCCCCCAATTCAGATATGCCGTTCTGGAGAATCTACCATCCCGAAGGCACTTTCGCCACAGAGGATCACAAACGTGGCCTCTCTCAAGATATCACCAGCATCTACAGCAGCCGCGGCCTCCCTGCCTTCTATGTTGTCATCGTTTTCATCCCCATCCATGCGGGTAACTTCTGGGTTGGCGGACAGCTGCGCGACACTCCTCCAAAGTCCGACTCTTCATCAATTGCCGATGGATCCCCGACAAGCTCGAACAAGCCTTTCATCCGGATCTTCGCTAGCAACATTGCAAGACGGTTGCCGAACCCGGTGTACAGAGACAGATTCTTGAAAGCGGTGGATGAGAAACTGAAACCACACATTGCAGACTGGGGATATGACTGGGAATACCATTTGGACGAAACGGAGCGCGAGTTGTGGAAGATCAACGGAATGGTACCACCACCGACTGGGAGTGAAGATGAAAAACGCTGGTTTAGCGAGAATAAACCTCTGGAATTGGAAAGTGCATTCAATGACGAACCAGCGCATCTGGGCAAGTTGTAAATAGGACTTGGTATCGACTGGGACAACTCAGCTCCAGAATAGTTGAGAATATTACCCTATCATGACTCGCTTCAACTGGATAAAAGAGGCGCGCATCTTCGCAATACCTTTGCTAGCACCATCAACGATAACACGGTATACTTGAACTAGAGAGCGGAAAATGGATAGTTTTGTTATCGGCAGCTAGAGTTGTGCAACTGATATCTGATGAGGTCTCCCTGGGTTGGTGGGGCGGCACACCTCGAAGTGGGATGCTCCGTATCAAAAATTTCGATCTCAAAATTTCATCCAACCCTGAGATTTCAACATTTGATTTACATCCAATATCTGCCGCCCGAAACTCAAAATGGTTGCCAATGGACTGGCTCGGCCGGATGCGCTCGGGTTAAATGAAGTTCTATCCACGTCACACCACGCCTTCCTCCAACCATCCCGAGACATATACGACACCGCACTCAACGAGGCACGAGCGTACATCGACCCACTAGCATCGGCAATAAGCGCTGCTCAGCAGGAACGAGAGAAGCAATATTACGCCGAGAAGAAGAAGAGGAAACGAGGGGAATATGAGGATGCGGAAGCACCCCATGATGTGCTGCGTATGAAGCGCATCCATGTCGACGGCTTCGATGTCGAGCAGATATGGGGTCAAGCTCAACGAGTTTTGAAGGCTGCGGCGGATGAATGCGAAAAGGACATTGAAAAATTGGAGCAAGATGCTGAGCTGCATGGTGATATGGACGCAACTCTCGATGGCATGGGAAGCAGTGGCGAAGACGAGGAGATGTTCAGCGACAATGTTCTTGAGGATGGCGTTGAGAGCGGTTCGGATGAATTGTCCGATGACCTGCTCGAGGACGTCGAAGAAGAAGACGAGGCCGAAGAGGTGGACGATCTAGAGGACGAGGATGTCTCTGAAGATGATGAAGAGGACCGGGCAATGTATGGTATTGACGAAGACGAGGACGGTGAAGCTGGGGAGGCTGACGGTGCCGGTGGCAATGCCTACGAAGAAGACCCCAATGGATTGAATGATGGTTTCTTCTCCATCGAAGACTTTAACAGGAACTCGGCATTCCTTGAACGACAAGATGCTCGCGCAGACCCAGATGATGGTGCCGCTAGCGACGAAGAAGAGGTTGACTGGGCGGCCGACCCTCTCTCTCAGCCTCTTCCAAAGCAAATCAAAGGAGACGGGTCCGACGCAGAGGATGACGAGGATGCAGAGGGGGATGAGGGCTCCGAGGAAGGAGAAGATGATGATTCCGAAACTGGCCCTACTTTTGGCAACGTCGACCTCTACGCACCCGAGGGCGCGAGCGAGGATGAAGATGAAGTGGAGCAAGATGAAATGGAGGGTATGGATGATCTATCGAATACGAACAACATCATGTACAGCGACTTCTTCGCACCACCTCCGAAGAAGTCCAAGAACAAGCGTGGCCGACCGCACCCACACAACTTCCCGGCGAAAGATCCAAAGAATCAGGGTACTGCAAAAGCTAGCCTACAAGGCGAGGAGGACGATGTGAAACGCGCCATGTCTGCGGTGCATCGAGATCTCTTCTCCGATTCGGACGAAGCGTCCGATGCCTCTGATGCGGAAGCACTCGACCCTGCCGATCCGGTGTCAAGACGTAGCGTGCACGAGCGTCGCCAAGCTCAAATCCTTACAGAAATTCGCAAGCTTGAGGCTGAGAACGTGACAAAGCGGTCATGGCAGCTTTCCGGTGAGGCCAAGGCAGCTGCCCGACCCATGAACAGCTTGCTCGAGGAAGATCTGGACTTTGAGCGGGCGGGAAAACCAGTTCCTGTGATCACTGCTGAAACTACCGAGGAAATCGAGGCGCTAATCAAACGGCGTATCCTTGCTGCAGAGTTTGACGAAGTCATTCGCCGAAGGCCCGAGGACATGATGGGTCCATCGGTGCGAAGAGGGCGGTTGGAGAACGTCGACCAAACAAAGGATAAGAAGGGTCTTGGAGAGTTGTACGAAGAGGAACACTTACGCAACACGGACCCCAACTTCGTCGACGCCAAGGATGAATCCCTCAAGAAGCAGCATACGGAGATCCAGACCCTATGGAAAGATGTCAGCTCCAAACTTGACTCGCTCTCAAGTTGGCACTACCGCCCCAAGGCACCCGAACCCCAAATCGAAGTGCGTGTCGACGCGCCCACCATTTCCATGGAAGACGCCCGACCTTCCGGAGAAGTTGGAGCGAGTATGCTGGCACCGCAGGAGGTCTACAAGGCTGGCGAGGCGGCGAATAACGCCAAGGATTTCGAGGAGGTGGCGACACGCGGTGGTATGCCGATCGTGAAGAGTGAGATGAGCCGCGAGGAGAAGAAGCGGCGACGGATGCGGGAGAAGGAGCGGGCGAAGAAAGCGGGCGCAAATCCTGTCGTCAACGGCAAGGTGAAGGCGCGGAAGGAAAAGGAAGGGCAGATGTTGGGGTCGTTGAAGCAGGCGGGTGTCAAGGTCATTGGCAAGAAGGGCGAGTTGAGAGATGTCTCGGGGAAAGCGGTTGCGGAAGATGCGCCGAGGCCGAATCCATCGGGGTGGAAGCTTTGAAAATCGGCGCGTATACCCACACAGCTCTTTGTATATTCACTTGGTTGTTACCGTGCATATGGATTTTTCTTTCGGTCTCGTCCTCATTCGTGACTTCGTGTTCATACAAACAACCACGATCCATACAACGTGGGTAATTCTTTGGCTAGAATTTGGATCGCGATACGATACAGCAGACCCCAATCACCATCTTGATGTCATCTCCGAGCTCCCAATTCCTCTTGCAGCCAAGAGACTCGACTCTGATCCAGCGTCGTAAACGAGCTCGACTCCGTCGGCTACTCTCCAAGATGCCTTTCAGGGTTCGAATCGCTTTGATCGGCATAATCATCTTCGTCGGTGAGTGTTCAAGGATCTCTAGGACTCTATCGGCATAGCTAACGTCAAATTCTACAGTGACCTTCGTAACCGGAACGAAGTTCCCTCATATCATCCACAACTACGGTCCCGTACGTTTCCCCTATTTCCGCCTCCGATATCAACGTCTGTGTGATCGTTGACGAGAGCCCAGAAAGACCCAACGGATTCCGTCACACCATACTGCCCCTTCCCGACCCTCTGGATTAGCTTTTTCAGTGGGATGTCTGCTGGCGCAATGATCACCGTCCTGTTCGTTGCGGCAGCCACTGTGAAAGCGAATCCGTCACGAAGACAAGCGGGATTGGTGGGGCTTCTGTCTTTGTTAGGACCGAAGAGTTCCCACGCCTTTCCAGTTTGAAAAGACCGTGATCTAGTGGGTAGGGAAATCGAGGATTGGAATAGCGGCAAAAATTTACTTGTCAGGACGGTTAAAATCTCGGTCATAACGTGCCAGTCGAGGGACGGTGAAACACTGCCACCACTGAATGGAACGGTTTCTTCCATCCACCATCGTTGGGAGACCTGATCCTATCGTGGATGGGGCTGGAGGGCATTCTGGATTTACAAATGCTGCGATTGTGTTCCACTCCGCTCGAATTACTCGCAGTGTGGTTGGAATCGTGCCACAGCGATATCAAAAGATGTGGATGCATGGTTTACACATCTGTAGACTGGAGGAACAGACTGATAGTGCGTCTAAATTTAGATCGGTCGTCAAACGACAACCCTAATCCGAGCATCCTCCAGCATCACGTATGAACACAGTACCTGGGTTCTATTCGCAAGAAAATGCGAGCATTCTTCGCGTGTATAATGCCTTGCGCTTTGATATTCGGTATCCTGCGCTTCTCCACCCCGTGAAAATACAAGGACTCTACAACGCGATCCACTGCATCTCCTAAATTTGTCACCTAACAGCTCAAACTAGATAACGGACCAATTAGGATGCCAGCCTCCCCCGAATGGAAAGATACTACTGCGGTAGGGCTCTCGACCCTGCTATTGTACTGCAAGACAACACTGACTCTCATCAAGCACAAGAAGCCTACTGCTAGTGCTGAGACTTGCCAGTCGTCTCATCAAAGGTGGGTTGGGTTGAATGGAGCCGCTAGGCAACGATTTTTGGAGGAGGAAGATTTTTCCAAGACGAACGAGGATGGGGTCGTTCGAATTAGGCATGTAAGGCTTATAACGCCATCAGCTGCTGCTCCATCGACTGAGTGATAGAAGGGAACCAACACGGTGAACGATTTGGTGCAGGACGGCTCGGCACCGACCGGCGCCACAAGCATGCCTGGGCGCTTCAATACAACCAAGGAGTGCAAAAGTCTCGCCCTTGAGAGCACCGTTCTGCGAGACGAAGATATCCAAGCTGCCCACGTCAAGCCTAGCATTGTGGATACTCAGAATGACCGAGACTCAGACGAAGAAAGACTCCAAGCCGAAATTGATGCTGACCTAGGCGGCATCCAAAAGGCTGTTCAACGACTGAAAGAACGGGCACTCGAGATCTCAAGAGACGTCGGAGGTCCCGTGTATGATTTGGAAGGGCAGGGAAGGAAGACTGATCGAACAGATGACAAGGTGCTTAGGAACCAGGCTAAGTTGGATAGACTCCGGTGAAATGATAAACGACAGAAGACTTGACACTTCTTTTACGGTATTGGTAGCCTTAAGCCATGTTTACCGTAGATTATGTATTCCTGTACCTATCGTACACACGGTACCTCTACCATGGGTAAGGTACGAAGGGTCCTCGAAGTTCTAGGCAGTATGAGGAACTTAATCCCCAAGAAAAATAGGAAATGGTCATAGTATAGCCTCTCCACGAGTCGAATATTGTTGAAAATAGTGAAAGGCAGCGTTTCGGAAAGTCCCACATCGGCATCTCGGGAACATTTTCTGAATCTCAACCCGGAACCGATTTCATCAAAGACTCGTTTCCCCACTTTAATTGATATACGACCGGACTTGAATTTGAGCATCCATCTTGGCCTTTAAACTTCCCTCTCCACCGATCTTCCCGGCGATCAGAAAGCTGCGCAGTCCGCTACTGATCCTACCATGATATTATGAGAAGACCGCTGGGTTTCCCAGCCCTACCATGAGTCCCTCAATCCCCCTCCCCTCTGCACCCCGCGACATACAACCCTCTCCTCTCCCTCGCGATGACGATGATACCAAGCCATCCACCGACGCCGACCGACGCGCCCCCCGAACCTCCGCCGCAACCGGCACCTCCGCCGCCGGCATCCGCGCCCTCTCCCAGCAATTCGTCGCCTTCTACTTCCGCGCCCCCGTGAAAGCCTTCTTCCGTACCCGCGTCGACTACCTCGCCTACGCCCGCGCTATCAACCCGCGCTTCCACGCCCCCAATGCAAAATGGAGCATCCGTACCACCACCGCGGGGCTGCTCGCCCACGCCGTCCAGGAGGAGGGCTGGGGCGTGCTGCATCGCCAGGTGCTGCCACCGCTGCTCGCGAACGTGAGCGTTGGCGCGGTGCTGTATACCTCGTATCTGCAGACGCTGGGGCTGTTACATGAGCCATCGTCGCGGACGACAAAGCGGGTGTATCCGCCGCCGACGGCGACGGACGTGTTCACAGCGGGGGCGATCGGCGGGGGGATCTCGTGTCTGTTTGCGGCGCCGTTGGACGCGATCCAGGCGCGATTTAAGACGAGCGAGATCCTGGAAGGGCGGCATCGGTCGATGTGGGCGTATTCGCGGCAGAAGCTGGTGGCGATCGGGTTCTTTGGGGTTTTTGCTGGGTTTGGGTTGTCGTTGGCACGCGATGCGTTGGGATATGGCGCGTTCTTCACGGCGTTTGAAGTCACAAAGAATCAGGCGTACTACGCATTTCTGGAGAGATTTTATGGGGGAGAGTCCGCGATAGGCGATACCCATGGCGATGAGCCGGAAAAGGTTATACGACCGCATTATATTCTCGATCCAGCGTTCCTGTTGCTTGCAGGCGCGGCGGCAACCGCCCTGCAGCAGACAGTCGTGCATCCGATTGCTCAGATCCAGCTCGTTCATTACAATCGGCTCGAATCCATCGACTTCGGAGCGGCAGTAGACTCGAAGCATCCTGCTTCCACGATAAAGATGATGCGGCTGTATTATCACGCATACGCCAAGACCTTCGAACAATGTTCTCGACAAGCTCAACGAGTCGGAGGATGGAGGCGGTGGCTGTATCTGAATTTCTGGGGCACCACCATCCGCCAGGTCCCCAGCTCCAGCGCCGGATTGATCATGTTCGAAATCTTCCGGCGGCGATTCGCTGACCGTGATGGGGAGGTGGAACATGTGATTTTGAGGACAGGCAACGGATCGATTCATGTTACCTGACTGCCAGATATGGAGACAGGATAGATATAAGATACCCCATTTCCCTTTGATAGATGATGTACATACCAACGCCGAGAAATGCCACCACACGCTGATACAGTGGACAAAATTATGATACAGATTCCGCCTCCACGGCTACATCAGAGACTTCCGCCGCCGCGTCAGATGTGGCTGCTTTCTGGGCAAGTAGATGAGCTGGGATCGACGGGACGTCTGGCCAAGCTTTGCGAAGGGCATCTTTGATCTTGATCATCCCTTTCCTTGGCCCTGGTACAGCTCCTAAAGACGGGTTAGCTCTCGTCGTTGATCATAAGTTCGAGGGCAACTTACCTTTGACCAAAATGAGATCGTTCTCCGCGTCAACCTGTACTACCTTCAAGCTACAAACCGTGACTGAATGGCCACCCATTCTACCAGGCATCTTCTTCCCAGGAATGACTCTTGAACCACCACCTTGACCCGCACCGGACGAACCCATGGCTCTGTGTGCCAACGAATTACCATGCGAAGCCGGTTGACCTTTCCAGCCGTGTCTTTTCATACCCTATTATACATCAATTAGCACGACTGTAATCAGTCGAAGTCCCGAATGTTCAACTTACACCTGCGAATCCCTTCCCCTTTGAAGTCGCCTTCACGTCCACGAATTGACCTACAATCAGCCAATCCGCCCTGATGCATGTCCCGATTGGCACCAGCCCGTCCTTGCCCTTCACCCGGAACTCCGTAATGTCGGCCTTCGGAGGGACTTCATTCTTATGAAAGTGACCCAGCTCCGCCCGCGTCGTCTTCATCGGGTTTTTCGACCCACTCCCAACCTGCACGGCGTAGTACCCATTCGCCTTCTTCGTCTTGTGACCCACCACCTGCAACCGATCCATCTGCAGCACCGTGCAAGGGATGCGCTCGCCCGTCTCCTTGTCGAAGATCCCCATCATGCCCTTCTTGATCGCGGTGATGCCCGTCCGATGGGGGAACGTGAACTGTTTGCGGGATAGGGCGCCGGCCCGTGAAGATTCCAGCGGAGGGTAGCGGGGATCGTGGTTGAAACGGGAGAAGACGGGGGGATTCATGATGCTGCGCATGGTTCGGCGGGATTGGTGTTGTACGGGAGGTGGAGGGCGGAAGGAGGTGGTGCGGGTGGAGATCGGGCGGCGCGAAGGATTTGATATTCGGATGCATCGCCATGACGGCGGCCGGAGGTGTGAGGGCGGCATTGCGCCGGATATAAATGAGCAATGGGTAATGCTGAGAAGATATCGCGGTGATCAAGAATCCTTCGAATAATTTCATGGCAGTTCACGAAGCTGGAGGGTTTCTCGGTAGAACTTCGGACGTTGATCTTCCCCCTGTCCTGTCCAACTCGATTCCCTGATCTCCTCCATGTCTCGCGTGCTCATCTCAACTTTTCAACCTCCACCTCCATCATTGCCGTCCCAATTGCCGTAGATATAAGGAAGATTTAAGATTGTTGTAATTATGTTACAAATGTGAAGTCTTGATATTCACCTTCATATTTCTTTTGTTTTCATGTCTTCATTGATTCCCTCTCGGATTCTCTCTCAAATTCCAGCTCAAGTCTCAGTCATGTCTTCAAAACCAGCATTAGCAATCCTAGATGACTATCTGTCAATCTCACAGAAGCATTTTGCACATATCCCTTCCGAATATATTCGGGTTGATGTCTTCGATGATGCCATTTCAGCCCAGAGTGTTCCTGGAGATCGGTCATCTCCTGTCAACCCCGAGCTTATCAAACGACTACAACCCTACACGGCAATCTTAGCAATGAGAGAGCGCACTGCTCTACCAGGAGATCTACTTCGGGCCCTTCCGAATCTCAAAGTCATCTTCACAACTGGGGCCCAGTTCCGCAGCTTTGATCTTGTGACCGCCAAAGAGCTCGGGATTCGGATGGCAACCGCCACCGGAAAAGGTCGAACAGACGGCAAAGGGATTCAAGTTCATCGAAAAATTGATCCCAAGAAAGGTGGTGTCCACCCTACTACACAACATACATGGGCACTGATCCTAGCGCTCGCCAATCGCGTCGTTCAAGATGACAATGCGGTCAAGGCTGGGAACTGGCAAGGTGGGCTGATGACTGCTCTAGCCGGAAAGACGATAGGGATCGTTGGACTTGGAAAGCTGGGAGGAGCCGTTGCACGGATCGCGGTCGTCGCTTGGGGGATGAAAGTTATCTGCTGGAGCTCTTCCCTGACCCAGGAGAAGGCCGACGAAACTGCACGATCGTTCGGGTTAGATCCAGATCAGGATGGCGCGAAGACATTCCGCGTCGTTGAAAAACCCGAGCTTTTCCGCACCGCGGATGTCGTCAGCATCCATTACGTTCTGAGCGACCGCTCACGTGGGATTGTCGGCAAAGAGGAGCTGGACTTCATGAAGCCAACCGCCTTCCTTGTGAATACCTCAAGGGGTCCTTTGGTGAATGAAGGAGCGCTGCTGGATGTCCTCGAACGCGGAAAGATTCAGGGTGCAGCCTTCGACGTGTTCCCCGTTGAGCCGCTTCCTGCCGATAGTCCCTGGCGATCGCAGAAATGGGGAACCGAAGGACGAAGCACGCTTTTGACGACACCGCATATGGGCTATGTTGAAGAGCAGACGCTGAACGCTTGGTATGCCGAAACTGCAGAGAATGTCGAAAGATGGCTTGATGGCCAAGAGCTGTTGAATCCGGTGCTGTAGCTAAGGAGACAACCCGAGTTCCTAAACTGTCCCTGCGCAATGCAAGTGGTGGTCGGAAGAGGGAATTTCCGTCCATCTATCGTCATTCAGTCACAGTTCCCTAGTCATGAGATGCTCAAAACTAACTATACGCAATATTCCTCACCGTGAATTGCCATATGGATGTATTCTTTTGCCACTCAAGTTTTCTTCAAAGCTAGCACAACTTCCGGTCTATCAAGTTCTTTCGCCGCGCAAGATACGACGCCAGTCAAAGCAGGACTCCGATGCGACATTTTGAGCTCGTGTATAGGGCCGTTCGGCATACCCCTCCCCTTCACCGTTCTCACACCCAATTTCCGCTCCCCGCAGTCCCCCCAGCCCACATCCAACCCCCCGGCCTTAATCAATGGTAAAACCAATCCCCCCCTACGAACTCGCCGCCTCCTGGCCCTTCCCCTCCCCCAACCCCTCCACCCGCGGCCCCGTCCTCCTCCTCCTCCCCCTCGTCTTCACCACCCTCACCCTCCTCACCCTCTCCCTCCGCCTCTACGTCCGCCTCCGCCTCATCAAGTGCCTCTATCGCGAGGACCACCTCATCGTGCTCGCGGGTCTCGGCGCGGTCGGCCTCGGCGCCGTGGTCGCGCACGCGCACACCGTCGGGTGGGATCGGCATCAGTGGGACCAGCGCCTGGAGTGGTTCGAGGCGAGCGAGTTGGATATGTGGTTGGTGCAGCTTTTCTTTATCGTGATCATGGCCTTCGTGAAGTTGAGTACACTGGCGCTGTATGGGCGGATGACGGTGGGAATATCCATTCCGTATTACAAGATCGTGAACCGGGGGATGATTCTGGTGATGATTGGGTGGGGCGTGGGATTCTTTACGGCGACGGTGTTTGGTTGCTGGCCGATTGAGATGTATTGGAAGAGTAGGAGTGGGGATGAGTGTACGAATGAGTATGTTCGGTTGGCGGTGGGCACGATCGTCAATATCGTGACGGATTTTGTGGTCGTGTTGATGCCGTTGCCTATCATATGGAAACTACAAAGGCCTATGCGTGAAAAGATCATATTATGGATTTTGATGGCGGTAGGTCTTATGTAAGTCACCCATATTTTCCCCTGACCTTCGCATGGAACGAGTGTGTTCAACAGTGTCTCCAGAGCATCCGCGGTATCCATCGCACGAACAATAGTCATGTTCGAAGCGATGTCCAACTACGATACCACCTGTTTGTCCCCCCTCCGCTCTCACCGACCTCATTACTAACCACACCAGGGCTTGGCGGCCTAGCCTTCGCATACACCGTCGTCGAATGCAACCTCGCCATCATGTGCACCAGCATCCCGACCCTGCGTCCCCTAGCGAAGAAGTACATGCCCAAACTCTGGGGCACCGCTGCCTCCACGGCGAATTTAACTCCGTCGTACGATGCCGGCTATCCGAACTCTCCGAACTATCCCCCTTATGGGGCGCCGATCACTGCGTTGGGGCCGATTCCGCAGTCGAGGCCGTCGACGGTGGTGCCGGGGTCGGTAGGGAGCTTTGAGTTTGGGGCGGGCGAGCGGCGGACGGTCGAGGATATGGCGTAGATGGCGGGCGCAGTTAGGGGTCGTTGATAATACTCTAGTCTTGAAGAAGCCGTAGTGGGGCGAGGTGCCCAAGATGCCCAAGATATGTCTGTAATTATCAATAATTTGCATATCTCGTAGTTCATAGCTATGACCTTCTTGAGTCGCAACTAAGTATTCGGCCTTCTTGAAAATTCAGGTACCATTGAAGGTGATATCATTCTATCTAGTAGCGAGCAGTCATAATCTAGGTGAGCCACCGCCGGCACAGGCAAAAGCCAAACCCAATATCCTGATCCCCTATCCTCACCCCAACCCAACCCATGCCAACACCCCTACATCCACCACCACCGCCCCTCCCCCCACCACAACCATCGCACCCCCCTCCACCCAATCCAACCACCCCAACCCCATCCTCACCCCCCTCCCCGTCTCCAACGCCCCCAACCCCCCTTCCTCCATCCTACCCCACATTGCCCCCACCGCATACCCCATCCCAATCCCCACAAACACTAAACTCGACACTGCCCCCACCACTCCGCCCAGATACACCGCCCCCTGCAACCGGTGCCGTCCGACACTGATCAAAAGCGCTACGACGCCGGCGAGGAGCGCGGCGGCGAGGACGCAGGCCCAGGCGACGCGGCGGCGGAGGAGGGCGTGGGCGGCGGCGGTGGCGCGGAGGGGGGAGAGGTAGGGAAGAGGGTGTGTGGATGGATGGAGACGGTGATGTTGGGAGCGGGCACGGGGGGGGCGTGGGTTGGGAGGGGGGGGCGAATGTGCTATAGGCGCGGGGAGGGTGAGTGGTTGTTGGGGAGTTGTCGGAGTCGGCGGCGGAGGAGGAGGAGGAGGAGGAGGAGGAGGAGGTGCTGGGTCGGTGGAGGGTGGACCTGTGGGTGGGAAAGTCATCGGATTCGATGAGGGGAGAGGAATCGTCGATGGGCGGATCGGCAGCGGAGAAAAGGGAGGCGATGCGGGTGGGGAGGGAGGAGAAGAAATCGAGAAAGGGGGTGCCGTGATCGTTGGGGTCGATGTAGATGACGTAGGCGTTCTCGTTCGATTCGTCTTCGGGGTTGTCGTACTCAGACCAGTACCGCGCCGCGTTGGCCGATAGTAACTTCGGATGGCCACCGAGGCGGTTGGCCTCGGCAACTTGTATGCGAGCGCGTCGCGCGCGGGAAATGCGCTCCCAGTGTTGGCCTCGGGATTTGTGCTGGGAACGATACGGTTCGGCACCGCTAGGAGGCACAGCAATATCTGCAATCACAACAGAAGATCGGGCATCCGCACCGCCGGATTCGCTCGCTATCGTAATCGATGTCGCTGACGTTTCGCCTCCCCGGCTTGCTCGTTCGGCGCCGCTGCTGATGTTCCCCGCGCTCTGGGCGTTGCTCGCCTGGCCGGAGGACGTGGGGGTAATTCGCGGATTCGTGCTGCGTCGCCGCCGGGGGGTCGCGTCTTTCGGGATCTTCCGGATGTCCTTGGACAGCAGGTCAAGCCACGAGGGAGGGGACATCAGGTCCGCTGGTAGGTGGCATTCCCAGATGGCATGGGTGGCGAGGTTGAAATTGAAGACGCGCTGGAGCAGATGGGAGGAGTCCAGCGTTTTGAACAAGTTATGAGGACCGACGGACAAAACCGTGAGTAGGGCAAAGGGAAAGTGGATGGGAGCACGTTGCTCTCCGAGGACGGAATTCGAATCGCCTGGTGTTGTCTCCAGTCCGGGGTAGATTTCCAATCCACGATCCAGTGCCACCCATATCCCTTGCTCCGCATTGTTCGTCAGGCCGACAAACCTTGTCCGCTGCGACATGACCGTGGCCTGCGGTTTCAGGTTCGGATGCTCCATCAACCATGACCGAACGTTCCTTTCATCACGCTCCTTTTGCTGTAACGACGATTCATCCGCTCCTACACTCGATTTCGAGGACGGTGCGCCATTCGGATTCGATCGTTTGCCTAAGGCGATCCCCGAGCCGCGTTGGCTGTAGATATATTCATTGTGAAGATCGAGGAACCCAGAAAGTCGCTTGCGTTTGACAGGGGCAACGTCAAACCCAGTGGCACCCTCTCTAGGAACGATCACTCGCCCCTCGCCAGTTGACGTCCATCGAGCGAGGGCGGCCGGCGCTACGGGTTCGGCACCGCCGCTCTGTTTCTCCCCGTACAACTCCAGATCGTCGACGATCACACAGCCAACTTCTGCTCCCTCTATTATGGATTGGCCATTGCCACTATCAGCACTCAGTCGTCGACTGATGTTCCTTGAGGATGTTGCAGTCCTTAGCCGGGGCTTGTCTTGCTCGCTGGGAGAGAAAAGCTTCAAGTGCTGGAGGAGGAGAACATGCAATTCGATGATATGGTCGGTGTGAATCCAGTACGAGGCATGCTTGGACTTCTGATCAAAGCTGAGGGTAGCAATGCCCGTGTCGAAATCAAGGGAAGAGCATTTCCGTCCGGCAGCTCCCATCCCCGGAAGGTCCGTCGGATCGGGTGATTTCCGCGTGGTAGAAGCAGCGTTAATCACGGACGCCTTCCCGCCGATGAGCGTACGCAGCTGCCTATCGTCAGCTCGCGTTGTTACGAGACTCCGGACTTCCGCCAGCAACAGTGTCCATTCATCCAACAGCGGATCCAAGTTCTCTCGCTGCAAGCCCCCCGGTCTTCCCAAGACTTTCTCGCGAAATCGATCCGGGAGCTCCGTGTCGTTCGTCCATCGTCGATACTTCTTCAGCAACTTCTGGAACGCCGTGTACTGTGTGACCATAAAGCGGGAAAGTGATTTCAATATTTGACCGGCCCTTAAGAAAATGTTAGAATGCGGAAAACAAGGGAACGCATTTACGAGATTCCACGTAGTTTCACGGCGGTTTCGAATAAGAGTAGAGTAGACGTACCTCAAAATTTCATTCTCCAATTGCGCGAACTTCTCCAACCGCCTCGGCGGAATGCGTTTCCTCGGAGCGGCTTCATACCGCTCCTGGATGGCAAGGTAACGTTTCCTCAGGTCCGCTAATCCACGAGCGTTAGAACCGAGTTCTGTATGAGGTCTAATAATGTCGAAGCGCAACGCGAACTATGCATCTCCGGGACAATGACGTACCTAGCCTCCTCTCGACCTCTCCTTTCTTGCTCTTCACGAACAAGCAAGTCCTCGCGTGCTCCTTCTCGAGCACGCGGTATAGATCCTTCGCAAACTCGTCGTCCCGGACATCTTCATGTCCGGGGATCGCAACGGATTTGCCGGGGACGGCGTCGTTGGTCGTGTGTTGTTTGATAAGGTATTTAATCTCGTCATAGGCAATATTAACTGTGTCACCTCGTTGTTAGCTCCATGGGAATCAATTAGACCGATTAGAACTCTCTTGAACTCAAGGATTCGACATCATCACTTACAATGTGCCCACTCAGGGATGGATCGAGCCCTCAGCGTCTCTCCGAACTTCATCCTCCGCACTTCGCCTGCTGTTTCTACTCTCTCAGCGACGGGAGTATGCTCGGAAGTCGTCGGCTTCGATTCAGCGGATGTGTGTAAGAATATCCCAATATGAGGAGGCCCCGGTCGAGTTCAACATAAGCGGATTGGGGTTCGACGATCAGAAATAGGATTCAGGTTGCTCTTTGTTATCGCGATGCGGCCAGCAAATTCGGGGACGGTGGCGGTAGGATGAGGCGTGTTATGCCCGGATGATATAGGTGAGCCCCGAGCGCTTAGGTCCACGCTTGGCTCTACAACCAGAGGCCAACTTGGATTCGGACCCGTAGTGAAGATCACAGCTGTAGCGTGTTGCAAGAGGTCCTGCTCGAGGCAAAGCTACCCAAGACGGGGTAGGACGTGATGATTGCGTAGGGTGGTGACTGGACGGTTGTGACGACGCTATACAAGTCGGAATGGTCTGCACCACTCTACGGCTAAGGATATCTGGAGGTGGGGTTCGTAGGAGGAGTGGAGGGGAACAGAAGCGGGCATCTAGAACGAGTCGAGGGTCCTAGGTAGTGAATGTGGGACAGTAAGAGATATCGTGGCGAATTGTGGTGTGTAAGCTATCAGGACTGGCGTTGTTCGCAATAATACTTGAGTACTTGAGTCTGATGCATTCATGTCTTGATAAAAGAGCTATTTGAGCTAGGTTTATCGTGGTTGCTGGTTTCGGTGAAGGATCTAGCTAGGTATACCAGGGATGACCGTTGCAGCTTCTTCAATTGATGTTCGGGGATCCATCACCCATGATCATCACCTTAACCGCTTCATCGTTCATTGTGTTTTTTGAAGATTGGAATTTCAACGATCGGCGGCGGGTGCCATTGCCATTGACCAATGATTTGACGCTATCCCCTGGTGGCGGACCATATAGTGGGCACGTGATTAAACTACCGGGGTGGCCCAGTGCCAAGCCCGCCAGTTCTGCCTCTGTGCAACTCGGCATGTGACACTCAGTTGTCACACTAAACACTTCATCCTGTCGAGTCTGTTGACTGCAGCTGAAGTTTTAGCAGTGAGCACGTTTAAAGATAAGGATGGGATATATTGCATTGTGGCTCATGGGAGAAGCTTGAGGAACCATGACACAAGCCTGTCAATTTGTCCCCCGCCCTCCGGTCCCACGAACAATTACAACAATTATTCAACAATCCATAGGTGACAGCTGCGGGCGGACACCCCAACGAATTGTTCATGCAGCCCTACCTAGTGCGATGCAAGCATATTTTGAATTTTCTTTAATTGCCTGACCGGGACTACCGAATTCCCCCATCCGGTCTAGACCGCGCTCGACAAACCCAAGTTGGAAGCGTGCGAGCGAGCGTTGGGTTGCTTAATTAGTACACGTCTCACGACAGCAAGCTCGCTAGCACGAACATCCGCCGAGAAGTCCCCGCACCCATTCTTTCTTTACGATCCGTATCACAACTCAATAGACTGCTGTTTTGTTGAGACTTGAGAGTAGTCAGTTTCTACGACAACACGCCACATGGTGACTGGTCAGATCGAAGCGAGTCTATGGCTACAGGTCTTCTTATTCTCCATATATTCGTCGACACTGATCTGTCACCAGTTGTACCGGACATACTGTGTAGGGAGGTTGCAACTTGCAAGATATATAGTCGAACAAGTAATGATATACCGTAAACAATTCGTTCTAATTCCACGTAGAGTGGACTGAAATATGCCCCGATAATGCAGAATCAATGTTCGGATCTGATCTGATATCCTGAATTCCTGATGGACTGTAGTTGACGCATGAGCTGGATTGGGATAGGGAGTGGGCAGGGCAGGGGCAGGGGGCTGGGGAGGTGATCAGGCGACAAGGCGACAAGGCGTCTAATCTCGCACGGAGCGGTTAGACTCCCGTGATTCGCGCGCCAGAAAACGCGAAGCTTCACGTCTTCCATCATCACCGATTCACCGAACTTGAGCGATCCTCATCTCACTTCCGTCACCTTATCCTACACCCATCGTTGAGTTCATCCCTGGGACACGGCCAGGGACACGCAAACCAAGATGGCGGATGAGATTCAGATCGACAAGAATGTCTTCCATAACCGCCTTTCATCCTTCCTATCACACTGGAAGGCCGACAAACGCGGTGGCGATAGCTCCTTTGGTGGTGTTGGCTCCGTGGTCATCTGCGTCGGGAAGGCGAGTGACGGAGCTTACACGAAAGGTGCAGCTTTTCAGGTAGGTCGCGATGGAAATCCGGAATGATGAGCTTGATGCGATTTGCGCATCTGACAAGGCCGCGTGCTGACACTTTTCAGCTCTGGCTATTAGGCTACGAATTCCCGGCGACGCTCTTCGTGCTCACACAGGATGCGCTTCACATTGTGACCACGAAGAAGAAAGGTCCGAACATCCTACGGCACCGATGATACAGTACTGACTGCCTTCAAGCTTCCTACCTCGAACCCCTCAAAGAGGAAGGCAAAACGCCCATCGAAATCCACATCCGCGGAAAAGACGCAGAAGAGAATGCGAAGCAGTTCGAAGCATGCCTGAACGTCGTCAAGAAGGCCGGGGTAAGATGACCAATGTCGGTGATAACAGCATGGACTAAATTCTCGAATAGAAGAAGGTCGGGCTCTTCACGAAAGAGACTGCGAATGGCCCGTTCGCCGAAGCATGGAAGGGAGCCTTCGAAAAAGCGACGTCAGATTTGGAGCAGGTTGATATGTCCGCTGCTATTTCTACGGCGGCACTCTCAATCAAGGATGAGAAGGAGCTGGTAGGCGCTGTCGTGGCTCATGAACGTGCATTTGCTGACTGAACCAAGAGGAATGTCCGTGACGCCTCGCGTGCATCGACTCATATGATCAAGTTCCTATCCGACGAGATAGTCGAAATCATCGACGAAGAGAAGAAAATCACCCACAAGAATCTGGCGGACAAAATCCGGGACAAGTTGGACGATAATGCGTTCTTCAAGAAGATCAAGGTCTCAAACAACTTCGATCCGATACACCTCGATTGGGCCCTGACTCCCGTCGTGCAAAGCGGTGGTCAATACGATCTCAAGTTCGCGAGCGAGAGTGACGAGAGCAACCTCAGATCGGGCGTGATCCTCGCTTCGTTAGGCTTGCGCTACCAGACGTACGCTTGTTCAGTTTCAAGGACGTACATGATCGACCCAAACAAGAGCCAAGAATCTGCTTACAAGCTATTGTTGCAAGTCCACGACACAGTCGTCAAGTCGATCCGAGATGGCGTCGTGGCAAAGGACGTGTACAACAAGGCGATCGGCGTGATCAAAGCTAAGAAGCCCGAGCTCGAGAAGAACTTTGTTAAAAGCATTGGCAGCGCCATTGGTATCGAGTTACGGGACACAACGCTCGTTTTGAATGGAAAGAACAATCGCACCTTGAGGGATGGTATGACACTGGCGATCACCGTGGGGTTTGCAGATTTGACGAATCCCGATCCGAAGACCAAGAGAGACGGGACATACTCACTGGTCATTACCGACACTGTGCGTGTCGCTGCAACCGAAGCTGCGGTTTTCAGCAAGGACGCGGCTCTTGACCTCGACAGCGTCGCATTCTACTTTAATGACGAGGAGGAGCCAACACCCAAGAAGAAAACACAGAAAGATTCCCGTGTCGGAGCTGTCGCAAAGAGCAACATTACCTCCACTCGCCTGCGAAACGAACGCCAAACCAACCAGAACGAAGAGAAAGAGGCGCAGCGACGCGAACATCAGAAGGAGCTGCACGAGAAGAAACAGCGAGAAGGTCTGCAGCTTTACGCTGAGGTAACCGGAAGCTTGAACGGGACGGTGGAGAAGAAGTTCAAACGGTTCGAGTCCTACAAGCGCGATAATCAGTTCCCGACTCGCGTGCGAGACCTGCAGATCGTGGTGGACCACAAGGCTTCTACCATTGTTCTCCCCATCATGGGCCGACCGGTTCCATTTCACATCAACACTGTCAAAAATGCTTCGACTGCTCAAGAAGGGGATGCATCGACGCTTCGGATCAACCTGGTCTCGCCTGGTCAGGGCGTTGGTCGTAAAGATGACCAACCCTTCGAAGATCCCTCCGCACATTTCGTCCGCAGCTTCACTTTCCGATCCACGGACCGCGACAGGATGGAACAGCTCGCGAGCGAGATCACGGACCTCAAGAAAGCGAGCAACCGGCGGGCGCAGGAAAAGAAGCAGATGGAAGACGTCGTGGAGCAGGACAAATTGGTCACGGCGAAAGATCGACGCCCACCCAAACTCGATCATCTTTTTATTCGGCCCACACTGGACGGTAAACGTGTTGCCGGCCACGTCGAGATCCACCAGAACGGTATCCGATATGTCCATGGTCTCAACCAGACCCATGTCGATATCCTGTTCTCCAACATCCGCCATCTATTCTTCCAACCGTGCGCGCACGAACTCATCGTCATCATCCATCTTCACCTCGTCAATCCCATCATGATCGGCAAGAAAAAGGCCAAAGACCTCCAATTCTACCGCGAGGCGACCGAAATGCAGTTCGACGAGACCGGTAATCGACGACGAAAGCACCGCTATGGCGACGAGGAGGAGTTCGAGCAGGAGCAGGAGGAACGACGACGACGTGCGGAGCTGGACAAGGAGTTCAAGGCTTTCACGAAGAAGATCGAAGATGCGGCTTCCAAAATGGTGGATATGAGCGCCGATGTCCCGATCCGCGATCTTGGATTCAACGGTGTGCATAGTCGTAGCTCCGTGCTAATGCAGCCGACCACGGACTGCCTGGTGCAGTTGACCGAACCGCCATTCTTCGTTGTGACGCTCTCGGACATCGAGCTCGTCCATCTCGAACGTGTTCAGGTATGTTTTCATTTCCCATAGCATAGACCATTCTTATCGCTAACCGCAAATAGTTCGGTCTGAAAAATTTCGACATGGTTGTCGTCTTCCACGACTACAACCGTCCCGTCGCCCACATCAATACCATCCCCGTCGAGTCCCTCGACATCGTCAAAGACTGGCTCGACTCCTGCGAGATCCCCTTCACTGAGGGCCCGCTCAACCTCAACTGGAGCACGATCATGAAGACGGTGGTCTCGAACCCGCATCAATTCTTCGTCGATGGTGGCTGGTCATTCCTCGCGGCTGAATCCGACGACGAGGACGGGGACGACGAGGACGAGGAGAGCGATTTCGAGATGGACGCGGACGAGTTCAACGAGGCAGAGAGCAGCGAGGAGGACTCGGAGGAGGTGGACGAGTATGCGAGCGACGATGAGGGGAGCGCGGAGGATGATGAGGATGATGATGGGGAGGATTGGGATGAGATGGAAAGGAAGGCGAAGCAGAAGGATCGGGAGGCAGGGTCGGAGGACGAGGACAAGTCACGGAAGCGGAAGCGTTAAGCGGGTAGTATCCTCCCTGCTGTACCGATCTTTCTTTCGGCTCAAAGGCGGTGTGGCCTGGTCTCTGGTATGGGGTAGACTGGATCGGCCGGTGTGCCGTCAGTCATGGCTCCATGGGTACAAGGTCTTCTTTTAGGGGGGAATGATTCGCTTGTATACTATAGGGCAAGGTGCTCGGATTCAAAAGCATCGAAGGATCCGTTCACAATGATCGGTAAGGAAACCAAAATCGATTAGTTCAATGGCTTGCCGGAATCACAGCAGCACTTGCTTTTTGTTCAATTAAAGGTTGCTTGCACTAACACCCTCTTAAGGTGGCAAAGAGCTATCCAACTAGCAACCATCCCATCTGAACGTAAATATCACACAACTTGTCCAGATCAACCCCCCATCTCCTCATCCGCAGCCCTTCGAGCAGACCTGGTTCTAACGCCACCACTGCTCTTCTCTCCACCATCTATCTTAAACTCTACCTCACTATCTCCCTCCCCACTCTCCTCATCCTCTATCTCCTCCGCCCCTCCATTCCCATCCTCCCCCATCTCCTCATCCTCGCTATCATACCGCATCGCACTCATCATCTTCAAATTCACGCGCTGCACCCGCTGCAACGACCGCACCTGCTTCCGTAGCAGCTCGTTCTGCGCCTGCAGATCCAACTCCTTCGGCTTCTCCTCTCCCAGCGCCACGAACTCCTCCGCGGGCGCAATGCCGTTCGTCGCGCCCTGCGTCGCCACATGCGTCAGCCCGTCAGCCGACCATTCCGCCAGCTCGGCGATGCCGTCGGCGAGGAGGTCGGAGGGGAACACAGTGCATGCGAGGAGGGTGCGGAAATCCGCCGTGGCGGTGGAGGCGGTGGCGGTCTGCAGCGTCGCCGGCTCGCGGAGGATCTGCGCACGGAACTCGTAGTTCAGCGGGATGCCACCGTTGCGGGCGAGGCGGGCGGGGTCTTCGTTGACGGCGCCGGTGAGGTCGGGGCGGGGTTTGACGATGGTGTGGGGCTTGAGGAGGGTGCCGGTGCCAGCGTGAGGGGGGGAGGGGCCGGGGATGCCGTGGATGGGAAGGAGGTGGAGGTTGGTGACGGGGCCGGGGAGGGTGGTGAGGGGGGTGGAGGAGCGGGTGGAAATGTCCCAGATGAGGATGGCGCCGGAGTCGTGGCCGGAGAGGAGTTTCGTGGAGTCCCAGGAGAGGAGGAGGGAGAGGGCGGGGCCGGGGGAGGGGTCGGGTGGTTTCCAGAGCGAAGATAGCGAGGGGGATAGGACGGTGGATGTAGACTCGATACTTGAGGTATGAAGGGGGTTGATCGGATTTCGTAGGGTTTTCTCGGCTTTCGCGGGTTCTAGAGAGGTAATTGACGAGGTGGTATCCGCTGTGTAGAAGTCGACCAACTGAATGGATCCATCGTCATACGACGTGTAGAACCCTCGATCCACGACGTCTAGCTCAATCGCCTTGGGGACGGATGGCAGCAGATATGTCCGTAAGGCGTCGCCAGTGCGAAAGTCCCAGATCACGGCAGTCTTGTCCTCCGACGCAGATATTGCGATACACGACTCTGTCCGTGTATGACCAATTTTCAGAGCGGTGATCGCGCTCTGATGATTACTCAGGGTATGTAGAGGCGTATCGCGTTCCGATTGTGCGGACTGAGAGAACGAGAGAAGCAATGGTATACTCCAGACGTGAATATTCGAGTCGACGGAGCCGGACAGGAGGAAGTTGGAGCTCGGGTCCACTGCGAGGACGGATACTGCTTGGAGGTGACATTCGGGAACGGAGACCATGCGGCCAGTTAAAGTCTTTCTCGAGGTCAGTATATGTGCTAGATCATAGTATAGGGTTCATCATACCTCCCACAGCAGCAGACTCCCCGCCGCTGTCCCTAAGGCTAGCACCGTATCGTCGCAAATCAATTCCACGCAGGTGATCTTCTCCGGGAAAGGAACCGTGTTTTCATGATTCCCCCTCTCCCGACTATAGACATGGATGACCGCTTTATCCGACTGCGCGGCGAATATGTGAGTCTCGCTCACTGCAAGGCAGTGCGCTGAGGTTGTGCTCTTTTTGAAGACCGCGCGTGGCGCCGCCACGGGTTGGAGCTCATGTTGGAAAATCCCAGCGTCCTTGGTGCCGGTGCTGGACGACTTGGGCGGTATCGCGGGCTTCCGTATGGACGCGATGAACTTTTCGGTAAGCATTGGGAATTATAGGTGATATACACGACAAATTCCGGTCCTCAAACAGCATGCGATCCAAAGCGAAATGTTTAAACTTTTCCAACCCGCCATCGCAAATGCGTCTGCAAACTTAAAAGTGGGGCGATTTGGGTTGACGATGCTTGGCGGATAACTCTATTTTGACCTTCGAATGTCGAACATGAACGAACAACACATCATGAAGTTCAGATGGTTCGAAATCTGCGTGATGGACCTAGCCCTTTGCTAGATTAGGTTACATAATACAACGAAATATGAGTTGAATCCCTAACTAAAGAGAGAATGCTGCCGGTCTGGGATTCGTGACAGGCCGCAAGCCTCGTCTCTGCCATACCGGAATGGCTCCTACGACCTACATACATGTATGACCCAGGATTGGTTATCTGTGGCAACCTGTCAATGGTGAACAATATTCAAGAGTTAGCAATCTCTCCGGGCAGAGTCTTACATTAGGTGCGTGTATCGAGTCATTGACTCGTCAACCCTTTTCATTCACGCCATCAAATTCGAAGTCCTTCAAAGTCTAGTCAAACTCCTGAGTCCGCGGTAAAATCATCTTCAGTCCTAATTCCCGTACCTCTACTATTCACTCTTCATCTTACGACCATGAACTTCGTCGATAATCTGGAAATATTGAACCGCCTTCAATGTTCGCCCAGTAGCAAAATCGGCTGCACGACAAACCACTGGGACCATTGCAAGCAGCGTTGGCCTCGTGGAAATTGAACCAAAGTATGTCTAATCGCCCTTTTTTTAATGCCTGCGGCACCATGTACCCCAATCCCTCGGTACGGAAACGTCAGCTGCGATAATACTGTGCCTGAAGCATGATATCACTCTCATCATGTGTGAAAAACCAATGCCAAACTTTAGTGGCATCTTGGGTGGCTATTGCGTTAGCTGCACGAAGGGAGAAAAGACACCCCTATGCATGAAAGCATTTCGACAACGTATTTGTGGCTATGCTTCTTCATTCACGTCTCGAACGTCCCGTCGGGAGGAATCCCGTGAAGGTCGAGGTTGGTGCGGGAAGGTTGAGATTGGTGCCGCGACTTGGTTGAAAACAAGTATTTCAACATCTGCGAAAGTGCCTGTGATAAATGCTCGATTCGGGAACATGGAAGTCATCTTACTTTTACTGATGTGTCGAGCTATGAATATTCTGCCTGTTACATCTTGGAGGAATTTACGGCGATATGCGCCAACCAGCGTTTTTGGCCATTGTTCCTTTATCGGCGCTGATTCCTCATAATCTCAGCCTTTCATACACTTCTGGCAATTTACCTAGATACCCATTGCTCATCATGTGCTAAGGCAGTATTCAAATCTTAAGATATTCGAGGTTCAATCACACCGAATGCTTTTGCGAATTCTAGTCAATTCGGTGACAGGATAGCTCTTTCCTGGAAAATTGGAGTTAACAACTCTTGTCTAGTTCAAGTCATTCATTTAAAATATTAACAAGATTGTCATAAATTTTGTGCAGGCCCCCCATGGACCACAGCTGCTTCATATTTGTGGTTTCCTGTTTACCCTCTATTTCCTTCAGCATAATGCTACACCGTCACATGCATAGATGTAGTCTGAGATTTGGTGGATCTTTCTTCAGAAACTATGTTGCTGAACTTTAACCACTGGTGTTGTCGCCAAAACTCACGGAAGTCGCTGGTCTGACATATACAGGAAGTCGTCAATCATATGGATACAGTACTTCACCAGAGGATAGAGGAGCCGAGTCACCACCTCTATACTAATTAACGACGTCCCAGAAACAGCAATATTTTCAGATTCATACGCTTTACGCCTACCACATTTCACTCTTGCATGACTCCAAGTCCAGTATTTCCGAATAGTCAAAAACATGCATCCCAGTCGCATTGACATCATGAACTACACTGTTGGTTTCTGTTCCCTTCATTGCAGCCACCGTCTACCGAACACGGATTCAAGAAACGATATACCTGTCCAACTACAGGTATACCCAGATGTTACCCCTGAGAATACTCCAGAGTTTTGCACACGGTTATATAACCATTTCGCTTGCAAACACTTGAGACTTGCCGGCATCTACAAATGTGGGAGAGGATCCGGCGACCCGCAACACCGATGTATCGAGCCAATATGTGCCATCGGTGCCTGTCTGGAGGTGACTGTCTGCAGAGACTGTCTACCTCCCCCTGGTTTAGTTGCTATCCCGAGATCGGATTCCTGCAATTTGCTCTCTTATTGCGCGAAAGAATCCCCGAGATTGAGTACATGCGTCCGTCCAATGAACCACCTTCTGAAGCCCTTCCAATCGAACAAGGGTGTATCATTCCGGCCTAGCCAATCTGGAGTCCCGCCCATGCCCTCAACTCTAACTACCACTCCTCAGCCAACGACATGGCAATGGACCACATCCGAAACATATTGCGGATCCCCGGCATCAATTGAGTGGCAGTCAGCAACAGTACCCCTCTCGAACGCTGTGAAGGGCAGCCACACTCCACCCAGCGAACACGAAAGGTCGATGACGCAGATGGACCAGATGCAGCGTCTACTCGACGAGGAATTAATACCGTACGCAAGACAGGTGCAAGAAATCCAACCTGCACCGACTTCACCCCCTTCGACCGAACATTCGAATAGGGGTAGACGGAATGCGTCCTCACGTGCCCCGGCTCGTAGATCCCGTGGCAGAGCATCAGCCAGCCTTAAAATTTTCTCGAACGCTCAGGCTGCAACGCGGCCCCCTTCTTCAATCCTCTCCCCAAGTGCTTCTTGCAAGAGGCGGACTCGTATTTCGACTGGCAACGCGGCTATGCCTCAGGCTCCCGAACGACCCTCACGTACTCAACCATCCCGTATATCCAAATCGGGAGCGATTGTCAAGCTGTCTTCTAGCAGGAAATAGGGTATTATGGTGGCTACGGGGGCTGTTTCTCAGCTTCATGGTTGTCTGATGTACCTGCTAGGGACTGTCAACCAGATGTTTTATCAGATACAGGTCGGCATACCGGCCCCCTTGATTCCTTCCAGCCCCCTCACTTTTAGTTCACTCTCAAAATCGAGTTGTCGTAGAGATAGATTATCGCTTTGCTAGGCATCTCTATCATCCGGACAATAGAATCAATTTTATCACTATTAAATTCGTGAGCGAGGCTCGTTCGCTTTAAATTATCGATTAAACATTTAAATATCGACTAATGGTGAACATAGTCGTCAGTGGCTTAGGCCATCAGACTCTGACTGTTTCTTTGTTCTATATTGAAGTGGAAGGTCATTGAACTTGACCAGACCACAGCTGGGTCAATTAAATCGTTGGATCCAAGTCATCAACAAAGCAACTACTACACCTAAGTAGGTATATGTTATTTTAGCCTTTGTTTCCTAGCTAAACAAGTAAGAAGGCATGCCAATTCTACAACTCCTTGGTCACATTTACAGACACATCTATTACTCTCGCCGGAAATCATTAAAATCTACCATCTATTGGATTGGATATGAGTTCCTCCAAAATTCAGACCCAATCCATTAAGAAAACATCTGAGGCAAAGAAGAACAAGCCCAAATTGAAGAAATCTCGGGCCACTGGCCAATGCACACTTAACCATGGCCAAAGAGGTTGCGACTGCAAGATCTGCGATGCATGTGGTACGATAGTCGATAGAAGGTCCGGTTCGCACGAATGGTGCTCGAAATGTCGCGAGCGATATTCTGAATCATCAGCGAGCGATTCAGTTCAGGCAGCCTCTGGTGGTTCATCAAATGGCGGGAATCAAGAAAATGTGAATGCCAATGCATCAAGCGCAAAGTGAGCGCTCATTTTCAGCGCTTTAGACATGGTATCGGAGATCTCAGTCATCGGACTAGTGACCTAGATCCTGCATGCATCTTTGGATCCTACCTCATATTTATGGGGGACACATTTTATCAGATACCGTAACTTCGTCTATCACCATTGGTGACTCTTCAGCGGTTATCGGGTGACATCTGTCCATGTAATTTCTTTTTGTCAATGTTCGATGATTCCGACATCGCATTTAACTCTAGTCGTCCGCCCAATTGACATCTGAGTGGCTGCTATGACGCGCTTCAGTGCTAGAGCTTCCCGAGTTCTGTAGCCGCGCAAGGGAGGGAGTCAATGGAAGAAAATCATTAACTACAATCCAGCAATAGTATAGTGGCTGTGCTGTAGGACTTGGAGAGTCACATAGTATTAACAGTGCCCGTATGTTTTCTATACCTCACTAAATCCTGCGCTTCGAGCACCAGTGTAGGGTAAACTCCCGTAGATATCCGCCGTTATTTGTTAGGGTATGTATTGGAGTATCAAATCCGCTATCTGTTATTACCCTAACATAGAAGTTTAATAAGGTCTTTCTGAAAGATCATTCGGACATTCTATTAGTAGAATTATTGCCCAGGGCAAGGAATACAATACATACTAGCTATTCATATTTCATATTATAACAAGATGTTATGGTCCCAGGCCCGCAGCCTGTGCCCTGTGTGGCGAGAGGATTATCAGGAGGTAATTATGTGTTAATAGCTGTGTTAATGAAGTAGAGAAGAGGTCCACGCGAGAGAGGTTTATCTTTCGCAGAGCGGAGAAAGAGATTTCCTTTTCTTCCCTTCTTCTTTAGTTTAGCTTGGATGGAATCAGTATTTATAGACCTTACAGACTAAACCATAACTATTACACAAGATGTATACTATATTCGGGGGCCCAGTGGCACTATTGAAGCCAATAATAATGGAAGTTTCTTATTAGTTTTGATGCTGATACAGTGGTAGAACAAAGGCAATTACCGGTATCCTGGACGTACAAAGACAAGATAGTTCTGCTGCTAAGATAACTTCTTGGATCTCTTTACAACTTAGATTTCGGACTCTCCGTCTTCAGCATCGCCTGAGCCACCATCCGCCGCTGAACCTTGCCAGTGGCAGTTTTTGGCATGATATCAGTAAAGAAGACCTGAATAATGTAAGCATTCGCCTCCAGTCCATGACGGGAGATGCAATCAAACACATACCTTCTTTGGAAGCTTGAACTTGGCGACGCGATCCTTCATCCAAATCTTCAACTCATCCCCACCGAGCTGATGCCCGTCCTTCAGCACCACAGAAACGCCAACATCTTGCCCATACATCTCATCATCAATCGCGAAGCTGACTGCCTCTGCAACGGCAGGGTGCTGCGCAATGACGTTGTCCAACTCGATCGGGGAGATCTTCTCGCCTCCCTTGTTGATCAGCTCCTTGATCCTCCCGGTGATAAAAACATAGCCGTCTTTATCCATCTTCCCTTGGTCGCCAGTTCGGAAGTAACCCTGCGAGGTAAAGGAGGATTTATTGGCGGCGTCGTTGTTGATGTATCCGGGAGTCACGTTCTCTCCACGAATGCTGATCTCGCCCTCTTTTTCACGCGCAAGCTCATTGCCACTCTCGTCGAGGATTGCAACCTCGACGCCTTGGCCGATTCCCACGGAACCGGGGATGCGTTTGCCCGGTGGTAGCGGGTTGGAGGTCATTTGGTGAGCGGCTTCCGTCATGGCATATGCTTCAAGGACCGGCGCGTCGAACGTCTTTTCGAGCTCGTGGAAGACCTTCGGAGACAGAGGAGATGAACACGATCGAATGAAGCGGATGTTGGGCTTCGGGCTCGGAAGAGGACTTTTGAGCAGGATTTGATGGATTGTCGGGACCGCGGTATACCAGTTCGCTTTGTACGTGTTGAAGTCATGCCAAAACTCGGAAGCAGAGAATTTCGACGGCACGACGACCGAGCCTCCTGAGGCAAGCGGCGCGAGAAATGCGGCTAGCAAGCCGTGAACATGGAATAAGGGCATGACAAGGAGGGTCCGGTCAGCCGGAGAAAGTTGATATGTGTTTTGGATGTTCTCTGTATCATAGCGTTAGACTTCGTCCTGATATTCCTCGGTGATATTCCTCATACTCATTGTTCGGGTTAGATTCCGATGCGTCAAAGGCACTGCTTTTGGACGTCCCGTAGTACCGCTCGTATGCAGCACCAAGGCGACATCTTCCCTTCGAGCCTTTTCCAATTGAACACCCCCTTTCCCTTGCAGCTTTCCGGGCTCTTTAACATCCAGTACTACCTCGCTTCCGTTCCAGTAGCACTCAGCAATTGCGGCCTTGTACTTCCGAGCAGCCCTTACCGCCGCAGCATCTTCTCCGTATGCACCTTGTGGGACCAACGCCACCGCAGAGCTCAGATCGTCAATGTAGAACTCAAACTCAGACTGCGTGTAGGCAGGATTGAGCGGTGCGGCAATTGCTCGCTGCCATGACGCTGCAAGGAACGCAACGATGAATGCATAGGAATTCGGAAGGGCGATAGACACAGCGCTGGACGGAGCAATTCCAAGGGCAGCCAATTTCCGTTGGAAGGATATGATTTCAGCACATAATTGCTCGTAAGAGACGGACAAAGCTGGATTGCCAGGCACAATGACCGCAATCGCGTTCGACTGGGCATTTAATGAGTCAAAGAGTGTAGTCATCGTGATGGGGCTGCGGAGATAGGGTCCCTGCTCGGATGGAAGAAACAAAGCGATTGGACTCAAGGTATGAACAACGAAAAGAAGGAAATGGAAATAGCTTCTGGTTAATGGAAATATGGTATCTTGTGAGCACTTCGCGCAATTGTTAGATGGTAAATCGTAAACAACGTGGAGAGGTGGAGAGATCGGATGTCGATCTTTACACGCTTACGAGTTACGACAGGCAGCAAATGACGCCATGGGTAGGTTACCAGGAGCATGGAAGCTTCGACAAGGAATACTACTACGCCAGGTGCTCGGAATTTTCGCAAATACATGATTGAAGTGTGTCAGAACATATTCCGTTAAAATTCAATTCATATTAATTCTCATGACCGGGACAACTGGAGTCGTCAGGATGGAGAGAAGATGGATTCATAAGATTGCGCACGTGGTCTGGCCGATTCCGGAGGACGATTCGAACAATTCGGGAAATTTTGCGCGGTGATGGTCCGTGCACAATAATCGAGTTCAAAGATGGAGTCATGCTGGTCGGAATCTGATGATCAATGGTCGCGACAGAATCAATTGAGTCTGCTAGAGTCCGTATAGTTTCCGGAAACCCTTTTAAAGATGTCGACATTCGGAAACCACTTCCGGGTCACCACGTATGTGGCTTTTGATATACTCTAGACCTGCACTGACAATGATACAGCTATGGCGAGTCACACTGCCTGTCGGTCGGCTGCATCGTCGATGGCTGCCCACCGGGGATGGAGCTCACTGAAGACGATATACAACCCCAGATGACCCGTAGACGGCCCGGCCAAAGCAAGATCACCACCCCGCGAGACGAGAAAGACCGGGTGCAGATTCAGTCCGGGACGGAGCTTGGGATCACCTTGGGGACGCCGATTGGCCTCCGTGTCATGAATGAGAATCAGAGACCGAAAGACTATGGAAATAGCACGATGGACAAGTATCCTAGGCCGAGCCACGCGGATTGGACCTATTTGGAGAAGTATGGCGTCAAGGCAAGCAGTGGTGGTGGCCGAAGTAGCGCGAGAGAGACCATTGGTATGGCAACTTTACATTTATTGATATTGTCTCGCTAATGATATGTAGGTCGTGTTGCAGCAGGCGCAATTGCAGAGAAATATCTCCGCTTAGCCTATGGAGTTGAAATCGTCGCCTTCGTCTCCTCCATCGGGTCCGAATTCCTTTGCCCACCTACCTCCAAGCACCCTTCAAATACCACAAACCCAGAATACCTCCAGCTCCTCGACTCGATCAACCGCGAAACTGTTGACTCATTCTTGCCCGTGCGATGTCCAAATACAGATGCTGCTAAACGAATGGAAGCTCTGGTATCCGAATTCAGGGACCGTGAGGATAGCATCGGCGGTACAGTCACCTGCGTGATTCGCAACGCTCCCAGCGGTCTCGGGGAGCCATGCTTTGACAAGCTGGAGGCATCTTTGGCCCACGCCATGTTATCCATCCCCGCGACCAAAGGATTCGAGATCGGCTCTGGCTTCGCCGGCACACGCATCCCAGGATCCATCCATAACGATCCCTTTGTACGCAACCGGGCGGACGACACCCTTCCCCTGCCTGTGCAAGAACCGCTCGTCGAAACCCCGCTGTCCCAATCCTCGACTCCCGGTCGAACTGCCCGCCCGAAATTGACCACGAAAACCAACAATTCCGGCGGGATCCAGGGCGGGATCAGCAACGGCGCGCCGATCTACTTCTCCGTGGCGTTCAAACCGCCGGCGACGATCGGGCAAGCGCAGCAGACGGCTTCGTACGGGCTGGAAGAGGGGATTTTGGAAGCGAAGGGGAGGCACGACCCGTGCGTGGTGCCGCGAGCGGTCCCGATTGTTGAAACGATGGCGGCGCTGGTGATTATGGATGCGGTGATGGCGCAGTTAGGGCGCGGGGCTGCTAGGGATTTGCTCCCGGAGATTAAAGGCCGAGAAGTCTTGAGGGGTTTGCCGATGCCAACGGAAAGTGAAAAGAATGCATCAGTCGCTAATGGTGCCGTGGCTTGATCGATTCATGGGCTTGCTCGTTCAGATATATATGCTTTCGGCATGGCCGGACACACATGCAGCCAACCTCTTCTTTCGCATTATCGGTGACTTGTCCGGTGCTACACTAAACTATACCGCTATTGATGGGACAGGGGATACGGGACCATACCCATGGATTGCGACAGGATTCGAAGTGGCTGATGTTCATGTGGTGTATTGTGTCTTCGCGGTGACGGAATTCGACGTGCAGGCGGGCCACAGGACACCACAACGTGCCGCAGAAGCAAGTACTCTCGTCAAGGTGAATGTCGCGAACCTGTTCTAGAAACATAGCGGTCGGTCATGCACTAGTGATCGCATCGGACACTGCATGCGCTTTCTCCTTTCGGGGAAAATCGCTTCAAAGGTCAAACTTCATCGCCCAATGATCTTTATCCGCTTCACGTATGCAGCTGTAAATGGAACCTTCCCGCGGCTGCAGGGCGTTGGCTGAGGGCACTAACACTTGCCAACCATTTACCAGTATCAGCCCGCCAAGCATGCATCCAGCAATTCGTATTGGAATGCTTTAATCTAAGTATATATCTGTAGCGATGTGAACCGCGAACACCCTCAGCGCCGATACTGCCGCGTTTAGGCGTCGAAGGATTTTTATGAAGGGGGTACGGTGGGTGGTCAGTCAGCCCGCGCCGAGTCGGATATGCAAGAATGGAACCACAACGGCGTGATATCCACGAGGTCGGTCTAGCGTTTTTCTCGATTTCGCGTAGCCCTGGAGCGATGCAGAACGGTCTTGCAGAACCGCTCCGCGGGACTCGCTGTCCCGAACGTCCCAACACGCAACATGCGATCCCCGGTCCGCGACCACTCAGAACGACGGCCCACGCGTCCAGGATGAGCGCTAAGGGAATTAGCCCGAAGGTTGGGGCTTCTCCGGGGTTGAGATCTCGGAGGCTTATCCGGTTCAATTGATCATTGCTGATCTTGCGAGGACAAAGGTCAAATATCGTCCTGGTGTTGCACCACGGTTGCCATACTGCGAGTGCGACTTGAAAAGCTGGAGTACAGAGTGGACTGGCGGTCTGACCCAATATTATAGTTTCACAAGCGGTCCTTGATTCCCTCCAGCCTCCAGAAGCGGTCTTCATTTCAGTTCAGGCGTGGCTCCTTCGTGGCTTGAAACCCTTGCACGGCCTTGCTCCTCCACATCCGCGGACAATCCATTCCGGCGATTCCAGTGGTGTGAATCGTGCATGGAAGAATGGCCATGGATTATTGGATCGCACATGGCTCCGCGGGCGGGTTCAATTTCCTCTCGTCGCTTTTCGGTCTAGACCCCCGACCCCAGAAGTCTAGACCGTCACCGATCCCACGACGAGGAACTTTCCCTCCATCCGATCGATGTCGAATCGTGTTCTTTCCCGACATCACTCCACTTAGAATGGTTAGTCGTCATGTCGAGGTACAGGGCTTTCTGACCGGTGTTATCCATGGTTGATCCGCAGCACATGGATATCTCACTCCCCATACGATACCCCATGGCGCTCAAGCTACTTTAGCCCAATTTGCTCCCTGGGTCGCGCGTGCATCGGGATTCCCACCGCAGGAATCTGGATGCTTCGGAAGCGCAAGAGCGAATCTGGCTAGGCCCTCGATTCCTCTGCTGAACGGGAACGACAAAGGCATCGGACAAGACGCAGTTGGGCGGAGACGGCGATGTGTTCCATTCACTAGTGCTCATCACTTCAGAGGCTGACATGGCATGACGCATTCTCAACTTTCCCATGACTTTTCACCATCCCTTCTTTTTCTGCAAATTTATACCATTAATCAGTATTCGTTGATATCGACCGACTTTCTCTCTACTCCTACGCTCCATCGGACCTGTTGCCGATGAATGATCCCACGCCTGCGGTGTGATCGACACTCCGGACCCTTTATTGTCCTATTGCTGGATCGATGATGAGCCGGTCCAGTTAACTGGACCGGCAGTTGTTTACTTGTATTTTGACCATGCCGGATAGTTCGTCGGATGGTGGAACTTCGATGGTTCTGCTCTCGAGGGAAAAGCCCAGGTCGAGGGTGACCTCTCCCAAAGCCGCATCGCCTCCTACCGAAAGAAAACCATCGAAGCGAAGATGCATACCAAATGCGTGTATACCGTGCAGAAAACGAAAGTCCAAAGTGAGTACCTCCGCTGTTTTTCATATTTTGTTGGTGTTTCAAGTTTCAACCGTCATAATGGACCGGAGCAGAACTCCGGGTGCGACAGATCGCAACCTTTGCACCCTCCAATCATCATGGTCCATTCCAGAGTTGAACTTCTTTTCGCAACCCAAAAAGCTGGGTGGCCAGTGTTGAACATTTCAACGTGTTTTCATCTTTGAACGAAACTACTCAAACTGTCTTGTGGCTGATGAGGAACAATATGCACCAGGATGCAAGTCAGTGTAAACTGACTGTGTCAGTAATCTGGTCGCTGGATTGAACCGAGATTTTGGCTTCCGTTCGACATATTGCAATCTCATTGGGAACCATGATGATGGATCTCCCACTCGCAGATATTTTCCATCGAGTCATTTCGTCAAAACATCCTACTGAATTACTGACCTGTCTAAAGTGCGATGGAGGTACACCGAAATGTTCCACTTGCAATGCGGTATACTTCACTGCCTGCTCGTACGATACAACCCCGGAGCCGCGGAAATCTGTGACCAGGAGGGACGAGTCCACGATGTCACCGGAACGTTCGGAGGGTGGGCTGGAAACGCAATGGAGTCCTTCGGATTTGCATTCCATGTTTCTCCCAGAAGGCGTTCTTGACCATGAAAGTCGAGAGTCAAGACGACGAGAGTCACAGGTCCCCGCTGCACAAATATCCCCTGGTTCTTGGACCAAGGTCACGTCAGACGTGTACTTCATTCAGAATGCACTAGACCGATACTTTGCGAACGCGTTCTATACGTTACTTCTAAGGAACAACTTCATCCAGGATTTCCAATCTGGCTCGACCATCCACTGCAGTCCCATCCTTGTCAATGCCATTTGTGCATATGGCTGTCGCTTTGGGGAATCTGGACAGACGGACTATGCAGTAGCTAGCGACCAGTTCTTCACTGAAGCGCAACGGCTACTGTTCGAAGACAAAACGCCGCGTTTGACTACTGTGCAAGCATTGGCTGTCATGGGACTCCGCCAAACTGCGTCGAGCAACGAGAGTAGTGCTTTTCAGTTCATCGGACGAGCAATGCGAATGGCCATCGATTTGGGCCTCCACCAGCAAGAGAAGGGCTCACCTCCTTTGTCTTCAGATCAAAATGATACGTTGGCACGCAGAGTGACGTTTTGGGGATGCTACTGCTTGGATGTGTAAGAATCCCTATTCCTATCAGACCTCTTGAACTCTTCTAATTCATTTATAGAACGTTGTCCTTCTGGTTCTGCCGTATACCACAACTCGCTTCATCAGTAGTCGGTGCCGAGAGACTACTTGGATCCTCTTCTCCGTCGAACAGTCCTACAGCGTCTTATGGCAGAATACATGGCGCCCTATCCACGGCTCAATTGAACTCAATTGGTCCTGAACTTTTATTTCTCGATGCTCTCAGCCATTTTTGCGATTTGATGAATGAAACCGCATCCATACTATTCAGTCCTCAAGAAAAACTTACTGCTTCTCGATTATTAAACCAGCACAAGAAATACCAAGACTGGATGCGCGAGCTCCCCGATACATTACGACTGCACGAACATGCTATTCCTCCTATCTATATCCTCCAGTAAGTCCATTCGCATATCAACTGGAGGATAATTGCTGACCACATGCAGCATGCTTTTTTTGACTATGACGACCATTGTCTATCGTCCGCTTATCAATCTTGCAAATAACGAACAGTCCGCTCTACATGGCGTGGATTACAAAAATATGTCCATAAGTACTGCCAATGAGATAGTCACCATGGCGGTTAAATTCCGAAACATGTTTCCCCATCTAACATTTCCTCCCCTACTACCGCACATCTTCCTCTCCACCGCATCAACACTTCTACTCGAACCCGGCCCAGAACCACCGTTATCATATATCACCCGCGAGCTAGCAACCATGTCCGGAACCGAACCGACCGCCTTGAACGCTTTCCATCGACTTCAATCACTCGCCACCGCGCACAGCATCCGTCTCCCCGACCTCGCTAGCTTTCCTCAACTCATCAGACCTCCCTCTCACCAAGGCCCTCGCTCCCGCGACTCTCCGGCCACCTCCAACGATGTCCGGCCACCGCTCACACGAAGCTCACACAGTTCGTCAACTGCTAGCACAGGCCCGCATACGCCCCCAGACCTTCATTACCATCATGACGTCTCCCTTCCACCTTTTCGCCAAATCGCGAATTCGTCTCTAAAGCCATGGCCAGACAACCCGACCTCAAGGCTACTGAATCAACATTCATACGCAACGTTGCACCAGCTACCACAGTCAAGGACAGATATCGGGGGCGCCACCAACTCGTTGGGGTTGAACGGAGACACTTCAGACGCAAACCACCGTGGGTCGCGGCCAAGTGGGTCGGATCTCTCCATCTCAGTCGCCGCGGTGATCGGTCTCCCCAAAGGAACGCGGCCCCCGAATTTGCAGCGACCACCGATCTACCCACCGACATCAAGAAGTCCCGATGTGGAGATGGGGGAAACGGACAGCCAAATTTCGAGGAAGCAGAGCGCGAGCAGTAAACGGATGGATTTGAGGGGGATGTTGGCGGATTGAGGATGGGATGAGAGAATACGCGCACACGACTTCAACTGATTTATGAAATGGGGTGCAGATGGATAGGAGACTTGGTTTTGGGCATACATGGAGGCACTGATCTAAGCAACAGCTCGCGAGATAACGAGCACGTTATTACTGTACTATTGAATGGTTTATATTAGAATATTGGCTGAATACATGCACAGCTAAGCATTGAGTCCTATTCGCCTTGCTCCCAACCAGTCATCTTCTCAGTCTTCGTGAGCACTGCGTCACCCAATAATTTCTCTATCCGCTCGAAGTCTCTCGCACAATCATCACTCGTGGAGGGGTTCTCTCCTTCATTCTCTTTCTTGTTACTTCCACTGGAGTATGTGCTGAGGAAGTATAAGAACGCCTCGACTTGCATCTGATGGGGGAAGCGACCGTCTCCCACCCTCACAGTCTCACTATCGACCGAACGAACGAGGGCATTTCGGCGATGTATTTGGACAAGGTTGGCAACAGTGATGAGGAGGTCGATAACTGTGAGTATGAGTCCGACGAGGTTTATGATATCCATGTTCGTTGCTATCAGTCAAGTCAGTCGAAAGTTTAGAGTGTACTAGTGCTGCGAGAGTCACTAACAATAGATATCTAGATGGAGACTTCGGAATTCGACTGCACGGTAGTAATGGGAACTGGGAAGGGATGCTCGATATAATATTTTAGAATTAAAGCAGAAGATATGAGGGTAACGGACTCCTGAATCATAGGGGACTTGTTCTCGGGATTGAATTGGGAGATGGGAAACAATTCAGAGACACTGGTGGCCTGGAGTACGTTAAGGAGACAGGGTTCCTGGCGTTCTTAAATAAGATAATGAATCGCGAATGCGTGCCAGTTCGAACTTGCGATCCATATCCTGTGATGTTCCTGTGATGTTCGCCACTCCCACCTCTCCCGCAAATAATTTGCCAACCCAATATGCAGGGAGAAGATGTGATACACTCCTGCCAGACAATGTTCGCCACTCCGCCCCCTCCGCCCCCTCCGCCCCCCAGCGAATATCCTGCCAAGTGGGAAGCTGATGATTCGGCATGGCAAACAAGTGCTGCTGCAGCTGTCGAAGCCGATTCTTGGGAATGGAAGGGTTGAGGTGGAGATGGACACTTACCCATGTTCACAAGTGCCATAGCTGATAGCCCATACTGAAGGTAGTTTGAACAAGCTCCAGCAATAATTCGAATATGCACCCCTACGGGTCTACGGAGCATGCAGTGGCCCGGGCGGTGCTTGGTAGTTGCCTCCGGTGGTAATAACAAGATGCGCCAAGTCCCCCGTCCCAACGCATCATTTGGCTGTGACGCTGTGTTCCTTTTTTGCGGCAGCTCTCAGAATTCCAACTTCTTTCACGGTCTGTCAATGGCGAACCCGGAGGCTTACCTTGGATCCACGAGTTTCATGCCTTTTTTCCACACCGGAGCTTGAGGACTTCGTATTGTGCCTCCAACTAGAATAATCCATCGGAGGTGATAGCACGGGAGCAAATGGCAATTATTTGCAACTCTCTTCTGCCATGGTTCCGTTCTCTTGATGTGGGCAACTAGCTGGCAGAGCGCCGATGATGAGCCGAGAAGACGCGTCCTCGACGTGTTCGTCGATCGAACTTTTCCGTGTCTTTAATGATCACTTCACATCTACCTGGTCGCAGCCTCCAACACACAAGATGGAGCAGGTTCGCAGTGTTGATGTACTTTATTACCTCGTAGGTCGGAGCGCCGAGAAAAACCTTCGGGCACTCGCACGATGCGATGGAATCATGACGTCTCCTACCTATCATTGTTTCCGGTGTGTACCGGTACTATTCTTATACAGCGAATTTGATTCCCGTTCTTTCCACATGACCAAACAAATATTTTATGAAATGATAGCAGTGTGCGAAATTGAAAATGGCGAACAACAACCATGCCTCGGGCGAACAGAACCAGAAATACGAGCCGAAGCCGGACGCGCATGCCTTGACCGCTGGGTCTAACGTTTCCGAGGATGCGGTGGACTACGAGCCTCATCCCGAGAAATCGATCCAAGTTGAGCCACTGAGGCAGAAAATCATCAATTCGATATGCAACCTCTACAGCGGCAGCGCAAGCGGAGAAGACATGAAAGTCTACGCGAAGGAAGCGGTATACGACGATCCTTGGAGCTATTGCGATACCAGGTACAAGATCGCTGGGCAGTGGTGGGGTATGGCATTTTATACCTGTGTCCATCCAATGGTTCCATGCTTAATAGCCTTTCAGGAATCCCCATGATCTTCGCATCTTCGAAGACCTTGAAGACTGAAACAGTTTCCAACAAGCCCAACGAGATCACCTTCAAGCTTCAACAGGAGTACACTCCGAGAGCATTGCATTGGTCGAAGTCTATCAATTCTCTCGTGACTTTGACTCTGGATGACGAAGGTAAGGTGCGTTACCATAAGGATATGTGGAATGCCAAAGACTACAGCCATGAGGGCATTGGGATGGTCATGAAGCATCTTAATGGTGATCATCTAACCAAGGTGTGTACCCCTTGATTCTATGGTAGTATTATTTCTCACTCTGGGCAGTTCACTAGGCCTCCAGACTGGCTCTGATTTAGAGCGTTTCTTAAATGGCGTCCTTTACGTGTATTGGTGACCGATTCGTGCATCCAATATGAGGTAGGTAGTAGAGGAGCTGCAGGAAGGCTACGACTCCGCCTTCGAACTGATGTCTGATTGGCTTTGGACTTTTTGCGGTTGGGAAGAGGTGGCATGGGGCAGCACCATCCCCGAAAACAAAATGCCTCCAATACGGTATAAGGTAGCCTGCTTGGCACAGCACACGTTATTTTAATATACTCTCCTTTGGTTCAACTTTTGCTTTCATCTGTCGATACCATCATGCTCTTAGGGTAGAATATACTTTCAGTCAATGTCCAGGGGAAATTCTTTAGATTTGTCGAGTTCAATCCAGTCGATTTTTACAACACAGTGGCGCCTAAAATTTGGCCATTTCGTTGGATATGGATCCACAACTCCCAACCCCGTCGAATCCCGACCCTTCATCCAACAAACCTGTCAAGAACGGCCGTGGGCGGCCAGCTAAGGTCCGGAAAGCCTGGAATGCTTCGATCCGCCGAAAGCTTGTCAGGCTTTACACTTCTTCTAGTCTCACCCTAGAAGACCAGAGGCGGCTTCTCGGAGACATTGCAGGAGAGTCATGCTGCGAGAGGACGATGCAGAATATACTTAAGGAAGAGCTAGGACCAAATTACAAAGATCTTCGAGCTAAGGGAAAACGTGCCAGGGGCAACATGAAGGCGAGGACAGACGATCTAAGACAGCTAAGGGATGGGAATCCAGATCCAAGCTTCCTAGAGTTCAATATGGGTGAGCTCTTCGAGTTTGACCTTGACAAATCTCTGGATAGCCGTCCTCATGCGCTGGATTCGTGGACTATTGCTCATGGTGAGAGTTTTCCAGAACTGGAACTATTGACCAGGAACCTCAGCTGAAAGCTTTCTTGATACAGCCAATCTTCCAACAGGATCTGCTGTTGAGGCGAAAGACAAGGCTTCTAACGGTCTTCGTCTTCAGCAGAGGCTGGATGAGAACAACTGTACAGTTCGCTACACTGAATCCGTGATACGGGATGCTAGGAGTTTAGTGTTTGGACTGTCAGCTATCAATACCGCTGTCCGCTTTACTACTCAAAAGCCATTCGATTGGACGGTGCCGAACGCTCGACCCCGAGATCCGCTGCATTGCTGTGAGATCTCTTCTCAAACATGCATTCATAGATCTGTCGCACAAGACCTGGTTTCGAGTACTGCCCCGGAGGACACCAACGTGTATGGTCGACTGCCTCGAAATCCACATGTTCGTGATGTGAGGAGAGACACAATTTTTCACATCGCAGCCCGAAAAGGAGCCACGCCTAAATATCTTCGGAATCTGCTCAAACATTATCCCGACTTCAATGTCAATACGGTCAACTGCTTCGGTCAGACATTCCTTCATCTTGCCAATCCGGGACAGGAGGCGGAATTGGATGAAGCAGATTTTATCTCGTTGATACAAGAAATGGCTGGAAGGAATGCAGATCTCTCGTGTAGAGATTTCAATGGACAGACTGCCCTAATGAAGATTTTGAGCGAAATCGATTCAAGTCGGGCAGAGGCATTCAACCGTTTGGTACTTAAACCAATTTTCGCTTCCTCAAATTTAGCTGCCACAACCAAGGCCTTTTTCGATTCATCCTCGGATCGATTCGGCAAGAGTGTTGAAGACCATCTCCAAGGCATATATATTACGCCGTTTTCCATTTCATCCTATTTTTCGGGTCACGCAGAAATTATGAACCTATCAGACTGGGACCAGTTAGATGACAGGTTCGGCTACCGGTTGTCATTCGACGTTACGGAAGGTTGTACCACACTAATTGCGGCGAATAAGCCTCATCCCAGGAGCTACCGGCCCTATGTTCCCACGGCTTCTCAAATAGCCAGCTCAATTCTCGATGACAAGGGAATAGACGCCGCATTAGAAGTCCTGAACAGTGGTGTCCTACTTAATACGTACAAGTACTGGGGCAACCTGTCTATTTGGGATGGATTCACACCGCTCCATATAGCAATCAACAGCCGCAACCGGCCCGCTATCAAGGCCGCGAAGCTAGTCCAGAAGCTCATTGAGCGTGGTGCGAATCCCCATTGGCTCGACTACCAGGGGCGAAGTCCTCTGTGGGTTGCTGTTGAACGGGGATCGGTTGAGGTTGCCGTAATCCTCCTCAAGCACGGTGCAGATCCCAACTTCGACCCTTATGGCTTTGGGTTCATCGATGAGGATGTTATAACTGCCCGGGAGCTTGCGAGGCGTTGTCTGACTGAGCTAGACATGATGTCCGAGCCGTTGGAATATGGTCGTCGCCTTCAAATGCATCTGTTGCTCTCGGAGTACGCCTCGTCAGGGAATCTACCCCGGGAAAAGCCCTTGACGGAGGCGATTCTGCGCAATATTGGACGTCGCCAGACCGACGACGTATAGCACGAAGGACTGGATGGTTAAGAGGGTTTTAAATTCGGGCAGCTTGCTTCTTATTCACGGGTTGGGCGTCTCAAGACATTGGTGTACATTCACAATATTACAGCTATTACATCCGAGCTCCTTTAGATTTCCCACAATTCAACTGGAACTTTGGAACAGCTCTGGCAACATGTTGCCATCTGGAATTCTTTCTCAGTTCATGCGAAACCCCCCAGCGCCTCAATTCGTCCACCATGAGTATACCACACCCGAATCTATACTGTCGCGTGGTAGATTTCATGCCTCGCATATCAAATCAAACTCCGGCTCCAGAGGATCAGGTCCCTCATTCGTAAACGAAAACGCCGTGACTGGCGCATCCTGCTGGGCAGCATCACACTGGGCTTCATCACAGTTAGCTATACGTCCATCACCACACATAACGACAATAGTAACAGTGTGCTACTCACATCTCTGCTCACTGCACATCTCAATCGTCAGGTCGCCATCGCTATTGTTTCCGCCATTCTGTCGTTGCTCCAGCCTCTTATCCTTCTTGTTGCCGTCTCTCGCCCCGCCACGTCGCCCATCGCCGTCTCCATTTCTGGAGGAATTGCCTCGCTTCCCGTTCCCGTTCCCGTTGCCGTTGCCGTTGCCGTTGCCGTTGCTGTTTCCATTTCCATTTCCATTCCCATTTCCATTCCCATTCCCATTCCCATTCCCATTCCCATTCCCATTGCCTCCACTACCATCCCTCCCACTCCCCCGATCCCTCCCCTGCCCACCATCATCCCCACCCCGATTCCCCTGCCCCCGATCCTTGCTCTGCCTTTGCACCTCTCCCTGCCCCCTCTGCCCCTGACTCTGCCCTTCCTCCCCATCCACACCCCCATTCGCCACACTCTGACACGCATCAAACTGCACATCGCAACTCCTCTGCGCCGCGCTCTCGAAATCCGGGAAAGTGCTCCCGTCGACGGAGAATTCGCGATCGGTATTGCTGGAGGGCTCGATGGGTGGTGGGGGGCCGCCGAGGGCGCCACTGAAGGTTTGGAGGTTCGTGAGGCGTTTGGTCAGGGGGTGTGGGGAGAAGAGGAGGAAGGGAGGGAGAAAGGGGGTGGTGACGAGGTTGGGGGATGCGGTGAGGAGAGGAGCGAGGATGGAGAGGGAGAGGAGGAAAGTGGATGGGATGATCATTCCTATTAAATGGAGGAAGAACCAAGCAGGGTAACGGTATTATATAGAAGATTATAAGTTGTCGCAAAAGCTAGACTCGGACATAATGCGATGGAGGCGAGTCCTGGTGACGTCAAGACATGCTACATACAGAATACCATCACAGAAAAAGAGAGAGCAATAGACGCACGCGCCCTTTGACAAATAAATCAAGAGGATATTCGGAAAGAGAGAATCGCAAATTAATGGCAGAACAAAATGGGGGGACTATGAACGAGTTATGCAGCCAGAACGGCTCATATGATGCGGACATGAGTACCTTCTGCGACACTACAGGGGCCATCAAACCGACTCGAGTTCGTCAATCAGGCGCATTTGAAGGAACACGCGGCTGTCAGGCTACAAACCACACTCGAAATATCGTAGCTTGCGCGTTGAATTACGCATGGTGTGTGAGAAGTGGAGGTTCAGAAACGGCGATGAAACGTGAAGCCCCAGCCTCCTCGAAGCTTGTTGCGGGTTGAGGGGCGCTTATGCATTGGTGTAGCAACGTCCAGAGATAGAACATCATCCGACGGGGAATGAGCCGAGATATGGAAATATCATCTAATTAATAGACAATGGGCCATAGGGACAGAGAATCAAGCGATGGAAGCTTAAATGGACGTCGAATAGGCTGCACGTGGATAGGAATGTAAAGGTAAAGGACGTGATGGATAAATATTGGGATTTATCCAATTTATCTACCACTATTAACCACCATCCCCCCTCAGCTCCATTTCTGGAACACTTCAACTATGCTCCCTCAAATCTATTACCTCCACCTCAAAGCCGCTTGCTTCGTATACATATGCTTGCCTTGCCACTCTATGCTCCGAATACCCATCGAAAGGCCATGAACACCTGTGGCAGGAGAGTCCCTACAGTGATCTGCTACAAGGACAAGCTCGCAATAACAGTAAGGATGCTGAAAAGGAAAGGGAGTATAGAGGCGATAGCCGACGCTATGGAGCGCGCTATGCTCTGTCTATCAACGATTCGCTGGAAAACAAACATGAAAGGATGGAACAAAGGATACGCGGCGCTTCTGAACACCGACCGCCACTTTCCGAGGAGTGACGAAGACTTCCCGAGGAAGACTAGGTACGTCGTCCGGTTATCCACAGGGTCGTGTTTTGGAACCGCATCAGACGATACTGGCCATATGCACGACATCTTTCAAAACCCCCTCCCTTAGAAATTTGCCGCCGGGTTCGATTTCACTCCCCCGCTCGTCACCGTCGCGCCGCTACTCTCCGGCTTCCTCGACTCATCCCCCTCCGCGCGACCGGTCGTCCACACCTCGTCCTCATCCCACCTCTGCTTCTTCTTTCCCCATAGCCTCCATGCGACGATGGCGATGCCGCCGAGCAAGATGGCACCCCCGACGCCGCCGACGACGCCGCCGATGATCTTCTTCTTGTCAGACGATAGGCCGGAGGAGGGTTCGGCACCGTCGCCGGAGTTAACGGCGGGCGCGCCGGTAACGGTGGCGAAGCCGGTGGTGCTGGCAGCGAGGGTGGAGGAGATCATTTCGCTGGTGCGGGTGACGCCGGAGTCGTCGATGGTGATGATGGTGGTGGTGAAGGCGACGGGGATGGAGGTGACGAGGGCGGAGGTGAAAGTGGAGGATTCGGGAGCGCTGAAGGAGGCGGAGGTGGAAGAGGGCCGAGGAGAGGATGTCGACGATGGGGGTGCGACGGAGCTGCTGGTTGAGGAGGGTGGTGGTGGATCAACAATGGACGTGGATGACGGCGGGTCGGGTGAGCTTGTTGATGGCGGTGGTGCGGGTGATGAGGTTGGTGATGACGTCGGATCCGGTACCGGTAGGATGGTCGCGCCCGTGTTGAGGGAGATTTGTCGTTTGGCCATGGCTTCTCGGACGACGGGATCGGGTTCCTCTTGCGCCATGGTTGAGGCGACGAGAAGGAAGGCTGTCGAAGCCCAGGTGGCGAGACGCATCGTGACTATGTCCTCGCCTTTCGCTGAGGAAGCCTTGTCGGTTGAATGATTCGAAAAGGTTATCAATCGATGGATAAACGGTCAGGCGAGACTTGAAGCGAATATCGAATATCAACAAAGGTCTTGTGGTGGTAGTGGAAAGATGCGCTGCTAACGTGCAAACGCTGCAGTGAGATCGACAAGTCGAAGATCAGGGGCTTGTTAGGTTGTTTGCGCCTGCTTCCACTTCGGTTGAATCTGCCCAATATACAAAGGGTATCACGATGAGTCCAAGTATGAAAACGAATGAACAGAAACCAAACGAGGGAATGCTGTGGAAGACGCAACGTTGGTGTGAGCAGAACGTTGATATGATGACACAGGAGAGGATGAGACAGGGAGGGGAGCTGGTGAATTTTTAGGGTCTTACAAACCCTTCGTCCACAACACCGGACGCCCCGATACATCCGCGATCCGCAACTTTAACACCAATTGAGTTTAGCGCATTCGTTCGATTGTAACCTTGCAGGCGGGTTTGGTTGATGCCCCATATTAAATGAACATAGAGGAAATCTAAATATTTTTTGTTACCTTACGTAATTTTCGATTTCCTTAGCAACGACATGACAACAAACTAATCGACGGAATACTACGGAGCACCGAGTTACTTTATCATTAAAGCGTGTCTGTAACTTACAAGTTAACAAGTATCACTGATCTATCATCTACTTACAAGTACAGCAGCTACATACAAAGTACAGCAGCTACATACATAGTACGGTGAAATGAACGACTGGTAATATGACTGACCGTGTACAAATTATTGGATAACTTGCCAATGGCTGAGATCGGGCTCTCCAGGAGGTCACAAAAGAACAACTCCTCAAATTCTGACGCTTGTCTGTCCATAACTACCATTGGGGCATGAATATGGTAGGCGAATAATAGCATACCATTTCTTTCAAGGGCAAATCTGGTAGCCCCTAGTACGCCTGCCCCAAACGCATTTGTATCTTGATGTTATTGCGGGACATCGCTTGTATGATTCTACCCTACCAGCACCGTAGATAAAATAATAAGCAGAAGAGCAACAAGCATAGACCGTCTTTGGTGAATGTGGGCCAATTTCCTGGGATGGATTTTTAGTGGCTGAAGAGCACAATGAACCCGGAGACATGAGCCACCAGACAACATGAAAAACAATGATCAAAGAAGTTATATATGATGACAACAGGAATAGTCAAGTATAGCACACCTCTTAGGTACATAAAGGCCTCATAGGCAGCAACTGAAACTTCTTATACCAGACACAAACACGAACACCAGCTTCCGAAAGCATACAACTACTAAGCTTTATCGGAATTCAGCTTCCTTAACGATCTTCTCATCCGTTCATAACTGACTTCGACACAATATCAGCATCTTGTGCTGGTACACAGTCATGTATGAGTGCAGACGTATCGCCAGCGTCCCGGAACCCACTAAGTACCCGTGGTGTTCTTGCCCCAGGCACACCACCGACTCGTCCGCCGCGCCGTTAAGGCAATGCAGCAGTAGATGGTAAATTGGTAATGCTACTCAGGATGTAGACGTCCCGATCGCTGTGATGAATCCATAGATAACTCACAATGAGGAAGGAAGGAGCCATTAACCCAGTCGTTTCAGTGTCTCTCTAGGCAGAGGCTTAATTCCCTGTCCACTAAGACATGACAAAATCTAGTATAAGATAGTTAAATCATAAAACCCCCATAAATGTCATGGCCCAAACCACGAAGGATTTGGTAAGCTGGTAACGCTGTTGAATTGCTAAAGAGAGAAGGAGAATATCTCTCTCACTGCGATCTGCTATTTACATCTGTGGGCAAACGGTCTACCCATCCCTTCTGCCTTAGGCCGCAAGGCCACAACACACAGACTGGGCGAAGCCCAAGACTGTCACAATAAAACCCAAATTGCATATCTCATTCGTTATGCTTGATCTCTGCCAAAGTCGCAAGTCCTTCGGCAAGGACTGGATATCATGAAAACACTATACGATATATTCCTAATCCGATTTATTACATTCACAAGGATCGGAATAAGAATACAGCGGTAGTGCCAATAATACGAGTCTGAACAACGCTAGTACCACCGATCCCCTAGCCTTGGCCCAAAATAGGCGATAGTTGCGCCCACCACTGTGAGAATATCCTAGCAACGTGGTAGGAGCCCATAATTGTGCTCCACAAGTCCATAAGGCCTTCCAATAACTAGTGGAGCAGCAAGCCGCCTTTTCCTGTTGTGATACAAGACGAAAATGGCTGTGCAACTAAGCAAATCTGGTGCCTGGAGTTGGGGGCTCAGGGACAGCAGCAGCGAGGATTATTTGAACAAGCACAGATTCCAGAGCAGTGGATCAGGACAACAATCCTTTATTTCAGGTTACATGAAGGTCGGCGGGTTCGAAGGGCAACGAAGGAAACGTCAAGATCAGATAAGCTGGGTGTTCACGTGACTGCCAAGATACACCAATCACGCGCTGAAGAGATTGCTCAGGTCAGCCATAGTAGCACTAGCCACAGCACTAGCCACAGAACTAGCCACTATCGTAACCCAGCAGCCTCTGTCATGCAGCTTGATATCATTGTTCTCATCATTGTTCTCATTGTTATCCACTGATCACGATCTAATGCCTCCCTGAGTATTACAACTCTTGAATACCTATAGAAGCCTCACTATACATCCGATGCGCAATCGCCGAACCATTTAATATGGATCCGGGCATACCAATCACCTGGAACGAAGCGCTATCAGGAGTTTTTGGCTCCATATCAATCGCAGCATGGATATTCTTACTGGTACGTCTTCCTTGTACAGGTACATTTTCCGGGAAATCAATCAATTAACAGATGTCTCTTAGGTCCCCCAACTCATCACTAACTACACCCATTCCTCTGCCTCCGGCCTCTCCCTCGCCTTTCTCCTCGTCTGGCTCCTCGGCGACATTACAAGCTTCGTCGGCTCTCTTCTCGCCCACCTCGTCCCCACCGTCGTCCTCCTCGGCGGCTACTTCTGCGTCGCGGACTTCGTCCTGATCACCCAGGTTCTCTACTACAATTTCATCAACGCGCGGCGCGAAGCGAAAAAGCCGAGCGCAGCGCACGCTAACGCAAATGGACATACCGCCGACAATGAGGAGAGCCCGCTCTTAAGGAGAGACAGTGCCGAGGCCGCCCACCAGCCAAGGAGGAGGAAGAGTAGCACGGCGAGCAGAAGGTCGACGTTATCAAGGCGGTACAGCCGGGGTAGCTTGCCGAGTATCTTAGAGGAGAGTACCGGCACGACCGCGTGGTTGAAGAATACCGGCGCAATCATTGGAATCTGCGCCGTTGGTGCTGCCGGATGGGGAATTGCATACGGTACAGGCGTGTGGAAGCCTGTGCCATCTCCATCAGCTGTCCATGCTAGCCGGATGGGGAAGGAAGCCAGCATGCAGACCGCTGCGTCGGTGTTGGGCTACGCAAGCGCCGTGTGCTACCTTGGCGCACGGATACCGCAGATTGTTAAGAATCAACGCGAGAAGAGCTGCGAAGGGCTGAGTCTGCTCTTCTTCTGCTTGAGTCTTCTGGGAAACGCAACGTATGGAGCCGGGGTAAGTTTTCTTGAAGTGCATCTCCTGAGCGCTGATGACGGTTGCTAACGTGGTGGGCAGATCCTCTTCCACTCGCTGGAGAAAGATTACGTCGTGAAGAACCTGCCGTGGTTGCTGGGCAGCTTGGGAACAATTGTCGAGGATGTTGTCATCTTCGTCCAGTTTCATGCGTTCAGAGATAGGCCGCCGCCCTCCGCCATCGTGTAATAAAAGTGCTTTTCACTTGAGAATTCCCTTTTTAAGTCTACGTGCGCATTTCTGTTTACCTCTGCTGCATCTGTTGCAGTATATGTGATAATGTCCTTGTTCAGGCGCTGGTGGACGACATGAGTGTCTCCTTGTGTTCTCATTTTAAAAGGAGTTTGAATATGCTGACTCAGAGTTCTAATATTCTTTCAGTATACAAACATGTGGCACAGCTATATATAAACAGGATATGTGCGAAGCCTCAGACCTAGAGCCCCCTTTTTTTTGGCAAACTCCACCCATGATGTCAGCTCAAGCTCGAACTCGCGCTATGAACCGGCCCGGAATCGATGCATTGTATTCAAGCTCGTCCTGCTCTAGATTAGCACTGCTTGCTCAACCCAAGGGGTATATCTCATCATCAAGACGTTCAGTAGATAGTATTAGTACCCGGTGCGAAGAGGTAAAGTGCTTCAGGGATTACAGTAGAGCAAGACTCCGACGTTATGGAAACGATTATCATCGGGGCATCGAGTGAGACCACCTGCGAGTCATCAAAAGCAAGCAACAGAATGAAAAGGAAAAGGGATACCATGCGGGACGAAAATATGTAAACTGGGAGCCTTAGTTACCTATTGGAGGGATGGAGGGGCATCTTTGTCGGCTCCATCCCCACGGCTAAAAACGCGGCTGGTGTTTTGGCCATGGTGTAGTCCTGATCTCCAATGAACAAAAGTCTAATGACAACTCGATCAACGCCACCGACGCGGATGAAAATCTTTCGTCCAGAGAGAATATCTTACCGCACCGTGGAACGCGGCGGCCAAGCAAAGTTGTAATAAGTCCTCGTCCAACGTCGGTTGCATTGGCGAAGTAGGACAACGTAGCATATGTCCAAGCTTTTATGTGATCGACAAAATCAGCGGCGCTCGAAATTGAGGTGGCATCCCCACGACCGTTTCATCGAAACAGACAGGGAGAAAACAGGGTCGCTGATAGGCGGGACAGATCTGGCTGCCGCCATTACACCAGAGGAACATTAACGCAGACCAAGAATGAAGAGACACGATCATGAATGCTTGGACCAAACGCTATGTGACGTATATAGGCGTGGGGGGTCCCTATGTCCTGCATTAGACAGGGAGTCTGGGAACGGGATGGGGGAACTGGGACGGTTCATACATCCGATATTGAAGACGGGGTGGTCTTGATTAGAAAATATATGACGCCATACAGATATAGGCAGTGCAGTTGGAGAAGATCGCTCCGTGGCCAAGGAAAGGTGTCTTGTGCAGGGGGTCGGCTTCTGGTTATCTTTTGCCTGGCTCGGGGGCGAAATTCAAGGGTAATTAGTGCCAGAGAAGTATGGTGGCCCAGATATGGTAAAACGCAATGAAAATTTTCGAAGATACTTTGAACTCGCATATTGTGAATGCCGAAATTCGGCGTTGAAAAACAGAAAGGAGATGCAGAATCAGCCTCGTCTTGCTGAAATGAAAGTGCATACTGCATGTTGTTCACACCGGCTTACTGTTTTCGTCTCTTCCCATTCGTCTTTCGGAGCTTGTTACAATGCATAAGCCAGAGAGAAGCAGCGGTTTTGAATGTAGCCATATCACCACTCTCTGCAATATACGATTTGCAGAGATTCAATTCGTGGGGGCCAATGCATCACGATACCTCGTGCATGCAGTACAGGGGATATTTCTCCACGACTGCGCTCCTGCAGTCTGCCTTGCGGAGGGAACAGAAGATGCAACACAGCTTCAAGCACTTCTCGAGGGACTAAAGTTAACCTGATAGTTATGCATTCAATGACTGATGCATGGCGAGAATGTCCTCGTGACAAGTGCTAGTCAATGCAGTGGGAATAAATCTCGATTCAAGACGCGTCGGTGAAGAGGAGCCTATTGAACATATGACTGAAGTATGGCTGCGAACGGTTAGCCGGGATGATCTAGACTCTTGTGATGTTGTAGGAATCAATAGGAGCAAAGAACCCTTAAGTAGTTGTTAACATTTGTGCTACAGTTGTGAAACAGAGGATCGATTCACTTCACCCCTCTTGGTTGCATCAATACCCTTAGCACAAGCCTGCCAGACATCAGGGGCAATGGCCTAGCAAGACTGGAATGAATCGAGTGCTCTAAATTCGCATCGAGGGGATATCGGCCAAAGGAAATCGTCTCATGCCGGATAGTATTCTAATATGGAAAGTTGGTTCAAGCGAAGACCGAAGTGATGGATAACTCGGTGTTTATCGGGGATCGACGGCGCCGCGCCGATGCCGATCCACTCCATTATTGCTAATAATTGCGCGATCAATCTGAATTATCAGGTCGCGAGTCCCTGACTCAGTTTCGGATATTTCCCCACCTCAGGGACGTCCGGATCGGTCTTAAACTTCGATAACGTTATCCGCGGAGTTATACAAAACTCAATGTGCGGAACCCAGCGGCATTAACTCCGACCCTCCGTCCTCCTGGACAGGACTCCTGAACTATCGCCTGAGCGCAGCGGGCCAGAGCCTCTTAGTCCGGAAGAATCATTCGGGGGTTGTGCTGCCAAGGTAGTCTCGACTCCTGTAACAGGTGTAAGCAGGAGACCAGGCGCTAATTCCACGTCTCCCACCCAGCATCACCTGCACTAGATTCTATCCAAGGCTCTATCGTGCCGGGAGCTTCCATCTTCGGCCATGCAGCCCGAGCGAAGCATTGGTGTCGCTCGGGCTGTCGTTGGCGGTTCTTGGTAGAACTTCCCCATCACGGCCCACGGGGCCTTGCTAATCGCCGGTCTCAGACCCTGGGGACCGTCGTATACCCCAGAAATCATACGGCCGTGTTATTGGGGAGTAGCCAACCTATATCCTGCAAGCATCTCATAAGTGCGACCGCATTTAACCGTGGCGAACATACCGGCCGAATGATAGGTCCGAGAAGTAGTGATAATGCTCGGCGATGTGTTCCAAACTCCGCCGGTGCTTGCGGATAGTGGGGCTTGCTGAGCAACACGACATGCGCAACGTGAAGGTGGAGAGGCGTGGATGGTTACCAAGAGCATGGATGTGGATATCTGAATGTTGGGATTTGGATACAAATATGCCCTGTTCCCCGTTTAGTTCATGATTCAGTCACTGTTCCTTACTTTTGCGATTCCCAATCACCACTGTCAAGCGAAATCATCCGCCCATATCCGCATACCACATCTATACACAGTTCATCAACTCACTCAGTATAAGTGCTTGGGTCTACATCGCCTCCTCAACCCTCGACAACATACCTGTAGACAGCTGTATACCATGGACCAGATCCTTCCACATTCAGATGCCATGTCTTCTGAACAACAAGTCTACATTCCCAATCTCCGAGGCGGCCAAGCTCTCGTCTTCAACCTCTCAGACCTTCTTGACGACGATGAACCCACTCCAATGCCTCCGCCTTCCCGCCGAGACACTTCCTCCTCACTAGAATCATCAACCACAGATAAGAGTTTTGAAGAAGACGACGGGATACGAATCATTGTCAATTCCCTAGTTGAACCTGCCGCCGCATGATCGAAAAGTACGGCATAAGAAGCAGGAAACCTCATTGGCTAGGGAAGATCCCCATGATCAGGGGATACAACCAAATGGCCATGGAATGATCGGCTTCCCGTGAAGCACAGATCACGGAGATGTGCGACCAAATTGATAACCTATTTCGGCAATAGAGCAATTAAAAGGAGCGAATGGCTGAAGATCGAGAAACCCTCGGCTGCAGACGCCTTCCGATATCATCCGGAGACGATAGAGTGCATAGGGCATGGAGAGGAGTTCAAGAGCGATAGTCGGGATTTGATCCATGCAGAAAAGCCAGGACCGATGCCAGAGGAGGTACGCGGAATTGCGTGCAGGAATGATAACGGCAAGACGAGGGGACATGATATGAGAATATGAGATTTAAGTTTTGATACCCCATGTATGGATAACCTAATACGATTGAGCATTAGCCATTTGCTGATCATCAATGTTTGATCATTTCAACCAAAAGTATCCATGGCTTGCGCTTCTCAAAACTTGCATGACCTGCTCTATACAGTGCCAAATAAAGATGACGCCAACACCACCCGTAGTTCACATCATCGTTTAAATGTCGTCGCTGACCGCTGTGACTGGGAAAGATAACCGCTTGTGTCTCGAGGACCATTTCAGAGTAGGATAAAGGCTAATCGGCTCAAAATTGGACCTTATTTGGCCTCGGACTAATCTTCTAGATCCCCCCCCATACGCCTTCACATCGGCTGCTCTCCATTTCGTCGCCCATCCCATCTCTTGTTCGACCCGCTCGTATATTTCTAGGATCTCCCGAAGCTCGCTCGGATGACTCTTTGTCTTAAGACCCTGCGATCCACAACGGCTCCACACTGTTCGTCCAGCAGCCATGATGAGAGTTCGAGATCACGATTGTGTAGATCTTCCGTGCATGCCAGAGTATTGACCTTGGCTTTGGTATCAGGCTTTGCGCCCCTGATGGACGATTCTGAAGCATGAGGATGGCTGCTATGTGATAAAATTGGTTCCCTGAGATAGCAGGGGAGTAGTGTTAAGAAGGGCTGTTCGTAGTTCCCTGGGGTGTGAGGTCGAGAATGGACAGACCCCATACCCGCAGGACGGGTAGTGTACCAGTCTTCGATTGCGGCGAAGAGTTCAGTCCATTGTTCAATGTACTCGGGAGACGACTGCCAAGTTGTATCACTAGAACAGGAGACTTCGTCTTTGATAAAGCTGACGACGTGACCAAGTTATAAAGCGCAATTGCCGCGCCTGTCACAGCAATCTGCGGCCGGGAAGAGTTGCATGTCCGCGGTGAATGTGCTCTTGGAGCCCCAATTATCAATGGAAACGAGAGTCTGATCAAATGAGATAAGTCCGCCGCAGATATCCATTCTGACAAAGCACCAGAAAAGAGCTTGTTTCCGGCCTCCACAGAAGTCGTTAACGCCCATGTATTGAGGCAGAATTGCACAAGCGCGCAAATGTTTGTGTCATGCTTTTGGTGAACTTGTAGAGAGGAGTTAGCTTATTCAACTGGTATACGAATCACTTTTCGATCCGGTACTGCAGAAGCACTCTCTCAGGTGTCTCAAATTCTTCCACATTAATTATGGATTCGGATTTAACAGATATATTAACCTGGAGAAGCCCTGCGAGTACCAGTTCAACAGAATCTGGTGGTAGTGAATACTTACAACTCATAGTTTCGAGAACGCAGAGGATAACACAAGACGCAATGGCTGCAGGGCTACCAGTGTGTAGTTGAGGAACCAAATGGCGCATGGCTTTTTGATAGATCTCCAAGCTTCCAAAGGATGAGTGATGCGGGTGGCACCTATCCATCTGGCGGGCAGACAGGGGTAGAGTGGAACATCTTAGATGTGGATGCGATCTTGCCATAACGGGCAGTACATGTTCGAAGTGTCGATGGGCATCAGATTGATCCAGCTACCAAATTGTTAGTAACAAAATGGGACATGTTAAATAAGTAGAGGACGACGATAACTAGTTAGTTAGTTGATGCACGCGTCTAACTAGAGCCAAAAGGGACGGCCAAAAGATCAGGCTACGCGGCTGAAGAAGAAAGGTGTTAGGCTGAACTGATTCAGCATAGACTAATGAGAGAATATACGGCAAATACTATAGATGTGCAGCAATTCATGAAGGACAAGGGGAGAATACCAAGAATCTTAATCACGAAACTTCAAACATAAGAAAGTGATGAGAATTAAAATAAGAATCAATTTAACGTACTATCTAGACCCCTTTCGGGTCTATGAGCACGGCATTCTATCTGGTCTGCCGCGGGCAAAGGTTTCCCCGTAGCCCTGAGGCTGCGGGTACATAAAATCCCGCCTCCTCCCTTTAGTAGACTATCTTAAACGTTTTCGTCTTTCCGTACGAGTCGGTGTTTCCGCCTACGCGGAGAGCTTATTCTGGCACATCATGGAGGAGCTGGAACGGTTTCCAGTCCTTTATTACCTCCTCCTCCACTTCCTTGGCCACCCGGTATTGCTCTAGACCTCCCGTATCGATCAGCCACCTTGCTGCGTGGCGCACCTTACTCTATCCCTGTTATGCAATATCCTCTTGAAATCCGTTGTTCCAGCTCGTTGGGTGAGCGCGATCCTCTGGTCGGTCCGCTGGGGGCAAAATGCAAGGAGATGGTAGAGAGACTGTCGGAGGGCACGGCACTCACACGCTGGGTGGATTCCAGGGATACCAATTTTCGCGAGCCATCCTTTAACTCCAACTACCTCCGTCCGTAGTGCCATAAGCGCCGAGGCCTCGTGTTTCTAAAGGCCATCGAACCGGTTAAGGCACTGGGTTTCCCACGGGTCCTTCCATGTCCTTATTCTCCTTTCTGGTTTGGCCGCCTCGGCTTGCCATCTCTCCTTCCATTTCGCTCGATACTCGTCCTGGATCATCCGGTGCGGGTCTTTTCGCTGTTGTGTCTGATATCCCCTAGCTGGTTCGGGCCGGGGGAACAGAAGTTTGTCATACTTGGTCCGGAGAATACACATTGCGGGTTCAGGTTTAGACCGGACACAGGGATCGGCCTCGAGTTCGTCTCGGGGGAGCGGAGGTAGCATCCCAGATTTGCGTCAGGGCTCCCTCAATCTGGGCAGTGACCTTATGGGAGTTCGTCGATGCTGCTCTTTGAGCGGCCCGTTCTTTGACGTAGAGTTCGATTGGGGGAACGTCCGCCTCTCTCAAGCGCGGCGATTGATGTCCGTTTGTAAGCCCCTAGTATCTTTCGAAGGCACTTGTTCTGTACCTTGGCTAGGTCTTTCATTTTGCCTTCAGAGATTGGCTCACCCTGCTGACGGACTCCCCAGATTGGGGCGCCGTATGTCATAATGGGCCGTGTAACCGCTGTGTAGAGCAGCCTCGATTTCTGGACGGATGGTCCCCATACCGACGAAGTTACCCTCGCCAGGGAATCGAAAACCCTAAGTCCCCTCTATGTTGCCCGGAAGATGTGGTCCTTCCATGAGAGGGAAGGGTCGAGCTAGACTCCTAGTATCTGGAGGGATGTAACTAATTCGGCTTGGTGTCCCTGTACCTGGATCGTGGACCGGAGATCAGCGGAAATATTGCGTTTCTTAGTAAAGTGGATAATCTGGTACTTATCCGGGGCAAATTTAGCCCCGAACCTGTGACGCCCATTCCAGGCAAGTATCATGGGCTACAGTTAGTCGTTGGCAGTTAGCTACTACCGTGTCTCAGGTGACAAGTATAGTATTATCAACGAACCCGAACCCGAGCACGTTACCCTGAACATCTTTGAATTGCTGTAGTAGGTCAGATATAAATAGGATAAATAGCGCGGGTGATAGGGTAGAGCCTTGCGGGAACCCAGTCTCCGTGTCGAACCAGCGGCTCTTAAAGTCCGAGAAGAGGATCTTTGTTCGCCGTCCGGTTAAGAAAGATGCGATTGTCTAGATAATCCATTCGGGGTATCTCATCCGACGAAGGACCCAGAGAGTCGGCTTACAAAGTCTTCACTTGATGGTTCGCTTTTGAAGTGGAGCTGATTAATCCAGATATTCCTATGGACGCCATATGTCCCGTCGATTGTCCCTTCGTCGAAAGGGGCGGCCTGGAGATGATGAAGTTGGGAGGCCATCCCTTTTGCGTGTAGACGCTTGATCTTCGGGCAAGTTGGGACAAGGGATGAATCCTTCCTGAATACTGAATCGATACTCTTAGAATGTATGTAACTATTCGCCTCGTAGATTAAGTATAAATCCATTTAACTACTGGTATTGTCTCGTTGACAACCGGGTGCGTCGCAAATGTCCTTAAGACGGAGAGGTTTAGTGGGATTGAAATGTGTTTGCAATAAACCTTCGCGAGGTAAGTATGGGTTCTGAGCCAGTAAACAAGTCGTAAGGTTCTACATTATGTGTGTAGAACCGATAACCTGCTCGCGCACGGTGTCTTTGAAATTAAAATTATCATAGACAATGACCGTCTGTGGATCTCTAGCCAAGCTGGGAGGACGTTTCTATAAACTAGTTAGTTAAAGATAAAGGAGCTAAAGACAGGATGTTCACCTGAATTTACGTGGTTTGCCATACCTGATACCTCATCGTTAACATGTTTGTACGTATCACAGAGTCCAAGACCTGCGAGCGTCTCAACAACCCTGCGTTTAGTCCCACCAGAAATCAGGTAGAGTCCAAGATTCTTAGCAAAGGCGTTTGAAGTCTTGCGTTTACGACTCCGGCACGCCACTGCGGTGATCATGTACATCTGCCCAATTATACCCTTCCCTAGATTCTCTCTTTTTGCCGGTTCATGACTCCGGCAGTTTCGAAGGAGTAGGTCCAAGAAGGCGAACCATTCCGGTGCATAGGTCTCGATAACATTTCGAATATCATCAGAGTCGATATCCCATTCGTGTGATGTCTTAGGATCGAAGGTATTGAAATATTGATGTGATGATAGACCGTCGAGTTCGTCAAAAATGCGTTGCCAACTATAATAACCAGCGAGGCTATCGCCAATGCTCTGGCGTATTTCCTGCTCTTCAAGGACCGTACAGAACTGCTTAATCCTAGCAGTTCTCCCCAGCTGACCATGAGATCGATCGGATAATAACCAAAGTCGGATGAACTCTTTGAAATTGAGGCCTTGTATCCGCCAAAGGGCCAACGTTTCGCGCACCTTGTCGAAAGGCCTGGCTTTTCGCCTCCCGGTATACCGCTTGATCTGTCGGTAAGTCTTTGTAGGAGATCGTCTAGGAGAAGGACGATAAGCTCTAGGAAATGTAGGTGACGATAAAGGAGAGTCTGAAGGCGAGGAAGGCACGGAAGATAGGTCGCTCGATAGTGGTAACGCGGTAGACATATTGAATATGAAACGACGCGATCTTGTAACGTAGGATGGTCAGATTAGTCCCAAAACTTAATCAATTATAGTATTCGACGTGTAGAACGCTCCTGCGGTGTTGAATTTGTAAGAAATATATTATTTCGAGCAGGATTGTAGATAGAAGTTGCCACACGTCAAGATGGTGATGATTTCAACTACGCGTCCATACAAAAATGGTACAAAAGGCTCTCAGACGGCAGAGGTTCCCCCCGCCTTTACGGCGTATGATTGGTCAAAAATAGGTGGCTAACGCTAAAGAAATAGACTAACTAGATTTTATCGGGTATAACGGAACGCCATAGTGGTAGGGGGAGGCCTTTGCCGTCTGGCCCCAGCTGAGATAAACATATGCTGCACTAGCAGCTAGCGGGTTGCCTTAGGCTACAAGGCATGAGTGGATCATGTGGTATCAACAAAGTAAGTCACGCGATCTCAACAAGAGATAGGTAGGATTCTCTCAACGGTTTCATCCCTCCTTGTTAGATACATGATCATTATTTGTATATCAACCAAGTAGGTAGGTAATACAGCGATCCCCGATGGCTACCTGTGACCTGTTGGGCCTATCACACTACGCTCCTCTTTGTGTGTTTCACATTCCTTTCGTTTTCCTTTAGTTTTGCGCCCCGGCCTAACTGGCGGCCATCGGCCACTCTACTGTGTATGTTTTCCTAACAACCAAGCAATTCAGCACCCACGGAAAGAACACGCGATACCCCATTTCGCGTATCATGTGAACATGCCTCTCTAGCGTACAATCGTGCTCTATCTGCTAAGTACTAGCGAGAGATTTGCCTACATAGGCCAAACCAATCTGGCCTGATGAGAGTGTGAGTCCATATATTAGAGAGAGATGCGAAATACGCATCCTCGGAACAGCACTATTCAGTTCCGGTTGCGAATAGGCATATTTTTTGTCGTTTAATGATATCTCCTCGAACCTTGGTCATCCTCGCCCATCCGGCCTGGATGTTATGGATCTCGCGAGTCGCTCGGTGTGGCCAACGCCAATAGCGTTACCGATCTGGTAGTCACGCTCATCCGTAGAGTGAGCTTACATTCGTATCCTCGCCATTCCATCCAATCTCAGGCCAACCCTCGGGGATTGTAGAAAAAGGGGGGAGGGTATAGCGCCCCTCACAGCTACTGGGACTGTCACATGTGATGTTGCATAAGCCAAATAACTCGCAATAACAGGTTTCTGCGTCTGGACAATGGACAGGAGGCTTTCCAAAAATCACTACATTACCAGATTAACAGGGTGCTCAGGATTTGCGGAAGAGGACGCAATGGCACTTACTATGCCAACTATACTCAAGGACCCGTCCGCTCTGGTAATCTTCCAGATCTGTGCTGTTCACCCAGTCGAGATATCGCACGTAATCGCTCTTTGGCCTTTCCCTTATCTTCTCTCTTGTAGCAGAAAATTGTGCGCAGCAGCTTACGCCAACCAACTCTGGCACCTCTTCGCCGGGGAACAATTCTCTGAAAGCATTCGCGTAGACCTGACCGGTGCTTATCTCGGCCGTAGTCCCGAGAGTCTTCTCATCATCGAGGGGGTGAAATTCACCGGGGCACCCAATCACCCAGACACAGCGCAGGTTGGTGTAACCAGCGCTGAGAAGGTAATCAATCTGTAGCTGCCGGAGTACGGCGACTCCATCATAGATCGGGTCGTCGTTGTGCCATTGATAGCGCAAGGCATGGTGGAAGATGGTAAGTTCGGGGAGATTTTCGTAGTTATCGATTATAAAACTTCCCAAGGCTGTTAACTTATCTGGCCGTTTCGCTTTGAACAAGGGGAATCCGGATTTCATTGCATCATTTTCGATGAAGCTTTCCCACACGTACCTTAGATATACCATAGATTCTCGGCCTTTGTTCACAGAAACAGTCAAAGCAGCATTTGGATCGTCGACTACGTAGACATACTCGGCCCACTCCGGAAAATAATGATTCAGCCATGTGGTATTCTCATGACTCCTGCTCGCAACGACAAAGGCGTATTCTTTCTCACGAGAAGGAGGCTTCGAGTGAGAGACGATACCTGAAAACCGAGTCCCGCTCAGCATCAGGTAGAGGAAGTAGACAAGATATATCAAAACTATCGCGCGAATGATGTTCCATCGTTCACGATAGATTGATCCGCCCATTGGCATTGCGGAGGCCTCGCATGCTCAAAACTTTGGTTGCTGAATAAAATAACGATACTACACCAGATGGTGATGTTCTGGGAAAGAAAAGAAGGCTTCGTCAAGGCAAGTAAATCGCTTCCGTACAAAGGATTTCATGTTTCATGTTGTCAAATGGGTGGCGGCTATTACGTGGAAGACTCATCTGATGCGATCCCATGCTCCTATTCGGCGGCTACGGGGAATCTGAGCCCTGATCCGAAGAGAAGTTCATTGGATGGGGTCTGAGGGGCGGCCCGGGTTTAGCGCCCTGGGCTTGCGATCTGCAGTCTAAGTTCGAACCCCTGCCTGTTGGCCAACCACCTACTTGGCCAGTATCACCATCTTAGCCACCATCATGAAAACCGTGACATCTCTACCACCACGTAATTATATTGAAAATTCAAACCATAGGACTATTGTACAGCATCTTGGGGAGCGTCTGGTATAGTTTCAGCCACGGGAATACTCTGTTCTAGTATAGTATTTGCCTCCAGAAGCCGTACAGCCTCTTGCGCTACTTTGATCTCTTTAATCTGTGCGAACTTAACATTGGGATCTATCCGAACCTTCTTCTTGCGTTTTGGGGCTGAGGCGGCATCTA